TGCACTTGGACTTTTAGAGCTTGCGTCCCCCCGACCTAGCTAGTCTGGGAGTTGCCCTACTGCCTAAATCAAAGATGCTGGGCTCGCTGGGTCGGCGTCGGTCAGTTATGAAAGGCCATTGCTGTAGTGCGGATAGTCGGGCTTACGGTGTTTAACCCTTTCAATGCCCGAAGTTTGTCAGCATCCTGCAAATTTGAGTATCGCTATCACACTGTTAATTTCCCCTTCCAAGTTTTGGTGCCGTCATGATACCTGTTCCTGCCTTTGGCCTTGAACGCCACGGACCTCTGATTGGACGGCCCATCTCGGCCAGTCGAACACTGCAACCTCACCTGCAGCTCCATTCCTCCAAATTTTGACATGATCTGTAGCCCTCGCGAATACGCCGAGACGAAGCAGCTTCGATAGGAGTATCGCGTGCTGACGCCGAGTGACATTGCACTGCCGTAGCAACGCGACCGTGTTGATAAGCCTCTCATCGTCCAACAAAGAGTGGGCAGATGGAGAAATGGAGCGTTGTTAGTAGTTGAACGCGTGTTTCATCACGCTATTGCGCTGCGAGGCGGGACCAGTTTTCGAACTAGAACACTGGTGTTTTCTTCAGTAAGAAACAAATAATGGTTCATGGGAATTCCGCTCGAGAGTCCAACGTCAAGACGATGCTGTTGTTGTAAGTCTCTAGTTCATTTCTCTCGTGTATTGCGTTGGCTAAAAAGCCTGCAGCCACGACATGTAGAAATTCCGGTATAGTACAATAACATTTAGATTTAAGGTGTAAGCTATGCAGAGCGGAAACCGTTGAACTTGGAAAGTTGACGGTCGGGATGTGCCAGACGCGCAAGGATGAGTCAAAACGGTTTCGCTGCCCGTTTCTCCAAGCTGTAATATCAGGTTCAAGTATAACTATCGGATACATTGTCGAGAATTAACCAAAACCTTTCCCACCGAACAAATCACAAGATCATGGCCAGTTTGGAAGCACTCACACATGCAACAATGTTTCTGGTTAAACCCTTTTACAGAGCTACACTTTATTTCTCAAGCTGTAGATCTGCAGATCATCCGTCTTGGAAACATTGATCGTCTCGACCTGATTGCATCTATAACTCTGTGCGCCATTACTTGCTGTTTGCAATATCGCTACGACTTTCACCATACCATATCTTTCTCTTAACACTGCCCCACTATTTTCAAGGATGTGGGTATTCTATGTCGCAATAGTGAGAAGAGAGTCCTTTCCATTCCTAAATTTTTGTTATTATTATTTTTAGGTATTACTGTAGCGCCAGGTTACTTTATTACGACGGAGATAATGGAATGAGTAGTTCCCCAGCTTTCCTTAACGGTCATATTGCAAAAGGAGGATCAGCGTCTTATTTGGATAGGCTTTCTCCTCTGCTCCTTCGGCTAGATAGTCGGGCCACACAGCCCCCCAAGCCCCGGACCAACCACGTCAACCAGCCAAGCCAGCGTATCCTCACTGGGCTGTGACGTAAGTAAGCCCCATTGTTCGTACTCGAACGCGTCTTTCTGTGGAATGGACACGGTTGAGCATGTATTGAGAAATCTCGAAGGCAGTAAGATAGTAGGTAACTCAAAAGAGGTATGCCTTATGATTTTTCTCCCTTCTTCTTATGTTTCTCTTAATCTTTTGTGATCACAGCGCTGTGGGTATGAGCTACTGCAAAGAACCACTACCCTAGCAGCTTCTTCCAGAGTATTTAGACGTGAATAACAAGTCGTAATGTAGCTTCATCTTCAACAAGAAAATAAAAACCAATTGGACAGAGCCAATCGTGTCTCAGATCTCAAGCGTTGCATATCTGCTGCAGAGGGGCGAAGGGAAAAAGAAAAGTAGTTCAAAAGTCAAAATGACACCGATGTGCAAATGCGGTAACCTCCATTGTGAATTTTGAATCGGAAGCTAAGTTTTACAGTAATAATAAGAATGGGAGAGAAACAGCATTCTAGTGTCTTTTCCTTTTGAGGAACTTGGAACCTGCGATTTCGTCCCTAATCGAGTCTAGCCGTCGGTGATGGGCGGGCCTAAAACCTCACTGGATGTCCGTAGGCTTCTGCTCCGTACCTTAATTAATCGGAACTTAATCAGGTGCTGACTTGTGTACCTGAATACCTGAACTACTCTCAAGGAAGAGACGCGGAATGAAAGCTCGCGGCGTCAAGCTGTACTTGGCCGTTGCAATCCATACTTTCAAGACATCCAACCTGAAAGCAACAAGGAAACCTACAATGTTCCCAACCAGCAATGAGCAAGCTAAGGGGAACGATATGATGATGGCTCAGCGCTGGCGCCGTAGATTCATCATACATAAGTTGACTGCGTAATAGCTGGGCAGTCCGTTTATTTTTTCCTTCTTCTTGTCGGGTTCCTTTCGTCGTGGAGCCTGAGCCGAACGAAAGGGGGCCCGCATGAATCCTTGCTAGCAGTATCTGCAATTATCCCAGTTGAATGGGTGCTTGTCTCGAAAAACGCCCCTCCCGCAACATATGACTGCAAGTACCTTACTTTACATTGGAATAGGCTGCAGTCTACAGCCTTGGAGGGGGTACAGCAGGCCGTGTCCATTTTTTGAAGGAATCATCATTGAATTGCAGCAATGGCAGCATTAGCCTTTGCTTGGAAATACGAGCATCCAAGGGTCGATATCCGGATACCCCTTATAGGTCGAGATGCTGCGTGCGGCATGTAGCACCAAGCTGCGCCGCTTTCCTGGTACTTGAATTAACGCTGTGTATACTGTGTAGAGTAGGTTGCGCTGGCTAGTCACAGTACTGTACTGTGCTGTTGTCGTTGTCGTTGTTGTTGTTGTTGTTATTGTATCCGTATAGTACCCCATACGCACATTTGTCTGCTGTCCTGCCCTGGCACCTGGATCTTGTCTCAAAGTAAGTCGGTTGCATAGACTGTGTAGCTGGAGACTGGAGACTGGAGACTGGAGACTTTGTTTTTGGCTGATGTCTCCTGGCTCCTGGCTTGTGTATGTATGTACACACTGGATTGGACCTCAAAAGCTTTACCCCCTTGAGCTGCCCTCCACCACGATTTGCCTGCGCTGGCGCTACTTGACGCTACCGGGGGGGGTTGCTGGCCAGGCTGGTTCAGCCTACCACCTCCGTCATCTACGTTGCCCGCTACCCTACCTTAACCTGTCCACTGCTGGGAACCGTCGTTCCACCACTTTTTCTTTGTTGTCGAGTACTTCCTATTGCCCAGTAGTTTCTCCGTACATACACTACAGTCCAAGTATCCGTAGAACATAACATAATCGGCCAGAGCTCCTTCCACGGACCAAACTCAACTCTCTCCACCCTCTTTACACAACAGTCGTCGTCGTGGTCCGCTCGCTTGCTCACTCGCTCACTCGCCATCGAATTTTTTCTTTCTTTCGTTTTACTTCTCGTTTTGTTTTGTCCCCCCTCCCCTACTACCGCTTGGGCAATCGAGAAGCCTACAAACAGTCTGACGAGGAGGACCTGGGACCAGAGATCTTCTGAAGTACGGGATAACTTTTTATTCAACCTACGGCCCTTCGCTAGCTTCCTGTTGGACTACCTTTCGATAGTACGACCGGCCCCTAATCCCACCAGACGCAGACGCGCCAAATAGAGCTCAGTAGTGTGTACTGCCTGTACCTTCTTTCGTACCAATCCAATTACACCCGAAACCCATCCAATCCATCCGTACACCACGCCAAAGCAGCCCCAAAGCATCCATCCTGTCAGTCATCGAACCGGACCTCTTCTTTCACGCACTCCACCCAGACGCTCGTTGTGTTCCTCATTTTGTTTTTGGCGGCTCTTCCCAATTTCCCTGCCATCCGATGCTGGCCTGGAACTTTGACAGAAGAGAAAGACACCATAAGGCAGCAGCAGTACTTCAGCTGGCCGTTGGATGACGAAATAGCCAAAATCAGAGTACAGAGCACAGAGTCCATAGCCCATTGTCACTTTTTTTTTTTGGGCCTCTTCCCTTCCGGGTTTTTGGTTTGATCTAACGCCACCAAAAGGAAAAGCCCCATCACCACCACTCGTTCGATACCTACGGCGGCGCCCAATGGGATTTTAGACTTCAGCAAGACACTACTTTCTTATCATATCCTATCGACCGGACGGAGGTATCAGCAATTGACCTCCTTTGGCAACCAGATAGGCAGCGATTGAGATCTGATCATCTTGCTTGCAAGAGGAGAAGCGGTGCTTAATATCCCATTTCGACGAAAACAAGAACCAGGGAATCAGGGATCTTCGGAGTGAGACAGTCATTGAGGAGTAACCGCAGCGCATCACTCCCGCATCTGTCGGTACGTGCCACTGCCTTGATCTGCGGCCACATCGAGTGGAACAGGGCTACATTGCCTTCATTCCGACACATCTCGCAGAGTACACAGAGTACACAACACTACATTGTCCCCAACGCAAAGAAGCCGCTTGCCCATCAACAGGCATCTAATTTCGACCTCGACGGTCCACAGCCATCATGGCACCCTCGACACCAAGACTGAGAGTCCTCTCAGGTAAGCTCAATTTCCCGCCAAGTTGTTTCGAGCAGGAGCAGCAGCACTTGCACGCGCCATCATAGCTACAGTTACGCCTACCGCTGCCGCTACCGCTGCTGCTGCTGCTGCTAATCCCAATCCTTCTAAGCGCCCATCCTGTCCTTCACTTTACCTTGCGGCACTGGTATTGGCATTCCTTTTACCTGGGCAGGCTATCTTGTATACTTTCCCCCGGTTCAGTCATACATCAGCTCATGCGCCTTGTCTTTGTTCCCCTACCCTTGGTACTACCGTCGGAGAGAAAACGCGAACCACTGTCGTCTCCTAACTTTCGGCACCTCCCATCTCTGTTATATGACTTGTCCCTAGCCCCCATACTCACTTCTGAACTACCATATACCTTTCTTTGCTTGACCTTCGACTAGAGCTCCTCTTGGGAGTGAGGTCCCGGCGCATGCCTCGTGCCAATTGTTGTACATCGCCATGGGAAACCCGGAGCTAATTCGAGTTTGCACAGTTGGAGGTAATGCCGTTTCTGCATTCCTCTCATGGAGACTGCAGGCCACCAACGCCTGCGACGTAACGTTAGTCTGGAAAACAGGTTTCGATGCTGTATCTCAATATGGCATATCGTTCAAGTCTGCGTCATTTGGTAACGAGCGCTTCAAGCCTCGGCATGGTACGTTCACCCTTGACTGCTGGGAGTTGTCCCACGGATCCTGTTGCTAATTGCCTTGTCCCCCGTTCAGTTGTTCGAGCGCCAGAAGAAGCCGGCGTAAATAACAACGACGGCCCCTTTGATTATGTCATTTTGTGTATCAAGGCTCTCCCAGACGTCTACGACATCGCATCTGTCATCGATTCGGTGGTAACACCTCAGCACACCTGCATTCTCATTAACACGACACACACCTTGGGCATAGAAGCGCTCATTGAAGAACGATTCCCGACCAACGTTGTACTATCGCTCGTCTCAAACGCCGAGATCAGTCAGTTGGGCAACAGCGAGTTCGAGCACAAAGGTTCTACTGAAATCTGGGTCGGTCCCGCGAACAAGAACAGCAATATTCCCTTGGCAATCCAGGAAGACATGGCTCAAGCCCTAGCCATGACTTTAAGTACCGGACGCGTCGACTGCAAAGTATCGCCCAACATTCGGCAACAGCAGTTCGAGCGTGTCATTGGGTATGTCTTCTTCCCAAAAGTTTTGTCTTGTTTTAATTAGCAACCGAGATAAACTGACTTCATCTAGTCCAATCGCATTCCACCCTGCGAGCGTGGTGTTCGAGACCTCCTCGCACTCGGCTCTTCTGGAGAAGACAGGCGTCAGACAACTTGTGTCCGATGTCATCGATGAGCTGATGGAGCTCGCAGCTACGCAGGGCTGCGCCCTGAATGCTGATTTCAAGGACAACGCAATCAAGGAACAATGCCGATCACAGGAGACGAGCATCATGTGGCAAGATTACATTGCGCGGCGGCCAATGGAGGTCGAGACTTATCTCGGCTCACCGATCAAGCTCGCAAAAGCTGCCAACATCAAGCTTCCACGCATCGAAACTCTGTACGCCGTTTTCCATCACCTAAACATCATTAACCAGAGTCGGCCCAAGGAGACTAATGGTATGCCAACCGCAAATGGCTCGCCCTCGGCGCCTATGCCAGGCCCTCGAATGTCGTCTAATGGACCCCCGTCGCGTGTTATTTCCAATGGGTTTCCCAACGGTAACGGGATGGGTAGAGCAGGCCCAGGGCCGAGACCGAGGAACTCGTCAACGGCCACGTTGAACGGCCCGCCCCCAGGGATGCGAGGACCTCCTCGTGCAGGCCCTCCCGGTGGATACCGCGGTCCCTCGAATGGCTACGGACCGCAAGCACGACAACCCTCAAGACGCGGTTCTATGGACGAGACAGATCTAGGCGAGTTCAGTCACCTAGTGCTGTATGATGACATCCCTGAGGGTGGCGACGGCAATTTCCCAGGCGATAATGTCGACCTTGACATCCGTGCCAAGGAGCTTCAGCTGCGACAGCGTGAACTTGCCCTTAGGGAACAGGAGATGCGCATGCGGCGAAATGGTCCTCCCGGACCGCCTGGCCCTCCCGGACCCCCCGGTCCTCGCAGACGGCCCCCTCCTCGTAATCCCGGCACGGTATATGATGACGATGATGAAGAGGGCGATTATTTCGACCCCGATGCTTTCGTCGCCCCTGCTGTTGACCCGGACCAAGTCGACATGATGAGCATGACCTCCAGGAAACACCGTATGAAGCCTCCTAGTCAGAATCAGATACGGAATGATCCTGAGAGCGTAGGTGCATCCGGCTCCGCCACTGCTCGCAATAGCAGATGGGGTCGCCCGTCATTTGGAAGAAACCGTTCCAGCCAGCAAATGATGAATTCGGTTCCATCACTGCACAGCAACATTCTGGATGACCCCCTTATGGGGTACTCCTCAAACCGCTATGGTAACGTTGACCGTGGACAGATGCATATGAATGCCGGATCTAGGGCAAACTCATTGACTGCTCAGCATCTTGAACAGCTCGGTGGACCTGGCAGCATGGGCGGTCCTTACCCCAGGCGTGCTAGTCAATCGCCCGGTAACCCATACAGCCCGTCTATTCGTGGGGGCAACGGACGACCATCACCACCGAGCGGCCTTGGCGGACCTGGAGGGCACAGCCGCCCTTCGCCTCCCAACGGCGTACGTCAGCCAGTCCCAAAATATCCTCCGGGACAAGGAAACTCAGTCGCACCGCAGGAGGTGGAACAACGGGCCGGGGTGAGCTCCCTTCAACCACCTAGAGTCAAAAACGTACGCAGTCTGACCGGCAGTGCGAGCGCCAGCGCGGGGAGTGGTGATTCCACAAACTTAGAATCTGAACCCTCTGCGCATAGTAGCCAGAGCAGTCTTGGCCCACAGGCACCCATCGGGGTTCAGTGAACAGCGAGCCACGTCTAAGCTTTTCGTCGTTTGCTTCTGGCACCACCATATACGAATGCCGTCCGGCTGCTGATTTGACAGCAACAGCGTAAACGCACTTCCCTGGACCATTTCAGCAATCCGGAGTCGGTGCATACAACATACCAACCATGTATTCAATAAGGGTTAGAACGGAAACTTGGTTATCATTCTACAACATACACCTAATCTTAGTCGGCTTCAACATTGGAGGAACTCACGTACATAGCATTTGGGACGACGAGCAGCTATTATTCAGTTCTGGTAATATTGCATTGGGTTGCGGGTGTCTTCTTTTCTTTTTCTCAACACATACACGAACTCTCCTTACATTGCCCGACTTCCGACACGGGATTCCGACTCCCTCTCATTGGGACACCTGTTCCCAGGACCTCTGAATCCAGACTAAGGCGCGGTATACCCTGCGTTGCGTTGCTAAGCAGGCACTCTGTAAACTTTGACCAGCTTTGCATTACTGCCAGGGTTATATACAAGTCGATGACGAATTTCCTTGAACTCGTGCCTAGCCCATTTCAAAGAAAGTTCTTCTCGTCTGAGAAGTCAACGGTTTTGAAGGCAGCGCACACCTTTACGAAATAGACGGGGAACTCAGCTCTTTGACGACTTTGTACTGATCGTACGTGCCACGCATTTCGGTAGTGGAGATGGTGCACCTAGACGCATCAGCTCTATCACGGCAGCCGATCGGTGGAAAACAGTCCGAGCTCTTTTATGACAATCGCACATACAGGTCCGGCCAGGACCGCATTTTCCTTTCCTCACATCGATACTTCTGGGTCTAGTCTTAATATTTCTAAAAGCTGGCATATGGTGGGGTTTGCCATTGTGGGAGGAGAAGCGCGCAAGGATACTACGACTTTGGCAGAAGAGAAGACCGCAAGGATGTGGTTTCTGGGATGAAATTTGTGGTAGCCGGGCGCCGAAGGAATATAGACTACATAGGTGACAGGCAAGCAGGCAGGCTTTAATAGGGAGCCGCTTATTCGCGACAAATGACACAGGAATACAACAAGTGATGCTGAAGAACGAAAGACAAGAAGAAAATATCATTGTGATCTAGCGAACTGTCAACGTGATATCTGTCGTTGGTGTAGGATTGGCAACGTCAGACCTGTCATCGTGTTGTGTGACTGTGAGATGGCTTGGGAGAGGGCACAGCTCTTGCAGGAACCCAGTAGCTGTCACACCGATCGGTCATGGATCAAAGCCGACTCATGGTGTTTCAGTCTAAATTGTAGACGACCTGCACGCCCAAACTTTCTTCCAAATGTACCAAATAGACAAACCGTTGTAGGCAGTAGAATGTGGTCAGTAATTTCTGCTAGAACGGCCAGGAGTACTTGTAATAAGAAACATGGCTGTTGGGAATGGCGCTAGCGGTAGCGGTAAGTAGAGTCCCGGCATAAGCTCTAAGCCCCGCTTTCCCAACGTCAGGCCAACAATTCGATATTCTTGCTGTGTCTGTAGCTCGGGGGTTTCGAGGTCATGTATATGTCGCCAGTCAGCCAGAGTTTACAACGGGGCGGCTATCTGACACACAAATCTTCCACCAAACGAGAATCTTCAGGGTACAAGCACGGTCGGTCTTGACCTTTTCTACATGCGTCGATCTTTATTCCAATTCGATTTTTTTTGAGGGACGAGGAACACGAAATCCGAGGTCAACACCAAGTTTAACACTACGCACACCACATCCTGCGGACCAATTGAAGCAGGACAATATCATTCTCACCTCCCCTAATTTCTTAGAGAAGCAAACCCCGGTCCATAAATCAATCATGGCTACCAGGGGTCATGCGGCCAGCGGCTCTATTTCGAGACCCTCGATGGCACCCCAGACTTCGGGAGGCGTGGTCAAGGCGCGGCAGCTGGTGAGTAAACGAAGCGTCTCCTTTCTTTTTCAACACAAGGGAAAGAAAGACACGAACTGGGGAGAACTTTTTTGCTGACGGGATGAAAAAATGTATGATAAAAGGCGCATCTACATTCGCAGCTCGAACACTTATCTTCCAACCTCTCGGATACCGACAACTTGCTGCGCATGACCGCCGTTCAGGCTGAGGCTATGAGGGGTCTGGGTGCGTGGCATGGGGGCATGTGAGTTCTTCTGTTTCCTTTTCGTTTGTTTTTGCATTTGTTTCTTGAGAGTCGTACTGATGTATCGATAGGTTCATGGCTGCGAGTAGGGTGTTGGGTGAGGAGTCGGTCAAGGAGCAGCCTAAGTGATGATGCGCCGGACGCGGGGATGACTGCGATAACGCAAACTTTTAATAGCAACACGGACAGTTGGTGCAAAGCTTAGAATGCCATCTGGGAAATCTAGCAATCACCGAGTTATAACACTGCATTTTTGTTGCCATTGATACAGCTAGTGCAGCTTCATTGTATGCTTGATGCGCAATATTTCAGTTGATTTTGGATCATTCAAGAACTGCTCATAACCCCATTAGCTGATAAACCTTCCAACCAAGCACCACCCAGGCTGGAAATGGAATGATACTGCCTTACCCTGGATGGACAAGATAACTCGATTAAGTTTTACAAGGGGCTTAGATTTCTTGCATACATTAGCAAAAACAAGACAGTCGTGTTCTACCGACCCCGGAGATCAGGTGTTTGGAATATTTGGCTTGATTGTGAAAGAAATACTGACGGGATACTATGGACTTGACCCTAATTATTCACTATCTACTCTAAAAGTAGCGGTGGGTATCTGTGGTCACTTGTTGCTAAATTTGCAGGGCCCAGTAGTATTGTTTTAGGCAACGAAGCTGCCTGCGGGTATCACATATTCATCTTGGGTTCCGGCGATATTGTCATCTTCGCTGCGGGAAAAGAATCTGCTGGACGGAATAGACCTGTGGAACCCGCGGGAGCACCTACAAGATACCATATCGCACCATAACTCCGCCGAATTGAGATTTCGAGCAGCGTCAAAAAGGCATGGTGAATCGAGTTTCATCCTCCGAGAGATGGCCGTGGCGTTACTTCGGAACTATCATCTGGCTTGATCGCATCAATTCATGCACATGCCGGTGCAGTGTCTATTTGGCTCATCCATTTACTAGATTCGAGTGATGGTTTGTCTCTCATGTCGAAACAACGACCAAAGGTTGCATTTCTTCCCTTTCACGAAATCCGCGCTCACAGGTCCGGCCTACTGCAACGGAGGTTCAACAGACTGGATATCACAAGTTGGAGTGACCAAGGTGGAAAATACAATAGTGGAGAACATTCATATCACTTCGTCCCCTCGCTTCTATGGAAAAGTTGACAACTATGCCTAGATGCACACAGAACCCACTGTAGCCGGCAAAAAGGCGTTGTATTGTCTGGCTGGTGAGCTGTCTCATGGTTCGAGGTTCTGATTGGTTTCGACTCAATCATACTTCGATCAGGACACCACACCGATGACGCCCTCCTGGAACTCGATCGTTACGGGGGTTCAGCGAGGACCGGAATGGGCGCTTATAAGGCACCCATCGCAAGCCACCCGCACCCGCCGTTATTTCGTGAGTGATAATATCGAATTTTTGAGCAAGGAGTGCTTAATAATACAACCAAATGTCGCGAAGTACTCGAGCAAACCGTTAGTTTATCATAGCGGTGCGACGATGCCTCTGTACAGTCATTTTTGGGAGACCAGGTGAAGTGTACGCTCACTTCTGCTGCCGCGCTTGTCGCTATACACCAACACACAAGAAATGCTAGTCCAGGGCCCCTAAAGGCGTTATAAGAAACTATCACGCTCTGTAAACTATAAAACTTAAAGCAATTTGTTTATTTTATAAAATTAACAAATAAACTTATTATATAGTTATAACGATTTTTATGTTGTTGAATTATGTTTTCTATAATTATTATGGAACGATTCCAAATCGGGCGTTATATGTGGCCAAAGCCTACACGAAACGTATGTGTAGTCTTGTGAGGGTCTTAGATCTTTACAATAACATCGGCAAGCTCGGTTGTAGGTTCTAAATAAGGCTTGATAGTATTTCGCACCTTGGTCCTCTGCTCAAATGCATAGGCGAGCCCGATCAACTTCTCCTCGCTGAAATGCTCAGCCAAGAAAGCGATACCGAACGGCTTGTTTGGCGCCGTGTCGTTCAGGTTTCCGAACCCGTTCTCGATGACAGTCTGGTTACCGGGGAACTTGCCAAGCGGGACAGTGACGATGGGGGCACCGATGATGGCTGGGAGTGTGGAGGAGAATGTGGTAGGCAGGATTAGGGCATCTAGAGAGTAGTTGGTGAGAGCACCAGTGATACCGAGAAGACCGCCGTAGTAGAGATCTGCTGTGTAGTTGGACCAAAACTCGGGGCTTGTGTTGTCATAGCCCAGGTCGAGCCCTGACTGCCATATGTTGGTATCCCGCTCTGGATAATCCTCAAGGGGAAATCCCTGAGTAAAGGCCTGCAGCTCCTCGAGACTCGTTATATTGTGAGGGTTGACTGTCAGCTCATTGAAATAGTTTGCGACGTCTACAGTGAAGTCTGCCTTCAGGACATTGAGCTCGAAGCTCGAGGTGGCGATGACGTCGTAACCCTCCAAGTGAATTCCATCGACAATTTCAGCGCCAGCTTCGCGGAAGACATCGAGAGAGGCATTGAAAGCGGCGACAATGGCGCCGTATCGGTCCTCGTACCCGGTAATGTCAAACACATTCCGAGGAACACCAATACGTTTCCCTCGAAGGGCGAAGTAGTCGCAAGCAGCTGCGTAATCGGGAATCGTGTCGAATGGGATAGCGCTGGTGTAGTTGTCGTTGGGGTCCTTTCCGGCAATAGCCGAGAGGATGTAAGCAGCATCCTTGACGCTCCTGGCCATAGGACCTACTGTGTCCTGATGCTCCGAAATTGGTACGACTAAATATCTGGACGTGAGACCAACGGTGGGCTTGATTCCTACAAGATTGTTGACATCTGAGGGTGAAACGATAGAGCCATCGGTTTCGGTTCCCAGAGCCGCGAGGGCCAGACCAAGTGAGCTTGCCACACCACTACCCGAACTTGAACCTGAAGGGTCCTGACCAGGAAAGTAGGCACCCTCTGTCTGTCCACCGTCTGCCGTCCAGCCGTTGCTGGTGTTGTCACTGCGCCAATTGGCCCATTGAGAAAGATTAGTTTTGCCTAGCAGAATAGCCCCTGCTTTTCGCAATTTCGCAGCTACCGTGCTGTCTTGGGGGACTTTTGCTCCTACGAGCGCATACGAACCAGCTGTATTTGGCACGCTGTCGTTTGTGGCAATGTTGTTCTTGATCAAGAGCGGGATTCCATGGAGAGGTCCAAGGATCGTGCCTTCTGCTCTCAGGGCATCCGCTTCGGCAGCAATGGAAAGCGCATCAGGGTTAAGGTATGTAACCATTTTGAGGGTCCCGTTGACCTCCAAGATGCGTGCGGTGTATGCATTGACAAGATCAACACTTGTAAACAGCCTAGATTCGAGACCGTACACCAAATCCTCCAGGGTAGCCTCAATCAACGGGGGAAACGGCTTCCCGCCAATTGCTGTGCTCGAGTTGGTGTATCTTTTTGACGCGCTGGACGAGACTGCCAGGGTAGACAGCGCAATCGCGCACAAGATCTTGAAAGATACCATGTCAAGGACGGCAGAGTGATGCTATGAGCACGAATGGCTGTTTGTCGGCCCAAAGTACTGCACAACTTCAACCTGACTCAACGGACGAGGTCAAGTATAAGAGGGTACAATCAGTAAAAGTGTGGCAATACAGCAGCGCCCCAAACGAGCTAAATATCTCCATCTCCATCTCCATCGTAGCCGGAGCTGTTGATCTCAAGGACGAGGATGAGGTCTAAACGAACCATGCACTCGGCTCTCAGCAACCGACTGGGGAAACAAACGTTCTTCTTACGCCAAGATATCAACAAATCGCGGGCGTCATGACCAATAAGCAGGTGGTTCACCTGCCTCTCTTGGTATCGAGGTAAGTCGAGGAGGGATCTTATCTCCAGGATACGCTAAATAGTGACGGAGACGGTGATAGTGATTCCAATGAGAAGCGGCATTGAGAATCCTGGCCGCATTGGCGCTGCATAGAACCTTGCAGCAATAGCTGGGGACGGCGGAGCGGGGTAAATGCAATACGCAATACATTCGCATCCGCTGAAGATGACCGATCATTCGGTAATTCAACTGCTACTTAATTCCCGACCTAATTATGCGAGCAAACGTGCCATTACCGGAGATATGTAACTTAGGTAATTGCCCTACTCTACAGTATCAGATCGGTGTAATTGCCGGGCAGATTCGTTTGTGGAGTTCGAAGAAACGAGACCACAATGCCTACATGAATCATCTGGTTAGCAATGTTTGGTATGCCACCGAGCAATCAAACGCGCCTCCTTGACTTGGCCAATATGGCGAGCTCACGCTTGTGAATTATTTCTTTAGCACAGCCGGGAATAACTCTTGAATTGGGGGGCTATGATTTCTGCAAATCCAGGATGGTTCTAGTGCAATGCATAAACAGTATGTCACATATTACACAACGAAAGGTTCGCTATAAAATCCAACAGAATCCTGACTTCTAGTCTTTGGCAAGGGCATTATTCTGTGCTCTAAAAAGGGTGAGCTTGCCGCACTTAAATAACTGTAAGGTGGTAGAGAAGGTGATCATTCTTGATTAACGGTTTGGATGGCACAAATCTAAAGCGGGTTTCCCATTTACACATACCTCATCCACGACCTTCAGCCCGAAAGATCTTTCCTATAAATGTGACAAGCAGATGAGCGATAATCCACACAATTTTTAACGTTTTTTGGTTTGCCTTGTAAAGACTCAAGGCTTGCTCAAACGCTATTGGAAAGAAGGTAAGCTCAGGATAAAAATCGAATAATATTATGTCTCCGAGACCTCAGTTGTGTAAGCAAATCATGTTCTAGTATTTGGCCGTTGGCGGTAAATAAAAGGTCATTGGTGCCAAGGATTTGTTGTCAAATATTCTTAACAGAGCCGACGACAGATAAAGATGTTCAGTTAGAAGATAACTCAGGAGAAGGAAATCGCGTTAAGCAGACACAGTCAGAGTTCCTGCCTTGCTTTGTTTGCTGGTGGACGTGGCTGAACGTATCGACACCCGAATCAGACGACCCAGCTTCCATCGCCTATTCCGTTTATCTCTGAATCCTTGTAACCTCCAGGCAGTCAGCGAATGTCACGATAAGTCGTCTGTTTTTCAACAATTCCTTAACGAGGACCACCTGAGATATAAACCTGATTGGAGCAGTGGTTAGCTCATTGCTCTCCGGAATATGCAACTTGAGAAGCAAGGGTCGCGGGTTCGAATCCTGCATCAGGTTTCAAATTTTCTTTTGCAAAAAGCTCCAGTCTCATTTTGCGATGTGCGATATTTGATTCGAATCCCCATCATTCATTCAGCTTGTTCAATTAGTACGATGTGGATCAAAACTTATTTGAAGGAAGGGTATACCAGAGCTTTGCGACCCTTATTAGATACATACTCTTTTGAATGTACAAGAAGTGGGCTTGATATCATCAGTCTGTGATGTAAGATCGAGTATAATCTGGAATTTTACACATACTCTAAAAATGAAAATAAAAACGAACTGATCTGTTCACCATCCAAAATTTCCTTGTAGAGGACAATATTGCTTGATACTGAGATATGAGGGTTGGAAGTAGGATTACGGAAGAGCAGTCCTTGAGGACACCACTCTGCCCTCTAATACTGATGTGTCTGTCATTGATTACCATTTGACCAGAGCGATTTTCGAAATTGCCTTGATTAGAGCATCTGGGGGGGATTACTGGAGGCTTACATGGAATTGTTTATATTTAACCTACAACTCATTAAATCTCTACTTTGACTTCCGTCGCTTCTTGGGTATCGTGCTTTTCTGAAGTCTCCTCATGGGGATGTTGCACCTGCAATTCGACTCGCAATAATTGCACTTCCAAAATCGGGGTTTCCTTCGACAGCTTTGAGCCGAGCCTGTCCTGGTCTACATCGAAATACAACGCCCAAAACCCTGAGTCCTCTCTCACAGCGAAGAACCCCTCCCAACTGCCAAGAGTCAGCCGTCGGTCTTGTCTCGTGCAATCGAAAGGACCAGTATAGTTCGACTCGGCGTAGGGACGCGTGCCGAACTTCAATTCGTGTGTGTCACAATCTACGTATATCCAGTTCATGATGGGTGGTTCGTCACAAATTGTAGATACGAGGCCGGAATGCTCAGTGTCAGGAAAAGCGAGGAAGTAGCCAGCAAACGGATGGCCGAATTCTAGATCAGGATCTGTGCCTGTGTCCACGTATAGCTGCAATGAAAATGATTAGTCTCATCCCAAAGATAGACTGTTGAGAGCGTCTTTGAAAATCGATACGCACCTTGTCTCCCGAAAGGACAACATTCCTGCCTTCTAAAATTTGGCTGTGGTCGGACGATTTAGGACAGTGGATAACAAGATTGTTTTTTCGACCTCTGTGTTCATCTTTACGCGCACGAGATTGAGTTGCACGGATTGCTTCTGCTGCTCCGAAGGCAGCAGAGAAGGCAACGAGGAATGAAGCCATGAAAACCCAATATTACGGATAGCGTAATGTTTGCGGAAAGGATGTAATTGATCTGTATTTGCCTCGAGGGTGAGGGCTGAAGCAGTCCATAAGGATAACAAATTTGGTAATCTGTAATTCGGCCAAGTAATGTTATATCCAGACTGCCTGTTCATGAATAATCATTAATCTGCCAATTTGGATGTCCTCTTAGCGATGATCAAATGCCATGCAGTGATTGCACTTCCGGTTGTCTCAGGGTCTGGTTTTGGAGTTCAAGACGGTTTGGGAAGCTCTAATACTCCTAAAGAGCTGGAGTCAATAGTTGAGTTGATGCTGAGTTCATATTGATGCAATACTACATCTTGAACTGCGTGTTATCAAACACGAGATCCACTCAACTGCATGATTAGTAGTTTTTGGGCGTATTAAGTTTATGTATCTAGTTGACACGGCTGCTAACTGGCACTTCTTAAGAGTCTTCAAGCGTCTCCATTAGGCGATGGGCTCAATGTGCATGTCGTACTCTGATGAGAGCTTAATAAATAAGAACGTAATATGACTTTCAGACAGTGACAAGAACTACGAGTAACCACAGTGGTGTGTAGCAACACGACATCGTTTGTTTTGGAAGACAAGACCTTTAGCCAGGACTTCCCGAATACAAATACATTCTTAAGGTTTCCCCGCAATGACTGACCTAAGGTTAGATAGTTGCGATAACAAGTTAGGGTTCACGGCACGTACAGATCCACGCGTCTTAGTCCGGCAATGAACCTAATACAATAGACCTTGCGAACATGTGAATGCAAGGATGAGGTCCACAGCGGATACTCGATCCAGTGAGTTAAGCCTGCGGCTAAGAATTCGGTACTGTTAATGCGTTCATAGCTCATCGACATAACTTGCACAGCTTTACCAGATACAACAGTCACTGAAGCACGACCTTTTTTATTGATGAATGTAAGACTAATGGTATACTGTGTAAGCAGGTTGGTTTAGTGCCATAATTGGATCCGACGGACGATAGCAATGTAAAGTATATTTACAAGTGCCTTCGGCAATTGCGGATGGTATGGTCCAAGAGACAATACACATAACCCAGTTCCCCGGTCTCCATATTCTTGTCCCTTGGAAGAGTTGCTCTTCTTTCATCATTCAGTTTTGAAAGTAGCAACTCGGCGTGGTATCCCACCAGAGATTACATATTGCCGGCCACCGTCGCTTGCTTTATGACCTTTAACCTATGCCTAAGAAGAGACAGAGGAAACCATCATTGTTATCTGCGACACATCCATCCCATAATCGTTTCCCAGTCGACTTTTCAACAACACTACAAAAAGACGCCATGATGTCTTCACCGTAAGAGACATTTGGTCATATCCTCCCTGAAAACATGGGGCTAACGGCGGCCTGGAACAGTAACGGCCGTCCTGTATTCACTAAGACAGAGCCGGATGGGAATAATGCAAATAGTAGCGATGACGAGCGATCTGGGACCGTGCCACAGTCGCTAAAGCCCCTCGGCACGCTTCCTGGACCTACAAATACGCTTCCGAAACCTAGCCTTTCCGGGCCGGCCAGTGCTCCTGCTGGTGAGTTATCTCTGTCGAGACTAACACTTCTGATACCGAGACTGAACAATGGATATAAGGATCATTACTCAAGGGTCCTGTCAAAGCAGATGGAACTTCAAAGGATCCGCTACTTATGATCGGCATCAAGCTTGACCTCGAAGCCGATATTCACATAAACGCTAGGGTTCGAGGTGACATTTTGGTTGGATTGTACTAGGTTAGAACAGACTGTCTGTGGGATTGCCAGAGCCAATGCTATAGCCAATGTTTTATTATGCCTTTTCTTAGAGTCCAGCTCGAATTATAACTCTACCACGTCTGAACTGTTATCGAAAAAAGTTCGATTGAATTGTATTATCGAATGGAAGCGAAGAAAATCATGGGACAGAGGGTACCGCCGATGGCATGAAATGAAGATAATGGCATGTTATAGCTCCTGCCAATCTCAAAAGGAAAATTCAATCACACATCACACATCACACACTAGTTGAATGAAATCAACCCTCAGTAGTCAATCTCAATTAAAGTCGACCGACCACATTCTAGGTGAACGTGGGGAACAATCCATTATAAGATGTTTATTTGTAAATATCAACTTCGTATCGATGCTCTTGGGCGTCGATATGGAATCATTAGAGGATATCGCAACTCCTTCGGATCGAATCAAGTTTTAATATATGTAGTGTTAAGCTTAAGGAACGCCCGTTCAAGAGAATCATATTCTTTACTATCTTACAGTGCGGTTTACAGTGTTTAAGTAGCCACGACTCGCGTGGCGCACTGTAATAGTCACCACTAAATTTTCCATCGGTGGCCACTGGAGCGTTTCTCCTCACATACCCCTCCATAGAATCGACCTTCGGCAGTCTCAAAATCAGTATGCATATGGCATCGCGCGATCCTCAGGACGAGGACTTCAGGATCCAAATGATTTCAGCAACTGAGACCCCGCATCAGGGTAATGACTCTTTAGATGATGTCTTTGGGTCAGACCCGGGCTCTCCCGCTTTCGAGTCCGAAGACCATGAAGTCAGGGAATCGCATCCGTCAGACGTACGGCGGCTACAGACGGAACATGCAACCGCTGGTTATCGTGAAGGGATCACAGCAGCGAAAGCCAAGAGTATCCAGGCGGGTTTCGATGAAGGCTTCAGCCTCGGTGGTACCATTGGGCTGAAAGCTGGACAGGTCTTAGGATTTCTGGAGGGAATTACTAGCGCTCTCCGAGCGGAAAACGGAGATGAGTACCGTCAGGCGCAACAGCTCTTGGAGGATGCACGGAAGGAGCTCAGCATTGACATGATCTACGATCAGGAATACTGGGCACCTGACGGCACGTGGAAGTTCGAGATACAGTCTGCAACACAGGAAAGTGACATCATCTTTGAGGATGTGGCTAGCGCTCATCCGTTGATATCCAAATGGGATAGTATAATCATGGAGCAACTAAGAAGATGGGGCATCGACCTGCACGTTTTGGAACAGACTGAGGATACATCCACCGTAGCGGTCTTGGAGAAGAAAGAGCTGAAAGTTGATCAACAGCCACGCGAGAAACTGGATTGGTGAAGTTTGTCTCAATGAAAACTGCCATGGCTTCGGCCTCACCCGAGAAAGTTTTTGTCTCACGATCAGTAGTGCTTGTACACAACACCTACTCGATACCAAATCGATTGATGGGCATGTCGTGCCTGAGGAGGCCAATCATCGGCCGGTCACCGAACACCGAAATGAGGAGTTGCACCATGCTGCTGGAAGTGCATAAACGCATCATATTGAATTAATCTGGTAAGTATTCGAGTCAAACACTGCCCCACAATCCACCGTCGCTCAACCACTTAGAATTGGATTGTTAGATTTAAAACAAGAACTGTCTACTGGGCTTGTATAGGTCCTCGGATGTTTCAACAAGGGGGAAACATGCTTCGCTTATATTTCCGGCCACGATACAGAAAGCGACTTCAGAGGCGTGAGATTATGACATCGCAGCGTGCCGCACATTCTGGACAGACAATGTTACGTACTCCTTACATTTAGCACGAGGATGAGTCCCTATCATGGTTAGCGAACGCGGAAGTTTACATCTCTCGGGACAACTTGCAACATCCAGCACTGCTTTGAATAACAAACAGTATTTAGACAGCAGCTTCCCGAGGAGGTCGTCGATAATTTCCTCTACAGAAACAGTGTCAATGCAAATTGTCTTGAAGGACCAATGAGAAGAGCGATGAAACCTCATTCTAGCAGCCGCAAAACTGGCCGTGATCGGGTTCAGATTGATTCGATGGGAATGCTGTAATTCAAAGACAACTTTAAATTTTATCCCTGGTCCATATGTAAGAACATAAAGGCTTAAAACTCCTTTCGGCTGCATTTCCTTTTGCACAAGGTGTCGCTTGAGTGCCTCGACACGCCACAATCATTGGGTATAACGGTGCTCTAAGCGCAGGATTGTGCCATTTCGTGCTAGGATTCCCAAGATCTTTGGAAAGTATTGTACCCCTGCCAGTTTTGAGGCTTTGTCCAATGATATTATTCCAGGAATACTCGATGCAGATATACCTTGTGCTTTGACGTTTCGGATCCATACGACCTTACCCATTCGGAACTATAACCGCGATTTCGGTCGGCTTCAGCACCTATCACTTGCCAATTCGATGTCGTATTGGCCATCTGGTCAGCTCATATGCTATTGATTCAGGCGCATGTTAAAAAAACCCTATAAGAGTCACTGCAAAACCCCTGGCGGTTCACCTCTCCCCCTGACTCTTGCCTGTCCACTTTTGCCAGCTTTCAGGACTCAGCATCGAGGCTACTGCCTCAACATTCTTTTACATTCTCACTCATTCAAGTATCGCAGACACTCCACATTCGTTCCAATTCTGCCTTTCTCTTTACAGACTCCAATTAACTGTCTGCTCGCTTCATCACAGCAGCCTCCTCGCTTATTCAAACAGCAATATGAAACCCTTAAGTTTCGTTTTCCTTGCTCTAGCCGCGGGTGTGCACGCGAATGGCGACCACGGCGTCAACAGTGGCGATTACACTCATCACCCGCCTCCGCCACCAGAGGGTCCAGGGGTGCCTGGTGGGCCTCCTGACTGCACCAGCAGCGACGGCTCGAAGCATACCAGTTCATGGGGTGGCAAGCCTCCTTCATGGACAACGTCTACGATTTACACCCTGACGACCGCCACTAGCGACTGCGAAGATGGCCCTACAACAACTGTTGTCACCGTTCCTGTCAGCACGACTCTTTATCCCATCACGCAATCGGAGAAGACAAGTACCATAACCAGTACTTCCAGCATCGCCGTCACCTTAACTGAAGTTTCTTCATTCACTTATAGTGAAAGTTACCCTACTCACTCTGGAGGTAGCAGCTATCCCGTCCATTCGTCCACCTATCCAGTCGAGACGGATAGCTACCCCGCCGGAATATCCTCCACCGCTGCTGTCTCTTCGTACACTGTCATTCCTTACCCCGTGCCGAGCACCTCTACCGTGGTTGCCCCAACAACCAAGTCGGCCACCCAAGGTTATCCCACCACAAAGATCACCGTTGGCACTACTAGCACCAAGACGACCTCTAAGACTGCGGCTACGACCACTAGCACCCAGGTACCTGTTACTGCTGCCGCTGCCGCGATCGTTCATGGCGGCGGTGCTGCGATTGCTGCGGCTGCGTTGGTTGTTGCCATGATTTAGTGATCGGTGTTACCAGAGTCCAGACACGCAAGATAAGGCTACCTACAATGTTTAATGTTTGCACCGGGTTGGGTTTTTAAGTAGACGACGGATAGACGTGTCAGTGCTTTTTTCATCTCGCTCGATTTGAAGTTATCATGTGCCGTAGCTATTTAGATGTTTGAGTAAGATCACATTTATATTACATGGTTTATTCTTACACTCGTGTCGGTTCCCTCCACGTTTTACGACCGAAGCGCCTACCAGATCTTTTTGTTCAACACGTGTTCCACTCGGGCGCCCTCTTGGCCAAACGCCGCCATGCCTTTCTGAGCATCGTCTGTCCTGGCATGCAGCGCCATCATCCTCCCTGCCCATCGCAGAGCCTTCTCGTACCCATCCGCCTCGTCTTCGATCTCGCCGTCCTCCGTCCAGCGGTCCGCATCGCCTGTCCACCGGTGCGCCTCCAGCTGGGTCCAATACGCCCACTTGCCCAGCGCCTGCGGCCTACCACCCACTTCGACCAGCTGGCTGACCACCCCCTCGACCCTTTTCTTGAGGGCGTAGTCGTCGCCATCTGGGACGGTCTCCACCACGCCGCCGGGCAGCTCATCGGCCCTGACGCCCTCGGCCAGCGCGGACATGCGATAGCCGAACGCGGGGCCCAGGCGGCGCGACACCGCGGTGGCGGGCAGCGTGCCCGGCAGGCCGATGCGCTGGCCGGGCAGCTGGAAGCGCGTCCCGGCGAACGCGATGGGTAGGTCGCAGGTCAGCGCCAGCTGCGCGCCGGCGGCGGCAGCCCGGCCTCCCTCGACCGCGCAGACAACGGGCGCGGGCGAGCGGCGTATGAGGGTCATGACCTCGGCGAATAGCGTGAAGGTCTCGCTGACCTCGTCATGGCTGAGGCGAGAGAGCTCCTTCAGCTCGTTGCCGGAGCTGAAGCCGGGGATGCTGCGGAGGACGAGGACGGTGGGCAGATCGCGGCGGTGGCGATGCCATTCTGCGGTGTGGAGGAGCCAGGCGTGTTTTGTGTGCGACCAGGGTTGAGTCGAGGCCTTTTCGAGGCTCGATAATATGTTGGGGTTGAATGGTGGTAGGGTATAGATTTTGCCATCTGCTGGCGAGGTGTTGTATTTGTGGAGCTGGGAACGGAGGTTACGGAGAACGGGCAGTGAGAGCGCATTGCGCGATGCCGGGTTATCAACGGTGAGATAGGCGGCTTTTGGTGGTAGTTTGCGCCATATTGCAGACATGTTAACGTAGCACTATCAGTGCTAAGGACTTCCAATGCATTGCGGAGGCCGAATCTGGAATGAGAGATTGATTTTATACGCGGGTAATCGGACGTGGGGATGGTCTTTTGTGGAGAACCTAGCCGGGTGCCTGAGGTTGGACGCCCGTGGCAAAGGCCTACATCTTGAAGTCGAGCGACGAAGCCTTCCTATCTAATCTTCTTTTTATAAGTTTTTGTGAGCGGCTGAGTAACTTAATCCTGCATTCTATCAATTTTAAGTGATTACTAATGATATAATGTTTCTGGCAACCAGCTAATTCTTGCAGAAGTCTTTGGTCAATGCAACATTTGTCCCGGCTGATTTCGTTTCCCTACACCATACTTCAGTCATCAGGAACACTTATATTGATGATCCATATGCCTGTGTCATCCCTTCCTGTTGCCGACCTACACTTTAGGAGTTTACTACCAAATACATACTGCCGATCTGAGTGCCCTTCTGTTGACATGTAAATTCAGGCAATAGCCTGTTGACTAGGGTCTTGATTAGCGACTAAAGCACTAGCTAACAACTCATTTTGCAGGCCTATATGTGACTTCAGCACCCTAAAAATTGGATATTCATCTCCTTTGTGAACAGGTATCAAGTTGAAACTGACATAAGAATCAATACCCTCAGGCTCCAGAGTGGCAAAAGCAAGCGCAGCATTCTTCTGCCGAGTGCTAACCCAAAAGCTCCCTCCCGGTAAGGTGATATTCCTGTCTACTGGCTTCGTCTCTACGGTGACCTTGATGCCGCCCTCGTAGTAATAATCTGCAATTCTAGCGGAAGTGATTTCCAGCGTCTCAACAGTGCTTTGGAAAACATGGTCCATGGTCTGTACCTCAACGCCAGAGTCGCGCAATCGGCCGGCCAGATCATGCCATGCACGCGGTATCAAATATGCTTCCGGTCTTGTTCTTGTCAGATTGGCGATTGTTGGAGACGTGCTCTTCCACCGCGTTGGCACTCTAGTGATCTCACCCGTGTTAGTATCGATAAATGTCACGTTGCGATCCACTGTGTCCGAGTAGTCTGAGATTATGATATCCTCATCACTATTGGTAAAGTCTTGTATAGCAGCCTCCGTAATGTTGTATACCTGGTCCGAGTTTTCGCGTGCTGTTTGTAGAATGCTTGAGACCATGGTCAGAGCTGTAGCAACGCGGCGCTGGAAGTGCTGATCGGCAAGACTTATGCCGCGCACTTCACAGAGGATCGTGACGCACTGGGTCATTGCAAAATTGTTCCGGCCGGCTTTGGCGTCACTTTCAGCTTCTGTGAGCTCAATCTTCTCAGTCACCGAGTTCAGAGATCCGGTAAAGTACGGCTCCCATCTGAACCCATCTGCGTCGAGAGCTTGGCCCACATTCGCAGCGAACAGCTGCTCTGATAAGTTGCGAATGGCTGGATGAATATTCAGATTCTTCCCAGCTGCAACAAGCGCGTCCATACCGTGGCGGTAGTGACCATAGTAGCGAGGTGTGAACTCATGCATGTCCACTGTAATGTGGGGAGAGAACGCACTGAATAGCTTTTTGACATCACGGGATTGCTGGACGTTCAGTTTGGTATGCTCCCTGTTTGGATCAAGGTTTGTAGCTAATGCTCGCTGAAAATAGGCGACTCCATCTGGATTGTACCTTGGCCAGATGACAATGTCCATCTTCTCGAGGAGTGCCAAAGTCCACGTCTGTTCGGCATCTAGCTTGCCGATGAGAGCAAGCAGCGCTTGGTCACCTGCTGGCTCATTGCCATGCACACCTCCTTGCAGCCATACGCGTAGCTTGGAGGAGTCAGATGACTGCAGAGGAGCTTGTGAGGATAACGATAGATATACGTAAGGGAAAGGACGACCTTCTTCGGATGTGAAATCCGCGATGTGATAATTCATCCAGTCATGCTTCTTAGCAACGGTTTGGATGAAGTGATCTATGGTTGGATTAGTAATTACTAATCTCAGAGGACCAAGAACACAAGATCGATCCGCATACCAAGCGTTGTATCGTCCGTCGGGCCGGCTACACCTTCAGCGAAGTCACTTGGCCTGGTTTCTGGATTCTCAAAAGCAGGTGACAACAATTCGATGTTGGTAGCGGGGAATTTTGCTGCAACCAGATCGCTGTCTCTAGAGACAGAGACGTGGTTATTGCCGTAGCGTGCAGCGTTACCGACCGACAGCAGTAGCCAGACAACTGTCGTAACTTTAGCACAGCACATCGCAACTCGAGATAGCGGCGGCGTGTCACAGTGGTTCCCATTCGGAGCATGCTCATGCTAGATTGAAGATGCAGGTGCAATGTCGTCCAGCAAGTGGGGCAGGATTTCCTACGCCCACCCATCGTCGCCATCGGCTGTATAATGCGCAACGACTCCGTTCATCTCTCCATCAGCGACCATATGCTCAATCGTCGTGTTCAGCGCCTTTGATTTATTTATTTGAAAACTGATCTTTTATTACATGCACACTACGGGAGTTTCATCGCCACGATCTCATCAAAGAGCCATTGGCAGTGTCCATCATCCCAATTTCAACATTGAGAGGTGTTGTTAACATGTCCGGCGATTCTGCTACGCCGTGTCATGGACGGGATCGCGGCGGCGGATAAGCTCCTCGATATTACTAATGCCACCTAGGAGCTCACGAACACCATCACGATCGCGCTCATTCCCATTCTGAGCGACCATCTTGAGTATTTTCCCGTCGTCATCCATGACCAACCGGCCTGTGCGGCCGTCTTCCCATTCCAACCTGATCTGCTTAGCTTCCGCATCCACGGCGCTGATATCTGTGATGACAGTACCCGTCTCCTTGATCTTTCCCTTGTGGCTTCCCAGGCCCACCGCTTTCCTCAAATCGCTAATGCTTGTAATGCGATTCTGGTATCTCACGAGCTCTCTCCTCAGCGTTCGTGCAAAATGGGAGAGGTCTTGTTGCTTGGCGTCGCTCTCGCTCTCATCAGACTTCGGTGCAGGTAGAAAGCGAGCTGCAAGACCAGCTAGAGGAATACATGGAGGCAAAGTATGACGATGAACTCGCAAATGACGGGAGTTTGGATACGGCCGATTCAGCATGACATAATAGGGCCTGATGAATCTGGACCTGGACATGACCTCGAATCGCAAACCCAGAACATTGCCTTCGTCAACAGCATGTGGGTCAGGATCACGAATCTTGAGCGTGGTCACCGATGCGCAAGTTCGATAGAGGGACTGCTGGAGATGGGCAGCTTGCTTGTCGGACTGCGCCAGCAGGCTTGACTTGGTCGCCGCATCGATCCCAAAGTCGTCCTCTTCTTGGTGCTGAAGGATGCTGCGGGTTGAGTCTGACGCCAGTATCGTTGTGGTCTGGAGCTTCAACTCATCCTTCAGGGACTCCACTAGTGCAAGATTAGCATCGTGAGCCTCGAGTAAAGGTTGCACGTGTTTCGTACCTTGCGCTCGCAACTTTGCAATCTCATCGTCCAATCTATCGGCCACAGACAGGTCGGGGGAGAGTGAGTCTCTGGGAGTCATGTTCTGGGACAGCAGTAAGCAGTTGTTTTGTATATATATATTTGCTTTTAATCAAGAGATGCGCGGTTCACGAAAAGCGCACTTCCCAAGATGGTGTCTGCAAGTGCCGACCGCGCCAGGGACGCGACTACGAATTACGGAGCACCGTGTTAGCGGAGCAAGGAGCAATGAGCAAGGAGCCGCAGGTGTTCCTGACTAACCGTTAAAACATAGCTATCTTATCAGCCATGGTGGGGTTCCTTCGTGTGATGCAGCACATTTACGGACCCGTATGTAACTTACTCTTGTCTGGCTTAGCGCTTCATCATGGAGACGACAGAAGCGAACCCCCTGAGCGGATCGGATCTTTCAGGGGCCCGGGTCCCCTCTAGTCCGCTGTGCCATGCTAGCGAAAAGTCGGAATGCACCGAATGCACCGCTGTCCTCTTCGATATGGGGCCCGAGGCGATTCAAGCCTGGGCCCTGAGCATGTTCATGATAACTTAGACTGGAGAGAGAGGGGACGCGATTGGAAATCTACCCTCCTCTGTACATATGGGTTGGTCACTGGCAACCTCCCATTCTTCCGATTCAACCAAACACAAACGAGGCTCCTCTTTGCCACCACACTAGCTACCCATATCAAAAGGCCACAGTGGTTCTTTATTCTTCTGTCCACCGGTCATTGGCTTAACTTGTCCCAGTCACAACGCTCACTTGTGAATTTCGGTCCAGCCTCGCCTAAAGGCTACATCTTCCTTAAAATAATCTTCGACAACCCACAGTATACTTGCCCGTTCGAGTGTGGGATTAGCCGTCTTCTCTCGCTGCCTCGCGCAAACAAGCCTTGCAGAACTGTTTTTATCTTCAGTTACACAACTATCTCTCCTAATCCATCAGCCAATCAGTCCCTCCCTCCCCGGTATTGGTGTCTAGGATTAAACTTCCGCGCGGTTACAACATCACGCTAGCGATCCAATCTCGAACCCTCCAGGACCTTGCTCACCTCACCTATGAGTGTCCGAACACGCCGCTCGAAACCGCCGATTCGAGACGAGCTTTCGATCTCGACCTCGACGGGTACCCGTGGAAAAGGTACTCAGAACGGCAACATGGACAACACGGAATATCGACGGAAGACGTCGCAAAAGATCGACTCGAGCCAAGTTACCGGGAACCTCATGGCCCGCGAATCCTTCACCCTGGACGACCCCGTCCCCAAGACACCCACTGTCAACAACCACGGCTTCTTGGAGCTTCCCAAGCAGGACCAGAAGAACTTTGGCCTTCTCGTGCTGCTGTACTTCCTCCAGGGCATCCCCATGGGGCTTGCGCACGGCTCTGTGCCCTTTCTTTTGAAAGAGCACTTGTCCTACGGTGAGATCGGCATATTCAGCTTGGCTGGATACCCGTACTCTCTGAAGCTGCTGTGGAGTCCCATCGTTGATGCTTGGTGGAGTCCAAAGGCTGGCAGGAGAAAGAGCTGGATCCTGCCTATCCAACTCATCTCTGGTCTGGGCATGTTGGTACTCGGTTCCGTGATTGAAGATTGGATGTCTACAACTGGCAAGCCAGGCGGCCCAACCATCTGGAACTTCACCTATTGGTGGTTCTTCTTGGTCTTCACATGCGCAACTCAGGACATCGCCGTCGACGGCTGGGCTCTGACGCTTCTCACGCCCGGAAACGTTTCCTACGCCTCGACAGCCCAGACCGTCGGCCTCACAGCCGGCCAGTTCATGTCGTATACCGTTTTTCTTGCCTTCAACTCCGCAGATTTTGCCAACAAGTACTTCCGATCCGAACCTCTTGAGACTGGTCTGCTGAGCCTGGGAGGCTACCTGACTTTCTGGGGATGGGCTTACATCTTGGTGACCATCGGACTTGCTGTCTTCAAGCGGGAAGAGAAGACCAAGAACGAGGATGGCATCTGGGACGTCTATAAGATCATGTGGGGAGTTCTGAAACTCAAGAACATCCAGACCATTATCATTGTTCACTTGATCGCCAAAATTGGTTTCCAAGCCAACGACGGTGTCACCAACTTGAAATTGCTGGACAAGGGTTTCGGAAAGGAGAATATGGCTCTGACCGTCCTGATCGATTTCCCATTCGAAATCGGTCTTGGTTACTACGTGGGCAAGTGGTCGCAGGAGTACACCCCAATGCGACTCTGGTGTTGGGGTTTCATGGGCAGATTGGTTGCTGCTCTAGTCGCCCAGTTTACTGTAGTAATCTTCCCTGCCGGCGGTGTCACCTCCTGGTATCTGCTTTCGGTCATTTTCAGCCACATCTTCTCTACATTTACCAACACCATCATGTTCGTGGCTGTGTCGGCTTTCCACGCGAGAATAGCTGACCCCGTCATTGGTGGCACTTACATGACACTCCTTGCAACGTAAGTCAAAACTTCTTGTGCGCGACAGGTGCCCAACTGACCAATCAACCCACAGCGTTTCGAACTTGGGCGGCACTTTCCCAAAGTACTTTGTTCTCCGCCTGGTGGACTACTTTACGGAGGCGACATGCCATCCACCCACCACCAAGATCGATACCTCCACACTCAAGTCTCCATTGGTCACAGCGCCGTTCGCTTGCTCTGTGCAAGGTGACAAGGAGCTGTGTGAGAATGGAGGCGGCTCCTGCGAGATGCTCCGGGATGGTTACTACATCGTCAACATTATCTGTGTTATCGTCGGACTTACAACTTTCCTTCTGTATATCCGTCCTAGGGTCCTGCACCTACAGAGCCTGCCGCTAAGAGCTTGGAGACTGGCAGGCAGCAAATAGAGCGCCAACCATCGGCGAGTAACCCAAATCTAAAAGCCATATAGCCAGTGTTACTAGGTGTACCATCAACGCACCATTCCTTATTATACTAAAAACAAGCGGAGCCGAATCTGTGGCGTCTACCCATGATCCAGTCCATACAATACGCACTCACATAGCAAGCACGACTGTGCGGATGGCTCACAAGCAGAGCGCTTTATGATCCCGTTCTAGGTCTGGTGTCATGGCCTGAGCTGGACATGTGTGATGCAACTTTCTTATGAATTCATCGTTAAAACCTTACCAGCAGATGAGAGATCACTCGCGCAAGCACAAAATTGCCATGATCCTGTGCAGGAGCCACAGTGGAGCCACAGATATGAGATCAACATAGAACGTCCAAGGAACATGGATGTAATATAGAATCAAGCTAAATTTAAGCTTAGTTTGAGGTGTGGGCCGGTGCCTTTTATGATCAACTGCATATTTTTCGTGTGGTGCATTGTAGCAAATCCTAATATCGTCCATTTCTGAGGCGGCTTCCAGCCATCCACGCGACGACTGCCAATCCAGGTTGGTGTTCTTGGCGAGTAGTTGCAACAGCTTTATGTGGAATCTTTACATCTCGAGTGTTTCACGTAGCGACAGCAGAGTCCTCTCGACACAGCTGGCACCGCGATAGCTTAGTCGCCAAGGTCACCTTCGATGACAGTGCGCATGCCCGCCAATGTCAGGGATGTCGAGTATGGATCCGTCCTCAGACCTTCAGGGGGCTTTTCTGTACACAAACTTTTTACCCCCGGTCCCTTTTTAAGGTCAGATTAACAACACCTTACGGCCCAGCACGTTCAGGCACGCTGATATATCCCAACGATCCAGGTCATAGAGAGGCCTGGTAGACCAGACACGCTGCAGAATCTCCATAACGATACTGATCGATCCGAATCCCGACAACGGCCCCAGCTTGTCCCAGAGGCGACGAAGGACGGCCTTCTGCTGCTCTGTGGCCAGGCACCCGACGACGCAGATGGGCCAGGCTTGGGTCCGCAGATGCGCGATCGTGGGGGATAGCTCGTCGAGGATGTCGATGCCCTGGGACACCGCGCGGCGTATCTCGCCTTTGAACGGCTGCCAGCCGTGGAGGACCACGTGCAAATACACAAGCGAGGCATGTGCCCACAAGCGCGTGACGAGGGAGCCCAGGGGAGCGGGCCGCGCGGTTACGGTATCCAGAGCCATGACGCCGCCGCACTCTTCTGGAGACTGGACGAGGCGGGCGAGCCCATCCTGCAGCCTGGCTTGGATGCCCGCTCCGCGGCGATGGAGCGCTTCGGCATATGGGGCGCCGCTGGCCCTCCTCTGCTCCTTCTTCCACGCGTCGAGGGCGGCAGTTTCACCGAGAAGCTGCATGGCCCAGTTCTGGCAGCCGTTGATGTCTGACAATTGTAAAGTGCTCGTGTCCGCGTTGCTTCTGTCGTCGTGATGCAGCAGGTTCCTGTAGTGGTTGATCAATACAGGTGGCTGTTCCAGAGAAGTGCTAGCGAGGATGTCGCAGACCACAAGATTTGCCGCTGAGAATCGGAAAGATGCCCGTGGAGCACTCCACGTCTGATGTTCAGTCGAATGTGGTGGTTGGGAAAGTTGTCCCAGGACCATTAGCCAGGTGGAAACTTCGAATCTAGCAGGTTGTCGGAGAATGTCGTCGAGAACACCGAGCACCGCGCGAAGATGGACTTGCCACACATCCTCCTTGGCCAGGACTCTCTCTATGTCAATTAGACGGGTTATGCTGTTGATCGCTGAAGTGCTTCGGCGGAGATTGTCGTGGGCACCACGTCGCTTCAAATCCTCCAGTTCATCTTGGAGGTGCTCGACAGCCATGCTTCTTTGGCTCTGTGTGTTTTCCAATGAATATAACTGAAAGCAGGGCATCATGATCTCCGGCCGACTGGGGATCACGGATAAGAGATGTGATGTTAGAGCGTTTGTGTGAAGACGGAAGGCGTCGCTTCGGACTATTTCTGCCAGAAGCCATGCCCGACCCCCTGCAGATATTGGTGGTTGGTAGAATGGGAACAGCAGTGGGACGACATAGTCCAGATAGGCAATGACCAGACCAACATCGGAGTCCGTCGTTTTCGGCAGGGGCAACAGGGTACTTGGTTCAGGGGGGATAAGTGATGGTTCGGAAGCTGGGATACTGCATTGCTGGCTAGACGTTCGGGGCCGCTCATTTGGACCTAATGGGTTGTTTGGAGGTGGAGAGCTGCCACATATCGAGTTGACGGGCCCGGATGCGCAGTGCAAGTCGGCCCCAATACGTTGCAAAGCTTTCCGACCACGCCGTTGATGCGCCTTGGTCTTAACTTCGGCCTTGAGTTGCTCGACCATGGCCTCTTGCCTGCTGCCGTCGTCCATCCATTCTGGTGGGGCTTCGCTATAGTAGCACGTTATCTCTAGATCTGCGCATGTTCGGCAGGTTGGCTGGGCCTCGTCACACTTCTTGTGTCGGAGCCGACACGTCCAACAATTCCTCAAGTTTATTCTCGGCATCTAAGCGATCTTTCTAAAGATTGCCCTAATGTCTCGTTTCCATCAGGTTCTGGAAAATGTTCTGCGCGCATGCACGCACGCAATGCCGTGTTTGCAGGCCTGCCGCAATATTGTCTTGATTGATGAATATCTTATGGAGTGTTCATGCGAATGATGGCAACATACGTACATTATATCGAAACGTGATGTTTCGGCCCTGATTGGCACTATAAGATTGCTATGTAAGCACGTCTAAACGGGGCGTGCTACATCCCGCGCGGGACCGCTTCCCGGCGGACTTGGTGTAATTATAGTCGGATTGAACAAAAGATTGGCAACCCCCTGTCAGTCACAGAGATGACTTTTGATAGAAGTTAATAAATCATTTAATGGAAACTTATACCAATGCGACACACGGTTACAATCGCTTCAACAATTTACAACCGACACACTTGCTAAATAATGATGTAAGGCAGGTCTCCCTAACTGGTTTAGTAGGTTAGATGACTTACCACGAATCTGAACAACCGGGCTAAGCCAAATATTCCATACCACGACAGGAACTCCTTGAATCTGGTCTACGTTATTCCATCGCATCCATTGTTATATTTGTAGTCATATTGGGCGACGAAAGTCCTCACACGCTGGGATGCAGAGGCTATAGAGGGTAACAGCCAAGGCGTGGATAGGTAGTTGCCAGCTATAAATGGTCGTGCATAACACATACAGCCTAGAAAAGCTCCGGACGGGGGAGATTCCGAATACGGTTTTTGGAATGGTAAAATCGTATGCTGGATTAATAGTTATCCTGGCATTTCAAGTCTGTTTCGTGCGGTCTTTACTGTGGTCAATTGTGAACGTAGTTTGTGTTGTAACGGAGGCCTAGCTGACCGATCGAGTCGAAACAGCTTCCTCTTCTTCCAAAGTACTATATCCATGATCATTCGCATCCACTAAGCCCAAACCGCGTGTGCTTTCCGTGTCGTACCTGCTCTTCCGCACATTGCTATGACTTGTTTGTAAAGAGAAACCCTGCTGGTGGGTCGGAGGATCAGTGCGCATGTTGCCTGAATGGCTCGACGGAGTGAAAACCCGCGGCATTAGTGTTGATAGTACAGGACGATAAGTAGGTAGGCAGGCAGCGATTGCACCAATACTCAATTCGAGAAAGGACCACATTGCCGTATTTGCGTTGTCCCATGTCGAGTCGGTCGAGTGTGCTGTGGCGGTGAGTGTAGTGATGCGGTAGGCGGAGATTATACAAGGACTGCCGGCAAATAGTGAGCAGGTGTCACAATTGATCAAAATTGAAGGGATGAAAGCTTGCAAAATAACTCTTACCAGAGAGCCAAGCCAAAGATGAATGCCAACAGTATCTTCGTGCGTGTCGGCATCCGCAACGTCAGGAGCGGGGGTATAGGTATGATGAAGCAGGTTATATCTGTCACCATGTTTATAACCGAGACAGCCATCCATAGTGCTAAGATATTCAGGCAGGTTCCTGGGGTATCATGATTCCAGAAGCGTTGGATAGGTACACAAATGAAGGGAAGCAACAGGCACATCAACACGGTCCAACACGACAAGCCGATCGTTATGTAAAAGTAAAATCGATAAAAACGGGTATCCTGGAATATTCGACAATACTGTAACATGATGGATATTTTGACAAGATAAATTGCAAAACTATACAGGATGGTTGAAGCGAAGAAGGCCTGGGGGTCACGTTGTTAGTCCCTAATGGCGACCATTGACCAAAAATGGATCGAACAAACCTTCATGTACGGCACATAATCTTCATCTGGAACCTCTGAAAGGTGTTTTCCCATGCCGAAATGGTATTCTGTACTTGAGTCAGGGTCGGGCTCATTTGTAGGAAATTGCACTCATACCAATACCCATCGCGACTGCTGTCGTAAGGAGGAAGAACTAAATTATAACATGAATTAGTAATATGTATTTTTCCCCCAAGCGATATTCCGAAGCTCAAGCTTACCTGACCCATAACCATGACTGTATCGTCTTTGCCAAAAGAGTGCAGAAGTATGTGGCGCGAGTATACCCTCACAAGCACCGCTAGAGTGGAAAGCACGGTGCCCACTATCAAGACTACCAACACTGCTGATGACCTTGATTGATCAGTGTTGGTCGGCGCTTGAGATGCTGAATCCATTGCGATAATACGCGTTGACTAAACAAAGATCGTCAGAGCCTAAGGATCATTGAGCCCGGCAAGTATTTGGCACACTTCTCATGCCGTCGAATAATCGAAGATATCGCGACGCGGGATGCGCTCTTTAATTTATTACTTTAGAACTTGAAGCATTTTGAACAACTGAAGTGACAGTCTCGTAAAAGAGGTGACTGGCAATCAGAGAGGTTATGTGTAGTTGTGCATCAGGTCGAAAGCCTGTGTAGGGTTTAGTCAGTTACCTGCAGATGGGAAAGCCTACGTGGGGATGAGATTAACACCCTAGCAGCCATATCTTTTGAGGTGTGATCAGCCATTAGTACACACCATGCCTGTAACTGAGTTTCGTCCGCATCCCTGTTGACTACGTTGATTACCTGATTCTTTGGTTCCGTCTTCATGATATGAACGTCTCTCACTCAGCCTAGCACGATTAGCGTCAACACAAGCGCCTGGCCTTTGGGTTTGTCTCATACACCCAGGCTAACCTGGAAAGGTTTCCAGCTCCGATACGGATCGACATCCTGGGTTACAGTCGTGCATTGATGCCACTTTTTATCTTATAAGTGCTGCGATCTGTCATGCGGAATCTTATACAAGGAGACATATATGGCATGAGTGGAGTGTTCTTCTATAAGTCTCGACACTTCTCCGAAGATTTGCTTTTCCCGGTTACACTACATGGGTTCCGGCCGGCAATTGTAACAGGCCTTTATGGCCTAAAAGATGAAAGGTGGAATCTTTCGTAAGTCGTTATTTAGGCCTGTCAAATCGACAGCAACGCTAAAGAAAACATATGGGCCAAGTAGCTCAAAAGATCGGACGCGAGGCACCATCTGAGCTGCCCGGGCCAGCACTTTTACCCATCATTCAAGGCTTTGAGTTCGCCAACCTACAGACGAACCTTTCGGCCCGGCGCTGCTAGAACAAAACCTATTCACACCCACACGCCTGCTTGCCGCCACGAGACCCCTACTCAGGGATAAACGGTGCTCGTCCCTCCCTTTCCATCAACAATCAAGCAAGCAAAATGCATACGTTCGTTCTTCTCTCTCTTACTTTCCATTTCCCCCCTGAACTATTGAATAACGAGTCCAGGGATCGAGAAACCTGCTTTCAGCTCACTGGCCTAGGAAAACCGCTGGCTTTGTGGAGATTGGATTGTGCCTAGGTTACTGACTCGCGGCCAAAGCGCAGGCAAAACTGCTGACGAGCTCTCCATCTACATTACGACTCCAGCTGCCAAGTTGTGAATATGGAACCTTGCACACCCTTAACGCGATAAACCACCTAATTGTCATGACTGGCTATAGTCATTAACAGAGCTCAATGTCTCACACAGGATAGTATGTCCAGTATTCCGCTGCGCCAGTAATTAGGGGCAACAGACTATGGGACGGCGCGAACTGTTGCGGCAGCTGAGTAAGGAAGCCCCTTGACGAACGTTGATAAAAAGTAGTCCCCGGTATTTTAGTGTGTGCTAGACCTCGACGCCTTTCTCACTACGATTCAGCCTTTCTGACTACGATCAGCCTTTCTCACTACGATCACCTCCTATGATCCATAGTTTCCCCCACATTTTAAACGACGTGACAGCTTCCAGCCACAAATCTAGGAGGTCGTGCCAATATGTTCGACAATTGTCAACCATGGGGGTTAGAGACAACCACCCCCAGATTTCGATTGGATCCCCTCGTTTCTGTCTCGGTGGCCTCGTCCTGACCAAATCTCCGTTGCGGCACAGCAGTGCCTCGCGAAGCCGCTGGAGCTAACTAAAAGTACTTCCCCGGATCCCGGGCCCATGGCTATTGCTTCTAGTGACGCGGCAATTCCCATTGGGGCGGAACTGCTGCTACTCTTCATACATGGTGATGCCCGGATGACTCCCCGTCCTTAGTGTGAGACTATGATTATTAACAACTTTCAGCCCAAGTTCGAAATATGAACCTGTGAGATAAGGGTTTGATGGATTGATTTAACACTACCTGCCACTCCATAATCCTTGATAAAGATGTCGGCGATCTAGAGAGTTCATGGCTGAGACTCGCTTATGGCTGAGACTCGTCCATGGTCGAGACTTATTCATGAACGGTATACTTTTGGGTCTGCTGGTCAACGAAAAGGTCAGGTGCGATTTGCTAAGACTCGATATGAATCGGTTGTGCTGATGGCCTTGTTACAATCTTCATGACCTTTTCGTGGTAGACTCTCAATTCGATCTGCTCAAAGGTGCATATAAAGGTGGCCTTGAGACGAAGTTTTCTTGGCGTGGTTCGATATTTCTGCTAGTGTGTAGCCTGCTGATCTCGCTGGATCGCAAACGGCGCTGAATCTTCTAGTCATGATATGGGGGATCCCGTCCTTGCTATAGAGCCATCTGGGTTCTTTGCCTATCCACGAATCTATCAGTAACATGATTGCCAATGCAACAGGGCGGATTGAGCAGTAGACCGTCCGTTAATCAAGAGGAATTTCTGGTTATCCATAGCTCTATATCATCGGCAGCATGTAAATAACATCGTGTGATTCCATATAGCACGACAGCATGCCTTCTATGAGATACCTTGAATCCCTGTTTGATTCCAAGTTGGTAGTTGACCACTCACAAAGTTTGGCCCATCGCCCTTGTAGCCTTCTAATTAGATATATCATAATAGCCTTCGCCACGAATACAGACTCAGCCCAAGCGCCTGTGGCGACGGATATGCTCGGACTACGTCTGTTGCCAATAAGCACAATATGGAACAGTATTATTATTCAATCCATGATAGACATACTCTATGAATAGTTTTGGGCCAGCTCTCTGAAAGGCCATCATATGCGTTTGCTTTACCAACGAAATCAATTGTTGCAAATCCAGCAACGACCAGCTCTCGACCGAATCATACTGGTGTCCAGACTTCTGTTTGGTAATTCAATGGTGGATCGCTTCGAGTTTGATGGCGTATTGAGTTCCTAACAAAATGACCTACTCTGCTCACTTATTAAATCGTCATTATCGCTAGTAAGCTGGTATTTCTTTTCTTTTTTTTGCTTGCAGATTCTCTGCCGGCTTGTTTGCCCCAAAAGATTCCCGTCGGACACCTCCCTGGTGTGACGTGCTGCACAACTTGGCGGTACTAACCATGGGGATATTCTAAAGCACACGTGCACACGCTTCGAAAAGGCCCGGATAAAGCACCATCCAACCGCCTTGCGTACGAAAACGTGGGTTTACTTGCAAGTTGAAGCGAATGCGGCAGTCTGCCCGCGAGGGAGGACGCATATCTAGAACCGAGCTTGCTGAACTGAGCATGTTTCTAAAAAGGTTGGGCTCAAAATATGCAGATAATTAAATGTGTGCTGGATCGCAGTGATCGGCAAATTGTTTACGATGAGCCAATCGTGGAGCCGACTTATGATTGTTATAAGCGAGTCTACTATGGGTCGTTTATTTTATTTTATTTTTAATTTCTTTTATCATTTGGCAGCACGGAATAGACTATCACATGTCCTGTGCTAGGTGTAAACACGTTGGTCAGGTATTTTGGAGTCACGTCTCCATTGATCAGTGATGAACTTTTCCGATACAATCACCAAAGGGTCAGACTGGCATTTAATGGCGATGAAAATTGCAGGTGCCGACCGCGACAGTATGGAATAATTTCAGTCCTTTGTTATGGTTGCTAGTGTATAATAGGGTCTAACCAGAGTCAGGTAGTTGACTCGTTGAATTGTATAGTCAAGAGGCTAACGTGGTCATACAGAACCAGGTAGCTGTTCCCATCTGAAATCTAGGTTGCACAATGGTGTGACCCTTTTTTCTGAAGCAAGTACCTGGTTTAACAAGGAAAGAGCCTATGTAAGGCGTGAGCGGGAGCAAACTACGAAACTAATTCTCGCAGCTTCCGCACCCAAAGATTTGGAACCATTATTCGATACCCCGAAAACCGGTCTTGGTTGTTTCATATTTCTGAAGCCTGAGTTAGCCTCATTTTCTACCATCATCATTAAATTTGCGGTATGTATTGGTGTTCAAACAAAAGCCAAATCGTTCTCTTCTAGAACTTGATCGCAAGGAATCAGAGGCTGCCGCATCGGTGGCCAGTCTCATGATCGAGTTATATTGCCGCTTTTTAAAATCAATTCCTTCACTGAAACGGTTTTGGCCCCGGTCGATAATCTTCCATCCTACTGGTAAGTTCACGCGACGCTGAGGCGAGGGATGAGCGTGTGCTTAGGATTCTGATTTCAGGCACAGCAAATAGCAAACACGATGCAGGACTGAAGGGGCACATGGAAGCTTGCTAGGGTTGACTCTCTCCGATAAAACTACTAGAGTTTGGACTCCAGAAAGATAAGATCGTCGAAGCTACTACCTTTGAACGGCTTTTCAGTACATTACTCGAAGACTTCTATGCTCGAAAGGCCTCGTGGCGGAAGGGGAGCTTTCGAACAAGATGGATGACCAGGACGACTTTGGGAAGCTGGCACGTGACAGCGATACACTTTCTCCCTTACCAAATTCTTATCGGACTGGACTCATTGCTGTTGGAACCGCTGCCTTGATTTCCTTCATCTCAACCACTACGCTCTTTCTTTTTCTATCATACAAGCTCGTGGCCGGTAATACTGCGAGATGGCGCCAACCGACTCGAGCACATGCTACAATGAACGACCTCAACAACCTGGATCTTCCAGTTCGGCACTATCCTCTCCGCAGTTCATCATCTCAGCAACTTGAAGCAGACTCGAAGCAGAGACCGCCAACACTGCTATCATCCAAAGAGAAGGCTTGCAATCCTTTTCCGCTTTTCATTTACCACTTACTCTTCGCAGAAATGCAAACAGCCCTCGGGTACACACTCAATCTTGAGTGGGTAATGCGTGATGGGATATATGTTGGCACTACCACCTGCTGGGCCCAAGGCTGGCTCAACTCTATTGGAGTTTTGTCCAGCAGTGTTTTTCTAATTTCCATTTCTGTCAACACTTACTTGTCTGTCGTGCGAGGCTGGCGGCCACCTCAGTGTCTCACGCATATCTGGATCGCGCTCTGTTGGGTACTGGTACTCTGCCTGACGTTTGCTGGGATCATACGAACCAACAACGGTGCGGCCGTAGGAGGTTGGTTTGTTAGAGCCAATACATGGGTGAGACACGAACTCCCATCTTCGTCAAGAGTATAAACTGCTAACAATAAAGTAGTGCTGGGTCAATGCCACGTATTCGTCGGCGCGCCTGTGGAGCGAATGGGCCTGGATCCTGTGCTCGATTCCTCTCACGATCCTTCTCTATAGTGCCGTCTTCTGGTCTCTTTACAGCGAGAACAGATCCTCCCGACATCTTCCCGGAAGGCTCGCATCTCACGGAGGAAACATGCCTTCGGGCCACCATCCCGCTTTTCTAGTGTACCCGTTCATATATATACTGTGTACGAGTCCCTTGGCAATAGCTCGCCTCATCACTATCAGTGGAGGTAGCCCAAGCGCGACATACTACTACATCGCGGGCCTGACGCTAGCCACCAACGGCTTCTGGAACACCATCCTCTGGTCGACCACGATAATCTACTCCACCCCGGAAGACATGCGCAACACGGGCCTCGACGATTTCGCCTTCATCCGGACGCCCACGTCCCGCCGGTACGGTAACATGGTATGGATCAATGGGCCGGGCACCCAGCGCAGCCATGCCGCCGCGGCAGGCGACGGCTCGTGGTGGTGGTGGAAAACGGGCGGGGCGACGCGCAGGAAGCGCGCCGTGTCCCGCAACACCAGCCAGGAATCTCTGAGGGGAGGAGCGGGAGGAGGCGGCGGTGAGACCGTCCCGGACAACTGCATCCACCTGGACGTCATCACCACGGTGGTCGTCGAGGAGAACGTCGACACGGTGGCGGACACGATCCACTCGGCCAACACCAGCACCTCGGGGGAGAAGCTGGACCAGCAGCACGTGTCTGGGAGTTTGGTCATGAGAAAATGAAGACACGTGCGAGAAAAATGCATCGAGGCCTTGCTCCCATCATGCGGTCGGTCTTATGGAAATGACAGTCATGTGCGGTCTTGGCGAAGCCCAGCGTTTATGGGGTTTGGAGTACCGCAGAATGTTTAAATGGGGGATAACGTTTTCAAAAAAGGGACTGTTAAATTCAACTGCCGAGGGTTTTGTTAACTTTGTAATTTTACCAGACAATGAGCAGAAGAGACGAGCCAGCCGGTGTATCTATCACGCACCTGCGCAATATTACACGTACACCATGAACAAAACCTCTAGCTCGAAGCATCTGGTGGTGTCTATAATCTGGCCGTTGTCCTAGTCCCCCCCTTGAACCCGGTCTCACCCCTCTAGAACTTGATCCAAGGGCTCCAGCCCACGCTCACGACCTTGGCGATCTGAAAGCTGATCAGACTGAGTACCTCCGTGAGTCCCGTAAACACGATCAGGCCCCAGTACTCCCCACCACACGCCGTGACGACACTGCCACCAATCGGAATGCCGATAAGACACGCAAAGCTCACGACCGTGTAGCACGTCGCGTAGTATCTTCCATAGTTTTGCGTGTGGCACAACTTCCCCACGCAAACCGGCGTGATGGAGATGTTGCTTCCCGTGCCGAATCCGAACAAGACGGCAAAGATGACGATGCCGGGCAGCGTGTGTCCCGCGGGCAGCCATACCCCGAAACAGGCGACGATGGTGACGAAGACGGAGAGCATGTTCGAGTTGAAGGGCCCGATGACATCCGCCCAGTAGCCCGGGAGGAGGCGGCCGAAGACGGAGGCGGCGTTGAGGATGGTGAGGATGTAGAAGCTGAAGTCGTCGCCGAGGCCGACGTGCAGGGCGTAGGAGGAGATGTAGGCGATGGGGATGAAGAGGCCGAACTCGAGCAGGAAGACGCCGAGCGTGGTGAAGAGGAAGGCCTTGTCCCTGAAGATGCGGAAGTCCGGGTGCGGCGAGGCATTACGGGCGGCCGGCAGGCGCTTGTGCACGAGCAGGCTGCAGGTGGTGGCCAGGACGAGGCACACGAACCCGAGGATGCGCAGGGCCCACGGCCAGCCGACCGTCACGAAGAGCCGCTGCAGGATGAGTGGGAACACGACGCCGCCGACGCCGCCGCCGGTGCTGGCTATGCCGGTTGCTAGACCACGTCTCGCCTTGAAGAAATGGCCGACGGCAGTGAAGCAGGGCGTAAACAGTAGGGAGGTACACAGGCCGTTGAGCAAGGAAAATGCCAGGATGAAGTGCCAGTACTCTATCGGGGCACATTAGTGCCGCAAAGTCATTCACAATGGATAAAGACGTGGACTCACTAGTGCAAACACTCAAAATCATTAAGCTCGCGACGATACCGAGAGTGCCAGGAAGCAAGAGCCACCTAGGACCATACTTGTCGAATAGTGGGCCGATATACACACCACAGCCGAAAGCTAAGAAAGTATAGATGGAGTAAATCCAGCCTATCGTACCCTCATTGTAGGTTGAAAGCTGGTTGGCAGCATTGTATGTCTGAAAAACCGCAATAGAGTTCATCAGCCCCAGAGATGCAACCAATCCACAGAAGCACCCGAACACCACCAACCATGCTTCCAGACCGCCCTCGGGATACGTCTCATCCTGTAGTAGAGTTTGCGGATCAGACGTGGAATCTGACGTATTGCCGGGGATCTGATCCGGCTCCTTTTCACCTCCAACAACAAAGAGTTGAGGATCAGGATTGTTGTTCAGACTGAGTCCTCTCTCTAAATCAGAACGATCTTGGGGTAGCTTAATAGCTGCTCTTGCCCGCGGCTCAGGAGCCGCATGTTGTGTTGTATCCATAATACTCGCGACAGAGCTTCTGAAGAATTAAATGTATACCCAACCGGAATCGTCACTGTGCACCGATAACAGGAAGTGAGCCACTATAATATTCAATTCGCAACATTCTACCCATATCGCATATGACCGAATCATGGCGAAAGTTTTTGAATGAGCCACCGGGATTAGCACCAACGGTATCCGCCCGGGGTCGGAGCGGGTTAGTGGTATATGTACGCCTTTCGCACCCCACTGAACAGGCGATGATCCACCCGAGGCTCGTCGCGGTGATGGCGAGAGCGGGGGAATAATAACCTCTTTGCTCCAATAGGGGAACACATTACGTACATTAATAGTGCTAACTGATTTCTGCCTGATGCAATGCTGCATGGTAGCGGCGAACACGCTGCAAAGGAATTAAGCTGCGAGAAGATCCCCAAGAATGAGGTAATATTGAATATTACTTTCGCGAGGCCTTCTCGTCGGTGAGAGCAATTGTGCAAAAGACTGCTTCCCCATGCCAGCGGAACCACTTTCCCTTTACCAGCCATCGAAACAACATCCTGTTATTGTATGTGAGGAGGAGGTTAGCTGCCCTGGTGACGATGCTGAGCTCGCGACCTGGTGGAAGCCCTTAGATTGTCTTGTGCAGGTTAACATTTTGGGGCCCTGGGTATCATGTCGTATTAAAGCTGCATAGTATAGTACTAGCTGCCCGGTCTTGGATTGGGTAATACATGGCTGCTGAAGGTGTTGGGCGTGCGGTTAAGCTTCATGCTCGTCATCGACCTCCTCCATCGTAACAGTTTTGGGTCCCGATGTAGTTGCAGAACTGCCTGTACCAAGATAACCTTCTCTCTCAAGGCGGTCGGCCTCCTCTGGCTCCATGAGGCCGCCTTGTCCTTTGCTCTTGTCCAGTTTCCTCCGCACAACAGTCGGCATGAACGCACTGACAGCTTCCTTCTTGAGGTCGCGGATGACGGGTTTGGCTTCGTAAACGGTTTGTGCAGCCACTGGAAGTGCTGGGGCGGATGGTTCCCTGTCTCCTTTTGGCGTTGGCCGTCCTCTGCTGTCGCCCAAGGGTGTCTCGTTGGGATTGGTTCGCTTAGCTCTCCTCTTCGCGTACCACTCGTCCAGGATGGCTTTCGGGATGGGCGGAGGCGTATCTCGTGGCATGGGTATGCTCTTAACGTCCTGGGGCACATCATCATCGTCACTGGACACGTCGTCCTGGTCACGCCTTCTCTTGCCCAAGACGCCTTGACCGGCAGGCCTTGGAGCTCCTCGTCCGAAGGTTGGTGCTTGGTCGCCCAGAGCTTCGCGTGCCTTTTGCACCAACTTCAGGTCTCGCTCGAGGCTCTGCAGGGTGGATTCTTCATGGCTTGTGAGCTTGCCACCGCCAGTCGCGATAGCCTTTAGGTCATCGATCTGTTTTTGTATGCGCTCGGGGTTTCGCTTGGCGAACTTCTCATTCTGGCGGGCAGCTTGTTGCGCCTTTCCTGTGGAAGAAAAGGAAAAACAACATTAGCGTTTTGAAGTCGCGAGATGTGCTGGTGCGACGGTTGGCCTACCTTTCTTGATCTCCTTGGCCTTGTCGGCTTTCCGCTGAGCCTGTACAGGGTTGTAGTTGCGCTCTTTCGGCATGTTGAGTGGTGAGCTGGCGAGGTGAAGGGCGAGAAGAAGCAGGAAATGACGTCGCGTGGGAAAGTTGAAGCTCTCGCGATAAGGCGCAAAGAAAGATAACGGTGGGTCTGGTCTGACTTGCAGCGCGGCGGGGCTGATGTTGTGCAGCAACCACTTCAGCTACTAAAGTTACAAAGGTACAGTACTCCGTCAGGTAAGTTACGGATCCGTAGGTGCATTAAGTAAACAACAAAGCGTCGACCCCCCCCCCCCCCCCCTGCGCCGTTGGGAAATGTCCCTGTTTTGATATCCTACGCACTAACTTGCCCATGTGCCACAAGCATCGTCGTATGATGGTACAGAGAGTAGTTTCCAATTGCTTGCAACACTACCGGCCACCAGTATGTTGATCAAACACCCTAGATTGGCCGTGAGAGACCATGAGGTTCGAGGCAACGAACGCAACCAGTCGGAGAGTGGAGGGGACAGTCTTTTGTCCGGTCGAACAGCACTAGTAAGTAGTCTCACTCCCTCAAGCGGCACACACAAAGGTTTGTCTTATGGGATGCTACATGATCACGGGGCAATTACGGCAAGTGTTCAGGGATGAATGAGCTTGAATACCTGTTGGGGAACTTTCCACGGCCGACCTGTGGCATAGGCATATATGTACGATGCATAGCTAGATAGATAGAGAAATAGACGATCTACCTGTAATGGATACCCGCGCTTTTGTTGTGGTAAAGGCTTCCCAGGTTGTTTGGCTGCGCATACATACGTAACCTAACCTTAGTGCACTTGATTCAGTCGTAGTTGGTCTAGTCTAATGTGGAATTCCAGCTGAACAGGAATGTTTAAACACGGGGCTGTTCATGTAACTTACATAAGTCAACTAGGCTACATAGTAGTCTAACCTTGGCGGGAAACGTTCCTTGCGTGCTCCCGCGCTAGAGGGACCTACTGTAGGGCGCCCAAGGTGCCTAAGGGCCCTGAGGGGCCTGAGGGGGGCTCTCGAGATCCACAAGCAATCTGGGTAATCTTGGATTGGATCTGGATTCTGCATTGTGGTCTTGCGGCTTGGACTGATTGCCGCTGCCGCTGCCGGGGCGACAATGTTGACTTTGTGACGTTGGGCAGGTATTAACCCCACCATTGCCGACACGTACCATTCAAATCGTCTTTAAAGCAAGCATCGTTTCCAAACCAGAGATCGGCGAATTGGACCCTTTTCTTCAGCTGCAGGTCGTTGATCCCGCTTCTCTCCTGCCACAGCACTTTCTCCCCAAAGAGCATTGCTGCTGATCCAGTCGTCCGCCTGCCTGAGGTACATCAGCACCGCAGCACTACCGTTCATCCTGAGCGGCGCAAACAAGGCCCGCGGTAGACCTAAGCAGTCCTCCCAATTGCGGCCAGCCCACAGTCCGTATCCCTCTCCCTCCATCCTCAGCGCACACCATGGCCAGTTTCATCGCCAACATGTTCCCCGGCACCGCCGCCAAGGAGTCCAAGTCGTCCCTGGCTGAACGACCTGGCACTCCAAACCGGAACAGCTTCCTGGAGCCGGCCAACACCCCACAAGGCAGCCCCAGCAAGAGGACTGTTCCTCCGGGCGCCAACGACCTCCCAGTCGCCTTCGAGAATGCAATGAAACTCGGCCCCAACCATGGAAATGAGAGCCCCTTGAGATTGAGACCACAGACGGGGAATGGCCCCTCTCCCTTGTCGCCAGTCCGGAGTAATCTCCAGCCTGCTGACGATGATTACTTCGGCCCCCCTAGCGACGCGAGTGTCGTGCACAAGAACAATTTTGGCCCCCCTGGCAGTCCCCTGAAGCAGCACGGCCAGGAGAACACGCCGCCTTCGCGCATCCCCGTAATCGACTCGGCCGGCTCGCCATACGGCCACAACCAAGCTGCCATCTCTAGACAGTCGTTGTACCAGCTCCGCGAGCACAAGGCTCCTCCCGCAACCAACAAGAGATTCAACACTACCAGGGGCCTCACGCCCGAGGAGCTGGAGATTCTCAAGAAGACTAGTGTTCGCCGCATGGTCAATGTTACCCAGCTCTACTTTCTCGACTACTACTTCGACCAGATCACCTACGTCGCCTCCCGACAAAACCGTCTCAATGCCTTCAGAGAGGAGAACCCCTCGCCCGAGAACGACGATGGAACTTACAAGGACTTGTGGAAGAAGTACTGTGGGCGGGAGCGTGCCAATCTGCGGAAACGACGCGTCCGCCTCCGACACGGCGACTTCCAGATCCTCACACAGATCGGCCAGGGAGGCTACGGCCAGGTCTACCTTGCTCAGAAGAAGGACACCAGAGAGGTCTGCGCATTGAAGGTCATGAGCAAGAGGCTGCTTTTCAAGCTCGACGAGGTACGCCACGTCCTCACGGAACGAGACATCCTGACCACGGCCAAGAGTGACTGGCTGGTTCGTCTGCTGTACTCCTTCCAAGATGACAAGAGTATCTATCTTGCCATGGAATACGTACCAGGCGGGGATTTCCGAACCCTGTTGAACAACACCGGTGTTCTTTCCAACCGTCATGCTCGTTTCTACATTGCCGAGATGTTCTGCAGTGTCGATGCCCTTCACCAGCTCGGTTACATCCACAGAGATCTCAAGCCTGAGAATTTCTTGGTCGACTCCAGTGGCCACATCAAGCTGACTGATTTTGGTCTCGCGGCTGGTATGCTGGCACCGGCAAGAGTGGAGTCCATGCGAGTCAAGCTTGAAAAAGCATCTTCGACCAGCGTTCCCTTCGGTAAACCCATGGACCAAAGGTCCATAGCTGAGCGCCGTGACGGGTACCGAACCATGCGAGAGAAGGATGTGAATTACGCCAAATCCATAGTTGGATCGCCTGATTACATGGCCCCTGAAGTCTTGCGAGGTGAGGAGTACGACTTTACCGTCGATTACTGGAGTCTTGGTTGCATGCTGTTCGAGGCCCTGACTGGCTTCCCCCCCTTCGCTGGCGCCACCGCAGATGAGACTTGGAGGAATTTGAAGCATTGGAAGGATGTGCTCAAGCGCCCAGTGTGGGAGGATCCTAACTATTTTCTGAGCAACAGGACCTGGTCTTTCATCACAACGTAAGTTCACGGCACGCCCCGTCTACTTGATATACCCTGGCCTAACATCCCACAGCTGCATCAACTCGCGCTCCAAACGGTTTTCAAATATCAAGGAGATTTTCGAGCACCAATACTTCGGCGAAGTGGAGTGGGATACTCTCAGACAAACGAAGGCGCCTTTCGTTCCCGAGCTGGACTCGGAAATGGATGCTGGCTACTTTGACGACTTCACCAACGAAGCTGATATGGCCAAGTACAAGGAGGTCCATGAGAAACAACAGGCCCTCGAGGACATGGCTGATCGCGACGATGACATGGGCAAGTCCCTGTTTGTCGGCTTCACCTTCCGCCACCGCAAACCTGCCACGGAGGATGGAAGTCCTCGAAAGCCCATCCCTAAAGAGGACGATTTCGGCACGATGCTGTAGAGCAGACGGCCGCTACGTGTTGTGCAAGCGCGATGCATTGGGAAGTGGGATTTGTAGAGCTTGGCGTTCTGTGAGGGATTGTTGGCAAACTTTATACACACGGAGGAGTAGGGATTGCAGCGACGGCACACGGGACACAGTAAGGTGTTGAGGGGTTCCCCATTTACAGAGCTCCTCGGTTTGCATATTGATTTGGAGTTTGAGGAGGGATGACACGATGGATACACCACAGAGCAGCACGCGAGCGTGCTCTATTGACATACGCTTTTGGACGTGGAACAGGGTAATGACTGGCATTATTCATAGATGCCGAGAATGGATGGGAGGGTTTTAAGACGAAAGACGTGTAAAATATTGTTGTTCTCGTGAACTTGTGTTTGCACCACAGTCGTTTGAGTGAACCTGTGGGTATACGTCGTAGCCAAAAATGAATTCAGAATAAAAAATAAACAAAAACAAGAGGCATTCATCTGGTAAAGTCGAGACACAAGGGCCGACCACTTCTTATTCTGCTGATGTCGATGCAGGTCTCGGTCTCCAACAACTTGTAGATAATCACTACCCACACAGCCCATTGATTGGATGTATTATGACTCTATACCAAGCCTTGTCTGCTTCTTATCATTACTTGGATCCATCCGGCTAGGCAGCTTAAAATTCGTCAATCCGACCTGCACAATGGCTAGATTACATAAACCCTGGTTCAAGAAGACTCAATTGTGCGTGTTACAAAGTGCACCGCTTTCTGCAGACATTGAAAGTGGAGGCTGAGTATATTGGATTTTGTTTTTTCGGCACCGACTACAGTAACTTAGCTCCCCCGTATCCGGACTACCCCAAGCCCCCGCTCCAAGCTTACATTAAACTCTATTCACACCTCGTTTTTAGTTCATTGACTTACACGACCGTATGCAGAATTGCGCGTCACAAAGCCACGAGTTCGAAACTGCAGTTCGAGACTTGCTCCAATTGGCAGGGCTTTGCCGCAGCAACCACGAACTCTGACCGATATCAGTGTTAGAGTTGTCCGATCCTGCAGCTTCCATCCTGCCTCCCTGCCTCCCCACAATGGTAGCTATGCGACACTCCTCATCGATGTCATCGCATACACATCCATGATGGCCCCGAACGTCTGAACGCGCGGCTCGAGCTCAGCCATAAGCCATCAGAATCGCCCATGCAGATAAGCCAAGGCCGTGGATCGCCGTGCGTTGATGAGCTGCAACGTCCTCTCTGGAAATCAAGCATTCCCTGTTGTCAGATCCTCATTACCGCTTAGCGACACACCTTCAGCTTTTGTGTAGTCTATATCCCCAGACAACGCAATTGAGGGTTCCACTGTTTCAAGCTTAAGCAAACATCCTCGCCCTTGCGTCCAGATGTAATCTTGACAACATTAGCCTCGCCATCAAAACTTTGTGATAAGCTTAGGGCTATTTGTTGTGTTTATGCCACACACACCCCGAGTACGCTTCGTGATGACGTTGCCTGCTGCTAAGTGGTACAGACATTCCAAATCTGGCTCGAGCGTGACCGTGTATCAGATCTGATGTTTGTTGGTGCACCATTTTTAGAGTCCGGTCGATCATTTCGGATGAACCATATAAGTATATGTGCTTGTCCTTCCATGGCCGTCCAACAACTATTTTTGACTTTGTTTGCATCGGTCTGGCATACATATGAACTTTGACTCTACAGCCCTGAAAAGTTTACTGTATCAGCCTTCTTCTGGAGAGATAAACGAAAGCACCGGTAAGCGGGTGTAAAGTTACAGTCATGAAGTCCTCGACCATAACGGCGGTGTTAGCACCAGCCGCAGCCGCCGCACAATGGTGGGCTGGAGCACCTAGCTGTGCGGTATGTTTCCATTATTCCCGTGCTTGCTGATCGTATCACCTTATAAGGGAAAACTCAAAGCCGTGTTCCCCATGTTATCTCTAGTCAATGACTAATGGTAGCCCTAGCAATCTTGCCTTTCCTCTGCTTTCGGTGACCGCGCGACTAGCACCTCATCAGTCGACTGGCCATCACAGACCGACTACTGTGACTCAAGCCGCGCTTCAGTCATTGGCAGCTGCCTTTCTGCCAGCTGCTCTGCCACACCAAGCGCCTGGTCTTCTTACTCTTCTCTTTCCACATCCCTTTGCTCCCAGTGGTCCTCCTGTTCTTCTGCCGGCAGCACGGGCGTCCGGACTATCACCTGCCCTGGCGGCTCTGTGTCTTGGGGCGCGCCTGGCGGCTGGTCAACAGGGAGTGCAGGTTCGTGGGGTCCTCGCGGCGGCGCTGGCGGTGGTCCAGGGGGCTGGGGCTGGAGCGGCGACAACGACGGCGACAACTCGCTGTGGTCCCAGTGGGCCTCGGCCTACAGCGGCTCGCAGACCTGGACCGGCGGCGTCATCACCGTCACGGGTTGCGCCGGCGACGGCTCGCCCTGGTACGCGGGCCCCGGTGGCGGCTGGAACAACCACGGAGGTTTCAACGGCTGGGTCGGTTGGGGCGCCGGCTGGTCGAGGGGCCCCTCGAGCACCGCGACCGTCACGTACACCACGACGGCCAGCAGCAGCGGCGGTACCGCTCACACGGCTGTTGTCACCGGACAGGCGGTGATCGTCGCGGCGGTGAGTGGCGATGTCACGACCACGCAGACGCTGGGTGCGGTGACGGGAGTGGGAACGGCCTCGGCGACAGCCACGCCCAACACTGCGCCTAGGCCAGCGGGCAGCAGTGGCAACGATGGGGGTGTCATAACCGGGATGATGGGACTCGGACTGGGTGCTGTCGTGGGAATCGCCTTGATGCTGTAAGGGGAACTACTTACACGACAGATTTTGTTTCTTACTTTCTTCGAATCTGATCATGACGTATGCTCTTCACCAGTCTAGGGTGTTTCTAACCGGCATATTGTGAAAAGTTTGTGGGTGAACTAGGGGATATAGTGGAGGATCATATGGACGCTCGTTACAAAGTGCATATTTCCTTTGTCATAACCCCAGAAGGCGGGCCTCATTTACGAAGTGATGGTGTTATTGAAGAAATGCATGGCTCTTATCATGTATATCACTAAGAGCACGACATCTCTGAATAATACGGATGTGCACTAAAAGCGTCAAGTAGAAGGAAAATTAAATTATGTGAGAGTCGCAGTATTCGATTTGGTATACTTGAAACCCAGTTCGCTTTCACTACGCCGGATATGGCTGATCTGATAGCGGGCACTGGTAAATTGTTATAGCCCCGTATGCGCACATATCGAGACCTTTTCATTGTAATTCAACTGGCATCCTTTTTATCTATTCGGACCTGCAAAGTTATTACCCATTGCAGCAATATTATGATGCAGATCATGAAAAGAAAAAACTCGTGATGATAAATACTGCGTATTTATGCGTCCTTCTCAGCGGGGTCGCACGGACCACCCATCCGCTATCGCTAACTTCCCATTCACCCGGAGCAGCAAGTGAGGAATCCTTTCCCTTTCCTCCAAGCTGAGCATTTAAAAAGACGGAAAGCGACTTTGTCGGCAATTAGATTTATCAGCCACTGAACAAGGAGTCCCGATAAACTTTTATAGGTAAGCATGCACTTTTCTTGACCAATACGTTTGCTCGTCAGAGCTGTTTGTTTGTTGCCTTAGCTCCCGTAGCCGACGGGCAAGTGCTCTCCGCACAGAGCCCCCGGCCGCTCAAGCTTAAGCCGATACCGAGGTCCGCGAGCTCTGCGAGTATAGTGCCCGGAGGCGCCGCTCTCCAAAACGAGGCTCGGTTCGCTGTTAGGGCGAATCAAATACTTGACATGTATTCATCTTGTAACGAGCTCCGCACTCAAACCTTTACTTTCTGTTATCTTCTCGTCAAATTATCTTTTATTATCTAGGATCAACTACTTACACAACATGGCAGCACAAGAACTTTTAGCTCAACCGGAAGCCTCGACGTCTCATGATAGCCAATCAGCTACTCTGAGTCTTTCATTCAATTTGACAGAAACACGATCCTTAAGATCCACATCTGTCTCATCGGTGAGATCCGCAGACACAATGTCGAGCGCCTCAACACAGGCCACGGCCGCTTCGGTGCAGGAAGAGCATGACTATTTTGTGTCGAATCCTGCACCAAAAGCACTCGCAAACCATGTTGCGTTGGCGCGGGAGTTCATCAATTACCACGCGGAAGGAAGCCGACGTGTTGTGTTGATCACCTCCGGCGGCACCACCGTACCCCTGGAGAAGCAAACGGTGCGGTTCATCGACAACTTCAGCGCTGGAACCCGAGGCGCAACTTCTGCTGAGTATTTTCTCGAAGCCGGATACGCAGTCATCTTTCTCCACCGCCAGTTCTCACTGCTGCCGTACAGTAGGCACTACAGCCATGCCACGGACTGCTTCTTGGACTTCATGTTCGAGGGCGAAAACGGGAGTGTCGTCGCCAACCCCGAGCATCAGGAAAAGATGTTCAGGGTGTTGCGCAAGTACAACTCGGCCAAGAAGAACCGCATGCTCTTGATGCTGCCCTTTGTGACAATCACCGACTACCTGCATGAGCTGCGCTCCATAGCACAGCTCATGCGCCCCCTCGGGCCGGGCGGGCTTTTGTATCTTGCTGCTGCCGTCTCGGACTTCTTCGTCCCCCCGGATCGCATGTCGGAGCACAAGATCCAAAGTACCACCGCGACGGACAGTCTAAAACAGGGGTCCACGACGACCAAGAAGCAACCCCAGGAGGCCGAGGAGGCCTTTGACAACTTCGACTCGTTGCCGAGCGCGCCGCGCAGCAAGCAGCTGCTCATTAACCTGGACCCGGTGCCCAAGTTCCTCAAGAACCTCGTCGACGGCTGGGCGCCCGAGTGCATGATCGTCTCGTTCAAGCTGGAGACGGACCCGGGCATCCTCGTGCACAAGGCCAAGTACTCGCTGGACCGGTACCAGCACCACCTCGTCATCGGCAACCTGCTCACGACGCGCAAGTGGGAGGTCGTCTTCGTCGCGCCGGGGCGGCCGGACAGGTGGGTGCGCGTCCCGCGGACGCGCCGACGCAAGTCCGCCAGCGGCAACGAGGGCCTCGTCGGCGCCGCCGACACCGAGTGGGTCCAGGACCGGCCCATGGACCCGGCCACCCTCCCCGAGGGCGAGCCCGGGATGGAGATCGAGAGCCTCATCATCCCGGCGGTGCAGGAGCTGCATGATAGACATGTGGAGGAATCGAGAAAGGGGGCGGCACAGCGATAAGAGGGGGAAAGAAAAGAAAGAAAAAAAATGAGAAGAAGAAAAAGGGGGATAATAGACCTAGACATGCCGAATGCGAATGATAGTCTGACTGTTGAATTCTACAACGCGACTAATGCAGGTCCTCTGTACCACCCGCTGAAAGCTTATGCATGTCATTCTCCACCGTGGCCATGCTGGAGACGTCTTCATCCGGTCTTCCATCTTTGACGGGCACCAACATACAGTCTTTCCGCAACATGCGCTTTGAAACCGACTTCTGTATTTGGGGTGCGGCAGTTTGGGTTCACACAAGGTGGTGTATAGTCGGATTTCTGTGCAAGGTGACTAAAACAGCAAGCGCATAATCTAGACTAAGGTTAGCACAGATAACCCATGTGAGACTACCGCTTTAACCCTTGGAGTTATGATAATTATGCTGTTCTGTATCGGAAGACGGATGCGGGGTTTTATTTGGTCGTCAAGACCCGCTTTCTGCAGTCATCTACGCATATCAGATCATGGTTTCGCTTTATCTGATGCTGCATACCGCTGCAGAACCAAGCAATTTCCCCCAGCGTCAGATCTTTCTGTCGGTAACATGAGGTAGTGGCGTTCGGTACTCTATGCCGTACATGTATGCAATAGACTGAGTTTTTTGCCAAGCACTTGGTTTTCTTCTGAGTACCAAAGTGTTGTGTCTTATTCGTATCTTATTGCCTTGACCAATTTGTCATTCCGAACCTACATTGATAATTCTACATCAGCCACCTACCATGGCTGATATTCCTGAGAGAGACTACCTGGCTTCCGCCCTGGCGGCAACATGCCTACTCACGATTGCGTATGCTTTCGTGAAGCTCTTGCAGGTCGGGCGCCGACCAGCTGGTTTGCCTCCGGGCCCTCGAGTGCTTCCCTTGATCGGAAATCTGCATCTCATGCCCACATTCAAGCCATACAAGAAACTCGCCGAGTGGGGCAACCTATACGGTCCCATATACTCGCTCATGGTTGGGTCGAGCCCTCTCATCATGTTGCAGTCACACAAGGTCGCGAAGGATCTTCTCGATAAGCGGGGGTCGAACTACTCGTCGCGTCCGGAACTTTACATCATGTGTGACGTGGCAGGCCGCGGGCTTCGACAGGTTGCTATGGTAAGCCGATTTTGTGTTCACATATGTGTGTGGGCGTGCATCGAGTCTTCATCGTTCTAAAGACTCTCTCCGCACAGAAATATACTCCGACCTGGCGCCAGATCCATCGGGTTAACCACAAGATCTTGAACGCCAAAGCAACGCATGATTACACGCCCTACCAGAATCTGGAAAGCCGCCAGATGCTGGTGGATATACTGGACAATCCAGATGAGCACAAGAGACACATCCAGCGTTTCTCCAACGCCGTGACCTGCCAGATGGTCTACGGTTTCCGCACGACATCGTGGTCCGACCCCGAGCTGCAAAGTGTCGTTTCGCTCTTCGCAGACAACACTGCCCTCGCCGTCTCCATTCCAGCCCGGCTGATGGACTGCTACCCGGTCCTCCAGAAGATACCGCAGCGCTTGCTACCCGTCTACCGAGAAGCCGTCGACATCGAGCGGCGCTGCGCATCCATCTTCCTCTCACGCTGGCACGAGGTCATCAGGAAGGTCCAGGACGGGATCGCGATGCCGTGCTTCGGGGCGTCGCTGGCCGAGGCGCAGAAGGCGGAGGGGTTCTCGGACGACCTGGCCTCGTACATCGCGGGCGACATCGTCGAGGCCGGCAGCAGCACGACCTCGGACGAGCTCTCCGGCTTCCTCATGGCCATGGTGACGCACCCGGCGGTCCAGCGGCGGGCGCAGGAGGAGCTCGACTCCGTGGTCGGGGGCGGCCGCCTCCCCGCGCTGGCGGACATGGCGTCGCTCCCTTACGTCCGCGGCTGTGTCAAGGAGACGCTGCGGTGGATGCCCACCACGGCGCTGCTGGTGCCCCACGCCCCGCTGAGGGACGATGTCTATGAGGGCCACGTCATCCCCGCCGGCGCAGCTGTCGTCCTCAACGTCTGGGCGCTGAACATGGACCCGGAGACCTGGCCGGACCCGAGGAGGTTCGACCCGCTGCGGTTCAAGGACGAGGCGAGGTCCGAGTATGAGGTTGCCACATCGAGCGATCCTGCGTCTCGGCGGCATAACTACGTCTTTGGTGCGGGCCGGAGACTCTGCCAGGGGATCCACATCGCAGAGCGAAGTTTGTTTCTGGCCATGGCCTGTTTGTTGTGGGCTTTCGACATCTCGACGCCCGATCCGAGCAAGATCGATACAGAGCATCTCATCGGCGGGCTGGCGGTGGTACCCGCGCCGTTCGAGTGCCACATCAAGCCCAGGGATGCTCAGAGGGCGGACGTGGCAAGGCGTGAGTGGCGCCGGATGCAGAGCGAGTTTCTCGACCCTGTGACGAAGCAGTGGAACCCCAACTCCAACGCCGGGCCGCTAAGCACTTATGCTGATGGCTAGACAAAAGGCTGCTTGATGCTGGGTAGTCAACTGGTACTCATTAATATTATCCGAGAATGTTCTCTTCCAAAAAAAAAAAAAAAAAAAAAAAGGCTTGTCTGGGTGTGCATAGCTGTGTATCACACAACACAAAACCGTACAATTTCATTGTACTCCAGTGGTAAAGCTCAGAGCAGGGATTCCCAAGTTTGTTCTTCGTATGTGATGGGTATTTTTTGCCGGATTGAGTGGAAGTCGGATGCGTCTTGAACGTATGATCGAGTTGACTGGACAATGATGCCAGAGAAGCAGAATCGTAAGCTATCTCGCACGTGTTTGTCGGGTCGGATCAAACTTGAGATGAGACCACATGAATCTAGTGCAGCATTCGCCTAACAGATCACGAAACCATACCGTTGATTGACGTCAAATTAATCCACATCGAGCCGTAACTCATATAAGTTAATATGTGAGCATTGCTTGACTAACAACCACCTATGTGTACAATTGTTCATCGCCGAAAAGAAAGTCCACAAAACGCCGATGCTTAACGCTTGTTGCTACCATATAATGACCACATCGCAGTGTTCGTCAGAGACCATGAATCCATGTTTACCGGTCCTTGTATTTTTAAAGTCCGAAGTCAGAAGTCTCTCGTTCCATTATCAGGTCATGTTCCTGGCATGGACATCAAAAACCTCGTTTCTCCATCCACCTACTTCGTACTCTTCAACTCGATCACCTGCTCTTGATCCCTCCTCATTCCAGACCTTAACGACGCTGCTAGGGGTGTAGACACCCTTGAAGACACCCTTGCCTGGCTGTGCGACACCAACCCTGGTGTACAAGTCAGGATCCTCTGCGGGAATAAAGCGTGCAGCAACAGCCTTGACAAAAGTCCAAAGGTCTTGTGGATCTGCGATTCTGGTGGCACGGAGGCGTTCTCGTGCATACAAAATCTCGCGATTACCGGCATGAAGTAGGTCGGCAATGGCGGATGCTATTTGAATTTCCATGGTCGTCTTGATTATCGGACGTAGCAATGGCCTGAAGAGCCAGCCAAGCCAGGAGAACTTGCTCTTACGAAGCTTGTAGTCAAGCTTGTGTACTCGAACTCTGACGGAGCGTAGCGTCAAGATCTGTTCCATTTGATCCTTGGCGATTTCCACCTCAATGTGAATGTCAATACCACGTTCATCCAAGGCAAAACTTGCAATACCCTCATCAGCTAGGCGGAAGAGGCCACTGTGTGCACGAAGCCAGAAACCAATCTCATCGGCTTTTGCAGACAGACCATCGACCTTGATGAGCATCAGGTTCTTAGATGTTGTTGCAGTGCCGAAGCGTGCTTTGCGTATCTCGATGTCGTTATATGTCTCGATCTTCAAGCGATAAGGCAAGAAGGAGGTATGGTTGACAGTGACACCGGGCTCAATGATGAGATTCTCCAACAAAAGATCAATCGCAGGCGTACTGACTTCGAGACGTGGTATAGGCACGTATTGAATCATACTGATCAGGAGCGGAACGAATACGTTAAGTGAATCCTGGATGAGATCCGGGTTGGTGACAGCCTGCGGTGGAGAGAGAATTCCAAATATTCGCAATGTAGTTGTGATCAAACTGTGAACGTCATCGTCCCTGAGCACACTCTGGAAAGTGACAGCCAATTGTTGGAGCAGCTCGTCGACATCTTGGCGGAGATCACTCTCAGTACCAACCTTTTTGCTCTTCTCTCTGAGTTCTTGGAGCTTGTCCGAGGCATTGTTGAAGAAGTCTGGGTCGGTAAGAAGTTTTTGAAGGCTGTTTCCAATGTCCTGCATAAAGTTTTCGAACTCTGGGTCCTTGTCCTTGTGTGCGACAACCTTCTTGAAGCTAGTTTCGCATTTCTCCCACTCCTTCTTATCTCCAAAGCTCGTAACGAACTCCCACATGTTGATAAGTGCCTTGTCCGTCTCACGGTTCTCGGAAACATCCTGCGCAGCTACGTCAATGATTTCCTCCGCCGCGCGTGAGTAGACCATGGCATAACGCTTGATGAGAAGAGATAGAACAGAGACGGAGTCGGAGTAGTCCTTTCGCTTGCGAAGATTGAGCACCACTGCCTGCAATCGTTTAAGCAGTGTCTGTCCCTCATCACCAGAGAGCTTGTCTTGGGCACTTTCTACTGTAGCGCTTGCGACTTCCGCACCTTGCTGGGCCACAATCTTCGTAATGTCTTGAACGTCTTTTCCGAGCTCTTCTCCTGATGGAGCCTTGCCGTTGCTGCCACCATTAGGATGCGCCACAGCTTGCTGCTCCTGTTGGGAAGGCTCCACCTTCTTCCCTGCCTCTTCGGCAGCATGGCTTAGAGCGAACGCAGAATCCTTGAAGATTTCTCGTCCAACGGTGTTCAGATCACTGAGGAAAACGCGGAAGTCCGAGTTGGTGAAGAGCAAAGAGCCGACGGTGTGCAGGCTCTGGTAGGCAGCAGCAGCATCCGCCTTGGCCTTGGATTTCTGTGCGCGGGCAGCAAGGTCCTCGACATCCACTGAGACTCTGCTCTTGGACAAGAACCAAATGAGATCCTGAAGTTGATCCTTGTCATTCTTGTTCTTGATCAGGGTGATAAACTGGTGCAGCCATTGCTTGGTCAGGCGAACGAGGCGTCTTCCACTGTTAGACAAGTCCGGGTTATCGGGGTTAAGAATATCAGCGGCCAACAGTGTTCGCAAAGTGATGATAAGCTGTTCCGTGCTGGGCATGTATCCTGAGCCCAGGGCGCGGATCATCTGGTAGCTGTGGAGTTTGCGGGCCAGTTCCCGCTGCAAATGCGTGTCCTGCTCATATTGAGGCAACAGTGGTTGTTGATCCTCGTCACGGGACTTGGCCAGACCGAAACAGGACGACAATATCGACGACATCTTGACAATTGATGGAATGCTCAACTGTTAGATTGGGAGTATTGCATTGTGGAGTTTGGTTTCGATAGTGGCCAAAGCAATCACCAACATTCGTGTGTTAGACAAGTGATGCAATCCACCGTAATGGATGGAAGCTTGGACGGTTTAGACAATGCTCAGAATGACGTTGTTGATTGCCTACGCGTAGGCAGGAGCCACGCGATTTCAGCGGGGGTTTAGCTCTCTTGACCCCTGTCCAGAGGCGCGTGATGGACACAGGGGTAGGGTTGAGTGTCCGAAATGCAATTCTGCAATGCATGCTGGTCTTGTATACCTGACCGGCCGTAAAGACTTATTTATTCTAACTATTCTACAAGATATATTTCGCAGGATTGCACTATCAATCTTTATTCTTATTACGGCTTCTTCGTCCGTTTCTACACAATTATTCGAAGGTGTTGCATATACAGCGTCGATGCGTTGTATTGGTTCCGTCTTATGATTTGGGACACTGCGCGGACTAAATGCTCCAATAGGTGGACTGTAGCGCTGTGCCAAGGCTTCTTCTACCAGCTTACGGGATGGCAAAATGTAGAAGAACAATACTGTCAAAATCGCAGCAAAAAGTACGATTCTAGAAGTTTTAGTCATTGTAAAAATATGATTTGTGATGGAGCTGGCAGTCTTCCCCCCCCCCCCCCCCCCCCCCTTTTTTCTTCTTTTTTTCTTCTTTTTTTCTTTTGGGCGGCAGAATCGGTTACGAGCTGCATTTATACAATAATCCGTGTGGGAACCTTCTCATGAGTATGTATTGAGACTCAAGAGCTGAGAGCATCGGTAGTGGCTCACTACCTCTAAACAATGAACTGCTTTGAGAACGGCCCCCGAAGTTGGGGCCATCACTGTAAGCCAGAATCTTGAGTTCTATCGTGGTTATGACCATTGAATGACTGGCTTCAACCATTTGTTAGTACACATGGCTCTCTGAAAAGTGATTCGAAACTATAATCCGTCCATCTGTATCGGATGTGACTGTGATGCGACTCACTTAGTTAACATTGTAACTCAGTCTATCTGCGTCTCGTGTTTCGTAACCGAGTTGCGCATGTCAAAAGCTTGGAAACATCAATAGATTACGAGATCTTCTTCAATGATCGTGTTACATTTGCAATGTGCGGTTCATATGTAACGGGCTGCATTGGCATCTAGGCAGAATCAGGCAACAGTGGGTTTCTTACGCCGACTTGCATTGTCTGCTTGTTCGCATTTCTTCACAGCCAGGCAGATGACTCTGGCAACACTGAATGCCATCTAGGTTGGATCTCCAGGGCGCTAAGTCGCAGTTATAAATACCAGGCTAGTCTCCCAACATTTCCATCCTGGTCTTTCTTCTTCCTTCTTCACTTACCTGACCAGAGCAAAGTGTGATCACGCAGACAGTGAGCTAGTCAAGGGGGATCGGCATCTGCACATCGCGGCATCCTACTACTCTAACATTCCTTGTGGATGGTGGCTGGTCTAATTTTTGTTGTCGCTTCATTTTCGTCATGTGTTTCGCCCCGAGCGGGATCATGAGGAAAGAGATCTCTCTTGCTTGTTTGATGGTTATTCTCGAGCCATCCACTATCTGGTAATAATATGATATATTGTGTTCAGGTTTGATTGATGTCTGGAAGGTGAAGCCATACTTGCATGCCCACAGATCAAGCCTCCCGCATGTCTGAACGACTTTCGTCTATTCCTTTTCTCATGAATTACAAGCAGGGGCGTGCTGCGACCGTGCAGATGGTAAGTTTGCCAAGAGGGTCCGAATTACATGTAGTAGACTCCTTGATGTTCTTGTTCCCGCTGAGTCTTACCTTGCGCAAGAATATGAGGCAGACTGTTGCTTTCTCTCGACGTCCATCCGCCAGAACTAGCAACAATGCTCTTTCGTGCTTGGTTGTTCTACTACGAATTCCGAGATGACACTCGAACAACAAACATTTGGAAGCCAGCTGTTCTCAAATTCGTAGGTGAAATCAGAGCACAACAGTCAACACGCCTTTGACAACACGTCCGGGTGTAAATCAGTTGTTTGTTGGCGGGCTTGCTATATGGTTTTTATTCGAACACATATGTTGTCATTGAGGACAGTCATGACGTCTTGATTTGGATCACGAGAGCCTTGATCACAGTTATTTTGTATGCGATGGTTCGATAGCAGAGCGACCCCAGGATCCACCATTCGTAGTTCACACAAGCTTAAAGGTCAGGGAGGCAGGAGTTTCATTTACTGATGTGTATTAACGTGCTCGAGAAGCTATTTAGCAAGGAATCTCGCCTTCTAAATACTACCCGACGGATTGCCGCTCGGATGCAGGTCCTAGATCCTTGATGCTTGCTAATAGCGTCTGTATTACGAATCATCTTCCTATCAATGCTGAATCCCCACTTGGATTGATATCTTTTCAATATGTGCCTTGGAGGCATCTTTTCATTTCTCGTCGAAATCTTTTTCTTCTCGTCGAAATCTTCCACACAAACAACCATGTCCTATTGTCATGGAAGGTCGTGACAAAGTCGACGAGTGTGCCAGTAATACAAGTACATGGCCATAAAGTGACAACAGGGCGTTGGGGGGTATCGATGCTGTGCCGTATTCACCAACGCCATCCACCTCTTCCATGAAAATGCTTAATGCAAATACCAACATGCCGGAAAAGCAGAGACTCGGGCGCGAAGGGTAGAATCTCATGTCTTGGCAATAACATAAAAGCTCAAGAACGCCCAGGAAAGGAGGAAGCCTCAGCGAGGCCTGGATATATACTACGGAGCGGCGGAATCGTGCAATCACCGCGATTTGCTGTTGGTCAGTAGAAAACACGCTGTCTAAATGACAACGTCCTTGAGAGGCAGCACCTTGCTCTTGTCTCCTAGAAAATCAGAGCGGTACTGAACCAGAGCTCTCGAAATGCTGTCGAAGTCCTTGAGCTTCTTTCTTTTCAGATTCGCCAAAACCTTCTTGAGCCCATCAATGAACTGGTCTTTTTGCTCGCCTGTGTACAAGTCTGTTGAGCCAAGCTCTTGAATGATATCGGAATCTAGAGGTGAGGGGTCCAGGTGTCAGCTTTCCAAGAGGGGGAAAAACGCAGCATTACACAATGGGCGATAAGGCCGCCAAGAACAGAAACATTTACTTACCAGATCGCATCATTGTATCAAAGTGCTGAAATTCGCAGCCAGGCCCATTAGGGCACTCACCACCATCAATCAAAAAGGGGCAGATGGGACGGGTAGCATCAATTCTGGAACTGTAAGTCATGGACTTCAGGCCTCCGGGCACACTCTCCATATATTGGGGGTGGAACTTGTAAGCATGAAAGTACCGTAAAGGACTCTCATACGATAAAAGATCGCTGGCGGACAATGTACTAGGAGGTATGGCCTGTATGTTTGTCAGTAAATGAGGCTCCTCGACGGAGCGGAGTTGTACTTCGGCAGCCCTGGGACGTGGCTCTGCATGCGAAGCTGGCTGGACAAGCTGAGCAGGGCTCGGCTCGTAAGGCTCTTCATCGGCAACCTGCTTATAAGTGAGCACTGTTCTCCAAACGTGGGGCTCTAGCTGTACCTCTCCTTCACGCGCGACGTGAGCGGGGTCATGATCAGATATCTGCATGGGCGCAGGCTCGTAGCTGTCTTCGTCTTCTGCATCCGATATTTGCATTGGCACATCCACATCCACAGGCACTGGATCACCACCAGCATTACCAGTTTCCACCGCAGAATCGTTGTTCGAGCCGCTGCCCTCTCCGTTTGTACTTTGCGGGGACGAGAGAGAATCAGTTCTGGTAGATGCTTCGGTTTGAGGCATATCAAACTCAACCCGGGTATTGCTAGGAGGCTCTGTCTGGACGATGGCTTCTTGAATGGCCGTAGCGACATTGTCAGAAGCATCGGTAACGCTAGACGAGTCTGAGTCTGAATCAATGTCCATGTTTGTATTCTCGGGTGAGGATTCTGTGGCTTCGTCCATTGCCTGGGCGTGTTCAACCTGGTTAGCAACCTCAGGAATACTCATTTCAGGGTTGGTAGTATTCGATTTTGGAACAACTGGGTCAGGTTGATGTAAGTTGACGCCGGCAGCGGCATGGCCATGGGTAGTGGGAACAGCAAGAATCTCATTGGACGTCTCCTCGCTTGCAGCCTTCTCCAATGTGCCTGCTTCCGGGGCCTGGGGCCTGGCAATCTCGAGATCTTCCATTTCGATGGCCAATTGCTGTCGCTCGCTCAATTTCGCCTGAATCTCGAGATCCAGCCGAACGGCTTCAGCCCGAAGCTGCTCCAGTCTGTCCTGCTTCTCTCTAAGAGCAGCATCAATGATAGGGAGCTGGTAACTTGCAATTGGATCACATCTCTCAACCTTCGAAGCTTTCACTGAATCCGATGGTTTCGAAAGTGTTGAAGATTCTGGAGGTACAGGTGTGCGGGCAGGCGATTGGGCTAAAGGTGTAGTGAGTTCATTTGGTTTCTTTAAGGCCGCCTTCTTAGCCTCTGCCTCTGCAATCTTCCTTCTAGCCTCTTGAATCTGCAGAGTTAAAAGGTCGAGTTTCTGTCCATGCTCAGAAGGCGTTGCTACAGCTGGTGTGGCAGGACTAGATTTCTGGCTTCGCCAACTACGTGCATGGGTTAACGGCGGAAAGGCACCAAGGGAATTCTGCCGGGTAAGTGTGTTGTTTGGCATAGCCGCACCCGGTGGTTCAGTCGGAGAACCAAGATCCATCTCCACGTCTTCGTCGTCGCTAACATCGATGATCAGAGTTTCTTGGGTCCTGGTGCGCTTGAAAGTATTACCGTTCAAAGGATACCCATCGAAATCGGAAGCGACAGGTCTCTTGACATTTCGAGGCTTGGGTGTGGAACGAGGCGATGACGAAACAGAAAGACCTGCGGGACCTCCGGGTGTAGACGATACGTCGGCGTCTAGAGACGTAGAAGGCACCGTAGCTTGTTTCGTGGAAGGTGCGCCTAGGATGGCAGCGGAATCCTGAGTCTTACTGCTCTCTGCAGCTGTGGCGGGTGCAGGCTGCTCAGCTGAGTTAGTCTTCTTGACCTGTTGCTTCTTAAGCGCGGCCAGTTTCTCCAATATCTTTTGGTTATTCTGAGCCCTCAGCTTGACTTTAGCAGCATCTGATGGCTCTGAGCCAGTGGGTGTAATGGCTGGCACAAGCGGTTTCGATGTAACCGAAACTTCAGCTGTGGAAGCAGGCTGAGCTGCATTCTTCTTCTTCTTTTCAGCAAGCATACGTGCGATCTTGTCCTTGCGCTCCTCCTGTGCAGACTTCTTAGCTTGCGTTTTCGAGTCGCTAATGCTGGTCGATTTGTCTGGAACAAGCTTTGAAGATGCCGACGTTGAAGCGGGTTGAGACGTCGACTGTGGGGATGCTTGAGCTTCAGGCTGCTTTTCCGCGTGAATCGAAGTTTCAGGTGCCGAAGGACGTGACAATGCTACTGCTGGCTTGGGTGCTGAGGTGTCCAAGCCTAGGTCCGTAAACAGGGATTTGACTATTCGTGGATCAAGCCCTTCATCTAGATAGTTCTGATACCGAACTTTTAACGGCCAAAGCCCTAGGATGGCTTCTTGAGCCTTTTTCTTTGCCTCTGTTACTGATTTATATGGGAGGCTAGACACATTTGCGGACTGATTATGGTCAGGACTTTGTGCTGGTTGTGCAGATTGGGTCGTTGTCAGCGGTACCTCGCCGTTTTGTTTCGTGGTTCGCTCGGTTGCCTGCTTGGAAGCGCCGTCTCGTGCTGTAAACGACGAAAAGGACTGAGGAGCCTGTGCGTAGCCTGCTCTAGATTAGCAAGGCATCTAAAGAAGTGCCCAAACAATCAATAGGACTTACCATTCACTTCAGACGCGACTATTTTTGTCACATGTTGGGAAGGCCTTGCTTCATGTGGCGAGAGGCGTGGTGAATATGACCCAGTCCTCTCCCTGGGTTGATACTCTGGTTCATACTCACCTGGTTCGTAATCGTCATCCTCGTCGACAGCAGGCTGGGACGCTGAAGTACTATCAATCACCATCTCTTCCCTTGCTGATCCGGTATCATATATAGAAGAACCATCAGCATCATCGGCACTGCCTGCCGAGTCTTCTTTGGGGCCAGCAGTGGATTGCTGCTTTGGGCCGTCACCCAAACCAACAACTACGCTTCTAGGTTCGTATAAATCTTCGAACTGTGCTTCGCTGAACTCGCCTTCTTCCGAAGGCTCATTCGAACGGACAAGAACCGCTGTAGGTGCGGAGGGCTGCGCGACGAACTTGGTTGCTTTTCCAAGACCGGCCATAGTTTGATCTTGTCGTCTAGGCGCACCAGGACTAGAGCGACCTCTGTAGGGCGCCTGAGGATGCGATGGATTCGATTCAACGCGATACGGCATTGGTGGCAGAGGTGTGTTAGAGCCAACACTCATACCTAAGCCAGGTATCCTGCTCCCATTGTACTCAAATGACCCGTTGATGGCAGCGTGATTGCCAGCGACAACAGCAGGACTAGGCTCCTGGGGAGATGTGTAGAAAGAAGAGGCAGGTTGAATATGCGGTCTTGGTGCATATTGGTATGGGTGTTGGGGCGGTTGGCCCAAATATGGGGGGTAATCGTATGGCGGTTGAGACATGCTCAAAGCTGCTGGTATGAACAACTCGGACTGTTGGTATGAACAACTTGACTCGAGAACGAGTTCTGTACGACTTATGACAATTGTGCAGTGTTATCTGAGCAGGGCCACTAACATGGTGGCAGCGCGACGGGAGAATGGGAAATGCGCTCTTTGTCACGGACCGGCCAAAGAGAGTATTAGATCTTACGGTATAGCGGATGGAAATCCTTTTATACGTGCAAGAGCATAGCAAGTCCAGTGGACGAGTGGCTCTGCAAAATAGAAAGTCGCGATGTTCCAATGGAAGCAAGGGATGGGGATGAACGGTGGGCAAACAATTCCAGCGGAAAAGGTTTCGATTGCTACAAACCAAGGTGTTCCTGGGCGTGATCCTAGTCTGATCAGGAAAGCAAAAAGGTTCTCACAGTGTCTGAGAACTTGCGATATTGGATGGTGGGAAATGTGATGGATAGGAAGACGCTTGCACAAGGTCTTTTCGCTTCGCGACGGGGAGAAGATGTGATGCACAACCAAGAATCACGGGATAATTCAAGATCATTAGCGCTTGTTTGAGCAAAGTCGCGGTTTCCCCAAGCTCGAATTCAAAGTGTGCGGAAACGCAAGAAGAATAAATCCGCTCTTCGGATAACGCTATCCAGATTGATACTAACCCCAGAATTAGCCGCTCCTGCTCAGGTCGTCTGCATGATGGAGACACGCTAGATGTGCTACTGTACATACACAGTGAGTTAGATGCACTAGCCACCCACTGCTAATATGTATGTGCATAGCCAGCGGGCTAGCCTCTGGACCTATTTAACGTTAGGTAGGGCGCTATTGGGCCGAGTCGGGTGCGCAGCTCCAGACCAATCGTCATATCTGGCCCGTGCATCGTTGCTCTGTTTACGGCAACCACAAGTAAACAAATCAGAGAAAGCATCTTAAGGTCAAGTGTTGCTTTCTTGACCAGAGGTACAGCTGAGATACTTCCCTCTCTCACGACCACGATATCCAATGACGAGCACGGTCATGATTGCTACTGGTTTTTGAAAACATCTCTCCTTGGGAACACAGGCTATTTTCATTTTTTTATGGCATCACCTCTCGACATCTGTGTCTTTGCTTCATTGAATTCCGCGACAACAGCGACTCTCACATGAGAATAGTCTGACCAATCGATTTGGCATCTACATGCTGGAATACTAATAACCTCGCTAACTAATACAACATGGAGCCCATGCGCACCATGTCACAACGACGAAATCCTTTCACACGCGCCGGCTCGCCATCCACAGGCCCGAGTGGTTCTGCTTCTGGCTCAGCTGGCCGACCCAAATCTGCCATTTTCAATTCTCCCTTACCACTCAACAGCGTGAAGTCGCCCTCGTCACACAGCCGTAGCAACTCTGTGGCAGCGATAGCAGCGAGCTTGGCCCCTACGTCTGGAGCAGGCGCGCGACATCACCGAAGCGACTCGAAAACCGGCACGCCGAATTCTTCCACATTTGCTCCGTCTTTCATAAAGACCGAGGACCTGAGGCGAAGTATAGACATCGTCAAGGGCATCGAAGGCGAGAATGATTTCTCTGGCAGAAGATATGTGTGGCTTAGGGACCCACAAACCGCCTTTGTCAAGGGTTGGGTTGTGGAGGAACTTCCCGGTGGTAGGATACTTGTCCAGTGTGACGATGGAAGCGTATGTTGCTCCGGCCAGCGCCCCATGTAGCTTGGCTGACTGTGAAGATAGCAACGAGAGGTCGATGGAGAAAGCGTCGATAAGGTGAACCCTGCCAAATTCGACAAGGCAAACGACATGGCCGAACTCACGCATCTCAACGAAGCATCCGTGGTACACAATCTACACATGAGATACCAGGCCGACCTTATCTACACATACTCGGGGCTTTTCTTGGTCACGGTCAACCCTTACTGTCCTCTGCCGATATATAGCAACGAGTACATTAACATGTACAAGGGGCGAAACCGGGAGGACAATAAGCCGCATATCTATGCTATGGCCGATGAAGCCTTCCGGAATCTGGTCGAAGAAGGCGAGAACCAAAGTATTCTAGTTACTGGTGAATCTGGTGCTGGTAAAACTGAAAACACGAAGAAGGTTATCCAATATCTCGCAGCGGTTGCTCGGACAGAATCGCCAGTAAAAGGCAGAGGCCAGCACTCCAACTTGTCACAACAAATTCTCCGAGCGAATCCTATATTAGAAGCGTTCGGCAACGCGCAAACTGTACGGAACAACAACTCATCTCGTTTCGGAAAGTTCATCAGGATTGAGTTCACCAAAGGGGGATCTATTGCCGGCGCCTTCATCGACTGGTATCTGTTGGAAAAGTCCAGAGTAGTGCACATCAATGCCCAGGAACGAAACTACCACATTTTCTACCAGCTACTTGCTGGTGCCGATGGCCAAATGCGACAGAAATATCTCCTCAACAATATGGAGGTAGACGACTTCCTGTATACACGCGACGGCCACGACACGATCATTGGTGTATCTGATACGGACGAGTGGAACTCCTTGTTAGAGGCGTTCAATGTTATGGGTTTCTCAGAGAAAGAACAAGACTCGATACTATGCACGGTTGCGGCAGTCCTTCATCTTGGAAACATCACTGTAGTCAAGGAAAGTCGCATGGCGGACCAAGCGCGGCTTTCTCCAGATGCCAAGGATGTCGCAGCAAAAGTGTGTCAGCTGCTTGGTATCCCTTTGGAACCGTTCTTACAGGGCCTGCTGCATCCTAAAGTCAAGGCTGGTAGAGAATGGGTTACGAAGGAGCAGACGCCTGATCAAGTACGACTAGGACTTGACGCTCTGGCCAAGGGTATCTACGAGCGTGGCTTCGGCAATCTTGTCACCATGATCAATCGACAGCTCGACAGGAGTGGTATGGGCATGGATGACTCCTCCTTCATTGGTGTCCTTGATATTGCTGGTTTTGAAATCTTTGAAGAGAACAGCTTCGAACAACTCTGCATCAATTACACCAATGAGAAACTGCAACAATTCTTCAATCACCACATGTTCGTCTTGGAACAGGAAGAATATGCACGAGAACAGATCGAGTGGCAGTTCATCGACTTTGGCAGAGATCTGCAGCCAACCATTGATCTTATTGAGCTGTCGAATCCCATTGGTATTTTCTCGTGTCTCGACGAGGATAGTGTTATGCCAAAGGCGACCGACAAGTCGTTTACTGAGAAGCTCAACTCTCTGTGGGACAAGAGGTCCAGCAAGTATAGGCCGTCGCGACCGGGCCCTAAGCACGGCTTCATCCTGACGCATTATGCTGCTGAAGTCGAATATTCTACGCAGGGCTGGTTGGAGAAGAACAAGGATCCCTTAAACGACAACATTACTAGACTGTTGGCTTCATCCACTGACAAGCACGTCGCCTGTTTGTTCGCAGATTGTGCAGACACGGAGGACGACGTTGGCGGAGGCCGCAACCGAGTCAAGAGGGGACTGTTCCGTACTGTTGCACAAAGACACAAGGAACAGCTGTCTAGCTTAATGGTCCAGTTACACTCAACTCACCCACATTTCGTACGATGTATCTTGCCAAATCACAAAAAACGGCCGAAACAGTTCAGCGCTCTTCTAGTCTTGGATCAACTCAGGTGCAACGGTGTGCTTGAGGGTATCCGAATCGCTCGCACAGGTTTTCCCAATAGACTTCCATTCTCTGAATTCCGACAGAGATACGAAGTTCTCTGCCGGGACATGCCGAAAGGTTATGTTGAGGGTCAGGCTGCTGCAAGTCTAATCCTGGGTAAGCTGGGATTAGACAAGGCGCTGTATCGTGTCGGTCTCACGAAGGTTTTCTTCCGAGCCGGTGTGCTTGCTGAATTGGAAGAGCAACGCGATGCGCTGATTGCCGAGATCATGTCTCGTTTTCAGTCAGTGGCGCGAGGTTATATCCAGCGCCGCTCTGCTTACAAAAGACTGTACCGTGCCGAAGCGACTCGCGTTATTCAACGCAACTTTAATGTTTACCTCGATCTTTGTGAGAATCCATGGTGGCAACTTTTTATTAAGATGAAGCCACTTCTGGGCGCTACTCGTACAGCTCAAGAAGTCAAGCGTCGGGATGAACAAATCAGACAATTGAACGAACAGATGCGATTGGAGAACGAGAACCGCCAGCGACTGGAAGATGAGCGGCGCAACACACATACGGAATTGATGCGCATTCAACAGACTCTCGAGAGTGAACGGGCACTTGCCCTTGACAAGGAAGAAATCTTCAAGCGCCTACAACAGCGTGAAGTTGAGCTCGAGGATAAGCTGGCTGGAGCCATTGAAGACCAGGAGAGACTCGAGGACCAGTTAGATGATCTACTAGAAGCCAAGCATCGTGCCGAGAGCGAGGTAGAGAAGTATCGAACACAGCTGGAGCAAGCGGCCGGATTGATCGCTCGCCTTGAACAGGAAAAGCGACAACTTGATGCGCGAGCGTCAGACCTTGAAGCTGAGATCGACGAAATCTCTCAGAAGCAGGCCGACCGCAGCGCACAAGAAGATGCGTTGGCAGACGAAGTACGGATGCTGCAAAGTCAACTGTCCCTCAAGGATCGCAAGGTGCAGGATCTTGAGAGCAAGCTTCTGAAGATTGATCAGGATGCGGATATCAAATTAGCCGCAGCACAGAAAGAACTATCAAGCCTCCGGTCCCGAGAGCAAGTCTTGGGCCGAGAAAACCGTGATATCCAGCAACAGCTATCTGAACTCTCCAAGACCTCGACCGACTACGAGGACCTCGTGCGCAAGAAGGAAAGCGAGCTCGCCATCCTCCGGGTGGACAACAAGAAATTCCAGATGGAGCACCGCAGTCTTGAAGGCCAAAGGGATTCTCTTACAGCCGATAAAACGAAAATTGCTGAACGACTGCGTGAAGTCCAAGCAGAGATGTCTGCCATGAAGTCGCAACAGTCACAGCTTGAACGTGAGGCAGAAGATGCCAAGCAACTGCTTCAGGCGCGTCTTAGTGACGATGCCCAGGCCAGTCAAAACCGCGAGGTCCTTGAGGCACAGATCAAGGATCTCAAAGATCAGCTCTACAAGGTTCAGACAGAAATTAGTCGCGAGAGACAATCTCGTGACGATGTTGCACTTCTGGCTGAGCACAAGTTCCAGGAGTTGCAGAACGAGCATGAGGAGCTCAAGGAACTTAAGATCACCATCGAGAAAGAGCTCTACTTGCAGCAAGATACATTGCGCCGAACTAAGGAAGCTCGCGCGACCGCTGAGAAAGAACGTGATGAGGCACGCGAGGAGATCCGCAGATTGCGTCTCGCCAAGACACAGGCCGAAGAAGCTCGCATTGCAGCAGAGGAAGCTGGCGAACGTAATGCTTCTAGGGCAGCGCTTGAGCGGGAAGCTAGTCTTCAAAGGGATCTTGATGCAACTCAGGAACGATTAAAATGGTTTGAGTCTGAATGCGAGAATCTCAACCATCAAATCGAAGACCTCAATAAGTTCATGATCGAGTCCGGCGAGTTTGGTCTCAAGAATGACCAAGCTAAGGAGCGTCTCGAGCGGGAGTTGGTGACTGTGAAGGGCCGCTTGACTGCTTCTGAGAACGACAACCGCGCTTTGCTAAACAAAATCCAACAGAAAGGTCTTGAAATCGCACGATCGAGCTCGAGAGCCAGTGAAGCGTCGAGAGGTCAGGTGGTCAGTCTCCAGCGTGAGAAGGCGAGACTGGAAGAGCTCAATGCCAAGCTCCACAAGCAACTTGGCGAATCGCAACTTGCTATTGCAAGTTTAGAGAAGAAGTTGGAGAAAATGCAGCTCACTCTGGAGGACTTGAACCATGAGATGGCTCGCGAAGTTCAATCTAACAGAAATGCCGAAAAGTTGTCTTCGCAATCAACCGCTCAGCTTGCTGAGGCGAACCGAAATCTTGAGTCAGAGCGGCAGCTACGCACTCAGGCGCAGAGCACGGTCCGTACTATGCAAGCCACTCTCGATTCCCGTGGCACAGAGCTGGATGAGCTTCGAGCACAACTTCTCCGGGTTCTGAAAGCCGTTGATCCTGAAGTCCCAGAACCCATCGAGCCTGATGAGAGCCATGAGAAGATGATGAGCAAGAACTTTGAGATGATCAGGAAGATCGAGGAGCTTCAGCAGAATCTTCGGGTCCAGGCCGCTGGTCGCGCTAACGCCGAGGCTCAGCTGGCTGAGATCCGAGCCTCCAGAGGGGAGTCGCCTATCCGACCGAGGTTGGAAGAGATAAACCCCAACGAAGCCCCTTTTACTGGATCTCCTACACAGCGACGAGGCAAGCTTAACGGCCGGCTGAATTCTCCCACCACTACGCCGACACGGCGCTTCGGTAACGAGAATGAGCATGTTCTGGACTCAGGCAGATCCGATAAGACCGCGGACATGCTGAGCTTCAACAATCGTCAAGACCTAAAGGCCGAAGTTGAAGAACTTCAAAACCAACTTCAGATTTCCCAAATGCAGAACCGTCACCTGCAAAGTCAAATTGAACGATCTACGCCTATGCGTGAGAAAACTCCATTCGACGACAGCCCATCTGTGCGCCGCATGCAAAAGCTCGAGAAAGCCAACAGTCGCCTACATGACATGCTCGACGACTCGGCCAAGAAGGTCTCACACCTCGAAAAGTCGATGAGGAGTGGCGAGCTTTCACTCAGAGACATTCAAGCGAAGTCGCATGAGGAGATTCTCGATCTGCTTAATAGCCAGGAAGAATCACGAAGGTCACTTTTACATAACCACAACGACGCTGTCGCTGAATTGACGGACGTGAAGGAGCATTTCGAAAAGATTCGACGCGACCGTGCCAGTCTAGAAGTAGAGCTTCGTGATGCGAGATCGGATTTACAGGAAATGACTATCGCACGTGAACAGGAAGCTGCCAGCCGCAATCACCTTCTCGAGGACTTTGCTGATCTTCAAATTCGCCTCGATGCCGAGTCATCGAAACTGGCTGACGTCACATCGAACCTAAGCTTGTACAAGAGTCGAGCCGATGAGTACTTTAGCAAACTCGAACAGGCTGAAATCGCTGTACTCAAAGCTACCCGCGCCGAGCAGTTCGCCAAGTCTCAAGCTAGGGAAGCCGAGGACCAGTGCGCCGAGATCATGGCTGCCCGCAACAATGCAGATGGGACGATGGAAGATCTTCAACGACAAAACCAAAGATTTGAGGAGAAACTCGAGGATCTCTCTACCGATCTGGAGGCTGCAACACAGGCCAAGAAGCGTCTACAACACGAACTTGAGGACTACAGAAATCAGAGAGCTATTGACATCGAAGACAAAGAATCAAGCATGGAACAGACCCGCAAGAAGTACCAGGCTGAATTCGCCACACTCACAAAGGAACTCGACCTCGCACGTGAGGAGAAGTTATACAAGCAATCGGAGATTACTCGACTCCGAGAAGAGCTCGACGATCTGAGGTCCAAGTGGGATGATGAGGTCCTCAACAGTTCAACTTGGTCCAAAGAGAAGGCCCGTCTGGAGACCACCCTGTCAGATGTCGTCGCATCCCGTGACGAAGCAGTCGATGCTCATAACGAGGCACAGAGCAAGGTTGTGTCTCTCCTATCTCAAGTCCGGAGCCTGCGCACTTCTGTTGATGAAGTCGTCGCTGAGCGCGATGCACTGGTGCGCGAAAAGCGAAGTATCGAAGCCAGGCTCCAAGAGGCAAAGGCTGGACTTGAGGATCTCGCCAACAGCGACAGTCCTGCTTTGCGCAATGCAGCCAGCACTGATAAGCAGATTCTGGACCTAAAGTCGAACCTGGCACAGCAGCAAGATATCGCTGCAGCTGCAGTGGAGAAAATGAGACGCGCGGAATCTTTAGCCAACGAGCTCCAAAAGGAAATGGTAGTTGAGCGAGAGACTGGTGCAGGGTTGTCGAAGCAGAAAGCCGCTCTGGAAAAGAGCCTCAACGAGCTGCAAGTTCGCCTCGTGGACCTCGAGACGAAGGGCTACTCAAGTGGTAGCCATGATATCAAATTCCTACACAAGCGAATCCAGGAGGTCAGTTCACCATCTTCTTCAGAAGAGGCGGATATCCAACTCCAGGAAAACCGTCGTCTGTCATTCTCACTTTCACCCTCTAGAACACCGGGTCGTCCCCTCTCAACTCTAATACGCAGACTCACCAAACGCAAGCCAAATACTGACAGGGATGTAATGCAGCTCGAATCACAATTGGAAACCCAGGAAACAGAACGATCCAAGTCGGCACGTGAAGTCCGTAACGTCGATCGCATAGTCAAGGACATGCAGTCTCAGATTGATCGCAAAGACAAGCAAGCTATGCAGGCTACTGAGGATGCCAACCGTCAACGCGACAAGGTCGAGAAACTCCTCAAGGCGATCGAAGAACTGCAGGCCTCAGAAAGTGACACTCAGTTATCGGCCCGACGTGCTGAACGAGAGCTCCGGGAGGAAAAAGAGAAATTACAAAGGCTTGAGCGCGAGCTCGAAAGTCTGAAGCTGCGCGCAGAGAAGGGAACTGTTGCGGGGCTCAGATTTGGAACGCCAGGGCTTGATGGTGGCAGTGTACGAAGACTCAGTGGTTGGAGGGGAAGCATTGACGGGGTGCTGGACGACGCCAGCAGTGTCAATGGCGGAATTGATATACCCAAGCGGAAGAGCAGCCTTAGTCGGGTACCAAGCTTGACAAAGGGGTTCTTGTGATGAGGTGGCGAGCGATGCAATACAGGGTGGTATTTGGCGGAATGAAGGTTGCATGGTACACTGGCGTTTAAGGTTGTTTGTCTAAATGCATCCGGTATATGGATAGCTGGTTTGGTATGGATGGAATGAACAAGGATACGTGTAACATCATTTAATACTGTTGGATGATAGACCTACAAATGATACATGAGTAACGAATGGAATATCGAGATCATACTTGTCTAGCAGCCCTTTTTTCACTTCAGCCCCGGAATTGTCCTTGTCATAGAACGTGTTCATTCAAGAGTATGGGCACCAACTAGCACTTTCGAAGTAACATTAACCATCAGGCTAGCCATATTGATACTGCTGATTCTTTGGGACAAGGTATAGCCTTGTGATGATTGGTGTATGTCGAAAGCGTAGGACGGACGGACGAAGAGTTTGCGTCACACGAAATATCAACAGGCTTCGTCGACGCCGGGGTTCGCTTACTCTGAACTTTTAAAATTATATAACGGCAGCCTCACTATTCAGCCTTGGTCCCCAGCCGTCCATGCTATTTGCATTGTGGTCGGGTTTCCGTGGGCGTCAGTTGTCATTTGTAAGTGTACACCATGAGACACCTCTGCGTTGGAGAATGAGCGATTGACTAGATTTCATAAATTTTCCATGTCACCTGAGATATCCCATGTCGTGTCTTGTTAGCTCAGAGCCAGAATTATTTATGGGGGTGTCATTTTGTTTAATTCCACATGTCAAATACTCGTTGCCTTCTTATCTATGCTCGACTATGTACCATGGATATATTCTCAGCTTACTAAACAAGGCACGACAGGCTACATTTATCACCCCCCAAGTCCTGGGTCTTCGATTCTTAGTTGTTTGCTTGACTTGACTTTATTCGACTCGAGTTGATTCGCATCTGATCAACGTCCACACCGAGGCCAGCTTGTCCCCAGCAGCCATTTTCGAGGTCCGAAACAAGCCAAACAATGTCCGACCGGGCTTTAGAACGCAAGGTCGTTTAATCACTGCGTTGCACTGAACCAAGTCGTGTGGGTTTTTCCAGTTTTCTCCAACTGGTTGTTGAAGTTCAAAACATCAGAAATACACCCAGACACGAACGCTCAATTGCAGAAATACGACCAAAACCACAGTGGAGGCTAAGGGAAATACTACACCGGCTACTCTAATATGTCTCTTCGCCGCCGCAAACTCGATCTCATGAACCTCGTATACTTCCACCGTCTCCAAGTAGTTACTTTTTGAGTTGTCTATGGCCACGTCACGACGACAGCCATAGAAAGAGCAGAGACAGCAAAAACGGCGTCTGTGGTGGGAACATGCGTGGTTATGCCAGACCTAAAGGTGTTGTAAGTAAAATAATGTTTTCTCTCTTCATATATAATCCAGAAGTACCCTGCTGACTGGTTGGAGCGGAACAACGATTACTTGGCGAACGGATGTTACCGCCAAGTCGACGTAACAAGACTGCCGCGGGAGGTAGGTGATGTACCGGCGAGGACGCACAGGCGCCATAGAGATGCTTCGGATTCGCAGGCGGGCTTTCGACCCCTGATGACATCAACAAGACACCACCCACCCATCTCAAGTAGAGAACTCAAGACCCCAAGATCACGGCATGTCACTTCCTCCAGGAGGTCGTCATCTTCGGAGCGAAGGCCACGAGAAGTCTACGAAAAGAAATACGTCCACTTCTCTGCTCCCGCTGAGCCCCAGCGAAAACCTCGTCGGCCTCCTAAGGTCGGGCTGGATGACTATGAGATAAGATACCAGCGCCGGACCTGTATACCATCATTCTCGGGTTCGGCCGAGTTGTATGGCGTAGACCAGTACATACAGAGGAAAGATAACGATACCCACAGCATCCTCAAACCACGACGACGCAAGCAGGACCGGAGAAGACCCTGTCTCCTGACCTTGCTCATGGGTCGTCGAAAGAAGCCAGCGGTCCGGCAGCTACCCACACGTCGGCCCTGGAATATAAACTACTCGTCCAGACGTTCTGGCCTAAGTATACCAATCGAGGATTTGGTTCTAACTAAAAATTCCAACAGGCTAGTAAAATCCCTAGATTATGTAAAATATGTCATCCACAGCTACTTATGAAGTTTATATAGACGTCGTCGTAGACACATGAACATATCTTTCAGAAGTGAAGACAAGGCACCGCTCAGGGGCAAGAAGGGGGGTGGCGGTACTATTACTCCGGTAATTCTTCAGAACTAGGTGAGCACGATGGCTACAATGTGCATGCTACGCGTTGGGTGCGCAGGCATGGACGACCTCCGGCCCGATCCCCTGCACCGTTTGGGTCCGGATACGCGGCCGAATCCTCTGGGAGGACTCTTCCGGCGGTAAGCAATACCTGTGGGATCTACACCCAGGATGAAATAGAAGCTGAAAGATAACGACAAAGGCAGCGAAACGAGCCTACAGGCGATATGAAATCAGAAGGCAATCGTGCCATAAGCTGAGGCCTAATTTCCAAGCCACGGAAACAGCTTATGTACAGGTAACTCTCGACGTATGTATTATTTTTCTTATGAATATCAGACTACTGTTGCTGCGGTTCTGCACCCCACGGCTCGATATTCGATGTTACACTAATACTGTAACATGATGGCAGTGGCAACCCGAACGCCACGTCGCACAAGCTCTCTGGCGACGATCCAACCGCCGCCAACAGGGCATGCCTCGCCATGATTCTGACATCAGTGTTGCTGGCTCAGGACTTGTCACAAGCCATGCTCCCCAGGCAAACCTGGAAATGTGCTATACCACGACTATGCCAACTGGTATGGCCCCGCTTCTATGAAGGGAGACTACGAATACGGCGGTTGGTCAACAGAGCGCTCAGGCTTGGTACAATTGAGCAGCCATTATTGGGGCGATGTCAATAGTTATTCCATACAGGGCAAGTATAGGGGCATCGGTGTCAGTCGCCGAGGTGGGTTTTTCGCTACGACATTCGATTGTGGTTCCAGTGTAACAGAACTGCGCCTTGGCGCTTATTTCCTTTGACCCCATTGTATCAATGCACCATTTAAAGAACTTTATAAAGCTTGGAAATGATACGCCAATAAAGATGTGCCAGTTAACGTTACGCCTCATGCACGCTTTCAACTCCGTAAAGAACTCTTCTATTGGTTGAAAACGTGCGTGTGTTGGGGAAATAAAGCAGTTTTATCCCGGCTGCAGCACACATCTGTGCCACTTGGTCGGAGCGACGGATTGAAGCAGACTGATCCATAATCAGCACAGATCTCGGCCCAGGCCCAGGCCACCCTGCCGTAGTGGCACATGAGCTCTGTGATAAAGTCCTCGGATACAGCCCCGTCAATGAATCCCTATAGCACTCGCGCAAAGAGGATCCCTTCTTGAGTATATGCAGACAAAGATTTGGTATCTATGACTCGAAACTTGAATGGGCATCACGCTTTAAGGCGACCATCCTGTCCCTTGTAATCCTACTCTGCTATCACATCCGCATTTGTCTACGTAGACCAGCTAATAAAAGCTGAGTTCTGATAGTTGATAGTGGTAAAAGTCTCGAAGGTCTGCATTGCCCTGCTGAGCTACACGTGAAGAAGAGAGATATTGAGAAGAACACATTGAAAGCAATGAAGGGCACCTTTGAGCCCGAGTACTCGAGTGGCAACCGCCCACAGTACAGTCAGTGCCTGTCCACGGCAAACAGCAGCAGCAAGTCATAGGAATGTCAGTGAGCGCGATACAGTAGCCTGTGGTTCGCAATCATCACCAATTCTGGCAGTTGAACTCTCCTGCTTCGGCGAATATAATACACGCGCCTGACACAGCATTGCCCCTCAGAAATGACCGACCTCCAACGCCCTCAGTGCCAAGCACTTTGTTTGGTTCGCTACCGATCTGCGCTGTCGAGCCTCGGGTGACCTGCAGCTTAGCTGCACCAGCAGGCTGTGCAGCCATACCTGCCCTCCAGGCTGCCTCACTCGGCCATCAACCAAATTGGCACGCCGGCACGATGCTTTCCACAGCAATCTTCGCTACTCCATGGCATGCCGACGATTAAGACGTGAGAATGAGCTTCGGATTTGGTGTCGGTGACTTCCTCGCAGTCATCAAGCTTGCCAACGAAGTCCGAAAAGACTTTGCAGGCGCCCCAGATCAGTTTCAGCAGATTACTGCCGAGTGTGTTCAAATTGTAGCTCGTCTTGCAACGCTCATCGCTAATTAAGCATTCTGCACAGGATCAGGAATCTAGCCATCGTTCTTCAAGACGTCGACATATTTCTCATCGAACATGACGTTACCGAAGCCCAGAAGAACAACCTACGCCACATCCGCGAGAGTTGTCGGTGTGTATTGGAGGATACCCAGAAAGAACTAAACAAATATTCCAGCCTGGAGTCGAGGAATGGGAGTCTTGGCGAACGTGCGAAAAGAGGCTGGAAGCGTGTGAAATGGGAACCTGATGAGGTTCGCGATCTACGAAGTCGGATTACCTCAAATATCACAGTGCTCAATTCCTTCACCGTGAGCCATACCAGAGATGGTGTTGCCAAGCTGGTAGAGCGAAAAGACCAGCAAGAACATCGGGACATTCTTAATTGGTTGACTTCAGTCGATATTGCTGCCCAACAGTCAGACTTCATCGGCCGACGTCAAGCAGGGACAGGCCGATGGCTCATTGATTCGCCTGAATACGCCAAATGGAAAGCAACAAAGGGCGACGCGCTTTTCTGCCATGGAATCCCTGGAGCGGGCAAGACTATCCTGTCATCGATTGTGGTGGACGACTTGCAAGAGACATTCTGCACCGATAAGGATGTTGCAGTGTGCTATTTTTATTGTGATTTCAAGCGTCCGGATGAACAAAGGCCTAAGAACGTCATCTTGAGTTTTCTCAAACAGCTGGCCCAAGCTGCTGCGGCGTTGCCCGAATGTGTGAAGGACTTATATAATCAGTGCCGGGCAAAACGTAGGCCGCCAAGCCTCGAGGAAGCAACCAAGACACTTCGTTCCGTTGCTGGATTTTTTACAAGGATCTTCGTCGTCGTCGATGCACTTGATGAATGCCGAACATCCGACGGCTCCCAGGGCGAGCTCATATCGGAGTTGATCGAGCTTCAACGCATCACTAGTGCCAACATACTAGCAACTTCTCGACCAGTGCCGCATATTGTGGAAAAGTTTCGGGACTTCGTTTCATTGGAGATCCGTGCCAGTAGAGGCGATATCAAGAAATACGTCGATGGGAACGGACATAAACTCCCGCGCTTTGTTAGTCGCAGTCCAGAGCTGCTAGATGAGATTGTGGACGGTATTGTTGAAGGTGTTGATGGAATGTACGTAAAGATTGTCAGTCATGACATAACACTAACGAGCATAGGTTCTTACTTGCGAAGCTTCACCTTAACTCTCTGGAAAACAAGAAATCACTAAGAGCGCTCCGGAAAACCTTAACAACATTGACCAAAGGAAGTGATGTGTATACTGAAGCATATCAAAACACAATGGAACGCATTCGCAATCAACCGAAGGACCAAGAGGAGATCGCCATCCAGACATTGATGTGGATCGTCCACGCAAGAAGACCCTTGACAACAATTGAGCTTCAACATGCGCTCAGTGTAGAAGTCGGCGAGCTAGAATTCCTAGAAGATAACATTCCAGACCTCCAAGACATGGTTTCGGCCTGTTGTGGGTTAGTCACCGTCGATGAAGAGAGCAATCTTATTCGACTGGTTCATTACACGACGCAAGAGTTTTTCGAAAGACAAGGGGTCTATTTTTTTCCAGATGCGCAAACTGAAATCACGAATACGTGTGTGACTTACCTTTCGTTTAACACATTCAGTAATGGCCCGTGCCAACAACACCACGAGTTTGAACAAAGAATGGCTCAATCCCCTCTCTATGAATATTCAAGTCGTTATTGGGGCCATCACGCAAAAGGCTCTAAAGACTACAAGATAGTCCAAGAATTCCTTGAGCGAACAAACCAAACGCAAGCAGCTAGCCAGCCATTGTTTGTTGATGAGATTGCGTGGAAATACTTCGGCGAGAATCCTCCATCTCAAGTGACCGCACTTCACCTGGCTGCCTATTTTGGCTTAAGTGCGACCCTGGTTATAATGATTTTGGAAAACATCAGAGTTGATGTGGAGGATAGCCACTGTCGTACACCACTATCGTATGGTTCAGAGAACGGGCAAGAAGACACGGTGCAGGTACTTCTCGAGAATAGTGCTCAGGCCGACAGCCTAGACACTAAATACGGATGGACGCCGCTATTGTGGGCAACTGCAAACGGGCACGAAGGCGTAATACGCTTACTTCTCACAAATGGTGCTCAGGCCGACAACCCGGGTAGATACGGTCGGACGCCGTTATCGCGAGTAGCTGCGAAGGGGCACGAAGGCATAGTACAATTACTTCTCGAGAATGGTGCTCAGGCCGACAGCTTAGACACTAGATACAGACGGACGCCGCTATCGTGGGCAGCTGAAAACGGGCACGAAGGCGTAATACGCCTACTTCTCGCGCAAGGTGCTCAGGCCGACAGCCCGGATGGATACAGACGGACGCCGCTATCGTGGGCAGCTGAAAACGGGGACGAAAGCGTAATACGCTTACTTCTCGCGCAAGGTGCTCAGGCCGACAGCCCGGATGGATATGGACAGACGCCGCTATCGTGGGCAGCTGAAAACGGGCACGAAAGCGTAATACGCTTACTTCTCACAAATGGTGCTCAGGCCGACAGCCTAGACACTAGATACGGCCGGACGCCGCTATTGTGGGCAGCCATAAACGGGCACGAAGTCGTAATACGCTTACTTCTCACGCAAGGCGCTCGGGCCGATAGCCTAGACACTAGATACGGCCGGACGCCGCTATCGTGGGCAGCCGTAAACGGGCACGAAGGCGTAGTGCGCTTACTTCTCGCGCAAGGTGCTCAGGCTGACAGTCCGGATAATGACGACCAGACGCCGCTATCGTGGGCAGCTGCAAAAGGGCACGAAAGCGTAATACGCTTACTTCTCACAAATGGTGCTCAGGCTGACAGCCCGGATGGATACGGACGGACGCCGCTATCGTGGGCAGCTGCAAAAGGGCACGAAAGCGTAATACGCTTACTTCTCACAAATGGTGCTCAGGCCGACAGCCCGGATAGATACGGACGGACGCCGCTATCGTGGGCAGCTGCAAAAGGGCACGAAAGCGTAGTACGCTTACTTCTCACAAATGGTGCTCAGGCTGACAGTCCGGATAATGATGACCGGACGCCGCTATCGTGGGCAGCCGCAAACGAGCACGAAAGCATAATACGCTTACTTCTCACGCAAGGCGCTCAGGCCGACAGCCTAGACACTAGATACGGCCGGACGCCGCTATCGTGGGCAGCTGCAAAAGGGCACGAAAGTGTAATACGCTTACTTCTCACAAATGGTGCTCAGGCCGACAGCCCGGATAGATACGGACGGACGCCGCTATCGTGGGCAGCCGCAAAAGGGCACGAAAGCGTAATACGCTTACTTCTCACGCAAGGCGCCCAGGCCGACAGCCTAGACACTAGATACGGCCGGACGCCGCTATCGTGGGCAGCCGAAAACGGGCATGAAGCCATTGTACGGACACTTTTAAGTCATAACGCCGATGCTCAAAGTTCTGATCATAGCCATCGTACGATTTTGTTTTACGCGGTACTAGCTGGAAAAAGCCAAATCGTGCGCATCCTTACAGATTTAGTCACTTACATCGATATCAAGGACTACTATGGTTCAAGTCTGGTATCCATCGCTGCGCGCCTCGGCTATGCAGCTATCATTCGACAACTCACCAAAGTACCTGGCATCGACGCCGTCTCTGTAGATCAGTTTGGGCATACGCCGATGTGGTGGGCTTACAATCAGGGCCATCATTTAATAATGAGAGACTTGGAAGAATTCTATGAAGCGTCCGGTTTGAAGTTTTCCCTAGATACACCAGCCGTCTGCAATCGTCTGGACTTCACTCTTAAGAGCGGACACTGCGAGGTATGTTTGGCTGATATAGGTGAAAAGTACCATCGCTGCGAGTCCTGCTTGGGCGGTCATTTCGTCATTTGTGTTTATTGTTACAATCTTGGGGCTCGTTGTCTAAAAGGGTCACATACATTAGTATAGTAGTAGTAGTATGTTTGGCATAAACGTGGAAATTCCAAAATGATCTGCTACTTCCATCCCCCCCTACAAAGACGATACATACGTAGACACACATCCTTGTTGCGCCCAGGTTATTCCTCTTGAGGGCAGCCGACACTATAGTGCAAAGGCGCTTCTGATTTTCCATCCTCAGAGTGAAGTCCATACCGCAAGACTGTACCGCTTCCGTCCAATCCATTTTCCGTCCATTGCATCCATAATATGATACTATTAGTTGTTAGTGTATGACAGACAGATCAGCTTGGAAATGACTTCTCCAAGTATTCAGAACCCGATCCTCGGCGATTGAAGCGCGACCCAATAAGTTAATATGTATTTGGGATGCCTATGTTACATGATATCGTCCGTCCGAATCAACTTCCCGCCCAAACCTTGTATTCATGGAGAACAGGGTAAAGCGTTGGGGCGTTCACGGCTGCACGATTCGTGAGGACCACCACAAGGTACACATGTAACAACGGTCTCGGTGTAATCCTTGTGAGCGTGGCCCTCCTTGGCGCATCTTCTGCATTTTCCTTTAAAGCATTCTTGCACTGAAATGCCTTGTGTCAGACCTGCTGGCAGTTGTAACACTTCTGAACTTGTTTGCATCCCAAGTCCCCGGGTCTTTGCGTCATTGGCGTAGTCTCCCAAGGCACTTTGGGGGGGTCACCAAGCAACATGATACTAGCCTAGGTTAGGTTAGTATAGTACGTGGTAAATTTACTGGAGCGTGGCGGGACCTGCAGCGGCATCTTATCGCAATCTAGACTAACATCATTATCAGCATCATTATCAGGGCCTACTGTAGAATTTCCCAATTCCCATCACATTGCTCTTACATGCTGTCCTGGGAACTAAGCATCGTGAAGTTGCGTCGGCGATGAAATCTTTGCCCATCTTCTGTTGTTCCCATATCCATCATGTATGTAGGGTGAGACTATCACACGGTTGTTTGCATTAAAAAAACGAGTCTTTCTATATTGCTCTACACTATGGCAGCGTCCGTAAAAGCAGCGGCAGCGGCAGCGGCTGCGGCTGCTGCAACCACGGCGCACTCCTCCAGCACCGCCTTCGTCCCACGAAAGACCTTCGAAGTGTCCTCGTCCCTCGTACGGACCTACTTTCTGGGCCATCACCGCGGCGCCTTGTCCTCTATGCAGCGCATTCTCTCCAACATCTCCCTCATCATCGAGTGCCGCGACAGCCGTGTGCCCCTGACATCCACCAACCCCCTCCTCGAATCCTCCCTAGCCGGCCGCGACCGCATTCTAGTCTACACCAAGTCAGACCTTTCCTTCCCCGCCAGCGCCCACCGGTTCAAGCAGCAACAGCAGCGCCTGCTCTCCAAGTGGCACGCCGAGCGCCATGGCATCCACCACACCGACCGCGACCTCATAGCCGGCCAGGGCAGTCTCGGACGCACCGAGGTAGTCTTCACCGACGAGCAACAGCCCAAGACGATCCAAGCCCTCCTCGATACCATCAAGCAACGTGCCGCCGCAGCCGACTCCCTGACCGGCCTCCGCGCCCTGGTCGTGGGCATGCCCAACGCCGGCAAGAGCACCCTTCTCAACGCTATGCGCCGCGTCGGTATGAAGCTCCCCAAAGCCGCCCGGACGGGCTCGCAGCCCGGTGTGACGCGGAAGCTGTCAAGTCCTGTGCGCATCATCCCGGAGGACACCTCGCAAGGCATTGAGCAGGGCGTCTTCGTCTTCGACACCCCCGGTGTCTTCGTACCCTACGTCGGCGATCTGGACTCCATGCTCAAGCTGGCCCTCATCGGCTGCGTCAAGGATGGAATTGTGCCGGCTGAGACGCTGGCCGATTATCTGCTGTACCAGCTGAACATGCGAGACCCGGAAATATACAAGATGTTTTGTGCACCGACCAACGACGCCTTTGAATTTCTGGATGCCGTGGCTGTGCGCACCGGTAAGCTACAGAAAGGTGGCGTGCCGGCGAGGGATTTGGCGGCCATCTGGGTCGTGCAGCAGTGGCGAAAAGGGTTGTTAGGTCAGTTCAGTCTCGACGACGTCGACGAGGAAACCCTAAAGGAGTGGGCAAGGAAGGACCTCGATGGCGAGGATGGTCCCCTGAGCATGAACCAGGCGAAGAAGAGAGAGAAGGAGTCCAGGAAACTGAAGAACTTGGCGAAACGTGCGGCTGCTTCTGACGGCGGTCATGGCGGCTGATCAGTCATGGTGTGGAAAACGGCCAGCTTGCGCGTGAACTGGCAAGACATCGTGGAGATGCATAATACCCCCGAAGGTCAGATGGCAAGTCATGTTTTCACAAAACAACTCCCAAAGACTCCACCACTGCGACGACCATTGGTGCAGAGACAACCAGCTATATTTGCCTTTGTCTTTGCATATGATGTTCTTGGTTGCTCTGAATAATCCACAGTGGCGACTGAGCAGCCCTATACGTCTTTCCAGGTACTGTGTATATGTATAGAGAAGTCGCGATACGCAGGCAACCGAGTATTCGGTATCATGTCGGCGGGGTGTCTATCGATCGAAAGGAAGGATACCCAAGCTTACAAGAACATCCGCCTTGAGCACTAGAGGCATGTATATAGAACCTGTGAACATGTAAGATATTGCATATGCTATGCTAGAAATACTCAATCGCATTTCCAATATCAATAGCAATTCTTGTTTCGTGAGAATGTTGCCCTCATCTTATGTACTTGACGTTGTTTATCTATTTCCCAAAAGTATATTCCACTTGTTCTTCTGGCAAAATTGCATACTGTGTAGTATATTGTTGGCAGGCAATATACTTGTGAAGGTAGAATCAGGGTAACCACGAAAGCTTCGTGCCGTCACGTAACCTGGCCATCTTATCTCGTCTGTCCTTGCCAGACTAGCGACAGATACGATCCATATTATATACATGCAAAAACCATTTGTCTATTGAAAAGGGATATCTGTAGCTGGAGTTGGGTCGGTTCACGCTAAAGCAGGTGGCGTTTTCGTCAAAGGCCGCGATTAAGGTGGTCAATCGGCCAGCGAGAATTACAACAAGGGTTTGGCGGAAGCTATCAGCCTCAGCTGAACTTCCATCGGAGCTTCTCGTGTGGCCTGTAGGGGTACATTCATAAGTGTGCGATGGATCTCGCCATTCAATTCACATCTCGATTGTAGCATTTAAGCTTCTTTCTCGCAACTGAGTCTCTAGTACGCGCCGCTAACACAATTGCGCCTTGACTATCATATGGGACCGTCAGGTTATGGAGGTGGAAGCCACGGATGATTTGTGCGGGGAGTGTCAGACCATCGACCCCGTCAGCGCTCTGCGGCACATCGATTATGCTGCGAATTCCTGGGAGAAAGCTTCCACTCTCGGAGAGTTCTTTCTTGATTCGGAAAATGGATGTCTCTTCTGCAACTTCTGCATCCAGGCACTGAATGCGGCCAGGTCTGCTCGTGGGAGGCCACTTTTGAGCCAGGCGTATCTCGTCAAAATCGATGTTAACCGTCGTTGGGGTTATACGACAGACTCGGAGTCTCGCGATATCAATTGGATGACAATATCAATCGTGGATGAAACCGTAATCGGCCCCGAGCCCGGAAACTCGGAAGGAGTATACCCCGACAGCATCGATATTCAGCTCATAAAATCTCCTAAAGGTCTTGTCTCGGACGAAGACTGTTATCGTAGTGGACGCCTCGTCTCTGACGATGTTGACCTCAATCTTATCAAATGCTGGTTGTCTCAATGTATTTCGCACGAATGTGAAACAAAGACTGAGTCTTCATACTGCCCGGAATATCTGATCAATACATCTACCTTGAAGCTTGCTCCCCAGGTTGGTATATGTCAGTACGCAGCCCTCAGCTACGTCTGGGGAGGTCCAGAAATTCCACAACTCACACTCAAAGATATGAAGACCATCGCACCAGACCAAGACTCTTGGTCTATCGGACAGCACTGGGAAAGTGTGCCTCAAACGATCAAAGATGCCATCCTTCTCTGCCAACTGTTGTCGATAGACTATTTGTGGGTTGATTCGTTGTGCATCCTACATGAACGGCCCGACCAAAAAGCGTTTGGCGATACCCACCTGGCTCGACAAATGTGCGACGTTTACGAGTCGGCACACCTCACCATTGTCGGTGCGGCTGCTAAAGACTCTTGGGCCGGGCTTCCGGGCCTTCGAGCAGGAACCAGAAACACGAAGCAGCACACGCTCCAGCTTGGCGATGTTTTGCTCGCCGTCGTACAGAGATCACCACGCGAAGCCTTGGAATCTTCGATCTGGAACACGCGAGCTTGGACTTTCCAGGAGTCGATCCTCTCCAATCGGTTAATTATATTCACCGACGAGCACTGTTTCTGGAGCTGCAACGTGGCCGAGTCTACGTTCTGTGAGGATATACATCGCGAGGTCGTACCCGAAGTCGACACCTCCTACGACAACGATGTGCTTTTTTTCGATGTACGTGAAACCAAACAACACCTTCTGAGCTCGTCGCTAGGTAGGTATGATCATTACACCGTTTACCTCGAGATTATGCATGACTATAGTAGTCGCAAATTGACCTACGAAAGGGATGCCGAAGTGGCGTTCGGCGGCGTGGCGCATTTTTTGAGCAAGAACATCTCTACAGAATTCTTGTGGTGCATTCCGCTCCGGTTCTTTGAGCAGGTTCTGATGTTCCATCCACATGAGGATTTTCGCGGCACCCTGGTCCGGAGGCGCCTCTTTCCAAGCTGGAGCTGGGTGGGTTGGTTTCTTGACAAGAGCGAGGGAAGAGGCTTCCAGTGCGACAGCTGGGTCGGCACTACGCGAAACTTCGAGTATTCTCTCGACCAGTTCCGATCGATCAATACGTGGTACCGATTCACAAATACCAAGGCGGGGGGGTTAGGCGAGTTCCAGGCTTTGGGAGGTCTTGAAAATCCCTTTGAGGGTAGTCCAGGGCCACCACTTCGGACGCACGCACTGCCACAATCTATACAGCATCTACATATTCTTCTTTTCGACGCCATGGTAGCCCATCTAGACCTCCAAAAAGATGACCAGAACAAACAGTTGGCAAGAGATTTGGTATCGGTTCGTATACCGTGCACCAACCGCGTGCTGGGCACAATTTCCCTAGAGGTAGAGAAGGACGAGGCGCAGACCTATACATTTGTTTCTGTGGCACAAGAAACACGGGAGGTCGAGGTATTTCGTTGGAACGACCCACGGCCGACTGAATTCAAAGAGGTCATCCACACAATCCTCATCACTACAGACGAAGACGGCATTTCAGAACGAAAGCAAATTTTTACATTAGACAAGAAAGACTGGGATGAGGCTGAGCCGAGACAGCGGACTGTGTTACTGGTTTAAAACTAACACAACTGACGTTCTGGCCTCTAGAACCGTGAAAGTGTCTATGTGGAGTGAGTGACTCCCCGAGTCAGTCCAGATTTATCTTCCTTTGTCCCGTCCCTTGTATATCCCCGAACGCATAGAAAAATCTACTTACTTACTACTTAATCTCTGGCGTTCTTCTACACCTTGGTGCCGATTATCCTTGGGTCTAATTTCTCAAACCGGTCAAGCGAAATGAACAATCCCCATCACCATAAGCGCCAGACACTTCATCTCACTACTAACCATGATCATATTAGCTACGAGGGATTAAAAACTTGTTGCAACCCATATATCAAAGTACAGCATATTTCAAGTTCACCGGCAGTGAGATCAAGCAGAAAGTCGAAAGATCGCAGTAACCAAACAAGTAAAACATAAAAGAGCGTAACAACGACAACCCCAAACAGATCCCGCCCGACACAAAATGAACGCGCGTCAAGAAAACGTGGAGACGAGCTCCAGATCCATACCACTACACTCACAAAACCTTCTCCCTCCCCCCCCCCCTTCCCTCTCTCCAACCTTCAAGCCACGATCTTGTAACTCTTGACGGTGCCCGGGTTGGGCAGCGGCACGCCCGTCAGGCTCTTCCCGAAGCAGCCCCGGACAGTGGAGCTGACGCAGTCGACGCCGCTGTAGAGGCAGATGCGGCCCGGGTCCGGGACGCCGGCCGTCGCCGGGTCGAAGGTCACCTGGCCCACGGGTATGGCCTGGATCGTGTTGCACTTGGGCCAGGCCGTGCCGTGGACCTGCAGGTCCCTGCCGTCCGTGGTCCAGAAGCCGGCGCGCCAGGCGCTGGCCGTGGTGGCGCCCAGCAGCAGCAGGACCGCCGTGGTTGTGGTGGTGCTGGAGAGATGCATGTTCTATTTCGGGTTCTTTTATGTAGGGCGGGTGGCGGGCTGTAAGAGGTCGGTCAGCAGAGGAAGCCCCCCCAGAATGGCTTTTGTGAGGTGCGAGGTCTTCAGAAGGGCAGGGAAAGGGTAGAGAGACGGTTGCACATATCTATGCACTTTTGAGCGCACACATACCTTGGGGGGACGAGCTGTGGGTGTGCTATCAAATGAGGACAAATTTGCTGCCAGTTGACCTTGGGTGTATCAGGCTCGAGTGACAGATAACTCAAATCTGTCCGACCGCGACTCGACCCTTATATACAGGAATTTTCGCAGTTGCTAGCAGGACTGTTTCCCAAAACAGACCTCCAGACAGCGATGTGCTCTCCTAGTGTTGTCAACTCGCGGGCGAGAACATCAGCGCTGGCTACCTTGGCAGCTTACCGCCATCCGGCGCATTTCGTTTCCCCATATTGTATAATACACGACCTCTCCAGAAGGTGTGGTGGAGATTAACTTTGTTTCCTCGACACAGCTGCTGATCTCACCGGGGGCAGGTCAGCCGTAGAAAAAACTCGTCTTACGTTCGTCCACAATGTGTGTAGGCATCTGGAACCCATGATTGGGCCGGGCAGGCAACAACAAACAAAGTATAAAATGCTCAGCTAAGGGGGGGGGGGGGGGGTGCCACGAGGGAGTCTAGTCTGATGGAGAAAGGGAGAAGGAACTCTCTTGTGGCCAATCAGGAATAGAGGCAATATATACTCTTACGTAGCCGCACTAATTCATCAGGAATGGAGGGCTCAGCCGCCCCCAGAACTCTGGGGGTATAGTACCCGGTTGCCAAATATAGCCCCCAATGACACAAAACTATAATATCAAGTGGACCCCCCAAAGACTGTTTCGAGCCATGGCTGCCAGCTTCCTCAACACGATAACCTTGCAGCTGTAAGCTATAGGTTCATGACCCCCTTGCCGGCGGCGTGATGATGCTTTTGGAATCTTTCGTCTAATTTCAGATGGCTCAATGATGGACTACCGGATTTGGGACCCGTTTTGCGGATGTTTCTCCCGCGATGACTTTTCCCATTGCAGGTTTCGAGGCAATTTCTTTCGAATCGCTCTATACCTAATAGTAACGGGACTTACCTACACTGCTAAAAATAGCCTATGGTGAACAGCCACCATGCTCATTCATCCTTCCGAGGACCAAATCAGTACAGCATCTTGTTCGTGTTGAACAGTTGCAGGCGGTTAGTGTCTCGGGATGGCGCGTAGCATGATTCCCAGATAACCGGTTGGTTGTCTACACGATGTCAAGTTTCTGCAAACTGTTGTGCTCCGGTGTTTGAACAATATATTATAATTACTGGGTATATGTGTTACTCATACAAGGTCGTCAGATATTTTATTTCGGAGGTATTTCCCGACCATTCTTGTGCCCTTTTGTAGGCGTAGAGGGTATCCAAACTCCTTCCACATTTCTGTCTCCCAGAACAAACAGAACCCAAAGTGAGAAAGAAAAAAAAAAAAAGGCAATGAAACGGCCTGTGTTTGCCAGGTTGGTATATTTCTCTCTCATCCACGCCATGCATAATATCAAATCGTGTGCCCCTTTCCCAACAACACCATTGAATGAAAGTTGTATCAGTCCCATGCTCGTGTACATTGAAACTCCGATGTCCGGTGTTCTATAAAAACGTATGGTTTGCTGCGGAGAGTCCATGAGGCTGTTTGACCTGGTCATTGACGACCATGCCAAGTCCAACGGTCGACCCTACTATAAGACCAGCCGCAGTCTGAAACGCCATCATTACACATCTCTGAGAGGCTCCTTCGAATGAGCCCGTTACCACTCGCCATGGCCACAACGTGAACTTCAAAATCCCTCTCAGGGGTAATCCGTTGACGAATGGACATGTACTAGTCGTCCAGCCCGAAGATCTTGCGCAATGTTCCGAACTTCTTCTTTTTCTTTGTGTGATCCGCTCCAGCTGATATGTCATAGTCAGCACCATTTCCGTTTATGTGCTGTTCTGGAAGGCCTAGACTCGTGCTTCTCCTCCCAGCAAACTCGGGCCTCTTGGACCCAGCCCCATTCAGTCTACCGCCAGAAGTACTTGGTCGCCCATCTTCTCCTGCTTCCGGCAACGGCCAGCTCTCGTAGGGGTTCTTCTTTTGCAGCCTTGGACTGGTGGGTCTCGAGTCACCGAGTGGGGCTGTCAGCTCGTCCGTGTTGTGGTCGAGGCCTGCAGTCTCGGAGCGAGTGGTCTTAGCATTATCCGCTTTCCTGTTGCGCCGGAGGATATTGCTCATGAAAGATCCTCTGCGAGCGTGAGTGGGACGTTCAGTACTAGGTGCCGTATATGATGTCCCGCGCCCGGCCTGTGGGCGACCAAGCGTTGTAGTACCGATACCTGAGCTATAACGCTTGTTCAGATCCGGTCTGAATGGTGCTGCTGTGTTCCCCGGGCTTCTGAGTGGACTAGGCAGTTGCATTGATGGCTCGTCGTCAGAATCGGGCAGGTCTGGGGAATCCTCATCCTCCTCGGGCACAGGCGTGGTCGCCTTCTTGAAGTTTGCAGGCGCCGTGGCCGATCCTCTCAACGTACCCTTAGATAGTGGACGGTCCGAGGCGCTTGGTCTTGCATCATCCTCGTCACTTGAATCGTCAAAACGGCTGCGAAATCTTGAAGAGGCAGGCTCGTCCTCATCGCTTGAGTCAACGAAACGACTCTCTGACTTGATCTTCTTGGAAGCTACTTTGCCGGAAGCTCTTCCAAAGGACGGTACTAGGGACGTGCGCTTTGAGTCTCTGCTCGCGATACTAGCCACGTCACTACCCGAACGTAAGCTTTGTCGCATACCCTTACTCTGCGGAGAGGCTGTAACGACGGAAGAGCGACGGAATGCTGAACCTGACGGAGACAACGATCGTAGGCTGAATCGGCCGGAGCCCTTGGTAGCTTTGATTTCAGACGACTGTGGTTGAGCCGGAGCTGCATCGTGCCTCATTGTTCGACGAAAGCTGATATGGTCCGAAGGCGCAGCTCGTGCGCGTTTGAAGCTGCTATCACTTGCGTCAGAGCCACGACGTTGTATTGGTGCAGGCTTGCCGTTTCTTTGGATTGCAGCGGCGGCCGAGGCTGCAACTTCAAAAGACGAGCTCCGATCGCGCTGCGCACCTCTCTCCGGCCCGCCAGCCGTTCGAGGTCGTGTCGTAATTGTGGGTGGAGATGCGACCCGCTCAGGCTGTTGAGAAATCCTCCGTGAAGCAGGTTCGGTACCACCAGATCTCATGGATTTCCGCATGTGTACTTCTCCAGGATTGCTCTTAGAAAGCGTACGAGATTTTCCGGATTGTGCTTGGTCTCCACGCAACGACGTGCGCATATGTCCTGACGTCGCGGATTGCGGTTCCTCTCTACGTAATGAGGTGCGGATGGGTCCCGAAGACCGCGCTTGCGGGCTCACAGGCCCGTGATCAGCTTTTGTGCCAGGCTGAATCATATAGGTTCTTTCAGGGTCATTGCCTTTCATCTGCCTCGGCTCTTGTACTGGCGCAGCTGCTTGAGCTTGAGCTGCCCGGCCAACGGCTGTAGCTTGTCTCTGCTCTGCCGTTTTCTTGCCTCGGTTGCTGAGCTTTCGGGTGGGAGTTTTCAGCTCTTCTTGGTCTGCTTCTGTTCCAGCCTCGTCCATAGCTTCCAACTCCAGCTGACGTCTCTTCTCAGCAGTTAAACCTCTCCAGAACGATTTCGCTTGTTCCCAATCAGTTTCGGGATTTGATGGTGCGGCTACCTGTGTTGAAACGACCGCTTTTTGAACAACCGGGTTCATATCCTCAAGGTTAGACTTCTCGCCAGTGACACCTTTAGGAATTTGATCAGCAAGTGATGTCTTGGTGACTGGACTCTCGACAACAGCGTCGAGGGATTGGAATCCTCCATCACCCTCCATATCTGACGGATCTTCATAAGCATCGCTGTAAATTGATGCATTAGATTCATCGTCGGTCGTATCCTCGGGCATTGTGGCCTGTGGAGTAGTCGCTAAATTTGTCTGGGGCAATACCTGGGTTTGCGAGGGTGCAACAACAGGCTCAAGTTCTTTCACTGCCTCGATGGCTGACGCAGGAGTTGGATTAGGCAAAGTCTGTCGTTGCTGAGTGGTTGTATAATCATCCGACTCATCATCAGGGAACATGCCAGGAAGATCCATATAGTCTCGTGCAGGTTGTCGAGCATGGACTCGATTCTCATCAATAGCCGCCGGGCTCGGCTGAGTGAACATGATCGCAGGAACCGTTTCGGTCGGTCCTGTAGTTGCGTTTTGCGAATACTCAGCTAAACCTGGTTGAGCTTTGGGCTGTTCCGCCACCTCGGGTATATCCTCTTCCAAACCCGTCAAGCCATTTTCTGAAATGACTTGAGAGCCCATCATCGTCGTAGCCGTTGTTTGGGTGCCAGGTACGGTTTCTCCATCACTGTCGTTAACAGCACTATCAAAAACAAATTCGTCGTCCGAGCTCCTCATACTGTCGGAGAAATCTTCATGGGCTTCGGCAGACGTCACAATAGGCGGTAATGGCTCCCGGAATCGTGAAATGTTTGCTGCGTTTCGCGACGCACTGTCTTGGTTTTGTGCGAGTATAGATCCAACAGCATGATCACTAGACTGCCCAGAAACTGTAGAAGCCGCGTATTCGTCAATCGTCTTTGTTTGACTCGGGCTCAAGGGTTGTTGATCGCCGGAGCTCGTAGGCGGGGTTGGAGAATGCGCAAGTTCATGGGGCCGTATCAAGGGTCGTTCAGGTTCCTCGGGCTCGCGAACCTTCTTCTCACGCACGCTCCCGAAACTGGGCAGCGCCGGACGTGGCTTCATCACCTCATCATCATCGAGCTCTGGACTAGCTTCTTTCTTCTTACGGCCGATGCTGCTGTACCAAGGCCGCCGGGTCTGTGGACTCGGTACGACTGGCGAATCTGTATCGCCAAGGGGACCAATAGATTCGCCGACAACCACTGGGCTTCGCTCATCAAAACTTACTCGGACAGACTTCTTGCGTGAAACAGGTGCTGCTCGATCTGGAGAGTCCACAGGAGCTCGCGCCGCATCTGATCCGTAGTCTGAAGGAGACGCATCCCTTGGTGAGGGGCTGTGATGCTTAAGTGCTGACTTGATGGGTGAAGCCGATCTGCCGAGCGGCGCATGCCTTACCACCAAACTTTCAGATGGGGTTGATGCGAAACGGGCCTGGCGGGCGGGACTCTGTGACAGTGACCTCTGTGGAATGCTATCATCGCGCGCCAAACTCGCCACTTGCTTGTTCTCGGCAAAATCTATAGACTCAGGTTGGCCGTAGGACTGAGGCTTTGGTTCAAGAACGGTGTCCTGCTCGTGCACTGGCTCGTACAGCGTTTGTCGTGTTGGCACATTATCCAGTGCACCGTAGACCTCTTTAGAAGGAACATGTGAAGCTTCGGCATCCGGGTCTTCTTCTGGCTCCTCCTTGACCACAGATGGGTGGCGACCTAGCTGTCCGGTAGGCCGAGGGCTTGCGAAGCGGTCAGGCTGCTGCTCAATTGGTGATGGGGTTGATAACCTCGAGTTGTCAGCGTCCGAAAACCGTGCTTGTCTTGTGTCCTGTCTTTGCTTCTGCGGTAACTGCGGTGTAGTGACGACAGCCTCTGCTTGTAGATCGTCTAACATTTCTGTTTCTTCCCTCGAGGGATACTGCGTTTCCACCGGCGGTTGTTCCCGCCTTGGTACTTCACGTGGCCGTCCACCAGGCTCGACATTAGTTCCTTTGACACGGGCAACTGTGCCCTTAGCTAAGTGGCTCCCCGATCTCGAAACACCGGTTTGACTCTTCCTGCTCTTCGTCGGCTTCTCAGCGGCTGCTCTGACGTTGTACTCGACGGCTTCTAAGCTCGCTTTTGGCACCATTCTCCTCGAATTAGGGTCGTAGACGAGCGTTTGGTCAGGTCTACTGGAGCCATTAGAGACGACTGACGAGCGGTTGGCTTTAGGTGAGTTGCTCCACTGCGAACTCTGGTCAACAGTTGGAGACGAAGGCGGCGACTGTGCGCGAGCGCGGCCGGGGTAGGAGAAGTTGATGGATGAGCTCCGACTATCGGCTCGCGTGATGCTTTCCGGTCGCCCTCTGCGCATCGGCGCATCTGAAGTGCGCACATTGCTGGTGTCACCCCGAGGTTGTGTATACCAAGATGGCAGACCCGAATCCAGCTTTTGCGACGCAGTCTTGAAGTTCTGCATACCTACACCAGCTGAGCTCATACTCTTGGACGCTTTATGCCCCGGCGGAATAGCCGGCACTGGCGGGTGATCCTGCTCGTATGGTCTGCGATCGCCGTGCGGCGACTGGCTTCGAGTTCGAAAAGAGCGCTCTGACATGCTACCAGAGCTGCCTCTCCTCCCAAGTCTAGGCTGTTGTGTGCTCCCCCTGGCCGCGGCAGAGGCGGCGCTGCCTATCGAGGATATCGACGGGCTCCGACGCGATGTCCGTTTCGTCTGGACCTGGGAAACATTGGTCGGAGTGTGCGGACGGGCACGCAGCGCCGCAGCGGCAGCCGCGGACGACAGGGCCTTGTTCGGATTCGGGTTGCTGGAAGCCATAAAGGCAGCGGCTGCAGCAGTCGAGGCGTTGGGATTTGCGGTATCCCTTGTAAGCTGCTGTAAGAAGGAGGGAAACAAGTCAGAATTGGCTTTTAGCTCTTAGTCCCGACGTGAAAGTAGAACATGCTATGCTTGAAGGGCTCTCTCAAGCCTGCGCAGATACAAAATAATGCGGGTCACGACATCATCGTTAGGTGAGAATGCGCCGCTTGACGTTGGCTTGCGATGGCTTCGTTCACTAAGATGGTTCTGGCTCTAGCTCCAGTGGGTTGGTGTGCAATGTCGTGTAGAAGTACAAGTAGAACTACCGATAGTCTTCCTGCCTCGCCGGGGAGCAACGAGGTGAGACTTCCGAGGTACTTTACAGGGCGCACTAACGAGAAAGCATGCTGGAACTCTGGACGGACATGACATGGCATGTCTTCAATCTAGGTTCCAACAATAACAAGGAAAGAAAAGGATGGTTGATGAGGCTGGGGTTGGACGTTGAACGTTGAACGTTGACCGACGTACCGGATACGGCTGCTGCCGACTGCTGCGTCTCTTCTTTGCCTTTGCGCCTCCAAACATGTTGGTTGTTTCTTTCCCCAAGATCTGTCACGGCAGAACGGGCTCTGCTCGGTTCTGCTACTGCTCTGCTTCTATGTGTAGGCTTGGCGCCTACGGGAGTAGCTGTAAGCGACTCATTCGAGATGAAATATTAGATAGGCAGCGCAATTGATACAGTAGTGTAAAATGACGGGGATACGTAGACAAAGAAACTCAAAAGGTGTTGAAAACAAAGCACTATTGATGGGGCCGCAACGTGGTGCGGAGGAATGGTCAAATCAGCAGCAGAAAAATGAGGATGATGACGCCTGTAGCAGGCAAGCAGGGGGGCAGGGAGGACTAAGCCACGCTCTAAGTTGACTTATTCATTTCACTTCACTTTGACGCGGCATGACATTGACAGCAGCGGGGCCCAACGCGTGGTGCACATCACTTGTGGAACCGTGACATTTTTGGAGAAACACTATGGAGTACGGATCACATAGTACCTACATACATACAGTAGTCTCCAGCCAGCTGGGGGAGCTACCCAATTCGGTGGTCCCTGTCCTGTAGATCTTGCCGCGTTGGTCGTAACACCTGAACTCTTGCTACCCTTTTCGTGCCCTTGTTTCACGGCATTTAGATTCTGATGGGTCGCGCAGGCAAGCAGGCCGTTTCCCCGTCGCACCTCGTTCTGCTCTGGGTGTTGTGACATTTGGATAATCGAACGTTTACCAAGGGTCAGAATCACGTAACTGGCTACCATGGTAGAGAGACCTCCTTTAGATGGTCTAGACAGCCGGGATGCTGGGGTAGCACGCTCCAGACACACACACACACATACACACAGCTCCATTGATTTGTCTCGGCGTCCTTCAGTACTCCGTACCGTACGGCGCATTGTCTACCTTGCTGTCCAAGCATCAAATGGCATCGAGGGCCTTTTCTCAATGCATAGTATGTGGAGCCGCTCCATTTTGTAGAAATCGAATTGTCAATTCTCCATCGTCGAAACCACCACAGACGCCGGCGTCTGTCGCAAATGCAAATCAATTTAAGACTAATACTTTGCGCTGACGTCATTCCGCGCTGCATTGCGGCCTGCGACTTACTAGTACAAAGTACCGAGCTAGTATCTCAGCGCGTCCTTCTGCAGGGCGGGCAAACAATGCCTGGGGCCTTGCCGACATTTGTTCAGGCAGTGATTAGTTATCAAGATTCCTAACTAAATGTCAAGATCAATTCAGGCTTGAACATAATGTCTGAACGTGAAATCTCACAAATCCGATTACGCCGGTATGAAACATGCTTTAGGTCACAAGGGTTGTAAGGCATACAGGGTTCATAAAGAGGGGGCTGTGCATTGTTCTATCTACGCGCTGTGTAAGTTGGTTTGTAGCAAAGTAATACTACCATTGCCATCATTATCCGTCGCGCAAGTCGCCAGACGCATACTTCTTCATCTAGTCTCCATCTTCATCGACAGAACCCAGCCACTCAATTCCCGTGTGGGAAGAACAATCTGAGTAACATGTGTCGGTCAGATCAGGAACACAGAGGTAGCCAAGAGACGCTGCCGAGCAAATCAAGACAAAGTCTATGACAGGTGAAGTGTAAATCTTTGTCAGGTAGACAATGTGGTGTAAGTGGTGATGTGGGGGTTAGTAGAAAGCTGGAATCAACATTGTTCCCACCAACAAGTTGATCCATACTTTCAGGGAATGGAAAGAGTGCTACTAAAGTCCGCGATTCAAGAGCACAAAGGAAGATGACCGGCACCAAGCAATCGATTGAGAATGGTCACTCTGAATCGGGCATGTTGCTAGGCCACTGGGACTCGATGGTCGTGACCTGTTCCGCCAGCGAAGGCATCTCCTGCCAAGGGAGTATGCGATTCAAAGTCCTGACCAGGCGCGACATTCGGACAGCTATCGTCATGGACGTCCTCATCGTAGTAGTCACCCTCTTCATAATCCTCGCCATGCGTCTCCTGGCTTGGCTCGTTGTCCATCAGGGGGGCCTGGTTGCCTGAAGCTTGTACGGCGTTGCGATCTTGTGCAGCGGCGTTGTTCTTTGCTGGCAGTTTACCGGGTTTCTTGCCCTTCCGTGACTTCATCTTCGCCTTCTCCAGCAATCGCCGACGCTCGGCTTCTTCTCGTCGACGCCGGCGATCCTTGATCTCGTACTGCCGAATCAGGGCTTCCGGAGGCCGACCGAATATTCTCTCATATTCACAGAACTCACAGATCCACAGTTCCTCGGGTGTCGGCGGATGGTGGTAGTTCTTATACTCCTGATCCTGCCGGCGCTGTTTTGCAGCTTGTACGAGCGGGTTTCCACGTCTTCTATGTTTTTTGGGCGGAGCGTTGACAGGTGCACCATCCCTTCCCGTACCATCTACTGAAGAACTGGCTCCGGTCTGTGTCGCTGCCGATCCAGAGAGAGGCAATTGGCCATTGTGTGCCGATCGAGCATTCGCTCCATAATAAGGGTTGTCTTGAGTTCTGGGCATAGGCACCTGCTGATTGTGGCTATTTCCTACCATGCGTGGAGAAGTGGATTCGGAGCCAGGCCAAGGAACTGTACCAGACACCTGCGAATCGAATGTGAATGTGAACTGTGAGGAAGCCGGGCTGGCTTTGGTAGATGCTTGTTGCTGTAAGAGGCTGATATTTTCCTGTCCTTGAGGCACAGGGAGCTTTCCGGCGCTGGCAATCGCACTTGATATGATACCCTTCTTCTCGCCTAAGGAATACACCAAATCAGTTTGTCTTCATCCAAGTTGGGCAGACCCGAAAGCTGTGAAATTGTGCAAGGATGATATCTAGATTCACGGCATGGGATATGATCGGCGAACCTGGCAGGCCGTTGGGACTGAGCGCTTACGCCCAGGAGAGGCTGCGGTTCCAAAGAAAATAGAAGAATGGCTATAACACGTACCTGGGGAAGGCGGATAGTCACCGTCGTATCTCGACTTGGAGGTCTTGACAGGCCAGTTCGAGTTAGGATCCGGCACCTGTCTCAGAGGGCTCCTGCCATTGCGATTTCGTCCATAACGACCTCTGCCTGGACCGGATATGCCCTGAACGGGTGAGCCAGCGACCCCACCATACGCATATGGCGAGGGGGTGGTGGCTAGTGCATCGCCGGGGCCTTCATCACCCGTCATGGGCGGTGATGGGACCCCCAGAATACTCGGGTCGGTAAGCACATGCGAGCCGTTTAGGATGCTCTCACCGGCAGTCGGAATCTTTCTCTTCTTCTTGTTGTTTGTGTTCTCGAACGAGTCATAGCCGTCGACAGAGGATGCCGTAGAAGGAGGTGCCTGCGGGGCCTGATGCCGGCCCTGACCTGCCCGGGGCGGTGTGCGAAGAACATGTCCGACAGACTCGTAGTGTGGTCGTGTTGCGAGCGATCTTCTGTTCTGATACAGCAAGCCGTCATCATCATGGCCTCCACGCGAGCCATTGTGGCGCAGTCCAACTTCCTGAGCCAGCTCGAGGCTGTTTTGTCGGCTCGCCAGGTTGGCCAGGTCGAGGCCTACAGCTCCAGCTTCGGCCTTGAGATTGTAGGGGTAGTAGAATAAAGGTGCGTTGTTCTGGTGTTCAAGCGGGTACTTGATGGTGCCAGCAGCCTCAGGAGAGAGACGTTCGCGAAGGCGGCGTTTTGGAAGCGGGCGAATCGGACGATCTGGGAAAAGTGAAGATACGGAGTCTGGTGACATTTTCTCACTGGAACCTGATACTCGACCAAGTCGAGAGATTGTTAGCCAAATAGCCGAAGGCGCAACAACAAAGGTCACGATGAAGATGGAGGACTTGGACGTCAAGATGGACCAGGCATCAAAGCCTGGGGCCTGAAGGTGGGACCCCCAAAGATCCATGACATGGCGAGATTGCGAATGTACAGGAAAACAACAGAAGACAATATTGGTACAAATGACTTGGCTGCGGAGGAGCGATTGTCGGGGGGGGGGGGGGGGGGGGGGGGTAATGTGGAGAAGGACATCTATCTTTCTGCACATACATGCCCAGTGATTGGGGATGAGGTAGGTAGGTAGAGAGATTGTGGTAGCCACCGGCAAATACAATCAATATTCCTGAGATGCGGGTAGAGGAAAGCACATACCCATCACATGTCGAAACCACTCTCAGCTATTTTGACAGCCTGCCGCCGGAAGCAAGTGTTCTCTACTCGTCTTGCGCTCGGTAAGCAAATGGTTTACTCGCACGCCAAAATACGGCGTAGGATGGTCAGCGACGAGGAAGTCGACCATGTACGGAGCGGAAGTTATATCTCGATAGGCTGTTCGATAATGGTATGGGCATACTATTTGAGTTCTGGGTAAGCCGTGGCACCGTTGACATCAGAGAGACAGAGCAGTCCAAACGTGTAATTCAAGATGGTCAGGAAAAGGAAAGAGCAGTTGAGGTGCCTCTCCCTGCTGCGAACGATTCCATAGTGACAAACCGCTTTCCGCTCTGGGGAGAGTCAAGTCCATGTCATTGTGACAAGCAGCAGGCGGAGCCACTCAGCCCTCCCAGACCTACTGCTTCCACAAACACATTTGCATAAAAGGGTATACGGAGCAGCAGGCATCAGGCATCAGGTATCAGGTATGGCTTACAAGCAAATGCAAGATGCAAGATGCAGAAACGCTGGTGAAGTCAAGTCGCAGTCGCAGTCGCAGTCGCTTTTCGCTATTCCTATCGCTAACGGTTTGAGGCGAATAGGGTATGTAGAGAAGGAGCAGCGGACGTTCGTGGGAGATGACCAATACGTAAGTCGTGGCAGTCACTGGTACCACATGCAGTCCTGCCCCCCCTATATCCTGTCGGGCCGGTCTTGCGTTCTCTCGGTTTGTGCAAGGCGGCGTTTGCAAAGAAGCAACGTTGTCCACCGTGGGATCGTACTGGGCTCAGCACTTGGTAGACCCGTGATCTGAGTACTCTTGGAAGGTTATAAGCACTCTCAGTCACAGATGTGTTCATTACAAGTCACGGAAGTCTATCACTGAACGGCAGGTCTCGGAATTGGTTTGTGCATGCTGGCGATACGGGGGTCGCCTTAGTGGGCCTTTTTGGGGGAGGTGCAAGGACCGGTAGCAGGTCTTTGACCCTGTCATGGAATCTCATTATTCAGCCACTGGGCGTTGCTGCATAAATTCCAAGTTGGTTGGATGGCGGTTGGGGGGAAAGGTTGGGTTTTAGGAGCAAAGTAAATGAAGCAACAATATCAATTTTGATGCATCTGTCCATAGCACTTGGTAATTATAATGCCTGCTCAGACCCTTCTCTACTTTGTGTGAAATCATTCCGAGAAGCATGTTTGCCGCCATGTCTGTTGTGCTATTTGCTTCTACAGAGCACTACTGTAAGACCCTCCTGCCACACGCCCCCCATTTGCACCAAAGCAAATGCTGCCCCGCGTTGTGTCACTTTCCCATAACTTACCGGCGGCTGAGTTGATTTGCTGCAGGTCTGTGAGGACTTTATGGATTACTGTGGTAACCTTAGCAAGTGAGGGAGCCAGAGTGATGATGATTGGGCTTGTTTGGGGCTAGGGTGGGGTGACCAGCAGCTGGAGGTTATGTCGGCCTGACTGTCAACTCGGGAGAGTTTGGCAGCGGCCTCATCACTTCGAAGCAAATGCAGGACAAGGAGACAACTCACATTGCCTATCCACTTTGTCCATCGATGTCCATGTTTCTCAGCATATCGAATCACAGGCCGGCGACGGCGCGCACTCAAATTTTGCAATCACAAATCCAAACACGGTTGTCTTCAGCATGTACGATACATGTGGCATTCTTTTTGGGCCGACGAACATGTCCTCGAAAACGATTGTCATTCTCAAAACTATCAGCGGCTCTGCACCACTCTCTCCCCCGCCAAATCATATGCTTTGGAGGGTCCCGGCCCCGGCCTCGCCAGCTGGCAAAGCTACTGTATGACATGAGTTTCGATTTCTAGTTTCCATACTACGACGTACGACCCACAGCCCACAACCCAGAGCCCACAACCCACCAGGACGGATCATCCACGGCCCGGCGGCGGAAAGAGGGCCATCGGTGCAGCACTGCGAGCCAGCTGGCGGTCTCTTCGCGCGGGACGCTCAACAGGCCGGCAGGCAGCCTGGAATGGGCCATGTCTACCCCTCGCCTCGAGCTCGGCATTTTGCAGCCAGCAAGCGCCGACGCATAGGGAGAGTGCTCGACTGGACTTGTGCACCCTCGCACCAAACCCTTGACCAATTGTTGAGCTAAGCTCGGCTAAGCTAAGCTCAGCTTAACAATTGCGATTTTGGGTTCAGATGCGGAAGCGCAGCGCTGCAACTGCGCTGCGCTTCTCTGTGTCTGGTCAAGGGTCAGAAGCAAAGCAACGCAGCGGGCAACGCAGCGGGCAATGCACCCAGTCCAGCAAGTCCAGCGCTGGGAAAATGTCCCCGCTCAGATCTATTCTGTTTCCCATGGCCCATGACCTACTGCCACTTGCATTTTATTGCTCTTCCGCGTCTCTCACCAAGTCACCAAAGCCAATACATTTCTCAAGCATTCGATCCAGTCATGCCAGATCTGTATCCTTATTGCCAGACCCGCCAATCTCCCTCCCTGTAGCTAGGGAAACTCGATTGAGTCGTCCGTTCTTCCCCGAGAGCTACCACGCCTCTGGCCCTCGCTCGTTTTCAATCTTCCTGACCTACCCTTTCCCTCCGTTTGGAACACGACACTCGCATCCCATCTACGACGTGTCCCAAGCATTGCTACCTTGACTATTCAGGACGAGACTAGAAACCGGGCACCGCTTGACACGGGGAGAGAAATGGCAGACACTTCTGCTCGTCGGTCTTCCCGGGCGCGAACCACTCAACCGCCACAACTACCTTCCGCCCCATCCAGTGTCACGGGGCGCACCGAGCGACCATCTCGAGCACACGCAAAGGCCGGCTCTCCCCAAAAGTCGACGGGCAGCGGATCGCTCTCCTCGGAGCCCCCCGAGGACTCGACGGCCACCACGGCCAGCAGCGACGACAACCCACATCTCCGCCGGCGGAGCACTCGCAACCGAGACGACGACCGCGAGAAAGAAACGAAGCAGGACATGCACGAAATGGCCATCGTGAGCGACGAGAACGAGATACAAGAGGACGACGAGGCCGTCCGCTGCGTCTGTGGCTTTGACGACTACCCGGGCCTCCCGCCGCTCGACGAAGACACCAAGAAGCTTGCCCTCAAAGATGCCATTGATATCGAGCAGATATTCTCAATCGAGCTCACGGACGACCTGGCCGGCTTCTTCGTCCAGTGCGACGTGTGCAAGGTATGGGAGCACGGCCTCTGCATGGGCATCGTCAACGAGTACCTCCTACCGGACGACTACTACTGCGAACTATGCCGGAAAGACCTGCACAAGACTTATGCCGCCAGTAATGGGTGAGTTTGCTTGTTTTACATGATTTCCAAGGCCTTTGTGGGCTATGCGACGACTTTTTTTGGGCGTTGGCCGCGTCCTCTCCTCGAGCAGTGGCGGAGCGCTGACGGTGACGGTACGGCGCATCTGTCGATCGTCCCCTTTTGATCAGCTCTTACGTCTTTCCCCGCGAAAGGCTGCCACGATCCCTCCATTCATGCCAAACACATGACAGAACCCATATCGCACCACCAGGCCTGTAGCTTTGATTTTGCTCATGATGCTGATGCAATGCCACCGCGCAGGCAAAAATACTCCATTTACCTACCCCTCCACCGACCGTCCAGGGCAACTTCGAGGGCCACATCTGCCACCAAAGAGGGCGCACACTCGCCAAAGGCCAGCGATCGTAAAAGTTCCAGAGCCGCCGCTGCTGCTGCTGCAGCAAGTATGGCTAAACGTAGGTCAACCATGAACAGCCGCGACGCTGCCTATGACGAGGAGCAACTCAGAAAAGCAATTGAGATAAGCAAGGAAGAAGAAACCAACCCAGACGACGAGGACGATGAAGACGCACAGCCGAGGAGACTAAAGCGGGGCAGGGACGATGACGATGAGTATGTCGCCCATTTCACCGGAACTGAACACGGAGTAGTTGACTGACTGGTAGCCACAGAGAACCTGAGATCAAGCGTCAGAGGACCAACTCGAGGTCACCGTCGCCAGGAGACGAGGCCATCGATAGCAAAGAAGGATCCGAGGACGAGTCTGTCGGTCGCAACGGCAAGAAATCGTCCCGGAATATAGCCCGGTCTCAGCGCGAGAAGACCGAGCGCGAGGAACGCCGGGAGGAGCAAGAACGCAAACGACAAGAGGCCGCCAACAAGCGTCAAGGTCGTGCGGCCCGCCGAAGAGCCGACGGTATGCCAGACCATCTGCAATAAGGGGCGGTTTGGAGACTAACGAGGCGATAGAATCTGATCCGTCAGAAGAAACACCAGTAACAAGCCGTACTGCGGTCAGCCGTATGGTAAATGCTGATTTGACGCACCCACCGGATCCTCCACCCTCGTCCCAGCCTGTGCCAGACACACCGCCTGCCGACCAGGTACCGGCGAGCACAAACAAGAAGAAGACGGGTGTGCATCCCAAGAAGAAAGGAAGGAACCAATACACCAAGGATCGTGATAATCATTTGAATGACGACATGCCAGCACGGTCCATGTCAAGAGACATAGCTCGCGATAAAGACGAAACGCATCCGAAATCTAACCATGAGGGAGTACCAAAACACCACAGATCAAAGGGAGCGCTGAACTCTAGGATTACCATGACGGATCTGAAGAGGCGTGCCAACAACCTGATGGAGTTCATCACCCGCACACAGGTGGAACTGGCTAACGATCCCCTTTCTGAGCGAAACAGCCCCCGTCAACCTGCTAGCGAGGACGGTCAAGCTCAATCGCCTGCGCTGCGGCCAAATGGAAGTATTGGCAAGGTCCTAGCTGAGCGCGCAGTAGCGGCAACCAACGGGGCAGCTACGCCACCGATCAAAGACACCAAGGACTTCAGAGACATGAATTGTGTGGAGATGATGGACGCTCTCACAAGAGATCTGGTAAAGTGGCAACAGGAATTCGCGGCATGACATTCGAACAAAAGTTCTTCTGTCGTAAAGAATGGTTGGCGTTTCAAGGGATCACACGGAATTTTGGGAATTGAATCTCGGTACCACGCCAGATTCTTCACTGCTACTGATTTTGCATTGCTCGGCGTTCGTTTGTAGAGAAAGAGCTGTCTCTTTTGGCCAGGAGTGCCACAAAATTAGTCCTTATACTTGTAGACACATTCCAACAAGCTCAGCTTCTTGAAAACAACACTACTTCCGATGACTTTTTCTCTCAGGTCCGACAGGCGTGCCTTCTACGATACATTACGTAACCACGTATACACTCATTCGGTAGCAACAACTATGCCGGCAAGCGGACGTTGGTCATGGCCTTCCTCACTCGTCACAAGTGCAGTCTTGAAACTTGTGGTAAGGGCGCCGACCATAACGGCTACGACAACAACCAACATTCCAGCAATTAATCGCGGCAAGCCTTATACTTCTTGGGAGCCCCTGCGTTCAAAAGATCTGATCCTAGCTCACAATTGACAAATGTAAGTTCCGTTTGGTAGTATGCCACGTGAATAAACCAGCCATGTAAAACAAACAGCGCCTATCAGATTTTTCCCTCCCGCTTCTCGGTCTCATGGCAGTGAGGCCAGTGCGAGTGCGTGCGTATCTGCAACTGGCCTACGCAGGATGTGCGACTAAGGCAGGAGCCCGGGTCTTGACCTCGCAAAGCCTGTCGTGTGGCTTTGTGCCGCGCCAAGTCCGCGAATGGGTCTGCTCGTTGTGAGGATCTTTGATAATGCCAGTCGCCTCAGCGAGGCGTGTGTCTTCGTCACCAGATCCAGGATCGCGGTGGGTTAAATGTATACCAAATCCTGTGCTCCATGACCCCACGACCAATTGTCCGAAGCTGGCACTAGGAAACCGACGGGAATCTTGGTCCTGACATGGAACGGGGAGGCCCTGCCGGAGGTAATTATGTGGAAACAGCTATTGCTTTGCGGCGAAAGCATGTGAATGTGTATCTGAGCCGGCATTGAGGTTAACTCAGAATGCGAAATAGGCAGAGCTTTGTGCTTGGGCCATTTTCGTTACACTCGTGGTAAACTGGTTTTCATTAAGCCAAAGGCTGGACAGTATACAGATATGATGGATTTCCTCATCTCATATACTTGTACCAAGCCCATGCATTCCAAGACGTATAAGTATTGGGCAGGGTATCAATTGGGGATAATGATTCCTCGACAAGAACATGTTATGAGCTCTGAAACCGGTCTCAGGAGTTATTCTCTCAAAGAACGCTTATAAAGCGTGGAAACAACATGTTGTCTTGGTCGAAAAGCCGTAATAAATATTCCCTTGTCTGCCTACAATAGGCATCTATCTCTCAGTCATGTCAGGTACGAAACAGATTGATGGCGAACCCCATTTCTAGCGTACAAATGACTAATGAAACTCTCGCCCATAAGTAAATGGGTGCCCGATTCTCCTACAACGCTTCTTTTGTGCGTTCGTCAATGATGCCAAGCTCCAGAACACATGTGTTTAGTTCTCCAGCAGAGGTATCAATCGGGCCCAATATAATATCTATGTCCACTATATTTAACTCAAGTTGAATGGGCATTGAAATGCTGTCAATCGTCACAGTCATAGAGGTTCTCGTCTTTCAAGAAGAAAAAAATCACGGACACGATACTGGTAAAGACCGCTGATATCAGATCAACGTATTGTTGAGGTCGACATCCTGCTTATTTCGAACATATTTGGCTGTACCTAATTGGCAGCATCATTATTTAGGTGGTTATAATGACTTGCAGAAAGATTGACTAAAAGACATACAGTGACACCGCAAAGTTTATGTCTTCCAATTTGTATGGATATGCCTACAAAACTTCTCTACTGGAAAAAGAAACCAAAACAATATGAAACGAGAAACAAGAACCGTGTCCTTCGCCATCGCTATTCCCCAAAATAAGAACACTCCAGTCTCGTTTAATCAATGGTAGCTACATAAATTTTGAATTACGTTTGGTGACAGTCAACGGCCGTGATAATAACACTGCCGTATGTCTCCCTAGATTCTCATGTTAGTGGTTGTGAAGTGGAACTATAGTCTTACGATCCACTCTCCACTCACCTCTGTCAGTCGATTGGCAGTATAGACAGTGTAGTTACTATGTCGGATCTGGATTCTGTAGCCACTCTTGCCAAATTTACTCCTAAGGAGGCTCGACAGCTTCCTCGAGTCCACATTCTGTGTTGGCAAGACAAGTGACTTTTCTAAGCCTGCAGTACTTGATCGTCGGGTCGAATACCCCCACATCTTGGCTTTCTTGGATTAGTTGGCTAGGTTGGTAGTTGCTTCGGGGATAGATATAAGAGCGACTTCGTTATCAAAAACTTACTTTGAATGATTATTGATTGACGGGGTCTTGATGGGAGGGAAAGCGTGTTTTGGTTGAGTGAAAGCGAAACTGAAGGAACTTGAGATTTGACGTGGGATTCCTTGAGGCCATTGATTTAGCGACGTAAGACTCGAGTCTGGCGGATGGCACGCTCATCATGCACCTGCCACCTGCCCGCATATATATAGAAGCAGGCTGAGCGGTTGTGATACTTCATTCGGCGAAACCCGCATCAGCTGCATCATGAGTCCGCAGTGCTTGATTGGATATCAGGAAACTGCCCCCTCTCACTCCAGACGAGAACGCCTCTCCATCGATGCGCATCCGACACTGGTTTGTGGCAAGATGAGTGATGATGGTCAGACCGCATGGATGCAGCGCCCGTGGAACCGTAAAACACCAGTAGCCGTTTGGGGGCGGTGGCTGTAATGATGATTGCTTCGAATGAGGCCCGAATTTCATAAGGCATCCGAATACTTAAGGCTATCTGCTTGCCAAATGGGTTTGCCATGTCCAATTGTTTTAGCTGTCACGAATGCGTGTCAAAGCGACAGGCCCCTGCACGTTATTCAGTGGTCTTCCTTGGGTCTGAGTACATAGACTCGATTTCAAATGGACAACCAATCAGCAGTGGGTTAGAAATTCTCGAAAACTGGTTTCCGCGAAATACACTAATATATACATGCCACATAGGTTCAGACTGGAAAAGTTTGGGACATTGTTAGCCCTACAGACATTCAGAATCAAATAAATATGCTGATGTGCTACAGATCCGTGACGTTCAATCGGGTCGTAAAGGATCTGTGCTGGCACATAACCAGCCGAACTTTGAGAATGTCGATTCGAGTTCTGGCACAGCAAGGAAACATTCAAGCCAACTTTCGGTACCTCCGGGCTCTGGAGGACCACCGTCGCTGCCCAGTACTGTATATGATAGGGGTGACAGCGAGAGCCTGCAAGACGCTATCCAGTTCGCACAGCACTTACCTTCAACTTCGCACCCAGCAGACATTGCGCAAACGGGGACATGGCAGGCCCCTGACAGCCAGGACATGGCTAGCAAACTTCGCGCCGCCATGGTTCAATCCTATAGGGGTAAAAGTGAGGGCAAAACGTTTCTACCACGAAATGCACTACAAAAGATTGTAACCAAAGAAGCAGTACAGCAGGAGCTCGAGAGGAAAGGTATTGATAATCCTTCGTGGCCGGCTCAGATATGCAACATCATAACATACCGGGATGATAATGAACGAAAGAGAAATACCTCCCGTCGGAAAATATTTGCGACACTGGTCATGATAAAAGAAGTCCAGCTAGTCAACGACTTTCTCACACAGGGCATATGGGACTCTCATTTGCCACTCAAGGTTTGCAAGGACGAAGGCAAAGAAAACACCCTCTGTCCGCGCAATAACAAATCAAAGCCAGCACTTTCAAACGAGAACGATATTTTAAGGTGGTCATTCAATGATGTTGGGTTATTCGAAAGCCACCAATGGTTTGTCACCGTCCCGTATTTCACAAAAGTAACCGAACCGATGGACAAGGTTCATTTCTACCCTCTAAGCAGTAACGATATCTTGCCTTTCATCGAATGCTTAGAGACATTAGAAGACGAAAAGGAACGCCGCTCTTTTCTGTTCGGACACAATGCTACTGTAGATCGCATAAAAATTCACCCCGATCACCACAACTTTGATGTTCGAATAGTTAGTACCAAGCACTTTGGCACTAGAGTTGACCAGACTAAATTGTATATAGGGGAATTCTGGAGCCGATTTTGCTGTAAAACGTCTTGTGGACAATGGCAACAGTAAGCAAGCGTTCGATCGCGAGGTTGATGCCTTGAAGAGATTTAGTCAGAGAAAAGAGAGATATATCATCAATCTTCTGGCAACGTATGCGGTTGATGGACAGTACCATCTTCTCTTTCCCATAGCTGATGGAAACCTTCGAACCTTCTGGAAACAAAGTCCGGGTTCCGAAATTATTCCCGGAGCCGCCCTTTGGCTTGCACAGGAATGTCAAGGTATCGCTGCTGCATTGGCCAAGATTCACAATCTCACAGCAAGTATGCGAGCCGATTTGGAACTTCATAGTTCTCACTATCGCGCTTATGGTATTCATGGAGACATCAAACCGGAGAATGTTTTGTGGTTCAAAAACATGCCAAGCCACCTCGTCGAGACTGGAGTAGAGGAGGGCAATAAATCAATCGGATTTCTCCAGATATCGGACTTCGGAACCGTCAATTTCCACGGGACAAATACAGCTACATATAACCAAATTCCGGTCATCCACACGACCTATGCCGCCCCAGAATCCGACAGTGGCCGAAACTCTCTGGGCTCTGCTGCAATTGATGTCTGGGCCTTGGGGTGTGTGTATCTTGAATTCATTACTTGGTACCTCAAAGGATCCAGAAGTACGGAGGACGATTTTACTGAAATTCGTGTCCGTGAGGAGCAGGAGATGGATGCTGAGAACGAGGGTGTCGCGCAAGACAAATTCTTCATAAAGCGGAAAACATGGGTCACCGGAAAAGAGTATCACATCATCAAACCAGATATCCTAGAGGTAAGAAGTCTTGGTCCCTAGTGTCGCTAGCTATGGCCAAGCATTCCATGACTGACAAATCATAGTGGATCGCTGGCCTTCACAATGACCCACGCTGTTCACCTTTCATTCATGATTTTCTAGATTTTATTATGAGCGAGATGTTGGTCATACCCAGAGAAGATAGGTGTAAATCGGGTCGTGTATCCGGGAGGCTACGTGAGTTGCTGGTAGCGTGCGAGAACAGCAAAGATTATTGCGAGATAGGGAGACCACGCACTTTGGCAGCCTTGAAATCTAAATGGCTGACATTAAAGGGAGAAATTCGCTATATGGGACGCTTTATCAACTCTCATGGCTTAATGTCGGTCTTCGTAGTTTTGGTGGTTTTCCTAGCTTTGAGCTTCCGGCCGCTGGTCAAGACCATGCTCGCGCCACAGACATTGTGGGATCTAGCTTACGGTCACGTCTAAGACCTATCAAAATATTTAGTCACATTATAAGCCATTATTTGGAACTGTTTCAAAACATACCCATCTGTAGTTTCGTAATGTGTCCTCGACGCTTCCCTAAGCCACTCGAAAAGTTCCTATACCGACTCAGCAACTAGGCCTCGACACAAAAAAGGACCCAACCTGTCCCACCCCCAAAAATAAAATTTTAAAAAAATGCTGAGGCAGAATTTCATACCGTTGTTAGTCCCGGTTCTGCAACTGTGATCACCCACTGGCCATGCTTGGGGCCCTGTACACTACGCATTAGAGAGCATCATTCTACTATCGGTGCGGCGATCACATGCGTACTTTGATGGCGTATCGGCCTTTGGCAAGCGTCCTTGCTAAGGCTTGCTTGAGCTTCTGGCCGTCATGGTAGTCTGCAGTGAAAAAGTATTGTGGCATTTTGGGTAGGACTTTTTAATCATGTATTTGGAGAGACACCAGGGAGAATTCTGCCTTACCCCAATGTGGCGGACCTTTTTATCGGCTTCATTTCACGCGGTTATTGCTGTTGCAGAGCCGCATATCTTCCTAGATGAGACACGATCCGCAGTCATCACAGCCTGCCTCTTCCACTCGATGAGGGGTTCATTATATGCAGCATTGACCAATCAGAGGAGGCTGGCTGATGCAATATGTCCGACGTTGCAGAGGAACACGTCCGGTGAGGAGAAACTGCAAAATCCATTGGTGGGCCAGACCTGCATCTGATGAGATGACGGGAGATAAGGCGTGTTGCGCCCGAAGAAGAGCATCTGAGTTAGCCAGCGTTCGGTTTCGGTATGGCGGGGCACCCTGGATTCTACACTTTTTGTATAGTATCGATGTACCGCGGCGGTGGGTATAGAATCAGGATGCAAACGCCGTTACATACATGACCAGTTTACGGCCTATGTCATTTCTTTGCTCGACAATCTCAAATGAGCTATGGACTGGGTACGGCAACGATGGGAAATGTCCGAGGTAGACCTCAACATATTCCAGTTCGATAATAGGAGAAGCCAAGTCTTGAGTCTAAAGTTAAACCATGAGGTAATATATCCCGCCTACGAGACTATGGTAGCACTAACAGCATTTCTAGGGCAAGAATATAGCTCAATGTGATGATATCAAATCTGAAGAACAGTGGTCAGATTGGCTGCAGAAAGTACATATCACTATACGCCGACTGCCTACCACAGGCTATTCTAACGGCGATTTTCGTAGGAAAAACAAGCTGGCGATATATTTAGTCATAGCACAAGGGTCCTGTAAGAAACCCTGGATTATATGAGGGCATTAGTAACCGTCAACAGATTGGGATGCCGTCTACACGACGACGATGATGATGACGATGATCCAGACTTTCGAAATCCTATGGTCTTAGGGTATCTGCCATTCAGCAAGAACGTTTTCCAGCAGGTTCAAAAATGCTTCCATATTCATGAATCAATTGCTCGAGTGATCAATCGTCACTATGCAGCAAGCTTCTCAAGATCATTCATACCGTCACAGCTTACTGGTGAAAACGCAATTGGTGAGTGTATTCGACCGAAGTGTGTTGTAAAACAATTTCAGGTGTTGAGGTTTTGCTTAGTTTATACCTGTCGCTCAACCTCTGACTGGGCTGACGATTTGGCTTTGTCGGTCACCCACTTCCCTGATCGTGGCTCAACATATGGCGTGTTTTTTACGGTTGCAGCGAGCACCAACGGGATTGCACATCAATGAAGAAAATCAACTCCCGGCTCACTAAGGAATCTGAGGATTCCCTTACTCACCCAATGCTTCTCATAGGGGTCTTTGCGGAAATCGAGAGGAACCGCATGAGGAGTCTAGTAAAAGAAAAAAAGTCGGGCCTCATGAATGCCATAGAAGCCCTGCGGGAACTGGGCTACGACGCAGTGGGAAGGCTGGAGTCGCCGGTAAGTCCTTGGCTCGCGAACTACGAAGTCAAGAACGGCTTGGAACACTGGACAAGTATTTTGTCTAAGATGATTGCTCATATCGACGAACTCGAGGAAAAGTGCTACGCGAGTTGCACAGCCCAGCCCAGGGACGGTACTTCACTACTTGAAGAAGAGCGCAAGGATAAACTGCGCGATGTAGGCCGCCGCATAAAAGAAAGACTGCAGGATATTCTTCTAGATTATAAAGAGATGATAAGGGACTACGTGATGATCACAGATGGCTTGACACTAGCAACAAACCTGGTACGTAGCGGCGGCCGTTTGGTCACATGATATGATCAACTAACACTGTTAGGTTTTGGCCCGAGACAACGTCCAGATATCAAACGAAACCATCAACATATCTAACACAGCAGTGAGAGATGGCAAGCAGATGAAGTCAATCGCCCTGCTTACCATGATATTTTTGCCTGCTACTTTCGTCGCAGTAAGCACTCTTATTCGCAGCCAAGCCCTAAAGCTACGCCAACTAACACGGCTCAGACTCTTTTTTCAATGTCGTTCTTCGAGTTGGGCTCGAGCTACATGTGGCTGTATCCTGCTGTAGCGGTCCCATTGACTATCGCCGTAGTAGCCATTTATGTTTGCGTGGTTCTACTTCCTGGTCGACTACCTGGAAGTAGGTCAGCGTCATCGCTACGCAGTAATAGGGGAAGCACTCAGCAGAGCAGCCTCACCGAGAAGACTGGCACTTGGAACTCTTAAACCAGGAGCTTCTTAAGCTGATCATCAGTGGACGAAGCTAGCACAGCTACTCGAGAGTATCATCACTGGCGTCAAGCAGCCAAGAACCCTTTTGTCATATCATGCTCCTGACTGTCCTTTCGATGATTTCTAGGTCGCCATACATGTTCTAAAATTGTCATACCAAGATCATCTTTTAATAACCAAACATCTACAACGTGGGAAATTCATCAAAGGGGGTCGCAATAAATCAAGCCACTATGAGATACTAATTTCTTCCATGATGCACAGACTACTGCGTTCACCAACAGTAACCGTGACAATAAACGTATCTCTACCAAGAGTGGAAAACGCAGTCTGATCGTCTCTCTGATATAGGGTAAGCGCGGATGAGTAAACGAAAGCCCCCATTGCAACCTGGAACTGATGGAGGGTTTTGCCCCATCACATATCGTAGTCCATCAAACCCGTCCAACCCCACAAGCCTTACGCTCAATCCTCGGTCTTTTTCGGCTTCATGGCCTTACTCGCCTGTTCCAAGGCGATCTCCCTCGCCCACTTATTCCCATCCCTCACATAGTCGCGGACGTGGCCCGGCACCGCCTGGACCTTATTATCGGGGCCGGCCACCGGCTCGCCCATCTGCGTCCACACCGGGACGACGCCCGTCCAGACCCTACCTGCCACCTGCTCGTTCTCGAGATCAAACCTGTCGTCGCCGGGCATGCCGCTGCGGATCTTGGCGCTGCCGGCCGCGACGCGGACCCGGAGCAGGCCGGTGGACGCCATCTCGGCCCCGGTGGGTGGGACGCGGCTGTTTCTCCAGCGGTCCGGCACGACGCCGTTGGTGACGAGCTCCATGGCGTAGAGCTTCTCTTCGACGTCCGTCACGAGGGCCGCGTGCCCGAACAGCGTCGCGGAGCGGTAGTTGTACGAGTGGTTGTTGGGCGTGAGGGCCAGGACCAGGCCGTCGACGTGCGTCGCGGATATGGTGACGGGTAGTCCCTGTTCCTCACCGTTGCTACTGCTGCCGCTGCCGGTGTTTTCACCCTTTTTGTTGTTGTCGCTGTTGTTATTGTTGCGAGATAGGTTCAGGAGCCGTGAGGAGATGTAGCCGTGCAGATAAAGATCGAGCACGTCACCTGTGTCCGCGCTCGGCCGCGCAAAGGAGCCCATCTGCCCGATCATGGGTATGCTGACGGGAAAAGGGGAGGACGGGTCCGTGAAGGACACATTGATGAAATGGGTTGTATTTACGATCTCATGAATCTGCTGGAGGGAGTAGGATGCTAGAATATGTCAATGATTTGTGTCGAAGGGAGAGCACTGTGGAAAGAGCTAGGGCCATTGGCGTGTACCTCTGTTATTGTACCGGTTGACGGTGCTGAAAGGCTGCTTTGGGTATTCGAGCTCCTGAGATGGCATCTTAGCGTTATTTTGTTCCACGGCTGTACAAGCGATGCGATCGTTTCATCAAAGCAAGTTGAAGTATCCCGACTCAATTATGTCTCTTGAACCTCCGGTGTTTACGCTCTGTTGGTGTTACACAAGCGTCAGGTGGTCGTCCCTTATACTCGAACAATAACCCGGGTTATACGTTTGAGTCATTTGTATAAATAAACGAGATCGCATACTCTTGCATCAGATCTATATAAGGTCCACCGTGAAGTCCACTCTGGCTCTGTTTTAGTAACCGGGGTTGCTGGGAATTGATGAACACATTCAATCGGAGACGATCCAATTGGCTGTAGTTTACTGAAAGGGGGGCAGACAAGCACATGAGGAAGGTCTAGCAAGTCAAGTTACTCCTCATTTCTGTTTGTAGTAAGTACAAGCGGCCCGGATGAGCACGCCAGCGCTTCTTAGCGGCATATTTCGATTTAACCTTCAAAGATGAGTGAACCATATGACTCCTCGTTGATCAAAGGCGCAAGCATGATGTGGTTGAAGAAGGAACTTTATACTTAGTATACTATTTACGTAACTCATACAGGCCCTGAGTGGTTTCTAATCACTAGATTGGCTATTCAGGCATGCCATCTTCCATCCGACACATTTATAATCCTCCACCTAACTTCTTTGCGGAACGAAGATCGGCTCGGTGCCTTCCCAGGCTGTTTCGTCACCTGCACCGTGCTTCGCTCGTTGTTGCCAATATTTCCCGTTCCACTTCCAATATTCAACACCCGTGACAGGGTGTTTATCCTTTACGAACCAGGGAGATGCATATTCCTCGCCCCTGGCCTCCCGCTCCTTTCTGCGCTGTCGCTGCTCGTTTTCGAGACGGTCCTTCTCGGCAGCCGCAAGATCATATTCACCGTCCTCCATGGCGCGCTGATCGGGGCGGTGGCGGGAGTCCGTGGGGCCAATCCAATTGGCTAGATTATCGTCGATGTGGTTGAAAGTCAAGACAAAGGGTGTCAGGTTGAACGGAATATTCTTGGGTCGTTCGTTGGCTTCCCAAATAAGGAACACCTTCGACGTATCACTTATGGCTCCTTTGTGGAACGAGGCACCTCCAGCGGGCCCATCGACATCAACCGTTGCCTCGTAACCGGGCGTGTAGCGAGCATAGATCTTGGAGTTCCATCGACCGCCGATACTGACACGAGGGCGACCATCGGCGTCGAGAATTTTTCCAGCTATCTGATATGCACTTGAAGCCTTCCAGCCACGTTGCTTGAAGTCAAGCTGGCAAACCTCGCCAGTCGTGTGGTTGGTGATCTCCACCAAACCGTAGTTGTCAACCACAGGGTTGCCTGTAATGATCCCGACAACCTGAGAGCTCGGTTTCTTCCACGAATAAATATCGGGTTTACCGCCCGAAGTCGGGCGCAGCTCCACAAACCAAGTGCCAAGATGAGCAATGTCAAACGATTTTCCATAGAATTTAGACCTGACATTGGATTCGCCGTAGTATGTCCATTTCGCAGATTCGGCGTGAACAGCACCAATCGGAGGATGATGGCTGACTTGTTCTGTAAAGAAACGGTATCCCTTGTCGGGTCTAACATACTCGAAGGTTTCTCCAAGCAAGGGGTTGAACGGCTTCGCAACACGCCCGATTGTCGAAGCAAACTCACTAGCTGTGAAAGCTGCCACGTACAACATACGCTCGATCGAATCAGTGCGCTCCGCTGCGTGATCTAGGAGATCGGCATACTCCATATCCTCGCCAGCTCGGAAGAGCATAGACGTTGGCTCGTTGAATGTAACCGGCAGGGTCATCTTTGTCATGTCCTTGCCGATCAAGTTCTTGAGGATACCCTAGATCATCATTAGCAGAGCTTGAAACAGCAGTGGGCTATTGACTTACCCATAGAGAGACCTTGGGGCGATCATCGTTATCGAGCCTGAGACGCTTTCTTATACCATTCTCATAGCCTTTGTAAGAGTCACTTATGTCCAGACCCCCAGATACCACAATGTCCTGTGATTCACCTGGCTGCGACGACTCAGCAGGAGGTAGTGGTTCTGCCTCGACTTCCCCAGCGTCGACAGCATCGTAGAACTCTTCTTCATCAGTCGCATCATCGTCAGACAGATCAACGACTTGAGAAAGAGCAGTTGGTCTGCGGTTGAAACTTGCTGGAGACTTCTGATCCTGGGCAAGTTCCTCCTTGACATCGGAAGGACTAGCAGCCACTAGATTGGAGCTATGGGCGATGGCAGGGAGCCCTTCTTGCTCCATAACTTCACGAAGAGCTTTCTTCGTTATCTTGTGCTTCAGCTCGGCCTTGCCGACGCGCTCCTCGAGTATTTCCTGTTCCTGGGCCACCTTGGCCATGCTTTCTTCCCACATTTGTCGCATCTCAATTTCTTGATCAAGGCGGTACTGCCAATGCGCGTCTCTGTCTTTTGATATCCTAAGAAGATCTCCCATAAGTCCCTTCAAGCTCCTGATGGCAGCATCGTATGTGGCCAATGCTTGTGCTGCTTTCGGGTCAACCAGCGACATATTGGGATTTCGGTGAGCCTCGGACTGAAGCGCAGCACTGACTTGCGCCATCGTATCAAGCTGTAATTTGGCCGATTGAGCAGTGATGTTGAAGGCATCCTTCGAAACCGCGGGCCTCTCACCCGAATTTGAGTCGTCATCGTCGTCATCGTCATCGTCATCGTCATCATCGCCGCCAGGAATTGATGGTGCTCCATTGCCCCTGAACCGTGCTTCTGAAGCAGCAGCATCCGCGAACTCGTCGTCTACACTCCCACTTGTGCTGGCGCGTGTCAACTGCTTAGTAACGGAGCGATTGGTTGGGAGTCTGGACAGCTGCACGCTGTTCCTGCCAGCGTCAGTGAAACTCGCAGCTTCGCTATGCATATCGGCATTTGATCCGTCGACACTTTTGGCCGCAAGCTGATCCTTAGCCTGGCGGAGAAACTCGGCGTTGTGCGCCTTCTGTTTCTCCTCTTCTTTGGCTTGATCTTTCATCCACTGGATGGCATTATTCAAGGCCCAATACCAGCGCTTAGCCTCAACTTCGTGGTTTGCCTTGAGGGTGTATTTCACGGACGATTTCCCAAGAATCTCGAACTTGGTCTTCTCATCTGTACTCATATGCAGCTTCGCGATGCGCATACTGATAGCACCACGGCATGCATTCTCGGCATCGTCTTGGTGCTTGTAATAACTCAGGACGCCATTCTCGAGCACGAACCATCGTAGTTGGTATCCCTTGCGATAGTTGGTCCACTTCTTCAAATATCCCTTCATGGCCGGGTCGCGACCACCAAGAGGATCGCCATTCGCCGCCGGGGTGCCAGCGTTTGCGGAAGCGACGTGTCCCAGCACTGCCTTCTCCTGTATCCCCCGCTGTGCTGCAACAGCAGCGGGTGACCGCTTCAACATGGCCCTTGTGACATCGTCTTTGGTGACATCTTGAGGAAGCTTGCCTTTGCGATCTCGGATGAATGGATCGCCGCCATGGAGAAGCAGAGTCTGGATCAGCTTGGAGTCCTTCTTGCGGGCTGCCTCGTGTAGTAGGGTGCCACCTGACTGCACCGTGGTCGGATCAGAGGGCAACTCGGTACTATTGATATCCAGAACAGTCTTGACGCGGGGTTCTTCCAGCACTTGGCCCAGCGTATCGTATGTGCCCGCTCTCACGAGATCCTGGACCTGCTTGACCTTGTCTTGAACGAATAATGTTCTCGAGAGTTGCAGGGACTGGAAGATGTCGGGGCTTCGAGCTACATCCAGGGGGAGTTTGCCCTGGTTGTTTGCTATGGCATCGTTGATGTCTTTTTGATCCAGCAGTAACCGAACAAGATGGCCGCGGCCAGCGGTTGCAGCGACATGCAGGGGCGTGTTGCCATCTTTGTCTCGTGCGTTGACGTCTATGTAGGTGGCACCGTCGGAGAGCACATATTCGACAACGTCGTTCTCGGAGCACTGTATGGCGAGATGTAGTACGGTGGTATCGTCGAGGGGTCCGGCGCTGGCGGCATTTATGGACGAGGTGCTCACTCGGTTGGCATTGTCGGAAGTTTCGCGGATGGCCTTGGAAATGGCAGCAGTGTTTCCGCTCTTGAGTGCTTCGACATATCGGAATTTGCGAACAGCTTGCTCAAGTGTTGAGCCACGCTCTCCGCCTACGGAGAGCCTGGACTGGGGAGTCGCAGGTGCACCGCTTGATTGCTGCTGCTGCGAAGTGACCCGGCCCAGCGACATCCTCTGGCCTTTGACCGAGGGCTATGCGATGGGGCAGCTGGGGATTGGGTATTAGAGGGGCGGGCTGCAGACACGTGCGACCCGTCTTCGGATGCGGCGTCTTCGTCGTTGCGGCTCTCCTTGTCCTTGTCTTTGCGACGGAGTAAATTCAGGGCAGAGGAGCGAGTGCGTTTATGTGTACTGTTGTTGCGACGACAAGTTAGCTTTTAGTGGCTTGCATAAAGCACCCCCTTGGGCCTTTGGGCCTTGAGTGAGCGGGACTCTGGAGGAGGAGCTCGAGCAGCGCTTCGTGGGTTGGGTTCAAGGTTCCATGGGCCCCCCCGCCCAAAGCGATGCGATGCGATGAGTTGGGAGCGAGGTGAGATGCAATGCGATGCGATTCGATGCGCTTTCATCTCCCCTCCAGAGCCAAAAAAAGGGCACGGCACGGCACGGGCACACGGGCTGAGTAATCCAACACGATCTGCACTGTACATGTACTCACCTTTCGCCTGTGTCAGACATGCTGTTCCAGCATAAGTGGTGTTTTTCTTCTTCCAAAAGTTGCCCAAAGGAACAGTCGTATACTAAGAGTGGGGAGGGGAAGCCATGAATAACTCGACTTCACAAGGTGTCTTTAGGGGGATGGGAAGATTAGATGTGAGTGTGGATGTTGACTGTGGGTACTTGAATCTGGGCAATGGGTATTATGGGTTGTCCGTACTTGTGCTTCGACTCTTGTTGTTATCAAGACGGCTCTTTTCTTCTTTCGAGGCAGTTCAGGGCTCTAGGTTTCCCCTCGATGGATAAAATGACATAATTCTTGCGCTCGAGCCAGTTGCCCCGAAAAGGCACAAAGGGCTCCTCCAGTTGCTCTAGCTACAGTAAGTACATACAAAGGCGGTTGTCGCCAAGGGTAGGAGTTGGTCTTCTCACATGGTACAGTCTTGGCACATGTGACCGTGGAGACAAAGGATTTCAATACTTCCACCAGTGCTACTGTATTGCTGTTACATACTTGTCTTTAACATGAAGACAAGAAAAAGTCGCACAAAGTACCAATAAAGAATCACAAGGAACACATTGCCGCCAAGTGCACTCTTCCTGGAGAGGACCGTCAGGTTTAGATGTGGGTTTACCCTACACATGTATGTAAGGGGACAATAGTCAAATCAGGAACACTTTTCTGTTTAGTAAGAAAACTACCGAGTAGACTAGGTTAACCAATAACCCCGCAGCCTGGAGTGAGCCCCGGACAAACTCATGCTCAATTGGCTACTAATTATCACTATGACCAAAGGATGCCCTCTGACATCATACATACACCTGTGTTGAATTCTTGCGACCGTACAGTAGGGGATCGAGAAATTGAATCGCCGAAAGCCCTCCCCATATCGAGGTCTACCAGCTATCGGCGATAGCGAAATCTGCGCTTTCGAGTCGGGGTTGCATGAACGTCACACTCTATACTCATTCTTACAAAGAATTGTCTGAACAGAAATTGGGATACAAGTGACGCATTGGGTGTCCATGGTTCATTCGGGTTTCTTTCAATGGCAAACGGGACCGTAACATCACAGTTTGTAAAGGGCTTTCATGCCTGCTCACATCTTTCGGCATGAGATCTCGGTCCCGTTCTCGGTCTCGGTTAATCGAGCCGTCCTACATTCTGAAAACACCAAATCTTGTATCGCCATGCTTAACCTCGTTCTTGCCCGATAGTGCTGCCCTCAAACCCAGACCGAGATATCGCCTCGTATGTTGGGGAGGAATTACGCCATCATCCTACGAGAATCGTTAGCATTGCCCAAGTGTATTAGTGATATAGTGTTTTCACTTACCCAAAGTCTAGCTGATGAGTACACAGCATCGCTCTCTTTCTCTATCCTATCTTGCAGCTCTGGATCCGGCTTCTGTCCAACCGCCTCCATCACTTTGGCCAACTGCTCGGCTCCCATGACCCCTATCTTGGCATTGGGCCACATCCACATGAACCTGGGGCTGTAAGCGCGACCGCACATACCATAATTACCCGCACCGTAACTGCCCCCTACCACGACCGTGAACTTGGGCACGTCGGCGCACGCCACTGCCGTGACAAGCTTGGCACCATGCTTGGCGATGCCTTCTCTTTCGGCTTCCTTGCCTACCATGAACCCACTGATGTTCTGGAGGAAGACGAGAGGAATGCCTCGTTGAGCGCAGAGCTCGATGAAGTGAGCGCCTTTCTGGGCTGAGGTGCCGAACAAGATACCGTTGTTTGCGACAATGCCGACCTTGTGGCCATATATGCTGGCAAAACCAGTCACCAGTGTCGCACCGAAGTCGCGTTTGAACTCGGCGAAGTGGGAGCCATCCACGATGCGCGCAATCACTTCGTAAATCTGCAACGGCTTCCGCAGGTTTGTGGACGCAATACCCAATAGCTCGGACTCGGGATATAGGGGCTCTGATATGGTAGCTGGGGCAGGGTCCGCCTTCTTCGGCCAATTCAGGTTGCTGATACACCTTCTAGCCAGGACAATAGCGTGTGCATCGTCCACGGCAAGGTAGTCGGAAACTCCTGACACGGATGTGTGCATTTCACCACCGCCCAGCTCTTCAGCAGACACCTCCTCGCCTGTAGCAGCTTTGACCAGTGGCGGACCAGCAAGGAAGATGTTGCCCTGCTTTTCAACAATGATGTTCTCATCGCTCATGGCCGGCACATAAGCACCGCCAGCAGTGCAAAGACCCATGACAACCGAGACTTGGGGAATACCCTGCGAGCTCATGCGCGCTTGGTTGTAGAATATGCGCCCAAAATGGTTCTGGTCGGGAAAGACATCAGCCTGGTTTGGGAGGTTTGCGCCACCCGAGTCCACCAAGTATATACAACTGTGGGTCTGTTAGCTAGTTTTCCACGGTACCATAGTATAGACCTTGGACCCACGGTAACTTGTTCTCCTGTGCGACGGTCTGCGCACGCAAATGCTTCTTCACCGTGATGGGATAATACGTGCCGCCTTTGACGGTACTGTCGTTGGCGACTATCACGCAAGTAACACCCTCTACGACACCAACACCCGTAATGATCCCACCAGCCGGCACGTCGGCATCGTATAGATCGTGCCCGGCCAATGGTGACAGTTCCATGAAGGTTGTCCCGGGATCAATTAACGCTGTGACTCTGTCTCTTGGAAGCATCTTTTTCCTTGCTAGATGCTTCTCTCTGGCTTTGGCTGGACCGCCTTGCTGGACCGTCCGGGTCAGCTTCTCCAGCCTAGCCATTGCCTCGGCCATGAGCCGCTCATTCTCCCTGAACTCATCGCTGGAAGAGTCCACGCTACTCTGTATCACCGATATAGCATTGGCCTGGTAAGGCGCTGTGTAGGAAGCGACCGCCCTTGAGGATGCTCGAGACAGGACATGGCGGGGAATGTGCTTAGGTCGAGGCGTTCGGGTCAATTGGCGAGACAGGCAGAGCAGGTCCTTCGAGGACCTCGAAATCGACATTGTGAAGAGTCTGGTATTTCACTGCTAAAAGCGCAACATCATGCAGTCCCGGGGAGAAAAGAAAGAATCAGCCAGCTCACGAAAGTTTGTTGAAAGCCGAGCACCCAGAAGCCCGCGTGACGCTCTTTCCAGCGAGGGAAGGTGATGCTGGGCCGACGAATGCCGCGCTATGCCGTTGTACCGAGGACGCGGGACGTCAGAGCTGGACATGATCAACTGCACACAGAAATCTGTGGACGGTATTTGTTTTGAGGCAGGCTTAGGATTGACCTTTTTCTTTCACCCTCATTCAGAATCTCAAAAGTAGTAATGGCAAGCATAAAGCCCTTCCGGTTTCTGGCCGCCCCTACGCGGCAAGCAATTGCGTCTGCACCTCGGCGCACGCTCCCTGCTCTCCAAGTCCGCCACCACTCATCTAAGCATCCCAAGGGCTTCGAGCCGCCTTCGACAGCTGATTTATCAGAACTGCGTGCGAGCGTGCAGGAGTTTGCGCGCCGTGAGATCACAGAGGAAGTCGCCGCGCGCACGGACAAGACAAATGCATTCCCCAATGAGATGTGGCCCAAGTTGGGCGAGGCTGGTTTCCTCGGCATGACGGCCGACGAGGACTATGGCGGCCTGGCCATGGGATACCAAGCGCACTGCGTGGTGCTGGAGGAGATTTCCCGGGCCAGCGGATCGATTGGTCTGAGCTATGCGGCACATTCACAGCTCTGCGTCAACCAGCTTCAGTTGAACGGGACCACCGAGCAGAAGGGAAAATATCTCCCGGGCCTCATTGCAGGTACAAGCATCGGTGCGTTGGCCATGTCTGAGTCGGGTGCGGGCAGTGATGTTGTGAGTATGCGCACCACGGCCAAGAAGGTCGATGGCGGATACCTCCTCAACGGCACAAAGATGTGGATTACGAATGGTCCCGATGCGCATATCATAGTGGTTTATGCAAAGACAGAACCCGAGAAGGGGTCCAAGGGTATGACGGCGTTTATACTAGAGACAGAATCCAAAGGCTTCAGTTGTGCAAGGAAGCTGGATAAGATGGGTATGCGCGGAAGCAACACAGGCGAGCTTGTATTCGAAGATGTATTTGTTCCTGAGGAGAATGTGCTGGGCAAGATCAATGGTGGCACTCGGGTATTGATGGAAGGTCTTGACCTTGAGCGATTAGTCCTCAGTGCTGGGCCACTAGGTCTCATGCAAGCCGCTCTGGATATTGCTCTGCCATTCACACATCAAAGAAAGCAATTTGGTCAGCCAATTGCGCACAACCAATTTGTCCAAGGCAAACTGGCAGATATGTACACGAAGCTGCAAGCATCAAAAGCCTACACGTACAGCACGGCCAAAGCTGTAGATGAGGAGGGTTTCATCAAGACGCAGGATTGCGCCGGCGCCATTCTCTACGCGGCAGAAAGAGCGACTGAGTGCAGTTTGGATGCTATCCAAGTTCTTGGTGGTATGGGCTACACGGAAGAAATGCCGGCCTCAAGGATACTGAGAGAGTAAGTTTTGCATGGTTGCAGCACACCGTACCATGGCTAACAGGACAATAGTGCAAAACTGTATGAGATTGGCGCAGGGACGTCAGAGATCAGAAGGATGGTCATCGGCAGGGCTTTTAACAAAGAGTATAAAGATGCGTGAGTGCGATCATCATGTCTAGTCATTTGCATAACGGGAGTACTTTGATACCGCTTGGAGACACATGTCTGCCATATCTACAAGCAGCCTTCTGCTGAAGTGAGACAAGGCAATGGAAAGGAATAACCCCACGACCTAAACACGAACCATAAGGTTTCATCAAGTGAAATATGCCCTGATCAACCGAACCTGAATGCAATGTTGACTAGTCAACGAGGAATCTGAATAGCCTTGCACGGTGGCCCAGGACCGTGCAAGTCGTATTGCCTGCAAGACTGGCTCCAGCACTATTAGCGCTCAACACCAGCGGTGCGGTGCGCTCACTAAGATGCATATTCTATTGTTGGTAGGGTTGACCGCTGTTTTAGCTAAGTATCCGATTGAACTCTGTTCTGAAACCCCTTTCCTGTACACCGACATCGCAAGCCAGCACGAGCAGCTCTGTAATCTCCACGAATGGTATGGGAAGCTTGACAAGTTGATCACAAGCGTACTGCTCCCCGGAACGTCTCCCGATTCACCAACCTGAAAAAGATTCGAGCGTGCCAACCCCACCAAGAGCTCTAGATCAGCAAGCGACCAGGTCAATCGCCTCTGAAATGGTCAGCCGCAGAGGCCAATCTCACTGTAAAAAGCATTTATGACGGGTCGACGCCGGCCTAGCCGTTACTTTGGCCCATTATTTCCCCCACATGTTGGCAAGTGGGCAACTGTATTGGTCGTTGGTATTCCAGCGCAACGGTCTGGGGTATCCTTGGGGGACCCCACCATAGCTCTAAGCTGTCAGGTCAGAAAGGCAAGAGGGGCAATTTTTCGTGTTTCTTCTGAGCAGTGACCAACAAGGGACCAAGGCCAGCACAGCTGTGCTGATGATGCATGATCGTGAGATTTTTCTTGTTGGATTCTTTTCGAGTTTTCTAAAGAAATTCTGAGGTGCAGTGGATTGTGATTTCTTTCAACTTTGCATCGCCTCGTATGTGGATCGGTCTCACCAGAAATTAGAGGGTTCAATCTATTTCCCCAAAGCCCATTGCAATTATAGCAAGCTCACTTGAGATGATCAGGGTCCTTCTTTAGTCTATAATAATAACCCACAGCTCTATACCCACCTACGTCATTCCCGTTCTCTAGGATCAGGAGCTCCTAAAGCTGTTTTATAGCTTCCCGTCATCTTATACCTAAAAATATTTGACATTCGTCCGTTCATTGCGCGCATACATACCCCACAGATCACAATGCTTTCGAGAAGCCTCATTCGAACTTCGCACAGAGCCTTGCGCTCAGCAGCCCCACGAACCATTGTACCTGCCTTGTCTTTACATACCTCCCCCATCTCGCAACAGAAGAAGCCTGTGCCCGGATCATTTGCCCGTACCGATGACTCAATCACCGTGGAATACCCTGAAGAGGGTGACTTGCCGTCCAGTGTACCAGTCCAGGGCCGCGGTGGCCAGCATATGAAGCGGACACTGGCCTCGTTCTCGTTGGAGGGTAGGGTCGGCGTTGTCACTGGAGGTGCCAGAGGCCTAGGGCTGGTGATGGGTCAGGGTATGGTTATTTCGGGCGCTAATTTGGCAATTGTCGACATGAACAGTAAGTAACTTCCTCCTGTTTCTGGTATAGTAATTGGTCGGAGGAGATATTGGAGAAGCCGGCAGGAAAGCGTTATCGGACATCTCACCGAAAGTAATCTCTTTGTACACCTATCGGATTCGGGTACCCTATTGCTATAATCTTTTCTTTATTGGACCATACTTCGCAACTTCAGGACCATTAAAATCACACTACATCAGTAGAAGAATGAAAGCTGACTTTTTTTTTTTCATTAAATAGAAGAAGAAGCTGAGAAGCAGGCCACCGAGCTGGTTGCGAGCTTTCGAAGAGAAAACCCGGGGTCGGCTCGCGTTCCCAAGGTGACTGCTCACTACGCCGATGTGTCGGATGCGGACAGTGTCCAAAGTTGCATTGACGAGGTTATCAGAGAGCACGGCAAGATCGACAATCTTGTGACCAGTGCCGGTTTCACGGAGAATTTCAAGGCTGTCGACTATCCTATCGACCGCATGCGCAAGCTGTGGGGCGTCAATGTTGATGGAACGTACTTGTTTGCAACAAAGGTCGCCAGGCACCTGATGGACCGCAAGTCCCCTGGCAGCATGGTGTTCATTGGCAGTATGAGTGGTAGCATCGTGAACGTTCCGCAACCTCAGGCGTGAGTTTAAACTAAAACCGAAGGATCTGCCATCCGTCACTAACATAGACGAATACATAGTCCTTACAACGGTGCTAAAGCTGCAGTTCGACACTTGGCTGCATCGTTGGCTGTCGAGTGGGCCGAAGCTGGAATCAGAGTCAACTGCATCTCTCCCGGTTACATGCTGACTTCCTTGTATGTACTGTCTTCGTTGCTAATATAACTGTGGCAAAGTACTAATACAACCGCATCCAGAACCGAGAAGATTCTAGACGACAACCCAGATCTGAAGAGGCAGTGGACTTCGCTCATCCCGCAAGGGAAAATGGGCCAACCCGTCGACCTGATGGGCCCTGTCACCTTCCTGCTTTCCGATGCTTCGCAATATGTTACTGGAGCAGACCTGCGTGTTGATGGTGGCTACACTGTTACCTGAATACCCCACGGCGTAATGATTGATCGACTGCGTTTTAGACCAAAAGGCGTTGAATTTCCACGGTTGAGAAGATGCTATGAGAGACAGCCCTGGCACGTATGCAATCACGAAATAGAAATGAGCCAAGTGTGGAAGACAGAGCATCACAATTACAAGCTTACGACATGCGACTTGCCGTGATTCAGAATGTAATACTACCCAATCATTATGTGGTCGTGGATCAGGTGTCAGACACATCACGCATGGTGCTGGCCTACCGAAGTTGGAGCACAATAAGTGTAGGAACCTGCGTATGTCCAACATATCACGGCATTTATCGCCATCAGTTTGATATATACTCCTAACCTGAGCGGTTGATTTGTGCCCTCGTCTCCGGAAAGTTCTTCGAGCTTACTTGCTTCTGCCTTCCCCCTCCCCCCGGGGCCCCCTGATAGAGAGCCCTTCAACACTAGACCAATCCAGGGGTCGTAGAATAAGCTAGAGGTTATGAGAACGTGACAATTGACCAGAATACACACAAATATTGGGCTTGTCGTGTTACACAACAATGCCACCATGTGACGAGCGTTCATGCGGGACACCCCGCCCACCGGGCCTGGGGGAGGTCCCCGGAGGATTTATGACGCGGGGAGACGGAAGGAAAATACGATGGATGGCAGCCGACATTCACGTCTTAAAAAAAACATTTGTAACATTTCATCTCGTTTATGCGGATCTATCCCCCCCTGGCTATGGTTGTCAGCGCCACTGCTGACGCCAAGAAAGAAAGAAACCATGAACCTTAAAAGAAAATGGTGCACTTGCAGAAAAGATCTATAATCCGCTATCCCGGAAAGTACTGTACATCTCGGGAAGTATATCTCAACCCGCGTCGAGCAGAGATCAGGCAACAAAGTATTTGAGTAATCCATTTCTAATAACACAGTCAGGACAGTGAAATCAAGTTGATAGAAAACTAGCTCTTGAAAGAAGCTTTTAAACCGCCGATAAGGAATGTGCAGTCCCTTCGACCGGTAAGCAGTGATCCTATAATCGCGGAATAATAAGTTTGAACATAACGTACCAGGATCAATGGTGCGGGATGAGGAGAAGATCGCCAGTCGTGCAATTAGCTAAAACGGCACGGTCACGTTGTTGATATCCGGGGATCGGGTAGGTAGGTAGGCTGGTGGTGGGAACGTGGGGGTCCGCGAATATGCGGGTCTTCGGTGTTTGCTTTGGGACCTGGCGCGGGATGAAAGGCGCACCATCATGGAAGAGGCTCAGGCAGTTATTGCAGGTGGCAGCTATATTAGAGTGCCCATTAGCAATAGTATGTATGCACAAATGCGTCAGACAGGCAGTGACATGTCGTAATTTTTCTCTCGTAAGTAGTTCCGCTACATGCATGCAGTGTCACGAGATATACTTGCCTGTGCAATATCGACGTTAGTTTGGTTCATTTGGTGCATTCATCGCAGATTGTGTCCTTCGTCGGAGCTTGTCGTAGGGTCTCAATAACCATAGGGGAGCATAAACGGAATACTCGTTACCTGTGGTGAACATAAGAGGGACTTCCGCCATCAGACTGGACCCGTAGGGGGAAGTCGTGACGGTTTGTAACGGCTTTCATGCGAGGACCCCGGATCTCTAATATTGAGGGGCAATGCTGATCTTTGGTCGGATTGAGTCTGGACCTGTTTCTGTGACTTGTCATGTCCCGAAGACAGGGTTCAGGTGCCACAACGTTTACATCTACGTTAGCCGAGCTCAACGACAAGCCTTGCGTAGTGGAATATGGAAATTTATAATAACGAACGGAGAATTGAGAACTGGTAGAACGAGGCTCAACATCCTCCAAGAGGAGAAAATAGGGAGCATGTGATAGCCAAAATACAGGGATCAGGCCGTAACAGAACTGCCGTAGCGTTATTATGCACGACCAAGCCTAGTATTTATCGATGGCTTCGAAGAAATTCCTAAATGAACAACGAAGCATAGGCATATTACAAACCTATTATCCACGCATCGCCCTATGAAATTATACTGCAGTGATATACGATGTATTTATAAACGGTAGAATCAGATACTGAGGTCCTTGTCAAAACGCCTGTGCAATGCTGCCGATATGCAGGACACCTTGAAATGCTACAAAGTTCGCCGCTCCATAGTTATGAGCCTTTCCTCACCCCTTTCGATGACCCTGACTAATACATGAACTTTTACTGTCGGACCGCCATTGCTGATAGAATCTGAGATGACAACAAGCACTAATGACGCACGCCAATATGCGAAAATATATACAGAATGATGGGGGGGCGATAAGAAAGAAAAAAGTAAATTTTAGCGTCGAGGTTTCTTTTCTCCTTGACGTTCCAAAAGCAATGTAAGCTGACTCTTTGACCGACCTAATGGTACAATTGGTGTTTTACTTGGCACTGTGGGCGTCAAAGTCACCGATGATCCCGACCTTTGTAGTCCAACTTCTGGTAGGTCTTCTTGCATGGCACTGGTGACAGCCCTCGCCGGTGCATTTTCATCGAACTCGATTATAGTCCCTTGCGCTGCGACAGTCGAAGTTGTAGCTGTGCTCGTTGAAGTCAGCCCTTGAGGAAGCCCTCGCCGCCCTACTTTAGACTCGCGTGGTGTAGCTCTGACGATGTCAATATCTGAGCGGGGATGATTCGAAGTGGATGTTGCAGCTTCAGTACGAGTTTGTTCTTCTCCATCATTCTTTTCATGTGGCGGACCAGCTTGCCTTCCTCTAAATTGAACGTTATCATAAACTGGTTCTTTGCCTTGAGCTTGTGGCTTTCGTTGTGGCGATTGAGTGTTTTGTACTATCACAGATCGTCCTTGGTTGTTAACGGGAACTCGGAACGTTGCCGGCTCCGATACACCCATTGATGTGACGGCAGGACGCTTCCCGGCCGCTTTGATACTCAATCGGTCACCGACGTCCTGAGGTTTAGTTGCAACAGTTTTGCTGGGCCTTTCGGCGATTGGCGACACAGATCGTTGAGATACTGGATACCTTGAGGTTAAAGAGGCGCGTTCCTCCCGTGATCCAACTTCTGAACTTGTCGCAGACGATTGCGAGCTTTGCCTTCTTGGTATTGCTGGACGACGTTTGGAGGACGATGCTACGATCTTCTTCTTAGACACACCACCTACTGGCTTTTTGTGTCTATCTTTCATAGCTGAAGCATTGGTTGGCTTAAGGTGCGAGGTCATTGTCCCAGCAGTACTTGTCGATGAGTCTGCTTCACTTTCCTTCTTGTCATCCTCTGCATCGGAGCCTGCAGGTGAAATAAAGCGTGCGGTTGGCCGAGGGCCGGATGATGAGGGACCTCTAGGTTTCTTCAGTATAGGATGGGCTGGTGGCGGCTTAGATGAGGAAGACGGGATGGCTTTGACTGTCCCCTGGTCCGATCTACCGTCACTGCTCACAGGTTGGAGCCTTTGAATATCATTCTGAGACAGCGTCTCAAGCAGGTTCTTTGCCATGGTCTGGTCTTCCATCAGTACGGTTCTCCTAAATAAAAATAAATAAATAAATTAAGAGATGAAGCGAGCATACTGGTATAGGACCTTCATATCGGTTGGGTGGGCCCCTGAGCGGCACGAATGTTGGGCCATTAGATATTTGTTCAAATATCTTGGCTAGTGTCTGCCCGGAGAGCATGCGCCTGTCACTACCCATGACATGCCACCAGAAATTTTCCAGGCGGTTGGCAGTAGGATCTTTTAGCTTCCCGAAAGTGGTCGTGTATACTGAAACTCGATTAGTTTTGCTGTAAGCCTCACGGATTAAAGATATAATCTAGTTACCATGCCAATATTCGATGATCTTTTCAGGTGGAACTACTGGAAAACTGGCGACCTCCTTGTAGACACGATTGTGGTTGAAGACGATGCCTTTCGGCAGAAGCATCGGTGGGGGTTCCATGTTGCTGTTGGCTTGAGCCAGGTACGTACTAGTTTCCTGGCTAGCAACGTATCAATCCAAAACCTTATGAATTTTATAGCGACTCATCGCTTTTCTTCAGGTTGATTTTGGGAACTAATATGCCGATAGGTTCATCGATGTCCCACGAATATTAATATCCAGGCCCGAATTGAGTTTACGGCGCAGCTGTGATTTGTACAGGCACAACACCAAGCTACTTACGATTTTGGGTTTGGAGTACTGATCGGCGATACTCTCCCAGATGTAGAAATGAGATGACTGAGTGGCTTGTACTGCCAAACAACTGTATTGCCTAGGGGGGACCTCGATTGGGCCTGACGTCTTCCGGATCATGTAATTGTGGTTCGCATGAACACCCGGCGGACTCTGGAACCACTTTTACCGACAATGGTCAATGTCATCAAGCGTATGCAAGGTGAGAAAGGCACAGAGTGCTAGTAAATCCAGTACGACACAGCGGTGGAGAACATGGCCCTGTCTGCGCTGCGAGTTGCTTTGTGGTGACACGTCAACAGCACTTTCAAAGAACGTAGATAGTGATTCGTCCCTTCAAACCCCCCTGGTAATGCCAAACGAAGCGAGTGAAAAACAGAGGACGACAATGGCGAAGACGTCAGTTCTGAGACATTAGGCAGTACTATTCCCTGGTGGTAGCCGCTCGAAAGGGATGATTAGGTTAGGAAGACGGGAAGGAATGGACCAGAACGCCTCTTCTGTGCAGCTGGCGGAGGGTGTAGGCTGGAATATGAGTATGAAAAATGGAGGTCGGAGCCTAACAGATATGATTATATACGTGCCAAGCTTGAAGGCGTAATAACACGGAGACGGCAACGCATAAACTCGGGTTGTGTAGAATATTACAAGTCACGGTTGGATGTTGGCATAGAAATGTTAAGTAGTACTGGAGCGAAGGGAAGCATGACCTAACCTGGGTAGTTGTTGATTGATCTCACAAGCACGCAAAATTTTTAGCACTGCACAGCCAGGACTCCGCTAAGAGCACGGGTCGCAGTAGCGGGCTGCGACCACCAAGTACCTTGTCCGGATTTTTTGGGGGCACCAAAGTGCCCCGGAATGCACGCTAGGGGGTCGTAACCCACTCGTTCTAGAGCTTTGCTTGCCCACTAAGCTCTAACAACCTATCAGTCTGTCAGGTACGCCCGCCCAAGAATCCCTGAACAAAACGCCTCGGCAGGTCAGCTAGCCATGGCGATGCGGCGTGTCTACCAGATCATTTATTCGCCGTGATCCCGATAGATCATCGCGCAATTCATGTGCTAACAATGCAGCTTACTTACAAACGTATGCGCTCCGTGGTACTTCCATCCGCTACTTACGCAGATGCTCTTCTCACCGGGTTGCCAATTATTATGGTCAAGTGACCTGAGTAGGTATGCTCGGTAAGGTTCGAAAACGACCCCGTGGCCAACCTTGAAAGCAATATTACCCTGCACCCTTGCAGAGCAGATCTCGGTCCCTGAGTTGATTTCTCCTCGTCATTGATGCCGAGCATCATTACTTGAAGCCTTTCGTACTAACTCGATGCATGACGAGGCCAACGACCACTTCCTCGACCTTCGCCTTTCATTTTTCTTGACAGACGAGGCTCGATTGAAATGCCCGAGTGCAAGAGCCGGAGTGTGCGAAATCTGCGTGTTAGTGGCCGCAGATTACAATTCCGGCGCCACTGTCCGACGATAAGACGGCATAACCGTCTGCAATCCGTCACCTTGTTATCGCACACGATATATCTCCAGCTGTGGCCATGATTATGAATCGTATTTCGGCACACGCGCGGTGGGACGCTAGCTCTCCTGAAACCATAGAGATCGCATAGGCATGAAGAAATTCTTGGAACTGTGACCTCAGCTTCCTGACCTGCCGTCTAAGGGATGGGATCAGAGCACTTCTGTTAACATTCTCTAAAGGGGGTGTCGACTAACGTTGGCCGTTTCCAAACAAGCTAGGTCCCATTGGACCATCGTTCCCCCACGTCCACCATGGATACGGAGGTGTTCTAGTCGAATTTGCCGTTTCTAGAAAAGTTCCAGGTTCCTGGGGCAGGCAAGGATCCTCAGGCTCTGCTGCTTGGGCTTGGACTAGAAGAAAGTTGGCAGCGTCATTATGTTTATTTTTCATCAATGTGCTTGGCTATATCGAATTCCTTCGTGCTAGAGAAAAGGCTGGTCAGTCGTAGATCATTGGCCAGGCTGGTTCTATTGTATTTGGTTGGCCGCTAGATCCGGCCATTTAGCCCCTTATGCGATCCTTAAAATAGTGTTCGATAGAGTCAATCGTCGAAAATGAGCGAACAAGAACGGAGGCTCGGACAACTGATCAAAGTTCGCTGGGTGCCTCTCATCGAGATTGGGGACTTCAATCATTCACGATATCTATCCCGAATTACAGATACACAGGCCTAACTTCGAAATCTGGAAACTCTTCTGCGATCGTAACTTCGCTGGTTGGACGTCAAACCCATCCCTTGATCCTAGGCTTCACCGCTTCCCATCCTGGTTGTCAAAAAAGGTCACGGCTTCGGATCAGCTTGCTACTATTGCCTGGCGGTATTGCTTATGATGCCTGGCGACAGAATTGTCATGGCCTAGGTTAGCAACCTCTTGCATGGGTGTGTTTAGCTCCTAACACAAGGCGAGTAAAACGCAATGGATTTATGGAGCCGTAGTTCCAAGGTTTCTTCGACTTGATCTCCAGAATTCATACCGTCCAATTATCACATTTACGTCGCTTCCCACGAAGTTCGAGAATATCATCTCCCGTCCTTGTGATCTTCCCTTGCGGGGTGATGCGTCGTGTGACCTTCTTAAATGACTGCTTCGCCCATTTGCGAAAATCTACTATTGGTCAAAACTTAACTTACCTCGTTGACTTCAAACAAAAGCAACAACCGCTTAGTTGCTCGGAAATTAAACATAACGATTCTCATAATTGACCGTAATGACACTTCTTCCAGGTCCTTGATCCTTAACCCGGGTATTTGGCCGAAGGTAAGCCATAAGGTAGCTAACTATGTTTTCAGCATGGCGCTTCGGCTTCCCCCGCCTTTCAACCGGAACTCCTTCCGGTCTGCTGGGTAAGCATTTTAGTATTTTCCACAGCATCTAAACAAAATCATCGTTCCACCGTGTCCATCTAAACTATTCCAACCGTCCGTCACCATAAGAGTTTTAATACCTTGCTTGCATAAGCCGCGGTGCCTCCTGTCTCTAAGTTGTATTTTGCTACTTCGAGAAGGATTGCTTGGGTTTGCATCCAGGCAGCACGTGACGCGCTTCATCACCATCTTAGACATATACGACTAACCTAGCAATTTATTTAGCTCCAGATCTATCTACCTTCCTGTGTTGGTACTCAGGCGTCACTCGGGTAAACCCACATGACATTTAAGTTTTCCTGAACTAGCCAAGAACCTGCTCTTGCTTGAGCTCTTCAGGTATTCCGACCAGTCTTGCTATACTATCACTCTTCTTTTGAGGCCATAAACGCGTCCTCCTCGGGAACGTCGCTCTCTGCCGGTAATCGGTATGATATCTGGAAACGATAGTGCATTCAAACCGCTACTACGGTGGGATTGTGGAAGATTTCCACGGCAAGAAACGTCCACAAGCCAAGATCCTGTTCATGCCTAACCTTAATGACTAAGTTTTCCAATTGGGTCTTTTGCACTCCACTTTCGCCCATCATAATGCAGTCGGATCCACCCTGAAATAGTATTCTATCATGGGTTTCCCTGATCATATTCACCACGGTTGCACCACACGGTTGGGAAAGTCTGACACCCTCCACCTGTCTAAGTGAGAGACCTTTCCAATTAAATGCAGGTACGCAGCAGATCAGTGTTCGGGTAACACATGCTACCTACCATGATTCGACACGGTTGAGCGGATAGTCGGAGCAGTTTTTCCACTCTCATTTCTCACATCAGGTAGATCTTGTTTAGAATATCAGAAACTACCGCGGCCCGGCCCTGGCTCAGACCGATTTGTTCGCTCAGACATGTCCATTCTAGCATCGATATGGCTTAGCCGGTCGCTTGTAGTACTGTCAGCGCTTGGTCACAATATAAGAACACATGGCTACGCACTCTGCACGAGGTCCCGGATACTCCCGGCGGCCATAGCCCAATTGTATGTAGTACACTACATATCTCCAAGGTCACATTGGGACCACATACTAGTCCAATTTAAGTAGGTTAGTATTGCACAAAGTCAGCGAAGAAAAACAAAGTTCCACAAACTTTTCATACCTTCCGCCATGCTTAAACATCGTCCCGAAAGACGTGATGCTGAAACCTAATGGATACAACAACGATTACTCCGATATTTATCTTAGAATCAACGAAAATAGCATTCGGATTATATTCGACAATACACTTTCGTGCTCTTCATTCATGAATCTAGCGAATCATCTAGTCTAGACTAGTCACTTCCTGCTCTCGGTGGTAGACAGTCCTAGGTATAACACCTGCACAGCACCTCGGCAATCGCTCAGTGTCATGACTGACTGCATAAGCCTCGCTACCTCCCGGTATTACACACGTCACATGCTAAAATTGGCTGTGGCCTGATCCCGCAAGTGCAGACAAAATAGTAAAGAATTGTTTGGATCAAGTTCAACGCATAATCACGAGATAGAAAATTCAACCTATCCTCTCGATCATTTCAAGGGACGGGTCTTCACCCTAGCCGAGGCAAAAACGCATTTTACAGTATTGACTATGATCACTACTTGCTTCCATTAAGATACGATTGTTTCGACCTTGTCATCAAAAAGAAGAAGGGAAATATGCTATCAGCAAGTATATGCACTGCGAATGTGGAGATGTTGCAATATAATTCTTGCTGATACATATCTTAACGCTCAGAGCGCATTCCTGAATGGTAAAAAATTGGTTTGGCCATTCAACAACAACCTAGCCGGGCCCCAATAATATAAAGAATCTCGGTTCCGATACTCCGGCCGGCTCATGATCCAGTTGCCGTGAAACACTTGGATCGATCAGCAAGCGATTAAGACCCGTAAGCCAATATTATATGTCCATCTTCAAAAAGCGAAATTCCAACATGATTCAATTTAGGGGTCGCATTGATACGGACATGACAAATAACCATTGATCAAACCAAAAAGTGATTGATAAATTGTCAGGGTGAAGTCAGTCTTCCCTTAATCGTTGAGAGTTTCGCTAAACCTCATAACATCGTGGCCTCGGTGGTCCTCGTTTTGGGCGACAAGATTATAATGGTTACAAAGAAAGAATGGTGAGTTGACGGAGGTTGGCCTAAAGTAAATCATATTAGAGGTGATATTAAGTACACGCCCTAATCGGTGCCTGTTCTAACAATACGATAGTGAAGCATACCACTATTCTAATCGCACTTAGATCGCATGTACCGTATTGTTACAATAGGCACGCTGCCCAGTAAATTCCTCTCTTGATATGTTCATGAAACCTTTCGTCTCTCCATGCCTCATCAAAGTGCCCGAGTGACGTGTAGAACGATCTAGCGCCTTCAAATTCCTGACACCAAGCAAGTGGATGATCATTACCCATAGTACCCCCTTCATAAGAGCTCTCGTCGATACTCATGAGAACATGGACGTTATCTCGTGGGTTCGACCTGAAATTGTACCACTCATCATGCCATTTCCACTGGTTTGACAAACCCTTTGTGAGCGCGTGCGCCGTGTCCTCAATCTTAACTACGCCATCCTGTGGTTTGGGGTGTTCGGTGAAAGCGGCACCAACACTACAGCATTCGGACTTAGCACTTGTTCTCTAGGATGGGTCAAGGGGTTCTTAGGTGTATTGTGAAACAGTCACAAAGAAACAGTTGCTTTTGACAGGCACCATCGGGCTCTGTAGACATGCTAAAAAGGGTATAAACCGATTTTCTGAACTTGCTTACAGTCTCCCATACCATTCATCCTGAGGCATGCCAGCAGCGGCACCGTGGATGCCAACGAACCCGCCCCCATTCCTGATGAATCCTTTGAGCGCATCAAGTTGTGCTTTGTCTAGAAAGTCGCCGCTAGTGTGCAAGAATACTAGCACGCGATATTGCGAGAGACTTGATAGGTTAATGACTGAAGCGTCTTCAGTGGTATCGCAGGTGATGAGGTCTGATGCCGCCGCGAATTTCTTCAAGGCTTCAATGCCTGCGGAAATAGACTCATGACGGTAACCTGCCGTCTTGGTGAACACAAGAATGCTTAATGATGATGAAGACGGCATGACTGTCTGTTATTGCTTAGATGTATCTATAGCTAATTCAAGTTTAGGAGAGAATTAAGTATTGATCATGTTTGATGTTGACGTATGTCATGTGTGCATGTAGACATGCAAGGCAGGGGTGATGAGCGGGGCGGGGTTGAACATAAAATTACCGTGGGCAAATCCTGAGCAAATGCCTGGCATCCCAGAACTTGAATGATCATTACCTTACCTTCTAATCATGACTTGAGGGGTTCCTAGAAATCCTTAGATGATCTGTTCATTTCTCTGAAGAATCAACCTTGCTCCGAGTTCGATTCGAGTTGTGCTTTCAACCATTCGGCATTGTAGTTGTCTCCCTGCGAGCTGCTGCGGACTTGGTTGCTAACGGTTTCACCCACGTTGCGCAACGCAGCCGCCGTATCGCTCTTATAATATGTATTTCCTAGTCAAGGCTCCTATCATAGTGGGTGCTAGGCCGGTAAATTTTGATGAAAGATGGTAAATATGAGCATCTAATTGAGGTAGTCGGATAGGAAACTGATGAAATGCGAGATGATTACATAATTAGTTGCTTCTGTGGAGTTGACTTGATATGAAAAATATGTGGTACTCATCACGTCCTGATCCAAACCCGAAGGGATCGGTTCTCGAATACCAGCTCGGTTTGAAGTTGCATACCCAGCGTTGACACAATGAGGCGACAAGTAGCATTAGAGGAGGCTTCCACACACCAAGTTAGGGTGCCCAAGCCTAGCTCCATTCACAATGGCAGTTTGGACTGCAAGGAGATCAACGTTTGGTTACCAAACATGAGCTATAAATCAGCGGCCATTGACATATAGGCCAACAGACAAAAGTGGTAAACATACAGCGATCTGGAATTTCGAGACAGCCCTTTGAGTAATAGTTGTTCGCTAGTCCCAATTCTATTGTTGTATTATCTATCTATACTTCCTCTGTTGGGAAGTCCAAACTCTGTTGAGCAGCAGCGTCGATACTCATTGCAACGATAGTCACGAAAGCAGAACCACAACACCGCACGTGCTTGCCACACTAAGAATCATGGCTGTGATCTCCCACAACTACCGCCACCGCCACCACCACGATGCGTTAAATTTTGTGATTTGCCTTACGGAACTTAGTGTTCATATTTGACAGCGGGATAGGACATCTCTGAATCCGTGGGCACGCTGGGGCACGCTACGTGCTTAATGTGTCCACCGTGGTATCTTGAGAACAATGCAGATTCTCTGTATTCTGCAGGACATCTTGGTTGCTGTTGAAATGAGGCCTCCTGGGACTCATCAGGTGGACAAAGTATTTCGTCAACTAGCTCATCAAATTTATTAGGCAGACGAGATAGCGAGTAGCTTACAAGTTAAACCTTGTTGCCAACATTCATCTAAATGTGTTAGTAACTTATGATACACTGTTTTCAAGTTTACAAGAATGCTAAAGACGGCATGAATAAAATTTGAAACATCTTCTGGGTTATTATAACCCTTACAGATATCTTAGCTTCAAGTTCAATTTATAATTTGAGTGGATGTCATAGCCCTAAAAAAGTTGACTGAGGCACAGTTTTGACATTTAAACAATTAATGTCACTGAGTCATTGTGTTGTATATTTATTTGCTCTCATATTCTGGCCTCAATATGTAGAGGTACTGGAAACCAATATCTTAACGTGGTGGCAATCATTTCGTCAACCGGCACGTAACCGCACGAGTAGATGGGAGCCATTTTGAGGACTTGTTGCAAAATTAAGATCCACACCCAATGATTGCCCGAGGACATTGTGGGCAGATAGAATGCACATTATGCTGCTTCTAGATCGCGAAATACGTACTATCTCTGAATGTCTTCAATAAGGATGCAAAAGTTTTCACGGCTGTCTTTCTGACCTGTGGTTGAGAAGAAAGGTTGGCTATACCATGGGTGTCCGGGACATCATTACACCTTCGGAAGTTCTGCAAAGCAATATGGACGTTGGATCAGAGTCATCTTGAGATGAATCCAAAATTAATAGTAGTAATTATAGTATAGTATAGCCAAAACCACTCCGTTTGATTTCAACAAGAATAAACAAATAGCAAACAATAAATTTAGAGGTTCCATAATGTTATAAATGAAATTGGCCAAACCATATCCTACTAGGTTCTATCGAATTATAAAACGGGTCCTTCTATGAAATTTAGCTCCAGGGTGATCCATTACTAGATAAGCTCATTCACATACTACATATCATTGAACTTGCTATCTTGCTCTAGTGAAGATACAATTCCCATAGACTACTAAGAGTCGTTCCTTTAGAGTTGCAACTAATAGAATTAGATACAGGCGATGGAGTGGACATGAGGGAAGAGATCATATCGGTTCTAATGAAGGGAAGTGTCGCAGATGTTGTGCCAGCCCGTTCTTGTAAACTCGAGCGTCGTGTGGTCACTGACGGTCTTGGCCGGTTCCTAGCACGGCGGTCCCATCTGTATTCCTCCTCCCAATCTCTGCCTGTCTTCAACAACGACGTGTTGGAATTTCTTTCATTGATTCGCTCTTTCAGATGCTCTATTATATCCTCATGGTATCTCTTGTCATGTCGCTTACTCTTTTTCGCAGTTCATCAGATGATGCATTCGATTCGCCAGTTATCAGATAGTCCTGATCACTTGGTTTTGAACTTAAATGCTGACGCAAGTTAACAGTTTCAGTCAATAGACCATCATAATCTTTCCTCAATTCCGCGCGGTGACCTCAAAAGCGAAGTATTTTCGTCATTGGGTGTTCCCTTTTCTGTGTTGGGGCGTGTTGCTAAATGCTCAACGTGTTGTGTGTTATGTCCGATTGCACAGTGACTCCACCAACCTCAATTTTTCATCTTGAATCTTCGTGCCTTCAAGATCATGCTTTCCCTCCACATCACTCACTACAGAGTAATTGTCGGTTAACATCTCTTATATTATCATAGTCATGATACTGTCCTTCAACTCAGGGACCTGTACATACATTCTATCTATGAGGCCTTAGGCGGCATTGCGTCTTCACAGTGCCGCCTATAGTGACCGTGATCATAATATTTCGCCTGTCTTTAGAGACAAGTATGACAAGACTTCATTAGCCAGTTTAACATGCGCGTCCTGACCGCGTACTGTCTTGTGGTTGATAGGGAAACCCATGATAATCTCGGTGAGACCCAGTGACAACCTGAGTTCGGCTACAACGCTTAGGGACGTTGACAAGATTATGCTCCTTGGCTTGGTCCCTTGCAATAGCTTTTGCCTATCTGAAAGGATGATTCATGACAGTTTCCTGACCGGTATCTGCACCCGCTACAAAGCCGAGGGTCTCAGCCATAGAAGTTGACTAGAATGTGTATTTCTCGTGATCATGACCAGCATCAGACTCGACATTTCAAGAGGAATGTTGCATCCTATGTGTAGGCTGTGCAGTGGTTGCTCATATGTGTGTTTGTGATAAGGGCGCTGACATTGAATACATTGAATAAGGCGTCTCTGTCACAATCACCCTTCTGCGTGCCATTACTTCTGAGTGGTACTGCAAGTATCAACTATCCAACATACACTATCGAGCGCAAATATGGGTTTGTCAAACAGGCGACTGTGGAAGTAGGCAATAGATACGCAATATCTTCGTTTTAAGCATACCGCAGCAGACGGTATGCACATACATATGGTGGAAAGCTTTGTCTTCAGCTTTACATACTGCACAATATTTTTGATTTCTGCAAGCGCGTTTGCCGCCCTCCAGTGTTGGGTGGATGTCCCTTTTCTGTTCAGATGACACACGCTCCACACAGGTACGAGAGGGCACAGTCTCAATTTATCTAATCTAGAGGAATATAAGACGTTTCTATTCAACAACAACACAAGCACTAGTGGTTTAGTGGTAAAATCCATCGTTGCCATCGATGGGCCCCGCGTTCGATTCGCGGCTAGTGCAAATAATATTTTGACGGTTTCATATTCGCTTTTGTTGAATGATGATGATATGAGTGGGTTTGTTGCGTAAGAGAATTAAATGTTGTGCTTTTCAACAGGACCTTAAACTTGACCACGTGGTGCGGTGGAGCCAGACTTTTTTTATTCAGGGGTTTCCAGGGGCTTTCAGGGGCTCAGGTTCGGCTACTCTTCCGAGAATTCCCAGGGCTTATAGCTTCAATTGAGGCAAAGTTGTTTAGAAAGCCTCACAAATTCGACGCACGTGAATGGAATCAAGTTTGTTGTCATGAACCTGACCAGCGCATAGATAGGCGGGCTTTTCATGAGATACAATGCAGGCAGCAATGACCTCCAAAGCATGGGATGTAACCATAGTTGAAAAAAGTGAACCTTTTGTTGTTCGCCCTACTAACAGAAGCCCGCAGCGTCGGAGGTCAAAAGGACGAACAACATTTCACCACGTCTGAGCCTTTGTTGCACGTTTATTGGGCCCAAATTGAAACACGTCTGGGCGTCTGACGTGCATTTTACGAAGATCCTTTGTACAATCCGCATTTCTAAGATTGCGTTCGTTATTCTGTTTTATTCCAGTCTTCAGTCAAAAGAGCAATGCCAAGACTCATTTATGATAGCCACGTGCTCCGTTCCAAAAGTCCGGGCACCAGAGCAAGTCTCCATCGGCTAGATCCACTGTGCGTGTCAACTGCCAGAGGCCCGAACCTCGGCAAAATTTACAGGCCTCAACCCGTAGCTATTTGCATTGAAGTCAAGACATACGGACATACGTACGGCCTGTTGATCAACGACTTACCTTACTGACGATACTCAATTGCTGTAACAGAAGGCCCAGCTGTGTTTGTGCAATTAGCTCCCAGCAGAGAAGAGGAACTTTGTAGTGCAAGTGGGCAGACTGAACAAGACGTCTTTGAGTCGTGGTGCACCATGGCTGGCCGAGCCACATTGATCAAGGCTCCGGACGTAGACCCGAGTAAGGCGCAGATTGAGAACGCGCTCGAATTGACCGATCTCAGCATCATTGGCCCTGTACGCGCCTCTTCCAGACAACATATTCTCGCCATCGCTAGCGAGGTCTACGCGCCTGCTGACTCATCTATCAGGACATCTTCACGAATACCAGAGAGCTGTGGCATCCTCCCGGAGCCAGAGGTATATATGGCGGCGCAGTTATCGCGCAGACGCTCGCGGTATGGATACACAAACCCTTCAAGGAGATCGTGACTGATGATGCTCTACAGGCGGCACAACGTACTGTGCCGGCAGATTTTGTGGTTCACTCTTACCATTGCTACTTCGTTCTAGCGGGCGACTCAAGCGTTCCAATTCTGTACCATGTAGAAAGGGTGCGCGAGGGACGATCGTTCTGCACCAGAACAGTACAGGCGCGGCAACGTGGCAAGGCTATCTTTACGGTGACTATGTCGTTCACTAAAGACAACAGCGGTGGTAGGGAGCAGGTGAGCCATGCCGCTGCCATGCCATCAGGCGTGAAGCCTCCGCCAGATGATTACGAGGAGGATTTTGGAAACGGCACGTCGCCGTTCGAGAGCTACCGTATCGAAGTCACAAACAAAGATGGCCCGCCTGAAAACAAAAAGTCTAGGCATTGGGTTCGTGCGAGAGGCAAGATCAGCGAAGCAGGTGGACACCAGGCGCATTTGAGCGCTTTGGCCTACGTTAGCGACAGTTACTTCATTGGGACTGTGAGCCGCATCCACAGGCTATGGCGGTTTCCCTTCAAGGCTGATGACATTAATACGCTGTCGCCTGAGGTCAAGGAACATGTGATCAAACTCAATGATTTTGAGGGCAGCGGAACTGTTGAAAGCATGAAGGGACAACCAGAGATTGGAATGATGGTGTCGCTTGACCAGTAAGTTTGTTCGCTAAAAGACGTGGGATTACATACATCAGACGTACCACAATATTGACTGCAACCTACAGTGTGATCTACTTTCATAACCCAAAGAAAGTCCGCGCAGATGAATGGATGTTTTCTGAGATGGAGAGCCCTTGGTCTGGCGACGGACGTGGCGTTGTCACCCAGAGAATATTTAGCAAAGATGGGACGTTGCTGGCGACATGCCATCAGGAGGTATGGTTCCTATCATCATGACATTGGCCGATACCTAACTATACTATCATAGGGCGTCGTCCGACTGAAGCAGAAGAAATCACTTAGCAGCTCTAAGTTATAACTGCGCCTGGGGACTCAGATTAGATCGTTCCAATGCGGAAACCCGGTTGCCACCAAGCTGTGACAGTTTACATCACCTCCAGGTTGGAAGAAGTTTTAAGTAGTTGCAACATGGAGTCATAGTTATGTTTGTAAGATATATTTGTGAAGAGATGACGGAATCACGTTCCATGAGAGCTCTTGGCCATCGATTCCCGATGTCATGGCGTTCTAGAATTGCATTTGTGCGAAGTTAGAGTTGCCTGAGCTAGTATATAGTGTAAAGACTGCTTAATCCCGTATGCAAGTTGACGCAAGCAAGTTGACGTTCATTGAAAGTGGGGACAACACTAAGCATGTGTACAAGTGACCATCACTAATCGTGTAACTTCATCCACAATGATGTGCAAGACGGGCGATAGGTGATCCCGCCGTGGACGGTCAGATATGTTAACGGGCAAGAATAAAACACCGTGTTGCGAGCTAGATATTAGGGGTTTAATCGAGATACATAGGGGAATCTGTGCTGTCAAGGGTCTAGTACTGTCTGCAACTTGCTTACTTGAAAATATGCCTACATTTGTAATCGAACCTTGCGGAATATTAGCCAAGACGGGATCTTCCTTGTGCACGAAATTGGATATGAAGCCGCCTTCTTGGCGCACAGCGATTTTCCAATCGTTTATCGTACTTTGAAAACACTTGAATTGGGTCATGATTGCTTATATAAGCGGTACTTGAATCTTCTGCTGTAACGTTATTTCTGAGTCAGAACGATCTAAATGGCTGGAAAGAGTACTAAGCCTCTTCTGACAGCTCTGGCAGCCACTGTAGCACTATCTGTCATCCTTCCATAGGACTACCATTGCGGGCTATGACTCAAAGTCTGGGCAACAGACACGGTCGCTGATTGATAAGAGAAACAGAGTTGTCTGCTTTATAAGCATAGAAATTCTAGCCCTTTTTCTGACTGGACTGAGGACGAAGGGGACACCTCGTCAACTAACGGTTAGAGCGAGATACTAAACTCTAATATCCCTTTAGAACGAGAATGACCCAACTTAGAGGGGGGCGCCGTCATCAAGTCATGACTAACATGACATTGTCGATTTTCGAGTCAAATCAGGTCAAAACACAAAGTACAACGGCTGCAACTACGGTGATTAGGGGTCTTCTTAACGCCGAAATGGTTCTGAGACACGATTCATGCAGCGTGCGCATGCACACCTACCTCAGAGATTGGGTGCATGCACAAATCGTAATCGCATGCATGATTCTGGCCATCGCCCAAGAAGAAATGTTTCTTTTTTCCTGAGATTCCAGAAAATGATCGGAAAATCACGATATCAAAACAAGGGCCTGCCGATAAATTCTACATATATAATTCAGTTGGCATTCAATTCGTCCCATCGTTGTTGATTCTTGAAATGTCTTCAAACGGCGAACGGAATTCAGCCGCACGTCGGTGTTAGTCGGGGCGCGAGACGCACCCGCATCCGATAAAATGGATACATTTGAGACACCGTCTCAGGAGATGACACCCATTAAAAATTCCAACAAAAAAAATTTCAATTGAAAACATCACTATTATTGAGTAGAGCTTTAAAGATATTTCACGCTAGGAAGCAGTTACCACTTCAGGACCTACCCGCCTTGAGTTGGTGTTTTCCTATTACGTCAGATGCAAAGTCTGGATTCTTTCACAGCTCTGGCTCTGTGTTGGAATCACATCACCTGCAGTTCCTTGATACACTGGTAACCATGAATCTCGGACACGGGATTGGCGTTCGGACGCGAAACCAGAATTCACCAGCGACTAATCAGGTAAGACCACTAACCCGCAGCGGCTCCGGGGGAGCAATGATCGACAACTAAGGAATTTCGAAACTGCAAAGCCTGTCAGGCACCTCGCGGCCGCGAGCAACCCCATTCCCAAAACGGGAGCGGAATCGGCTTGGAATTTCTAGAAGGATTCTTCAAGATAGTCGGACAGCCCTGTGCAAGCTGCTCAGTTCGTTGCTCTATCCACTTGCCGAGGTTTCCAATTAGTTAAAAGCTTGGTATAAGCAATCTTAGATACTATGAATCTCTCAATCTTGCAGGAGTTATTGACATCTACCGGCATCATCGACAAAGCCCTCTACCAATCAGGTCTCAACACCCAGAGTGCTGCGCACAGCGAGAACACCCTTGGGCGTCTCTCACGGTTGACATTGTGAAAGTCAAGCATATGCGAAAACGTTGTGGTGTAAATGATATCATCCCCTTGTCAAAACTCCATTCTGCCTTAAGTAGCCCGTCAGAATTTTGTGTCGGGTTTAGGGATTTAGTGATAGCGTACAATGTATATATGTAGCTAGTGACAGTGCTACGGTGGAGCTACCATCACTTCGTCGCATGTTCTTCTCTTCGATTCCCTATCGATGGCCAACAGGGTTCACGATTCCCAGGAAAAGTGCGAGACAGATCGCGATAACCTACGGCCTCGACTAGGTCTCGGAAGACTCTCGGGGAACTGTGGACCAGCTTCTGTCAAACCCCGAACCTTTATTGGAACTTCTAGAAGACGTGAATGTGCCGAATGGTTTTGAAGCGGTAACGGACAGATTACCGGGATTTCTAGGCAGGCCGCTGAATAATATGTCCCTGCGCGGTTATGAAGTCAGGATGCACCCTGGTGACAACAGTTACAGAACAGAACCGTGTGACCCAACCACAAATAAACCATCAAGCCAAGCTTTAGTTTCCTAGTGATTAACAACAAGGCGAGCCTCAAAGCAAGGATATACTTGTGGTGCTTCGTTAGCCTTGCGCCTATTCATACCACAGCTTCATGCGACCTGCCCGCAGGACCATTGTGGTTTGCACTGGGCCACTTTGCTCAGTGGACCGATTATCTGGGTCGTTTGGTCAAGGAAGCTGAGAGACTATTCCACAGACAGATTGGAAATGTGGACAACTCAGAGGCACGGGCAATATGTTAATCAGAGATCACGATGATCAGAGCAATCTCATTGTGAGTGAGGTTGGGCTCGTCAGGCTCAGTGCCATGCGCCCTAATACTCCTGAGTAAGCCCCACCACGCTTCCAATCGCAATAAGCAGCATGTCGAACGCTCATTATGAAGCGGATTTTCGTCACAGAAGGCACTTGCCTGCTTGCAAACAAGGGAATTTGTGTTATAGTGGTAATTGGTGCATATTGGTCTGGTAATCATGGCTGAATACACACTGTACCTATATCCCTTGTTCCTTGTGGAGTGGAGCAATATCCTGTCTCCATAGTTATGCAAAAAGATGCCAGCAGAGCTTAGATAGCCATCTGTTTTTCATTGGAGACAAATTCAGGTTCGGGGTTGGCACGAGGGAAAGAAGGCCACCGACGAAAGTTATGCATCTTCGTTAGCCAAATATTTGCAGCGCTGCTCTCGCTAGCTGCAGCTTGGATTGTTGCCCGGAGAGTTTCCCGAATGACTGCCTGCAGGGCTTACTCTTGGTTCCGAGCTGTTCGGCCAATTCGCAAAGCTCGAGTCCGCTTGTATCTTGATGTACATGTTCGTATTTCGCTGAGAGGGAAATCTGGGACCAAGACTTGGACAAGTGCACTACCCAGCATTGGCATTGACCAAGCCACTCGCAATCCCCTCAATTTGAATTCTTGTGCTCTGGAAAAGATGGTTTGCAATATGAGCATCAAGAGGACATGCTGGGTTGCATGACTTCCTAAGCCTCATTCCATCGATTCTATATCTCTAGTACTCATGCATAAACATATCGTGTTCTTTTGTCCGTTAATTCCGCCTCACCTCTTGGATTCCAAATCTAGAGGTTGTTGGTCGACTAGCGAAATCTTGGCACTCGCGTTTCAACGCCAACCCGAAAGCCTATATCGTCCCAACGCTCCTTGTGACGCAGCACGAGAGGTAGTAGACACATTCTACCACAGCTGCCGACAGCCAGTCTAGCAAGAATTAGAATTCACTGAGCGAGACCGCTTCCGACTGGTCTGAGATTGACGTCAACCTTCTGGCTCTCGACACACGCTTAGGGCCATTGAATTAGGACCCTTGCCTTGGCTCCGAAAGCGACTTCTAGTGACTCTGAGTACTTCGCCCAAGTCCTTGCCCCCCTGTCAGCAAAGGCACAGCATAGGCCCAGGTTCGGACATAACTTACGGACGGTCTTTTAGAACGCACCGTGGTCCTCCTCTTACGTTTACAGGCCGGTTCGCTTCCTGATCTAATAGTATTAAACTGCCGGGTTCCTGCTAGCGCAGCTTCATAACATAATCCTCCCGCCTGTTGGATGCTCGCCGGGTTCGAACATTAATAATCCCCCATTGGCACTCAGTCAGATCCAAAAAGCTTCCAGCTAGCCTTCCAGTTTTACATCTACCCTCCACTGTCTCAATTCTTAATTCCTTCTTGCTTACACTTCTCCACGAAGAGGGTCTCGGTTGTGAAACACATCTTTAGTGGTTCCTGAACGCATGTTGTTATACAGGCTTGAAGCTCGAAATCGATTGACCCCACCAACAAGCGTTCGGCCTTAGTTTGCTGTCAACCCTTCATATATATATATATATATACACACATCGAGATGGATAAAAGCATGCCTACTCCTCCAATGGAGGACAACATCAAACTGTCTACTGGTGTAAGGAGGAATACGACATCGAGTACAAAGTCTGTAAAACCAGTGCATCGAAACTCGAAACGAGCGAGTCAGACGTCGCATTCCCCGATCCATGATCATGCTCCATTATCACCGCATGGCAACGGGATGGACAGACACAAAAGAGTTTGGAAAGCATGTGAGAGGTGCAGGCAAAAGAAGACAAAATGCGATGGAGAGTTTCCTTGTAAGAGGTGTAAGGATGATGGTCTCGTATGTACGGCAGGTACAAGAAAGAAGACCGAGTATAAACAACTACCTAGGGGGTGAGTTATGACCGTATCATCAACAAATAACTAATAACTGCTAACACGGCCCAAAAGTTACGCCGAAGTATTAGAAAACACCCAGCTTGCGCTTATTGCTACTGTTCATAAGCTTTATGCCATGATGCGGAATGGGCAACAATGGGATCTCGCCGAACCTGAGCTCAATGACCGAGGTCAACCCATTATTCATAACATCGCGACCTTGCTCGGATGTATTCGACCCAACGCAGACGCAGATTTGCCTCCGCACACAGTGTTTCCTGAAGATGAGGGCGGCCTAGCCAAGTTGGCCGCAGAGCTGGAAGTCCATCAACAGGACTCGAATATGGTGCCGATCAAGTCGGAAACGGACTCTACATATAATCGCACAGAAAGAGCAAGCTCATCTGAACTCGATCATTCGGATTTTGAGCAAGACTACCGGAAAACAATGATGAGCAGTCAGAACTTGCAAACACTCTCTCCCCAGAGCTTCACATCGTATAACGATTTCGATACGAACACGGTTCCCACCGAAATGGATCCATCAGCCATGTTTCCTGTACAAACCACAACCAACCCGGCGGCATTTCCATCTTGGAACATAGCGCGGCCTACCTCAATGGGCGGCATTCCACCACAATTTATGCAGCAAATGGATTTAAATATGGCAGATATCATGCTCAGTCAAGGTCTGGTCGAGTCCGAGTTTGGTACCCTGAAGCCGCATATCCTCAATTGTCCCAACCCAGAAGTCATGCTTGGAGTGGGTGATCCAATGATCTACTCCGGGTACAGCATCGATCCATTACGCACATGAACCAATCGGACCACTACGAAGTAAATATGACTTATAGAAAGGGGCAATCCTACATTATGCATGGCGTTTCCGGAATTAGCATTGGCTTTCAGTTGAACGGAGCACTCGGGGCTGCTAGGAGTTTATAGAGCGAGACACCATCGTATGTCAGTCACTGTACCATTTACTGGGCTGCGGTCGTATGTCTTTGCACAGATTTCACGTTGCGGCGCGATACCGGAGCCACATCTCTCACTTACGCGACATTGTCTTGGAAGACAGACTACCAGGATAGCAATGGTAGCAACGAATTATACAACATTCATCAGTGATCATTCACCAGTGTACACCGGTGCCTTTGGAAGATCCTAGGTTTCACAGACCAGACAGGCCAACTTTGGACACCATTGCATGCGCGGCGGGGCGCACTGCTCTAATTGCGAACTTTCTAAGATGTTCTACCATAGATGACTCAGATTCCGAATACACAGGATCATTATCCGGGCTTGTCCTACCCCCCACGCTGCGTGAATTCATGTTGTACAACAATATGATCCCAAAATGATCCTTTCATCGGACATAAGCCTTTATATGCGCCTAAGACAACCACAGTAGAGCAATTGTTGCTGACATGCATACTCCGTAAGAGCTCAACAATATGTACCGAATCAACTTGGACCCTAAGCGGCATCCTCCCTGCTGGGATGTTATTTCAGACCGGTCTCCAGGTTTCAATATTTGTTCAATTGTTTCCAGAGATTGGCAATGTTCTTTCTGCCTCCCCGTTTTCACACGGCAGATGGCAGACCTTGGCACGCGGCATTGCAGACAACAAATTCTACAAATCCGCGGGCAGCGAGAGCCGTTCGAAGTTCACTTTCACTTACAAGGTCAAAGCTGACGAATGCCGCTTCACTAAGCCCCAATGCCACGGTAGGCACAAGGCGAACTAGGTATGTGCAAGCCCAATTAAATTCTACATTCTTGGTCACACGCGCTGGTATGTCCTAACAACCATAATCCCTACACCCTCGCAGATCGCATGCAATAGGGATGCAATAAGGAATGCAACTGCATTGCCCGACATTGCTGAGGAATCAAGATGAGAAGCCTCCCCCCTTGTCTGCGCACAAGTTTCAGTGTCAACAAGAAATTGTGCATCAAATCAGTATCACTTGCCAGTATGGAAATTACCAACGTCCGTCGGAGAGTTTCATTGCCAACGTCGGGGCAGGTGAGTATTCCGCTCACCGAGCCGAAAGTGAGCAAATTAACACAGCCAGCCCCCCAAACTAGTCGCCAGGTTCAACTTAGTGCAAGAAGGTTGCATCGATCTCTTGCTGTTTCAGGGAATCAATCAATTATCATAGTGCCATGCACAATTTCGGGGGCCTTGCCAAGCTTCTCAAAGAAACTATCGTGCAAGATTGTCGATCAAACGTGTCTTTTTACACGTTTTACAATACGCAAATACCCTACGCCTTGTCGCCCGTTGATTGACGATCACAATTCGTGCACTATTAAGGTTTTGCATAATCCGTAGCTCTACGAAAAATTTCCAGGTCCATCTCATTGTTGATCTCTCGGCAGTCGCGAAGCAGATCATCCATGATGACCTCAAAACCTTGATTCTGCCTTGGTATACAACGCCCATTTTTCTACTGAGTCCTAAACGGTTGCTTTGCGAAAACGAGATGATAGATCAACTGCGACCGACTTGGATTAGTCGCTTGTTCGCGATGCAACCTTGGCAGTGTTACTCGTGTCACCACCGCCCCCATACCTGCACTAGTAATGTTGACGCAGATGTAGTGCCCCATTGTACGAGTAAAAATTCGCATTCGCTCTGCCCTTATTCACCTGAACCATGCAGTCACAGCAACGAGAAACGTACGATGTCCCAATCATGACTTCATCACCTGCATGTCCTCCATTTTTGTAGATGCCGAAAACAACTCCCTATCTACTGTATCAGAAAATGCATGTGAAGTAGTGGAGGTCATATTCAGCGTCGTCATCCATGTGATGCTCTCAAATGCCATGGTTCGGCTTCTGCCGGACACATCACAGGGTTCGTCCACCTTGAAATATCTCGAGCCCTACCGTGTGGGTATCCATTCGTTTGGGTAAGGGGAAGAAACTTATCTTGCAACAGGCACACTTTCCGTTCGGCCCCGTTCCAATGGAAGCTTTTCGCGATGCCTTGATGCCCCATCGGGGCACAAATCAAACGAATGGGGGACATTAACTATCGTACACCACTGCCATCGCGCGATGCGACATGCACGCGAAGTTGTGTCAAGGCAAAAAGAAGCGGAACCTCTGTAGACCCGAGCTTACATGCCGCGCGCGCGCCCGCGCACCGCTTTTGTTGTCTTTTCCCAATACATAGTAGCGGAAATCCGACTTTCCCGTTTTAACCGCCGCCCCCTCCGCTGACCGATCGCGATCTCATAAATGGGAAACTGAAACTCCGTAAATCCGCATCTGTTCTACAAGCCGAATGCAGGAATCTCTCGGCCGACCAGGAGCTCCCGGAGCAAAACCGGCTATCGCAATTACTACCTCGGATCTTAGCCGGAAGACAGTCAAATGATTCCAGACGTTTCGTTCCACAAGGGTTATCATAGCATGGAGTCAAGTACCGGGGCAGGGCCTTCGGTGTCGGACCCCTGATAAGCATCGTTAAGGTTTTTCGAAGTGAATGCCCTCTCCCTACAGCACACAGTAGCTGACGAGGTATGGGTGAATTGCATCGCGAATCATGTACCCCGCTGCCGAGTCCCCAAGGTTACAAGCTTCTGGGCGGGTGGGGATGGTTCTGGTCTTTGAATGCCTTGGCGGCGCACTGCGTAGAAAGGACATAAATCGACTTCTCCAGTACTGCCGCCAATTTTTAGCTGTCATACGCGCGGCGTCTAGCGCGATGGTGTAAGATGGTCCTCCTTTATTGCGCTCAGGGAGACTGACGTATGGCTTGCCTGGAACAGTATTCAGGGATCAAACCCCCCCTACTCCTGCGATGCTTTCCAAAAACACTGCCGAAAATCATGCATGGCATTTGCGTTCACCTCTTCCCCGGGGTACACCACAGCGAATATCAAATAACCTTTGTGACACTATCCCCAGTTCTCACACCAATGCAATGCATGTGTACATTGCAGATCTAAGGGAAATTCCTAAACAGAGCCACCGTAAGTAAAAAAGTTTAATCTTAGCGCGCGGTGGCATGGTCGCCAACTATGCCTGGCAAGGTGGAAAGAGAATTTGAAAAATAAAAAACCACGAAACATCATGTAGCATCAAGGCTAATGTTCTATTGGACCAGGAATCGCGAACAACACCTCCCACAAACGGAATGAATCACTTCAGAGTAAACCTGTACAGTCCAGTGCTTTGACCATCATGTATATTAAATGCTCGAAAAGCCAGGACCATGCTAATTCCCAAGAGAAGTACCTTGACATTAAGACAACGTAACCTTTCAGACATTTTCTTGAAAGTCACGTTTGGCAGCCTCGGGAGCTAGATTCGAGTGGTCTGTCATTTTGGATGATTGAAGGATCAAAACCTTCCACACCAAGAACAAGATCATGAAAGATCACCGCTTCCCTACAGAAGTCATTCGCCCAAATACCGCCAGGTATACCATAAATTGTACAAGATTCCAATTTTCTGTTCAAACCAGTTATTCGTGTGACAAATCTATCTTTTCTTCCATCACTGAGTCGAAGGTAGGCTTTGGTTGTATCACCGAAGCAGTATCACTCCAGTGCAGAGTATCATTAGACGACTGGCGAAAAGATCAAAGAGATAGGTATCTTTTAGCGGTATGACAACATAATATATGTCGTCATTTCTCGAAGTGGTAGGTATTAAGAATTCGAAAGGCACGTATATCGGTATTTGAACATCAGTGACGTACTCAAGCTTTATCTATACTCTCACTAGGGAAAATTTTAAAACACAGTGATGTCGGTATAGTGTGCGGACGAGTCAACTAGTGGCAAGAATTTGGGTAACCTTCGTGTCTATTGATATGCATTGTTCTATGTCCAAAGAATGCTAGCTCCGTCGATCGGCAATACGTAGGCTATCTTCTGTCTGAATCAGACGCAAAATTGTGTAGACTGATATCTTCCCGAACAAGAGGTGATGCGATGGTGCTTCTCAAGTGTTCCGCATCTTGAATTGCTTCTCCGTTGGAGACTGCACCGTGCTCGCCACCAACAAGAGCAGGTCCACTGCTGGCTATGGTCTTTGAGTTTGAAGTAGGCGCTGGCTTTTGCTTCTTTCCTCGGAGCTCTACCAAGTGTTCGAAATACCCGGTGGGCACAGGTGTAACGTAACTACCGCAGAACACTCCGACTTCGAACTCTTTCGGGCCATGCTCTGGGGAACACTCAGCACATGCTGCCTTCAAATCGTCAAGGTCCTGAAATATGACATCGTCCGCATCAATAATCTTGGCAATGGCAGCACGGTCACGGTCCGAGGCAATGAGCTCGGCACTGTAGGAATAGTTAGTATTCACTCCCGTGCCACACAGTCAGGGGTTTTTGGAATGCTTACGGGCTTGCTAAATCGATTCCGTAGATGTGAGGATACATAATCATTGGCGAGCAACTGGCAAAGATGACTTTCTTTGCGCCAGCTTCTCTGGCCATAACAACGATCTCCTTGCTAGTTGTACCTATAAAATAAAAATAAAAAGTCGAAATCAGCAAATACTCCTTCAGAACTTTTGGATGGGACTTCTTACCGCGAACGATCGAGTCATCGATGAGTAGAACAGTGCGCCCTTGGAATTCAGATTCGATAGCACTCAGCTTCCTTCTCACACCCTTCTGTCGCTGGCTTTGACCTGGCATAATGAAGGTTCGGAACACATATCTGTGAGAAGTAAGCCACTGCAGTACGCGAGGTCACAAATGAACTAACCTGTTCTTAACGAAGCCCTGGGAATATGGTTTCCTCAAGCTTTCTGCCACGGAAGCTGCTGACGTGTTGGCAGTTTCAGGAATAGGGATGACAGCATCGATTTCCTTGATGCCTTCCTCGCCTAAGATCTGGCGGATCTTGTCTGCAAGCTTGTAACCCATAAGTTGTCGGCTCTTGAAGACATTGATACCGTCAATTGTTGTGTCCGGCCTACCAACACACATTGGTTAGTTGTTTTCTCTATCAAGATTTGGTTGCTAATCCCAAGGAGCAAGCATATTTCGAACAAGGAATTCTTGGTTCCTCAGACCACGGGAAAAGCAAGAATTCTCATTACTGACCTGGCAAAGTATACGTATTCGAAGATGTCAGGACTGTAAGACTTTGACTTCTCGACTTGACGGAAAACGGGCTCCTTTCCTTTAGGAATGAAGACTGCCTCACCAGGTTTGATGTCACGCATCTTCGTGAAGCCCAACTGCCTCAGTGCAATCGACTCTGACGCCAACATATAATCCGTTGCACCAGGTAGTGTATCAGAAGGCCGCTCGCCCATGATGAGTGGTCGAATACCGTTGCTATCGCGAAATGCGAGGATACCGTAGCCGGCAATCATTGCTGTGCAGGCCCACCCGCCTATACAGCGCGAATAGGTTCTTGCGAGTGCCTCAAAGATGTCTTCATAGTTGACTCTGGCTTTGCCAGTCTCATTGAGCTCGTTCGCAAAAATATTGAGCATCAGCTCACTATCGCTGTCTGTGTTGATATGCCTATGGGCTTCTTTATCAAGAAACTCGCGAAGCTCCGAGGCGTTGACCAGGTTTCTATGTGAAAACCAGAGGTTAGTCCACTTCATTCACACATAGACAAAGGTGGTTGTACCCACCCATTGTGCGCGAAGAGGATGCCATAGGGCGAGTTGACGTAGAACGGCTGTGCTTCTGCAGACGACGAAGTTCCAGCAGTAGGGTACCTCAGATGCGCGACTCCCATAGAACCAGGTAATTGGCTCACACGGTTACCATTTGAGCTGAAAACATCGGCTGCCATACCCTATGCAACAATCAAAGATTAGTTTTGCTCAATTTGGATCGGGACAGAAGCCAGTCCAGTTCGTCTCGTGAGACAGAAACGAGGATGGCTTAAAAAGCTGATGAAGGCATCTAGGGCACACACATTTCCTTTACACTGGTAGATACGACCTCCAGCAGCACACTACAACATCAGACGTTAGCGGTTTCTTCTGTATTATGGGCTGGTCTTCGGGAGTACTGCAAAACAGTCGCACAGAGCTCATTTGTCTTGACCAGACATTATACACTCCACATATATGCTGAAGGACAGATGTATTTTCGAAAATTGCTTACTGTGGCTATTCCACAAGCATCTTGTCCTCGGTGTTGGAGAAAGTAAAGTGCATTGTGAAGCTCTGCAGCCGCCTTACACGGTGCTCTCGGGTCGTCGCCAATGTGGCCTAGAATAAGGGCGAGAATGCCACACATCTTCGGAGCTGTAACGATACAATGGTCAGTCGGCGGTTGCAGGAAGGACGGCAATTCAGAGTAGTGGTCAATCGAAAGGTGTCCGCATGTTTGATCAGAGTGTGAATAAATGTGTCCGCATTATATACTAGGCAGTCGAACATTTGATAAAAAAGTACTCATCATATAACAAACAAGGACAAGGGTTTAAAGATTGAAGTGGGTAAACTCAAAATCTTTATTGAGGCAAATGGAGAAGGAAAGGCAGACTTTGACCAAATCTACAGTCTCCTAGCAGTTGCAAGTATCTGCAAGTAGAAGAGGTGGGCACAATATCGGGTGGAAGTCGGGCTTAGACAGCGACAAAAGGCGGTGTTGGTTAAAGAATCTTGATGTAGCAAACTTACATTGTCAGGACTACGCGACTGGAGAGACCGAGTGAAGGCCTTGTTAGAAATATCGACAAAAATCTAGCGCGGCGTAATGTGCTCAGATACACGACTCGAGTCGAAATTCGTGCTGTGGTGATAAGGATAAGGCTGAGGAGGGGCAAATTGGTGGATGGCGGGGTGACAACTGCAAGGGAATACCTCAAGGGCCAGGTTGGAATTTGAAAATTACACCCTGGGAGGAGAGTGCAAATGCACCAGATGGGCGAGAATGAGGAGAATAAGAGTCCGACATTGTGCCTCTATTGTTTGGGCTGATAAATTGTTGAATGAGAACCAACGACTTCAAGTAGGAAAATAAAAGTGGAGGAGCTTGGAGTTGAGAAAATTTGGAGAAAGGCAATGTCTCTGATTGGTCGATGCGGCAAGGACTTTTTCCGGGGGCGTATATCCAATTCAGTATACCATCTGCCATGTCAAGTTACACAGCTCATCTACAAGGTTTATCTGTAACCAGCCGCCGATATCTTAAACAAGAGAATCCTTGCTGCGTAAACACCACCCAGGTCTAATATCAAGAAGTGAGATGTCTGCTTCAGATCATGTCGAAGTCTTGTTGTGGGAGGCTCAAGGTTCTAAACCGATCAAAGCCGATACCGCTTGACTAGAGAGCCGAAGCCCAGCCGAATGTCGCTCAAAGCTCGAGTCTAGCGCAGCCCTATGAACATCGTCATTAAATGCAGAGATGGATGCAATACAACAGTTTAAAAGAGCACTAATGTGGTTCTAAAATTCAAAGGTGAGTAAAGCAATTGCTTCGTTTCTAGGTCCTCCATTATATTCTTATGAATCTGTTCCTCTCCGAAATTCATTACTCGGAAGTGACATTTCGAATCTTAAACAATGTATTCCCCACAACCATCTGCTGAACAAGGACTTGGACTTTCACTAAACAGGTTGTGGTCATTTGGGCTGCTGCATACATGACGACTAAGATATCACTTGGATCGATATCTATCCATCTCTACTCAAATTTTTTTTTTCATTTACCAATTGTTCGATCCACAAACGCTCATCTGCCTTAGTGCCTTAGTCATCCACTGAGTTGCTGACATAGACCCCACCAACAGGTGAATCACGGTGGGGTAAGTTGTCTCAATCAGCATGAGCTAATCGCTAATAAGCAAGACCGAGGTCGTCATTGGGTGAAAACGTCAACACCGTAGAAAGAAAATCTCTTGAATACGTTTTATATGAGCAAGCAGGAATTCCCAGCTTCAGTAATTCTTGCAAATCATATGTAATTGCTTGAAACTATTCGTGGCTTCCAGAAGCTGTGCTTGAGGTGTATATATGTTGCGCCTCATTTGGTTGTTGTCAATTCTGGTTCTCTCAATTTCAATCCTGCTATACAACAACACATCATCAGTCAAAGTTTACTTTGAAGCTACACCAACAACAGAGCCTATGAACGCTATCAAGAACACCATGTCGAAAGCCCTTTCACACGCCAAGATCACTCCCCACCGTTCAAGTGCCCGTGGCCACTCGGACCATGGCTGGCTCAACACTTACCACAGCTTCTCTTTTGCTGACTGGTACAACCCCGACTTCACAAACTTTGGCTCATTACGGGTTTTGAACGAGGACAGAGTCAAGGCAAACAATGGTTTCCCAACGCACCCACATCGTGATTTCGAAATCTTCAGTTACATCCTCTCTGGAGAGCTTACTCATCGCGATAGCATGTTGCAGAAGGGAAGCGAAGGCGGTCTTTCGGATAAATTCTACCGTATGCACCGTGGAGATGTACAGTTTACCACCGGAGGAACAGGAATCGCGCACTCCGAGTTTAATGAGCACAAGAAAGATACAGTCCACTTCCTCCAGATCTGGGCTCTGCCATGGAAGCGAGGTCTCACCCCACGTTACCACACCCGTAACTTTCCGGATGAAGAAAAGAAGAAGCAGTTCGTGCCGATTCTGAGTCCTCTCAAAGGAGGCCCAGACGCAACTGCAGAGGAAGAAAAGAAAGCGGAGCCTACGATTGCCGACACCATCCCGATCCATGCGGACTTTGTCATGGCCGCCGGCATTATTGCTCCTGGAGCTAAGTTCGAGTGGACGGTAGGCGCAAAGGCCACAGAGAGCAACAGGCGCAAGGTTTATGTTCACCTGCCGATGACAAAGGGCGGCAAATCCAAGATCCGTATTGACGGGCGTGATGATGTCTTGAATGAAGGTGACGGCGCATTCGTAGACGGAGTTCGTGCAGGAGACAAGTTGTTTGTTGAGAGTGTCGGTGAGGCAGATGCTGAGGTGGTTCTTTTGGACACAGCATAGAACTGCAAGGAATTATGTTGCCTGAATATAAGCGGAAGTGATGCAATGAAATAGCATTAAACTGATAGAAAATGAATCTCAAAGAATGCTCAAGTTTGGGATATGGTGTGATATGTTCGTAAATTTTCTTGTGTTCGACTCGAGACACTGGACTGCCATTGGAATATAAATTTAGGTATGCTGGACCATAGAAATTTTGCAGCTCCAAAACACTTCTTGCGGTTAATGTTAGCAGCGGAGGCCGAGATGTAAGTCACTCCCACCTCCGCTTGCCTCTCGGAAGAAAACATGCCACTGCTATGCCGAAATGTCGTCTGAGAATCGGTGGTCAATTTCTGGTGTGTTGCGTTGGAAATACAAACCCAATTCCCATATAACTTCTACTATTCAATCTTGTACACCATGGTCAAGGGTATGAAGGACATACATAACCGTATCTTGATGAATGCTCTCGACCGCAAAGAGACCAGTGTGAAAAAGAGTTCTCACCATGCAGAACCACCTGTACATTAAGAAATGCCGAAGCACGACAGCCGCAGTACTCAAGCCAGGTCCCTTAGTGGATTCACGATATCTTTAGAAATTGCCTGGACGTTGTGAAGTAGCCGCGATAATATGCAAAAGAATGGATATTCGGGGAATTACTTGTCATCTCCTGAATGCCCAGCTATTTCCGCTGACGCTACCAAGGGGCAATTTCCCCGAAGCTTAGGCAGAGCCGAAATATCGACAGACCTTCCTGGTATTATTTATTGAGAGCTATGCTGGTTAACCTTGTGTTATCGTCAATCTAAGTCGCATCGTTATACCTGCACATCATCATTGTGATTTACAACACTCTGCGGTTTAATACACATGGGTATAATAGCCTCTTGACTCTGGGTTTATCACCACACTGGTGAGCCAACAATAGCCAACAATACATCTCTTGGTCATTGGGAAGTTTCCAAGGAAGTGCCAGATCCTGTCAGGTATGAAAAGCAATAGCGAACATGTGGTATCCACAGTTGCCTATTATGTATGTCCGAAAAGGTGGATGCAGCTGAAAGTTCCTGACGCTAGGCCGAAAACTCATGTTAAGTCCGCGGTCAGATTTCCCTCTAAGGGATGTTTACGGAGCATTTAAGCCATGCTTAAAACAGAGTCATGGAGTTGCGGTGGATCGCTTGGCCCGTTCTCAATCAAGGTTTACGTTCGAATATGGTCGCCAGATCGTGGAGAGCGCCTGTGCGCCTGCCTCAGAATCACCATGCTCAGCAAGTGTCTGCGCAATACCAGAAGATTCGTTTCGCGAACTGAACTGAATGCCCATCTGGTAAAGTGCCCGTCGAATGTTCCTATCAGACCAGACGTGCTCGTGGCTTCCAATGATATGATAGCTGAAGTGCTGGTTTATGTAGAAATCTATTCTACGCCAGGCAGCCACCCAATTCTGATGACAGCGCAAAGGCGGAGGAGGTGTGTATCAGGACCAAGGAGCCTGACGTAACACACGACAAGCAATGTGCGACTTGTATCTATTCACAGATGAGCAGTAGCAAGGACGCTGCGAAGCGAGATCAAGTTCATCAAGTTCAACAAGCCATGCGCAATAGTGTCAGATCATGTGTATTCCCATTGTATCATGTCTTTTCGGAAGGAGATACAGAAAGTGGTTAACGGACGCGCCAAACTGGATTCATGACCCACTCATATAGAGGGGTATCGCAGAGTCTAGCGCTGTAGGGCGCAGAACGGCCGAATACGCCCCGGTTAACTTGACGCATGGGAAATGACTTGTTGAGGAGTGCTTATTTGCCTCGAAGGAATTAAAGATTAGTTCAGCGTCTGAAAAGAGCTTCTGGAAATGCTGCCATGTTGAGATTTTCTGAAGTCGAGGCACTATACAGGTCTGGATGCATCGAATCTCTCGGCCCAGAATCATGGTCCGCGGGCGTTGATCTTTCCTGAATGGCAGTTTCTCCATTGAACAAGCTCTTTGTCAAAATTCCAGAGCCGCTCAGGATCTTACAGAATTGGCAGAGATCGACCCCCTGATCATTCCGCGAAGACGGCCCAATAAGCCGCACATCTTATGGCGCCGACATGACCCATGCTTTCCACTAGCCCGGCTGCCTGGGCTGCAGGGGAACGTGGGTGGCCGGCCCACTTAGGTCTGAGAACAGCTGCTTCCTTTGGTATGGCCAATCACTTGTGCTTGTAGCCATATTTGATCTGCTCTTCATGTGTCTCAAGCCTCGGCGAAGCATGACGCTATACCTGTTCCTGATGTCGCTTACCCGATATTGACTTGTGGCTTGCGGCCATATGCAGGCGAGGACGCGTAGTTCAGCATAGTGAGAACACCGGTCTCTCGAGATATTGGCCAAGGAAGCATGGAGAGGTGACAGGGCCTACGCCGCTTCATCTAGAACCCACAGACAACATCAAGTGCTCATTTGCAATGTGGGTAGGGCCATGACTTACACTGTCGCCGGCGGTTGGGGTCCTGCGGCACAGTCTGTCGAGGTGTGCCTTTTATCTGAGCAGTGTAGCTTATGGGCTATGATTTTCTTTCCTTCTGTCTTCACTCCATCATCAAGCAGTCAATCAAGACGACAATATACGGCCTGTATAGCCAGCCGTTGCAACCATTTGGTTCGCGTCCTTTCTTTGATCATCCCTGATCGTTTCACTCTTTACGGCCTAGGCCAACTTACTATCATTCCTATACACGGAGTAATTCATAATCAATTAATTCAGACTTCACGATGTTGAGCAAATCTATCATTGCGGCTGCTGTTTTGTCAGCAGCCCCGGCATTGGCCACTGGCACTGCTAAGTTCAACGCTTACTGGGTAAGTGTACTGCTCAATTGTCTAATAGTTGTAAGATGATCTAATCAGGCATATAGGGTCAAAGTGGTGATGAAAACCAGCTACTCAGAGACTTCTGTGACACAACTGCCCTGGACTATATCACACTCGCTTTCATCAACCAAGCACCCAAATCCGTGGGCGCCTTGCCCGGCTCCAATTTCGCTGCCCACTGTTCTGATGCCCACTACGACGGCTCGTCGCTTCTCAGCAGCTGCACTTACATCCGAGAGGATATCACTTACTGCCAAGCTCAGGGCAAGAAGATTCTCCTTTCTGTTGGTGGTGAGTACAGTGCAGAGTACAGCGACTATAGCCTGCCAGACAACGAGACTGGTGAGTGGTTTGGTGAGTATCTCTGGGGTGCTTTTGGCCCTTACAGCTCATCATGGGCGTACCAGCGTCCATTTGACTACACGAACGCCGCTGGTGAACTTGTGCACGTGGAGCTTGATGGTTTTGATTTCGATATTGAGTACAACTTCGCAAACCAACAGCCATATGTCAAGTGTATCAACAAGCTTCGCGAATTGAGCCTGGGCCACGGCACGATCCTCTCCGCTGCTCCTCAATGCCCCGTCGACTCGGTTTCGAACCCGAACAATGAATATTTCCAGATGCGTGACATCTTCAAAGGGGCTGCCTTCGACAAGATCTGGATCCAGTTCTACAACAACGCCCAGTGCGACGGGGATAACTTTAACCTTGCCGCTTGGGCTACTTTCCTTGCCGGTACTGTAAACTACCAGGCCGAACTCTACGTTGGTCTGCAGGCTATTGCTGGTCAAGAGGGTTACATTGCATCCTCAGATATTGCTGCTCTTGTTACTAAGGCCAAGAAGGTCAACAACTTCGCTGGTCTCATGGTGTGGGATGCCAACTACGCTACTGTGAACACCGGTTCCAGCGGCAGCTACCTAAATGATTGTGCTTCTGCTGTCGGAAAGACTGTGACCACTATCCCTGTGTCGTCCACTACCTCCTCCAGCAGCACCTACTCCGCTACCACAGTTAGCACTACCGCCACCTCGAGCTCCTACTCTGCGACCATCACATCGAGCACATCTTCCTCCAGCAGCTCTTCTGCCTCAACTTCTTCTAGCACTTCATCCTCGAGCTCTGAATCCTCAAGCTCGGCTTCTGCCAGCAGCGTATCTAGCTCGGACTCTTCAAGCGCTACATCCTCGAGCTCCGCGTCCTCGGCTTCCGCTTCTTCCGCCTCTTCCAGCTCTTCCAGCTCTTCCAGCTCCTCAAGCTTGTCTTCTGCTACCACCACGTCAAGCTCTTCTTCGTCCAGCAGCTCTGCCAGCTCCGTATCCTCCTCCAGTTCCTCCAGTTCCGCTTCTGTCACCGCCAGCCTCAGCTCGAGCTCGTACTCTGTGAGCAGTACTGATAGCGCTAGCTCTGCTATTACCGGCAGCGCTTCGTTGTCTTCCACCTACAGTGCCTCTGCCACTACCTCGACTTCGGCCTCCACCAGCGATGATGATGTAAGTACTTAGAACGTAGTTCAAGGTTTTCCATTTCCTGTTCTTCAGTATAGACCTATTGGATTATGAATTAACGAAATTCTTCTGCAGTACTGTGAGGACGAGACGGAAACAGCAAGCCTTCCTACCGCTACCGCTACCGGATCTGGATACCCTTCAAGCAAGCCTTCCGCCAGTGCTTCCGGCTCTGGATACCCTTCAACCAAGCCTTCCGACAGTGCTTCCGGCTCTGGATATCCTTCAACCAAGCCTTCTGGCAGTGCTTTCAGCTCTGGATATCCTTCGGGACGTCCTTCCGGCGTTCCTAGCAGCGCTCCTTCAGGTGGCAACCAGTCCGGATACCCTACGGGTGGTGCACCTTACCCATCCAGCGCTCCTATCAGCACCTCTGCCACCAGTCCTGTCACCACCGGCGCCCCTGAGTATGCCACAAGCACTGTGACCAAGACCAACGTTTACACAATCACGAGCTGTGCTGCTACTGTCACCGACTGCCCTGCGAGAGTTGGCCAGGTCACTACTGAAGTTGTCTCGTACACCACAGTATACTCCGTCACCGCCACAGGGACTAGCGTTGCTTCATCCGCCAAGCCGACCACTACTGAGGTTCCTGCTGACTACACGACCGAAACTATCTACAGCACAAAGATTCACACCGTTACTGCTTGCCCTGCTTCAGTGACCAATTGCCCCGTTGGAAAGACGACCACTGAAATTGTCGTTGTATCGACTAGTGTTTCCCCCGTGACCAAGACTGAGGGCGCTGGCTATTCCGTCAAGACTGTTGAGACCGGTGTTGCCTCATCAGCTAAGCCTACCACTACCGGCGTTACTGCTGCTGTGACAGGTAGCATTAGCTCCACTGGTTCTGGCTCCAAGCCCAGCTCCGGATCCGGCTCGTCCCCATCTGAGTCTCAAGCTCACTCTTACCCCGCTGTCTCCGTAAGCAGCGTCACAACTGCCTATGTCACTCTACCCGTCTACCCCACTGGTAAGGCCAACAGTACCATCGCTGCCACGGGCACCGGCAACATCAAGGTTCCCGTGTACAGCACGGGCGCCGCCGCCGGCACTGGCAAGCCCTCGGCCTACGCCACCGGAAGCTACACTCTCTCAACGAGCAAGGCTTATGCCGCTAGCAGCACTGCCCCCGTTGCCCCTGCTGTCACCACTTACCCGGCGGTTGCAGGGTCAGCCAAGACTGCTATCAGCATGGCTGCCATCCTTGTCGGATTGGTCTTCGCTTTGTAATGTCTTCAAGATATTTTATATGAGCTTTGTGTGAATATGGGTATTCAATATGATACGACTGCATAGCATATGGTCTTTCATTAGTTGAAAATATTTTAAATACATTGGTTATGAACTATTCATTTTTTTCAACATCGATACCATCATGTGACAACAATGGCCACCCAAATGCTTTTGTGCGAATTGCTTTGTTTGGTGATAAGACAGTTGAGTATTTGCACACATAGCGCTAGGTTTTCTCCCAGGTATAATGCCAGTGTGAGGTCAGGTTGCTTGTGTAACTATCCAGTCTGCCAACTAATGAGGTCCTATCGGACTGGCTTCATTCAGTCTTTTCTCCGACGTTCTCTAGTATCCTAAGATATTGCACCTTCAATTCAGACCAATTTGAAATAAAGTAAGTTCGTAGTATTTAGGTTAAACCCCATTTCACCATATTGTAGGCAAGACTTGTCACTCACGATGTCTATCGCTAACTAGTACTATCCCTGACTATAGAATGAACGAGCAGCAACAATGCTCCATGGTATTTAAACTTTGCCAGTGAGAATAATATGTAAGTTGGAGGTTAAGAGAATTACGCATTTGCCCATCGATTGTTTTAGCTCAGGTCTTGCCATGTTGAGGAGGACTTTGGTATTAGTGAACGAATGTGCCATTCATTCGCTGACTCATAATAGCCTCATAATAGGATGGGAGTGATCTCATTGTAAACCACGAAGCTCAGTTTCTGATGAGAACATACAAGATCGTATCTGAACAACATATTATGATTTCGGTTGCTCTAGCACTTATACCGACCTTCCAATCGCCAACCACCTTAACCTCGTCGATATATGACAGCTTAACACTGGCAACGACTCACAAGTCATGTCAGTAGTGATGATGTGATAAGGTTGCATGAAAGGACCGATTTATGAATGCTCATTACTGGGACATGGATAACGTACCTTCCATTCGCTGATTAAGTATAAAGCATCAGTGATTGTAATAGCATGAAAAGTGACACAGTGTTCAATCTTTTTGTATAAGAAATGACACTGGATATCTTGAAATCCCCTGTTATTATAACAAGTCACGGTTTTTATAGGACCGGATTTAGTATTCATGACCATTGTCGATTCTGGTGACCGGGGTGGAAAGCACGATTGACAATCAATCCGTTATCGCTATGAAAAGACAATCTTAACACCACGACTTCCCTTGTAGCTTAGGTTTTATTGTTCAGAAGATTTCCTCCTTTCGTCTCGAACATTTAACAACTCACCACCTTCGTCACGTTGATCATAAACCAACAAAATGCCTGTTCGAGCCAATACAGAGGCTGCTGTCGCTGCTACCGCAGCACTCCAGAGCGCTATACAATATTGCAACACTGGAGGCGATGACTCTGTGCTTGACACTGACATCATCGATGCTATCGCTGATGCCGTACCTGGGATCACCACTGATGATGACATCGCTGGTGGCATTGAGTACACCACTGACGGCTATGGCACAGTCACTCCCAAGACCACGGGCTTACTATCACCGGAGCCAGCCAAGCTGATAGTCACGTTGCGTACCCCCTTCGCAAATAGTAAACGCCGCCGAGTGACCTCAGGTTTACCAGAGCAGATAGAACTGGTACTATCCCCTCCTGCAGATATGTCAGGAGTGACTTACAACAAGGATAGTGCTCAAAGCCAGCAAGTTGTTCCGAGTATCACAAATAAACGGCCGACAGTAGATGCTAAACCCACTCTCACTGTTACCAAGAGAAAACATGGTCGCAAGACAGCCAAGGTGCCTATCAGAGGTGGCTGGGATGTCCTTCCACACAATATGGGCAACCTTTGGACATCGAACACCGAATCGAAAACAGAAGATTCCACTGTAGATAATACTGCTGAAGCTCCTGCTATTTCGGCCCCCAATGCTGGGGCCATCTCTGAAAGCAAAACGGTTCTTTCTATGTGCGATACAGATGCCCCAAAGCCTGCGACTAGGTACAGTCTGCGGAACCGTAAAGCTATTACCACCCCAGTCGCACATGGTACATCTGTACAAGAGGATGCAGCTCCTATTATCGCGCAAGACACAGAATCGAACCTCAAGATAACAGGCAGCCGAAATGAACTCGATGGTGCCCCACCGAAAAAGAGACAACGTCGATCGAAGAAGGCTGCTGCTGAAGATGGGAACAGTCAGACCAAAGAGACGGGCATTGCGACAAAGCCTAAGCGAAAGGCTCGAAGAACTAAAGATAACCCTTATGGTATGATGCCTGGTGAGACTCCCTACCCCGACTGGGTGGCGCCAACCGCAGAGGAGTGCCAGGAAGTCTATGACATTCTTGCCGAGATACACGACGATGTCAAGGCTCTTCCTCCGGAAAAGATCCCTGCGCCATCCCTCGATGTTGCTGGTTGTGGAGAAGTGCCCTCTGTCCTAGATGGTCTCATTCGTACCGTACTTAGCGGTTCGACAACTTTCGAGTCGGCTGACAAGATGCTGAAGGCATTGGTGGCAAGATTTGGTGTTCTTGAGGTAGGCGTCGGAAAGGGTAGTGTGAATTGGAATAATATCAGAGTTGCCGAGCACGATGATGTTTATGCACAGCTCAAGGATGGCGGGCTTGGCAAGATCAAGACGAAGCATATCCAAGGTATTCTCAGCATGGTGCATGACGAGAACATGGAGAGTCGGGCAGCCTATCTCGTAGAGACAGAGAGCGGTGTTCATGCTGATATTGCTGGTGCTTCAACTAAGACTGAAGGTCAGAAGAAGCTCGAGATCTTGAAAGCAGACCAGGACATGCTGTCACTTGACCACATGCATGATATGGAAACCCAAGAAGCCATGAAACACTTTGTTCGGTATCCTGGCGTAGGTGTAAAGACAGCCGCATGCGTCACGTTATTTTCTCTTCAGCGACCTTGCTTTGCGGTTGATACCCATGTCTTTCGCCTGTCAAAGTGGTTGGCTTGGGTTCCTCAAAAGACCAATGAGGACGATACTTTCAGCCATCTCGAATTCCGATGCCCTGACAAGCTCAAGTACGGCTTGCACCAGCTATTTATTCGCCATGGCAAGACTTGTCATCGTTGCAACGACAAGAGCTTTTTGGGCACTGACGCCTGGAATGCGAGTAGATGCCCTCTTGAGCAACTCGTCAACCGATACACTAAGCGAGTTGCTAAGCTCAAGGAAATCGAAGCCGAGAATAAGAAGAAGGGCAAAGACAAGGTTACAGCCAAAGGGAAGAGACTGCAGCAAGGTGCTGGTCAAAACACAGGCCTGACCAAGATAGCCAAAGACGAAGATGACGCCACAGACTCGGAACTTTCTGAGCTCGATGAAGCCGATGTCGATATGTAATCTTTTGCAACCTAGTCAACAGGGAGTTGTCGCCGACCATGGTGCGGATGAGCAAGTCGATCCAGGAAGTATCGAAAGGCTTTTGGACTTCTACATCATGACTCCCAATTAACCAGGCCACTGGAGTAAGATTGGGCTAGCCGGTTGAAGCAAATGTTTAGCTGGGGGACATCCAGCTTCGTATCTTTCGCTTCATGATATCATTGATGACAATATCGCACAATTACCTGCAGCCACATTTAGCATGTATTCCATAGCTCGTGATCAATTAAATCTGTAACCAAGATGTTTGTGTAGTTGATTCGTTGAGATGGATTCTGTAGTACCTGATGATTCAAATTAAAGCTGTCCTGTTCGTGATCAGGGTACTGTCCTTCGTATTCGTGTTTTGAGATAATTTACTACTTACCAGCTCGCGCGGTTTACAAATCGTGACGAGAAACGAGTGACAAAGGACTGGCCATTGAGGAGGGGTGGGATTGAAGTATGTTAGTGTGTAGGGGAGGGGGAGAAAAAGTCATTTGTTTGATTCCCATAAGACAAACACGTCAGACGCGGTCGCGTACGGTGACTTGCACTATAATGTACAGCTCACTAACTTAATACTGTGGCCCACTATTTTCCACAATCGCGTGTCCAGCCCCATTCGCACTCCTACATAGCTATTGGCCGCATGACTGAATTCTTTGTTATGCTGAATTGCCCACGAGGTTCAGTCATGATAATTTTCGGATTGCCCATGAACATAGTGGCACGGGGTTACGAATCGCTATGCCCGGAGGTTCTCAGGCAATGAGTTTTTAAAGAGGCATGGAATAATTTGCACCGTTTTCCACAGGGGCCGGCTGTGGGTTAGAAACCAGCCGGCTCGACAATCGATGGGTTTGGGCTTGGTACAGCTCGTTGATATATCTGGCCAGCTGGTTTAGCGCGCTGCTACGTCAACTAGAACAAGGAAAAGAAAAAAGGAAAAAAAGAAGAGGAGGAAGGTCATAAGGCGAGTGCTTACTCGGTATGGTAGTAATTAGATGGTTGGGAGTCATGCCATCCACGAGAAGAATTGGATCAGCAAAACTGTTCTCGTGGTGCCAGAGCCCAATCTGAACACATCACCAATAACTACGCCTTAGCATCAGAGAGATGGTGTTTCTGCAGCAGATACACTGACTTTCAAAGGGCTAGGGCATAGTACAACAGCAGGTAATCAAGACCAAGACCATGACTAGCACTAACACAACCATTCGGAGGCTCTGGAATGATGTGATGTACCGAAGTAATGCCAAATTCATGAGAGGTAGAGTGCTCAATAATTAACCTCACACATTGCCGACGGCCACAGCACGACTGCTCCACGCAGCTACTTGCAACTATTGGTTCTCATGCAATGCCTCCATGACTAAAGTTCTGCAAGCTATCTGAAATAGCTAGATGGCCAACTTCAAGGCAAGTATCCGGAAAAGTGCTAGAGCAGATCTCGAACAGTGCCCGCTCCTGATTTCAGTGGGATGGCTTTCTTGATTGGTGGTGAGCGTTACGGTTTCACCCACAGTCGCAAGCCTGGCCACGCAGAGGCATGATGCTGCCGCTCCAAAGAAAAGAAATAGCTTGATTGAGTTGCTATTTTCACCAAGGACCGCAACAAATGGCTGAACGATAATCCCGCAAAAAAAAACCCCCCCAAAAAAAAGGACATATGATTCATGCAGTGGAAATCATTACTTTCGAGAGGCCCAGCGTAAGTAGGTCTTCCTGCAACACATCGACATTGAGAACGCGGCCATCAAGGTAGGCCGCAACTTGACAGTTCCATGAGCGAATATTGTACTTCATATTAACTGAGCTTATGTCTGCATGAACATCCAATCATCTACAGCGCATGTGGTGCAAAGGATTCATACCCTCCGGTTGTGCAAGTCATAACAAAAAGCTGCATTGTGGTCTTCTTTGTGACATGTCTAGCATTGTGGTGGTAATTTTCCGATATGTCCAAAGCGAGCGGTTGGTGGCCCAATGCCAAATTCATTATTGCCGGGCGGCCCACGGGAAGAAGTGACGGCCAGCTTGTAAGCGCACCACAAGCACTACTCGCTCTAGTGAGCTAAGGGTAGGTCAGCCGATGTACCTTAACCTTGTGTTGTGGAGTTGTGGATTTACGCATGCTCCCGGCGCAAGTCGGTGCCCAATTAAATCATTTCCCTGCCACAATAACACTCACTATAATTAGTGCTGGCATCTTGGCACCACGGGATGGTCAATACAATACTCCACTACCTTTGATTGGGGAACCATCATTGTGCGACCCGGCAATCGTAGCCAACTCCTCTTTGTTGCTGTGTTATGGAATAAATATTAAGATAATCTGCCAGCGAGGTCAAACCCGAGCAACAATGTTGGTGGAAAGGTTGTCGAATTACGTTTGTGAACATCAGAAGCTACATTGCCGTTCCTCCAAATCGAGGATGCAAAGTCGACGGAAACCGCTAACAGAAGGAAGATATTCTCAAGAGGCTCAGAGAATTGTGCATCATGTGGAATGTGTTTGGGTTTAGTGTCTGGTCGAGTAGCACGACTACCTTGAGCATGTTACAAGACAGCCAACGACAACCCTTAGAAAGCATGATCTTCAAATTACTTAGATCCTTATTGATAATACATGAAGATATCATATGGATATTATATGTTCAAGCGGTAACGTGAGCATGCCTTGAATTGGTCTGTGAGATGCTATGACGTGAACTAGTTGGTTATTATACGAGTGCAATACTGAAAGTGCTTTTTTTCTTCTTAGCGGTCCATGAGGAGCAAAGTCCCGTCGAAGCGAGAGAGCGATACTTCCCTCAAGAAGTAAAGGTAGCGAGATGTTAGTATTGTACAGCTTTGAAACTGCCGAAACATACTCGAGGAGAGTCGTAAGACAAGAACACGTAGTATGGAATCGTCAAAGATTTAATGCAGTTTTGGATTGCGTTAAAAGGGATCCAGTCTATGTCTGACTTTTTTATTACGATTAGAACCACCGAGGGCTCTTTTCGACACAAGGGGCTTGGATATGGCTTAGACTAAAGGCAAATCGTCATCACCGTCTAGACTATGAGAGGTTGAAGGTGACATAGCAACACAAACCTTCAGAAGTTCTTGCCCACGTTGGTTATGATAGTACTTTGTCTAATTGATGATTTGTTACCGAGTGGCGGTGTGAACTGACAGCAATAAGAAAACCACTGATGGTGTTTGCAAGTACAAGCTTATATCCACTCGAGAAGGGAGCGCAGTAGGGGAATCAGCATATGTGATTACGTGCTCTGAATATTCCTGTATTATTGAGCGCCGAGCAGTGATTTTCATCGATTAGCTCATATCTGTGTGTAGAGCAAGAAGCTCGTATCTCACGAGTTCTTCGTTTTTTGAACTGAGCAGCACCGATCGACTCGGGATATGCTTGGGTTTAGTGATGCACTTGACCCGATCAACGGCATAGTCTCGAATCACAACACGTGGGTGGGTGACACGTAAAATCTACTGCCTCTGGTGTGTTTTGCTGGGTAAGTTAGACCTTGAGCGTTTCTGGAGAGCCTGGCCTGCTTGGCAGTCAATGCCAGAGAGGATCAAAGTTCTTGTGTGTAGCGAGAGCCTGGACTAATATCATGTAACACAACATCCGGTAACCATTATTCACGCGTTGTACTGGTATCTGGCCTTGTACGGTACTTCAAGAATTGTCGGTAGGATTCAAGGTACTTGTGGTGGCTGCTGCGTCTTGTACAGAAGCCAATGTTAAGACTAGTCTGTAGAAGCAGTTCAGGCCTGAAGTCAGCTACCTACTAGGCTTCGGTAGCTTGGTATAATGACCAGAGATACCGAATAGAGATACGGAACTTGTGGTTGAGTTTTGGTGCCCACCAGGATATAGTGATTTCGGTATGTGAGAGGGTCTATGTGCGTGGCAAGGTCATTACTTTGGAACGTCCATTAGCCAGGTGGGAGCACTTCAGTGATATCTGGAATTGTTCCTGCTGCGTAAACAAAACGGAAGGGGGGAGTCACCCGTGATCTCAATAAGACAATGCGGTACAGCGTATGGCCCCGTGCAAATTTCTTGTTGTAGACTAGATGGCACTTGGATCAGTTCACAGAAGTTTTCTACCCTAGACTAGCAGTGCAATGCCAACAAGGGCATGAGGGCATCTAGATGGCGGGGCTTATCGATTAACACTTATCTGCTAGCGTCGTCTCGTCACGGTTCACGCTCAAGCTCAAGCTCAAGCCCCAGCTGCTCCTCGCGCCTTGCGCCTTGCGCCTTAATTACATACTAACGTTAGACGCATGAACTTTACGCGCTATTACAACAGCCGCATCGTCTGGAGAAGTGACGATGGTCGCCAAATTCCTGCCCTGACCCTGCAGATCGAAAACGCTTTCATCCTGATTGCATTCGGTGTCGGGTGCTGGTGTAGCTTGATTGTTCACCATCAGCACATCTACTTTTCCCTTTGTTACTAGAATCTGAGCGGCAGCAACAGATTCGCTCTTCTGTCCTTCACGCAGCAACATCTGGTCCATAATCTCCTTCTGCGAGCAATCTGCCTTTGCTTAGTATATATTGCCCGCCCACCACCTGCCGCTTCGAACACCTTTATTCTTGGGCAGCCTTGAGTTGATACCTGCCAAGTCCGACGCCATCACCGTCACAGGTCGATCAGTCACTCAACTCAGGCTTCCTGCTCACCGTTGCTGATACCAGCTGGTTCCATTCGCGGTCACAGCTCAGTCTCCGAGCTTCTATTTCACCCGTCTGATAGATGATGAGGTAGTGACTCCTGCTTTTGATTCTTCCTTCACCCACCACAACGCCACATTCTTTCCACGGTAATGCGCAAGAGCGCAACCTGCAGCAACCATGACGATAAATTTCCACGTTGCCGAAGGGATTCCCGAAGCTTACGACCTGTTCATCAATCTGCCCGATGAAGTGCACCTTCTCTGTCCCAAGACTTCGGAGGACGACGACGAAGACTACGAGGACCTCAAAGAACCTGGCGAGATCGGAGTCGAAGAGAAGGAACGCAGGGTACAAGATTTCAAGAAGCGCGTGGGCATCGCATACCAGACTTCTCTCATATTCGGATTCGAGGAAGAGAACGCCGCTTTGCAGCTTCAGGAATTCAGAACCCGCACAAACAGCTTCCTCACAACCTGTTCACAATGTGTGAGGACCTGGCATCGAAACCGAAAGCCCTTTCTCAAACAGTTGGCGGAACAGCACGAGGAAAGTACCGTGGCCGAGATGGGCCGTAGACTTGATCGATTCGATGCCGCTCGTATTACCACAGGTTTGGAAGGTGCTAAAGAGTTCATTGAAGCTCGCAATGGCATTGCTGAGCAGAAGACGTTTATCGAGGAAGATCGCTCTGACCTACTCGTTGCCCTCTACGAGTCGCTCTGCTGCATCGCTTACCTGAAACAGCCCGAGAACCGAGTCCACTTCAATTATGTCTTTGCTGCGGTTCAACAGAGGCGGACTCTCAAGCTTGCTGAGATATTGCCTACCATGACTCGTTTTTTGTTTGACGACGACAAGATTCGTCTGACTTTTGCCCGGGTTTCCTGGTCTAAACTGTCTGAACTGACGCTGGATGACTTTGAATGGGCCATTAAAGAGAGTCTCGAAGATGCCATGCAGAAACTCAATGCTCCCGGCATGTCGTGGGCCCAAGTGCAACGATTCTGGGAGGGAGTTGCCTCAATCCTTCAGGCCCTGTCCTCCAGCGATTTCGTAGCCTCGCTGAACTCTTTAAGTGTTTCGCCTAGCATCTACCAGATCATGCTCAACCACATGGCCACAGACTCAGAACCAACCCTGGCAGCCATATTGAAGGTCTTTAACATAGCCCTGCAAAGAGGCCCTAAAGGTATTTGGGGCGCTTTTGGAGGGTATTCCCCAGTTTCCGTAGCTGAGCCCGTATTTGCAAGTCCTGCTTTCAAGCGCTTGTTGACGCAAACCCCAGAGTACTCCATTACCATGCCCGAGGACAAGTACCTGAAAGGGCCAGTAGCCATAGCTTGGGTGAAACCTTTCATTGAATCCATCAAGACATCACAAAAGAGTGATGCATGTGCTTCATTTTCGCAGCATCTTGTTGATGACGTCTCACGAGATGAGTCGATACCTCCTGAAGGAAGACTCGCTTGTTTCAGGGGTTTTGGAGAGGCTTTATTAGCCACTCTAGAGTCCTTCTTGGATCCAACCTTCAACTTGACACCTGGGCAGCCATCTTTCTACACAAACCGTGTCATCAACCTGGCATTAAAACACAAGGACATCATCATGATCCTAGTCAAGATGGATAAACGAGATGTGGCCATGTCTCGCACCGGTTTGGCGGTTATCGCTGCTGTTTTAAAGCTTGACACCAGCGTCACAGCTGTGGAGTACATCGCGCATATTGACAAGACCAACGTGCAGCGGGAGGTGTTGAAGAAGTCCCCAGAGCTGTGGGGAGCGTTTTTGGACCTCCTGGTTCCAGGAGCCACAGAACTCGCTCGAGCCGTACTCATGGCACTCCTCCCTCTCGTGCCTGTAGAGGCACTCCGTCCCTTGAAAAAGGACCGCCTATCACAAGCCCAAGAGGAGTTCAATGCCACTCTACGTAAGGTTGCGGCGGCTATCGGGAAGGTGTTTGACAAGCTGGAAGAGTTCTCCTTGGCAGACCTACATCATCTTTTGGACACTGAGGTAATGGAACCTGTGGTCGCTGCGCTGTTACACGGAGAGCCTGCCATCCATCAAGGTGGACTTAGCTTGATCAAGGCTATTACTAACGAATCAAGTCGCGGTGATGCAGTCTTAGAGCTGACAAAGTCCCATTTTTCAACCTTGCTCACTTCCTTCACAAAAGTACTTCAGGATCAAGAACCCGTCCGAGAGGGACATCAGAAAGTGATCCGGTTATGGACCCCGCAGCAGAACATCCTCCGGTACTCAAAAGACATACTTGACGCGCTTTGCGATCCTAGGGACGGCCTCCTTCGCTCAAAAGATCTCAATAATGCAGAACGCTCCAACCTCAAGAAGTGGTGGGCCATGGCATGGACTACCATCGAAAGAGCGTTTAATGGTCTGGAAGACTGGAGCAGATCCGTTGAAACAGAAGTGATGAAGCAGTTCTGCCGCGACACCATGGAGCTAGCAGAGAAGTTCCTCGAGCAAGATGGGCTTATCGCAGCGGCACTTGGCCCCCAAACCATCAGTGAGAGTATGCTTGATCCGACCGGCAACTCCAAGGATGCCATGCAGGAAATTCTCCGGTCTCCCAAGGAGAAGTGCATGGGCTTAACTCAGATGTTACGATTAAAGGATCAGTGGCTCATTCAAATCACTGTCAACGTTCTTAGCAAGCTTCTGAGACGTCTCCTCGAGTACGAGATTGAAATTCCAGTTAAGGTCAAGGACTACGTCCAGCGAACTTGTATTAAGAACGGGCTGGGTAAATACGACGTGGCAACTAATCTCAACAACCAACAGCGAGCGGAGCTGCTCCGTACGCTAGGTGAGGATGACGATGATATCCAGATCCTTGAGGTCAAGCCTGTCATTGCTGAGGCTCCTAAGAAACAGTCCAAACTTGACCAATGGTCAAAGTCAGGGGACTCCAGTTCGCGGTCACAATCGCCAGCAGTCAGGTCTAGCAAAGACGATGTCCGCGATCTGACGCCATCTGTCGATAAGAACCGTAGCATCTTGGAACAGTTCAGAGCCAAGCATGCTGTCAAGCCCTCGGTAAAGCCGGCTGCTTCGAAAACTGTCACTCCTAGGCTTGACGCTGCCAAGATCAAGGAAGCGCGTCTCAAAGAACAAGAAGCCAAGAAGAAAAGAGATGCCGAAGTCATTGCTAGAGCCAAAGCCTTGAGAACTCCCAAACCACTTGTTTCTGGAGAAGGTTCTGGACTTCAGGGTCTCTCTGGAGTACAAGGAAAAGACCATGCTCCCCGCAGCGAAATGATGGTCGATTCATCATCCGAAGATGATGACGACTCGGAAGATGAAGCAGCCTTCCGGGCACAAACACAAGCAGGCAAAAAGCGAACTGATGATACATCTAGCCGTATCATGCAGCTGAAAGCACCACGCGGGCCCGTCAAGAAGATGAAGATTCTACGCTCCGCCAAGGATATGCGCGCACGGTTGACACCACCAATGGACGCATTGCACCAGGCTCTTCTCGAGTGGGATATTTTCCACGAAGGCAATGATCCGCCGAACGGCATCAGGTGCTCTCGGGTATCCACGAGCTACAACGATCCTCGCCAATACAAGGACACTTTCTTGCCTCTTCTCATCTATGAGGCTTGGAGATCCTTCGTCACGGATAAGGACGAGAATACGAACAAAACGTTCGGAATCAAGGTTGCCACGCGAATGCACGTTGACAAGTTCATCGACGTTACAACTACCATGCCGTTCACCCCCGGCGCCAAAGACGAGTTTGTCTCGGAAGGAGATATAGTTCTCCTGTCAACCAATTCTCAACCCTTACAGGGTCGCAGTGATCCGCATTGCTTGTCCCGTATTTCCCGTGTTCAGATCAAGCAAGGGGCTCGGGAAGTATCTTACCGCATTAGTGCTAAAGCTGGATCCATCATCCAGATGCTTTCGCCTAAAGCTGAAGTCTATGCTGTCAAGATCACGAATATGCGAACCATTGAAAGAGAATTTGCCTCACTTGAGAGTCTTCAATATTACGATCTTGCGGCTGAAATTTTGGAGGCAAAGCCGTCCCCTATGCTCGATCACAGTCCGGAAGCGGTCGATAAAGTGATGGCCAATTATCACCTCAATAGAGGTCAAGCCAAGGCCATTCTGAACGCCCGGGACAATGATGCTTTCACCCTTATTCAAGGGTAAGTAACCACATGTGCGACGAATGTTGAGCTGACACTAACCACGAGCAGTCCTCCCGGTACAGGAAAAACCAAGACAATTGTAGCTATGGTCGGTGCCCTCTTAACTGGTAACTTGAGCACTATCACAGGTACGGTCATTTCGAAACCTGGCCAGAATGGAAGTGGACAAGCCCTTTCCAAAAAGCTTCTGGTTTGCGCTCCAAGTAACGCGGCTGTCGACGAACTTGTACTTCGTTTGAAACAAGGCGTCAAGACGATTAGCGGTTCTTTCCATAAAATCAATGTTCTCCGCTTAGGACGTTCTGATGCCATCAACGCTGCTGTCAAGGATGTCACCCTGGATGAGCTTGTTCGCGTACAGATCGAAGGCGATGCCACCAAGGAGAGTGGACCGACAAACAGGCAAAAGATGCACGAGGAAGCTGGACAGATCAAGCAGGAGCTGGCTGAAGTCCGTCCAATGCTGGATGCTGCTCGGGTTGCAGATGACCGCGAGCAGGTCAACACGCTTGCCAGGAAATTTGAGGATCTCAAGCGTCGTCAAGTGGCCATCGGGAACAGGATTGATGCCGACAAGGATAGCGGAAACACTGCGCAAAGAGAAAGTGAAATTCGACGCAGGCAGGTGCAGCAACAAATCCTTGACTCTGCACATGTCTTATGTTCAACTCTCAGTGGTGCTGGCCATGAGATGCTGAAAACGCTCAACGTCGAGTTTGAAACGGTCATTATTGACGAGGCAGCACAGTGTGTCGAGCTCAGCGCATTGATACCTCTAAAGTATGGATGCTCCAAGTGTATTCTGGTTGGTGACCCGAAACAGCTGCCTCCAACTGTGCTTTCACAATCGGCACAGAGATATGGATATGACCAAAGTTTATTCGTCCGTATGCAACAGAACTCCCCCAACGATGTACACCTTCTGGATATGCAGTATCGTATGCATCCTGAGATAAGCATGTTTCCCAGCCAAGAATTCTACGAGGGTAAACTCGCAGATGGCGCGGATATGGCCAAACTACGTCACCAGCCCTGGCATCAGACCGGGTTGTTGGGTCCGTATCGTTTCTTTGATGTCATTGGCAGCCAAACGAAGGGCCACAGAGGACAATCACTCGTCAATCACGAAGAGCTCAAGGTCGCTATGCAGCTATATGAGCGTTTTAGGATGGACAACCCGAGGGTTGACATGAAGGGCAAGATTGGTATCATCACGCCATACAAGGCTCAGCTTTTCGCACTTCGAGACCGCTTCGAATCTCGTTACGGACCTGGCATCAAGGAGGAGATTGAGTTCAACACTACAGATGCCTTCCAGGGTCGAGAGTGTGAAATCATCATTTTCTCTTGTGTCCGTGCGAGTCCTAGTGGTGGTATCGGTTTCATGACTGATATCAGACGTATGAACGTCGGTCTGACTCGTGCTAAATCATCACTCTGGATCCTTGGAGACTCCCGTGCCCTCGTCCAGGGTGAGTACTGGAACAAATTGATCGAGAATGCCAAGTCTAGAGACCGATACACAAGTGGTAATATCCTGGCTCAACTTGGCAAGCCCGGCGTTAAACTGCCCCCTCCTGTTTTCAGCGATGTCAGCTCACCGAGAACATCCACTGCGGAGTTCGAGCCAGAGCCAATGGTAGTGGACGAAGTCGACATGAAGAACATTCCTATGAGACCTACTTCGTCTTATAAGAAGCCTACATCTCAACTACCCGAAACATATACCATCATCGAGCGACCTCCACCGGTTATCATACCGGCTTCGTACTCGGGCATCAATGAGCGAGGTGAACCAGTTACCGGCAAATACGTATCACCTGCACGTCCGGTAATCCATTCCGGTGGTCAAAAACGACCGGCCGACGGATTGCCCGACGGTGCTCATCCCACTAAGAGGGTAAGTCACACTTACAGTCACTGAAGTAATGTTGTACAAACGACTGATTTCACGAGCAGAATACGAGTGCCTTCCTGCCGGGAAAGTCCGCGCCAACAAGACCGCGTGCAATGCCACATCCGCCGCGGCCAATTGATCCGTCTGCCATATCTGTTATGTCGGGAGACCAGGGATCCGCGTCCCACCCACCGCCGAATGCCCCAAAGGTGAGTACTTCTTATATCTTCCGTGTGCTGGATAGGTATTGTTCAGTGCCATTGTGCTCAGGATCAGTGGTGAAGCTAACGCATAACCAGGGGCCGAAACCAAATAGGCCCAATCCGATGATACAGTCCAAAAAGAAAGCGGATCCATTCCTTCAAAGGAAGCCTAGACCACCCCGATAGACAACATCAGAGTATCAAGGCTTGAAGTCGGCATAGACTTTGCCCGAACTAATACTTGTCATTGCGAGGAGGCGTCAAACACTGATACCTCCTGTTCCTGTATCACTATAGAAAAGCATAGATGCATCGCTAAGGCGTTAGTTGGCAGGCAACATGGATTTTTCGGTTCTGGTTCAGCTCACCAAAGTTGAACAATTAAAGTTCCTCGGGATCATACCACTGTGCCTTGAAGATTGACGCAACGAAATGTCACGTTTGAGCATGAATATCGAAACGCTTTGAGGCAATGAGAGTCAGCGTGAGTTGTTCATGTTCAGTTGGTTCTGCAATGGATGGCCTTGCACTGAGCGATGGAATTTGGTAGCATGATGTTGGGGATTATACCTCATCTAGGTATCCAGCCCATTCGGTTCGCCAGGTTACATAGTAGCACACTTGAATGCTGTCTTCTCATGTTGTGTATGTGATCATATGTTGTCAACCCAGCACTCGACTTTCATTCAAACAATCTTGGAGTATCACGACGTGGCATTGTCAAGCACCATTATTCGTATATGCGTATCGGATCACCAGCTAAACATCTTCAAGCTCGGCCAACATATCCTGTGGCAGACAGCTCCTTATTCTTCAGCTTTTGCCTCTTCGCCTGTCTAACCTAACGACCGAAGAGTCGGCACGGAACCAAAAAAGGTGAAAGAAAAATGAACTTGATGACAGAATCCATGAGCTTTGTGCGGATAATGTCCTGTTAGTCCGACTTTGGACAAAAAGTGATGATCCAACGCAATTTCTTTTTTTATTTAAAATACGTATAATTTATTCTCTCATGGTGTACTCCGTACGTACACGTGAAGCACAGAAGATTTGATGGTCCAATTCTTGTGATCGCTTTCATCATCGTAATATGACTGCTGTAATGAATGACCGGGCCATTGGTCCATTTATTGCTAAAGCAGCGTATCAAACATTGTAATCCTGGCTCTGGGCAAAATTTCTAACTGATGTATTGTCTCAGACTATTTCCCTGAAGACATTCTTCAAAAGGATGTTGAATTTTACAAGAAGTCACGAGAAAGATGACATTCCATCGTGCTAGCCGCCCATTGCTCACATTTGTGCATACATGTCATGTCTCATGTAACAGTATCGAAAGTTTCAGTCAACAGTTCGCGCACGTAGGGAAGCAAATTCCATCGGATGCAGATGCTTCCGATCTAGATTGCTTTGTTCACTCGATTGATAATTGAAGAACTCTCAAGAATAATATGGTGGGCAATATGTAGTGAATATATTCTAATTCTTCCTAGTTACCTTCTCACCGCTAGAGATATCTCTCGTTCATAGCACACACGTAATCAGCGCCTTCAATGCGAATCTTGACTTCACTGGAGCACGATACTGCATGCTTGCAGCAGCTCACGGACTAATGTGTTTGTTTTTTCTCGTAATGCATACAAAAGTAATCCTCAGCTAAAAGTCGCTCAGGATTGCTGCAAACGCTGTATACTATAATTATGGGGGCCTATTGAATGAGAAGCTCAGGGCTCTTGTTGACCGTCCTCTCAGACGGTCATTGTGGCACTATGACTTATGATATATTATCTCAAGAGAACGGCCACTACCTTGAAGTATTCAGCGATATTGAAACTTTGTACTCGTCCTTGCAATCACTTCCGTCCCACCAGTGCGATCCATAGCTGCAGGCCGGCAATTGTAGTATGCCAATAGATCCGGATAAGTGGGTCAAATCAAGTCTTGTCCACAAATCAGAATGCCGGGATGTCTGCATCTCACTCGTGGTGGTTTGATACAAGCACCACATGTGTCGATGTTACTCGATGCTCGCTCGCCTGAAATTGGGTTGGGTGGGAGATCGGCGCAGCTCCACTGGCACTTTCTTTTCAGCTTTGCCATACTAAAGCTAACCGCCTCAGCTCAGAGGTATTCCTTGTCCTATTGTTTGACGACCAATGAGACATTCTCGATGACATCCGTACTACCTTATTGGAATCTGCCATTGGGTCGGCTCGCAAGCTTTAGTCTCCAAACGTCGAAGTAACTGCAACCTACCGTCGATCGCAACGAAGCTACACATGCACAGCGTGAATCCAAAATCACCGTCCTGGATGGGCCCTTCGGAGATCTACGACGGCCAAAACCTAGTATTTTAAACCGAGGCTTGCCATTGTTCCCATCCTAAATTATCCATCATTGAGTCGAATTCTAATAATCAATTGTTTTGTATCAGTCTGTCATGGGTATTCTCAGCAAAATCGGGGGCGCCGCAATTAATATCGGAGTCATTGCCTATGACAATGGTCTCTTCGTTCTCAACCTCGTCACGCCGAAACTCAAGGTAGGCCAGGTTGTACCCCGTGGGGCACCGGGTCATCATCTCAGCTGGCCCGAGTATGTTCCTCCAACTGCAGGCGACTCGAGAAGCGCGTGTCCTATGTTGAATGCAATGGCGAATCATGGAATACTTCCACATGATGGAAGGAACATCACCTTTCAGGAGCTGAACAAGAAAGTGAGGGAGACTTTCAACTTTGCGTCCTCATTTTGCTTCTTCGTGCCCAAGTTTTCGGCCGACTTTCTCAATAAATCGTACTGGAATGACCGCTTCGACTTGGAGGAGCTTAACCTGCACTCTGATAAAGCGATCGAACATGATGCCAGTCTCACGAGGCACGACGCTGCGCTGGCGCCAGATCAGGGCAGGCCCGACCAGCAGCTCGTAGACGATCTATTGCGGGAGGCGACCGGGACAATGCCGGACGGATCGCCCCGGCTGACCAAATCGGATCTGTCAAAAGCATTGTCCAAGAGAAGAGCGAACGCTAGAAGGACAAACAAAGACTACTCGGAAAGCTTCTTCCACAATATGTTTGGAAGTGCAAAGTAAGTCATCTAGTTAGGTTGCGACGGGAATTCGACGTTAATGTACGACAGCTCTTCGACCATGTTGACAATATTTGGTGGTTCCGTGGCTGATCTGACGCCAATGCTCAAGGAAGAGCGCTTTTCAGAGAACTGGGAACCGCGAAACCTGGATCGTTATGGTTTGACGATGGCCAAGTTCAATGGTACGGTGCTTCCTGTAGAGAGAGCTGTAGATCCTACGAAATTTTAGTAATTGTGAGAGGTTTCTCATGTACAGTAGAATTACCACAGCGGAAGATGAGCTTTTTCATTCAACCGCCGTAGAATCGGGGTGGGATGCAATCCACGGTATTATAGTGAATACCAACGTGTAACTATGGGCGCCTACTCTCGAGCTTACATCAATTTACAAGCTAATTCTATAATGCAATCAGAGGTAGCAAACCATGTTTAAAGTCGTTGTCGACCCCACTCTGCTGGGGGACCAGAGCCGCGCTATATACCCTTACCCGCTCTATCGGCCCCGTCCGTCTCTGCTTATCACCACACTCGGCCAGTTAAGACGTTGTACACTGGAACCCGGCGCGAGGGAAGCTCTGCCTTATTCAAGTTTATCGTTCGTTAAAGAAATAGGGTCATACCTCCCGTCCAACGCAGTCTCACAATATGACCAGCCCTGTAGAAGTTCCGGTGTTGAGTGTCCGTGACGAGGTTCGGGCCAACCAGGAAATCCTGCGGTCCCGCTTGACCGGCGCCATCTCTGAACCACCTCCCGGCGTGCTTGAAGAGGATCTGCCATCGGTTCCTCTGATCGACCTCGGCAGTTCGTTCTCTTCAGACCCGTGTGTTCGCAAAGCTGTCGCTTCTCAGATACGGGAAGCTTGCACAACGTCTGGTTTCTTCCAGATCAGCAATCACGGCGTCCCCGACTCTGCAATCGCTGACATCCTGGCTCAAGCTCATGCGTTCTTTCACAAGCTCACACCATCTCAAAAAGATGAATTGCACATTCGTCACAGCAAGCTTTTCCGGGGCTATGAAGCAGGAGGCGATACTTACGTCAATCCAGATGATAATGTTGGCGCAGACATTCCAGAAGTTGAGACAAAAGAAGGTAGAGTCTTAACTCTTCGCAAATACGTTTCATTTCCCGCGATTTGCTGAACAGTTCACCGTCAGGATTTAACGGGGGCTACGAACCATCTCTCGACCCTGATTCTACAACCAGTGGTTCCTTTGTAGAACTCGACGGACACCCACCGGCTGGACCTGATCGGTGCAATGTTTGGCCCGAATCTTCGCTGCTCCCTCATTTCAGGCCAGCTGTTGAAGCGTACTACGCCGAGGTACTCTCACTGGCTCGTCATCTTTTTCGACTATTCGCCCTCAGCCTGAATCTCGAAGAGAATTATTTTGACAAGCTTACCACTCACCCTGGCGGTGTCTACCGACTTCTCCACTATCCGCCTCAGTCACCGGAGCAAATGTTTGGCAAAGAGAAGACACTGGGGCTTGGCGCGCACACAGACTACGAGTGCTTCACACTCCTTCTGTCGACCGCACACCCGGGCCTCGAAATTCTGTTCCCACCTTCAACACTGACAGGAAACAAGCCCGTCTGGCGGCCCTGCCCGATACGCCCAGGGACATTGACTGTCAATGTCGCCGACTTTCTGATGCGATGGACTAATGGGTTATATAAGTCCACGATCCATAGGGTCGTCAGTCGGCCAGTGAGAGAAGTCGTTGACGGCCACGTAGTGCTTAAAGGCAGCGATGCGCGCTATAGTGTGCCGTTCTTTTTCAGTATCAACTATGATGCCGATGTCGAACCACTACCTGAGGAAGCGGTCGGCATCAGTAAGTTTCAGAAGATGAAAGCAGGCGAATATGTTCTCGAGCGATTGAGGGCGACTGTTTGAGATAACCTGCCAATGTTATGTTGTCTTTGCGTCGAACGTGCTGATTAATTGGTATGATGCCTCGTTACTTTGCAATTACGTACATGATCAAAACGGTTGACAGACAGCTAAAGAGGAAGCAAGCATGTTGAGACATCTGAGACCACCAACACGGGGAGACCACCAACACGGATATCGTGTATTGTGGAACCTATACGCACGGATCAATCATAATTCATGCTCTAATACACCAACTTAGGTGCAGTGCATTACGCCATAGTAACAGTTCCAACGTTGTGCAAGATCTATCTTTGAGTCCTGGAAGGCCTGCCTTCCTCAACCGTCTTGGCAGTTGCAAACGCATTGTTCGTGATAATAACCAAGGGAGCGTCATGTTTTCGTGCAACATAATAGGAGTAACAACGATAGACGTGTCCACTTGTTCCCGGCCTAGATTTGATGTATTTTGTGAGACTTGCGAGGACTATCATTCCAAAACCGTGAGTCGCCCGACAAAATCACGATGGCGGGAACTTGCCTTCCCGATCTCAGCATCGGAAAATGCAGTAGACTATGATGTTCGCTAGAGCACGACTATATTAGCGCATTCATGAATCATCAGTCCCCACCGACATATTTACACCAAGAACTGTAAAGTGGCCAGAATCAAGCGTTAAGAAGAGGGATGACATGAAACTCAAAAAATAAATATTAACACTGCACACCTCACAATTCAGGTGTGAAAAGACCGTGTTGATTGTTACATGCATTTGGACACACTAGTCGGCCAATCAGAACCAAGCCTTGAACCGCAAACCGCCTGCAAACATTTGGCACCATAGTCGACCACTTCTGATTGGGTTCTAATGTCTAAACCATGGATTTTCGTATCCCCCTCCAGCCGGGGTATAGGCCACGCCCTAACCCGGCATCTCCTCCAAACGACCAACCTACCCATCATCGCTACCTGCCGGTCTCGTGACACCTCGGCGGCAAAGGCGTCGCTATTAGACAACCTCTCAGCACCAAACAACTATTACAAGGAAGACCGCGCCTCGCGGCTCGTTGTCTTCCAGCTCGACGTCACGGACGAGTCCTCCATAAGAGAGGCGTCCGAGCGGGCCGAGGAGCTCTTCCCAAGAGACAAGCACCACCTGCACCTGGGCCTCGCGATGCCGGGGATCCTGCACCCAGAGAAGGCGCCGTCACAGGTCGACTACGGACAGGCGGAAGACACATTCCGGGTCAACGCGCTCGGGCCCTTGATGCTCATGAAGCACTTCGGAGAGTTCCTGCCGGGGAAGCGCACCGAGCTCTCAGCCCCGCCGGAGCCGGAGCCGGAGCCGTCGGGGGAGCGGCGTCTGGCCGGGCTGGGGCTCCCCAGACACGCGACATGGCTGAACATGTCGGCGCGCGTGGGCTCCGTCTCGGACAACAGGCTGGGCGGCTGGTACAGCTACCGGGCGTCGAAGGCGGCGGTCAACTCGCTCACCAAGACCTTTGACCTGCACCTGCGGAACCGCTGCGGGGACAAGGCCATGGCCATCGCGTACCACCCGGGAACCGTGAAGACGGAGTTCTCTCGGGAGTTCTGGGGCAATGTGAAGGAAGAAAAACTGTTCAGTCCTGAGTTTGCTGCCGAGAAGCTGTTTGGAGTGGTATGCTCGAGAGGTGTGAACGAGCACAGGGGTCGGATTTGGGATTGGGATGGGAAAGAGGTCTTGCCATAATAAAATATAGTGCTGTTCTGTGGAACGGGAGCAATTCGTCGTAGTCCTGTAAACAGAGCACCATGAAACCAGGCAAGCAACTGCCATTAAAACTATTGACCAGGAGAGGGTTATGAAGACCAGCCTACAAAACCGTTTTTATTGACATGTTTAAAAACAAACAGAGCATCGTCATCCCAAACATTTGTTCCTTGTCACACTAGTAATATTATCGAAATGCTCGGATAAGTATGTATTACGTTGGCAGAAAGTCATGCGGCGGAACTAACGATAATGGCAACGATAACTGCATGGAATTCCCGTTGTTTAATTTGTTCGTTTATGCTTTCAAGTAATCGATACATGTTGGTACCTTCTATGTGTCCTCTTCATATCCCATAAGTGCCATGAGCGCACCATACGTCATGAGTCAAAATCAAACGTTTCCAAAGGCAAAATAAGGGGGTGGGGGGTGATTGAATGTTCGCGGCATTAATTTCCGTACGACTAGAAGGCCATCTTGTGCAACGTACCGACAGACCGGCGGATTTTCGTATTAGATGCGTCGCAGAATTCTGGGAAGAGAGCTCAAAGCTACGCTAATTAAACCCAGGGATCCCACTCTGTTGTCATGGCCGATTCTGTACTGTTACAAAATCAAGCATTTCCAACTACTAAATTTGGTATCAATTTGAAGATAACCGCCATCGGGATGACATTATGCCGAGTCAATGGCAAGGCGGTACCGTTTGTGGGAAAGAATTGCATTCGCCCTGGAGAAGCGAATAGTGGTTTAGGTTGAGCATGACTTAAAAGCCACCTTTGACACCGTTCTTCTCGTCGATGTATCGGAATCTTTCCATCTCCTTACGTTCCTTGACAAGGCAAGCGATGGCTAGGACCATGGCGACATCGATACCAACCATACCGAATACAGCTGTAAAGATGTTGTCGACGAATACGTTAGAAAATGAGCCCAATGGCGCTGCGCATCCCTTGATAAGAGCGGCGGCGGCGGGACTTGGACATGTTACATCGGTAACGAATGCTGGTGATGTGCTGTTGTTGTAACCGCAGCATTGAAACTGATTGCACCGTTAGAATTTTCTCGCCTTCATTCTTCACTTGATTGACATACGGTTCCTTGGAGGAGCGACTGCACATTCGCATCCTGAGTAACCCATATCTCAAAAAGCTCTTGCCGCGTCTTGAGCGTGATGATCCAAAGGTCCAGACCAATGATCATAGTAAAGAGCGCATCGGCGGCCACCAAATAGCCCGCAAACTTGAGCAGTCCTCGAGCGTTATTTGCTAGCGCTGGAACGGTCACCAGAAAGATGAGTAACGTGAAAGCAGCATTGGCGATACCAGCTATTTACTGTTAGTTAACTAGACCAGCCGGCGCAGTCTACGCCGCAGCGGCAAAAACAAACACACCTGTGAGCGGAAATCTCCGGTATAAGAGATCTCGGGCTGCCTCGTTGCCTTCCGTCGGTGGGTTGAAACAGGTATTAAGAACGACAACGGAGAAGCCCATCATGATAGCCCCCATGAGCGCAAACAATCCGTCAACGGCCACAAAGGCCGCCATCACTTTGTTGACCATCTTTATCTATTGCGCAGCCCGTCGAAAGCCCGGATCTTGAAGTCGAAGTGTTTTGACGATTGTGTGATGTCCACCACTTTGGCCCTTAGACCTCTTCCCTCTAATCCCCCACTTTGTGATAAACTGGCGAAAGAAATGACGACCGGCGTCTAGTAGTTTAAAAAGAAAGAAGAAAAAAAGAATAGTTCGAAGGCGCCTGCACGATGAGAAAGAAGGCCAAGAGGCTCCAAGGAGCGATAGAGAGAAATGAACGGAATGTCGAAAGTCTATCCGACCTGTCAAGTAACAGGAACAGACCGTCGACGCCTCGACCGGAAAGCGGAAGATCGAAAAAAGAAGAGAAGTTGGTGAAACGAAAGTTATGATTACGAAAGAATAGTAGAGATGAAGGTGATGCACGAGATGGAGATAAGAATGGAACCACGGATTCTCAAGCGCCAGGTCTACACGCCCATGGCTAGGAATCTCATACAATCACGTACGATGGACGAGACCGAACAAGGGGAGGAAGGAAGAGACGCTCCAGAGAAGACTGGAGGATTAGAGACACGACCAGGCAAAGTGGGCTGAGTGGCCAGCAGAAACACAGAGGAAACGTTGTTGAGATCCACCTACCGTGATGCAATACCGCTTCAGTGCGTAGTTGGGTGTGTGGATGATTTGCGATTCCCGACATGTGGTGTTTCAGTGCTTGTAAGGGGGCAGCTTCGTCGCCGAGTCTGAAGCAAGCGCCCAGCCCGATACCAGTGCACGTGCCGCTAAGAGAGCTGTGCTGTTCAAGTTCGAGATCGGATGGCCAATCGTCGAGCAGCCAAGACCAACCCTGGACGTCGTCGCGAAAAATCGACTGATTACGGTTTGAGGCTCTTACAGCTTAACGCGTGCTTGGCGGCGCGATGACCTCGCTGTGGTTATTACCTGGGGCCTCTGCGAAGCTTCTCTTGATTTGAGCCTTAGTTGACCCAGTGTAAAGAGTTGCCAAGCTATACACTAGAACGGCTACCGGCAAGCTATGGTATGCCGTCCGTTGTCGTGGTCTTGGGCAAACACCTGACGGCCTCGGCGGACTATGCTGGAGACGCGGCTTTTCGAATTACATTGTGTTGTTAACGCTGCCAGGTCTATAGAAAGTTACCGGCATGCTCTCCTAGATGCATGTGCTGCAAGAATACGCGTCACTAGTCTTGAACCCATGCGCATCACGGTGCATCTCCCGCATGCCTGAAGATTAGACGTCGGAGATCGTAATGTACAGCAAGGATTATGGATCAAAATAGCAACTTATTACACCTGATTTATATCCTGTCAGTTACATGGCACGGCGTGGGTGTGGGTGAGCCCTGTTGTAAAAGGTAATGCCGACTTGAGCTTCACATGAAGTGGGCAAGGCAAGGCTGCTTTTTGTCTTTTTCTTTGCCTATGACTCCGAAGCCGACTTCCGACTTTGGAGACCAACGCCTGCAAGAGGAACTCTTCATTCGATGAGTTCAGCAGATGACCACCTCATTCGGCAGTTCAGTTTGTCTCGCCTAAAGAATTATACTGCATGTGTCGCCTTACGCAAGCTTTACTACCACAACGGTCAACAAACTGCCGACGGCTAAATGCATCCACGCTAGCAGGTGCGTGCAACCGCGGAATTAGTCTGGAGAAGGACATCGGAAGCATGGACGGGGAATGACAGTGGGCTGCATATCCCCAGAGGGCGTGCAGAGGCACATAAGTCATTGGCGACAATGTAACAAGACCCGACCCGGGAATCCGGTACTGTATGATATATCAACAGTGGTGACGAGACAGGACGCATCTGCACGGGAGCACAGGCGGCTACCACATTCGCATACGGTGCTCAATGAATCTAGTCCGTCCAGGTATGTGACCTCGCGGGTGTCTTCCGTGCTGTCTCCGACTATGATACTTACCGGGTTACGGACGCCGGATTCATAATACAAAGTCACCGGAAGTGAGCGAGACAGGTAGGAGGCAATGACTTTAAATGATTTAGCTAACCACGCGATGGTTATCCCAGTCTCAGCCGGAAATTCCTGTGACAAAGAATGAAGATAATCTTCTTTCAAGGATATAGTTGTTGATTTTGATAAGCTAGGGAAGCCGCACGATTGTAATAATTTTTATATCTAGAAAAATTAAAACAGACAGACAGATAGATAGATACCAGATGTGGTGCACCTGTTAACCAGGTGGCCTTTTTGTCTGACTTAGTTTTCAATTACAATCGATAGGCCGAAGTCTCGTAGCGCTAATGCCATCATGTTAGCAGCTGAAGTAGTCCTGAACTAATGAGCGATATGCGAGGACCGAAGTAGAGGTGAACAATGAGACGGGGCCAGTTCAAAGTGCCTCGTGATCACGCCTCCAAAAGTTGGATAGCAAGGTACTAGAAGACAAAAACTAAACTGTGCCTCAGTTCCCCATTGCTTCAACTATAATATGCTCCATTCCACGTTGGGATATTTGGTTTTCGGCCACCTGCTTGACAGGTATGCTGGCACTTGTTTTCTGCAGATGGCTGTGACGAGCCAGGATTTTGACTTTCATGCGTTAACAAAAACACTAAGGGCTTTCCCCGGGATGAAGCGGTGGCTCAGTGGCACAGCGATAAATTATGAGGGCTCAAGATAACCAAGATAAAGCCGGTCAAACTACTCCGGAGTGTTGATGACTACACCACAACTCCGATTATTATGGGGTGGGGATCACTTGATCAATTATGCGAGCAGATTATTATGGTTGCGACCGTTTTATCGACCGTTTTATTTTTCCTGTGGTTCCGACAGCCCCCTCCTGCAGAGCAACATCATCCCGCTACAACGCTGTTATGGAAAAGGCTTGATTGGAGTGATGGTTGCCGCTTCGTTGCCGAACCAAAGTCTGGAGTGTTCTATTAAAAGGTAATACACTGATACAGAGCGGGAATAGTGCGTGAGAAATTCACGATTTTCGGAAGCGTTTGGTAAAGAAGATTTTCTTTGTTAGGCATGGTGTAAACTGCCACGGGCGACGGGGCAGTATTTTCGGCCATCGTCGTCAGATTGTCCCTAGATTTCGATTGACATGGCATGAGGAATTCTGTTTGAAATTGACGCCGATTGGACCGGGTATCTTTAACAGCGGGCATGAACTGTACCATAGTACAGTAGAAACTTGGGCCTAGACTAGCGTTTCTTTGACCTTCCCATCTCCCACCTTCCTCGGCAAAATGTCTGACTGCACACAGGACCTCGCCGTATTTTTATTTATTTTTTTGCTCTTCTCGGCAACAAGGTCATCTCTGATTCGACACAACGAGTGCGCGCTATCGACAGGCCCCGCCTTTTGTTCCTTGTCATGGATTTGGCGTTGCTGACAATGGGGTCCATAGCTGCGGACCTAATCTGAGCCCCTTGTCAGTGCATCGAGCATGTGGAGGCGATGTTCAATAATTTGAATCTCTGGTCACCAGGTTGGCGTTCGAACATACTCCCATCGGCTTGTAGTTCAGTCAGGTCGGAATTGCCAAAGCCGATCCCATCACTTTCATTTGTTTGTGCTCTGCAACAAGTATGTTGGCAAGGGAGAAGATTGATGCGCACAAAAGCTCAAGCAAACGGCTATTGACGATCTCGACGCAGCATCGCTAGTATTCATTGCTATCCAATCAGATGGTTGTGCTGCTGTCTCGTCATTTAGCACTGCTACCCAGCCTCGGGCTGAGCACAGCCGGAGCTGCCATCCATTATGGACAATCGATTAGCTGGGTTGATACGATCGATCATCGCTAAATTGTCTATCCGCAAATCTTTTTGGATGATCTCGCCACCTCCATATGAATAGATGTGTCCTGTTTCCGAGAGAGTATCTCGTCAGATACCATGTTCTTCTGACGACATGTACGGATCTAAAGTACAGTACGTATCAGGTGTCTGGTGTGTCATGAACTTCAGAACCGTGCGCTCGCAAGGAGCGTTAGAATCCTTGAAGCGTGTATCCCACATCATCCATCATTGTCGAGCCGCCGCCCCTGCTTCAATCACAGCTGTTGATTGCACAATCCTTCTGCGAGGCCACTGCCGGAAGCCTTACGCGCAGAAATGAAATTCCCACCATAGCACGCTGTCAAGGCTCCAGACTGCACCCGCAGCTTGTAACGGTTTCATGTACATGCTGTTTTCAGATATAGGGATGCAAACACCCTAACTGTCTTTTTACTCATACAACACATGCCGCCGAGGGCAGAGAGAGCTGCTTGCCTCTTTCGGCTCTGGCAGCACTTGGGTGTTCCTAGTCAGCAGTAACTGGGGGATTGGAAATGCGCTGAGCGCTACCCGAACCCACCGTGGCAAACCCATGCCCCGCCCTTTTACGGTACTCAATTAGTTTGTCTATGCACCCATGCATGGCGTTTTCCTCGATTCCTGGCTACGTATCGTGGAGCGAATGGTGTAATCTTCTCCTGCCTACCGACGATCCACTGCGACAACAGCGTGCCGATAGGAAAACGACCTCTGGCAAATTCCTTTCCGCACTAGTGAGCGTTAGCGAGCCAAGCGTCGTAGGAGGATGTCGCCAGGGTCGCTAAACTGTCTCTTGTTCCTGGGGAAAGACCTGAAAACCAAACGTTGATAGCACTGTCTGGTACGTCTAACCTTAGTGCTGTCTAGTGAAATGCCTGTGGCGGACGAGTTTGGACCACCGATTGACGGTTCAAACGGTAGGGTAGCGACTGCATGTTTTTTTTCGCGCAGTGGGCGTTCGATAAAGTAGTATGCAGACTGCACATCTTCATCAAGGAACGGACTTGGCCATTCAGGGGCAACAGGCCATACGTTCTACAAGGTATTATTTCTGGCTTCTTTGTTGACGATGCTCTTGTGCAGGCCGTGATCTAGGCCATCGGCTCCAGTAGCACCCCAAAACCCGACGGTGTAAACTGCAGCCGCAAAACGAAACCCCTGCTCTCAAGTCACCTGCACAGTTGACGAGGCGGCTCGTCTGTACCATGCTGCAGAATGTAAGCGTTAACTAAGATTTTGGACGAGCTGACAACATGTCTTGCCTTTGTGGCTAATGATGCGGAATAATCAGATACATTTACGGTTACAGTTGCATTTACATTTACTGACCCTTTGATGCCTCATAATGTCCTGGTTAATATACAGTTATCGCCCAAACAGGTAGTCGCGTAACTGTCCTCGTTGGGCGATTCGTAGCCGGCCGACCTCATGCGCCAGTGTTTGCGCCGGGGCCCTTTTGATTAGCTGCGACTGAAGTTAAATAGGTTTGCTCCAAATTTCAGTCCAGACACCCTGTCTGTTTCGACCACTGCAAAGCCCGGGACTATTTTGTCTGAAGCGCGAGCAGCATGCCAGAGTGTGCCAGAGTGTGCTGCTCTGCTACTGCAGACTGCCACTATGTGCAGAGTGACCTTCACATTCCTCCATGGTCTTCTCCCCCTACCCTGCCGTTCAGAAAGGACCTTCCCTAATTCATGGAGGCTAGGCTTGATGCGGGAGTCATGATAGGCTGCTCTAAAGTGTATCGTCTCCACTCCTTAGTGTCTTGCTTCAGGGTTCTGACCGTTCGGGTTGGTAGATGAGCTTGGAGGGAAGGAAGCGGGCTCGGCGGGTCACGGGCGAAGAGCCAAGTGGAAGTGGAAGAGCTACGGGGTCGTTGAATTGATCCATGTTTTCCAAAGTCCCAAGATCCCCCCCGCCTTCGCCTTTTAAGACTCTGGTGGCCGTGGCCGCTCCTGCGCGTGTGCTACCACCTCACTATCCTCTTTTCATTCATCCCGCATTCACCTTTCCTGATCAATCACTTTGACAACGTCTGGCTCTTGGGTGCATCTGTACAGGGGAATCCAGACTCCAAAAACGTAACTGACTGTTCCCGAGGCTTGACCGCGTTGGACCGTGTCGCTCTCGAACTGTGTGCAGATCTGCGTCACATTTGTTTCTTGACTGGCGTATGGGAATCCGTACCCGTTACCAAACAAGCAGAAGAACAAACTCCCAAGCGCACCTGCCAATCCACTTTTGGCATTGACGCTTCCCGTTTCTCTCTCGTCTGATCCAAAAACAAATCACCTACGCACTTGAAGAGCAGCACGTACGTACGTTGACATAGACATATACACACAAAAACACATACTCTTAGGCATACAAGTCAATCGATCCCCGTTTCGCTTGTTCCAGACCACCCCCCGTCCCTTCCCCCCATCCCGACTGCTGGGAATCGACTAGGTTATTACTTTTCGAGGGTTGGTGCACTTTTCTCTCGCTCTGCCCATCAAACACACAACACATCCCATCCACCAATTCTCCAGGTACCCGCTGCAAGCTAAGGTTCATTTCGAAGCCAAGGCTCCAGTGTCTCCATCACTGTGCACTCGATTTGCCAGGGGCCCTTACTTGCGCTTTTCTCACTGCGAAAGCACTGACCGGCTGGCGCTCCCTCTCATAAAAAGCACAAGCCTACCCGCTGCACTCAGGAAATTCCTAATCAGGAAGCCCAACGACTCAATATTCTCCAGGTTCATGCTCTGGTTTCCTTTTATTCAATTGTTCATCTGAATCACAATTGAACAAAGCAAATAAACCGGCTTCTGAGACCACACCCCCCGAAACATTGAGCTTGAAATCCTTGGGTGCCTCTCCCGAAGCCTACACCAGACTCAAACCAGTAAGTTGCCTGTCTTTCCCTGTTTGAGATGCGAAGCTTTTCTGGCATGGCATTTGCATTTGATGCTCCTCTTTTCAATTCACGTTGCCCGTTCCTGCAAAGCGCCTTTTTCATCCCGTCAGGGCCACCGCCTACTCCAACAAGACAAGACAAGTCAAGTGGAAAAAAAAGTACAAGTCGAGTAACCCGTAACCTGCTACAGAAACCTATCCACGCAACAACTCCAGAAGCAGTCTAGGTCGTCGGCACCACACTCAATCGAGCAACTCCACCACTTTGCCTTTTCCATTTGGTGATACCTATCGTCGTATATACTCTACAGTAACCTCCAAATAATGGCCGACATCACTGATCAACACGACCAATCCGCCGCTGGCGACCTCGATGACTCCCACACCGTCGGCAACGGCAATGGCGCCGAGAACCGTGGTGTGAAGCGTCCGCGCAACAGCATCGCCGACGACGATGACGACGATGACGAGAAGGGTGGCCGCGAGCGTCGCAAGATCGAGATCAAGTTCATCACAGACAAGTCGCGTCGTCACATCACCTTCTCGAAGCGAAAGGCGGGTATCATGAAGAAGGTAAGTCAATTTTGTAGTTCTTTTCAACTGCCAATGCCGCCTCGACCCACGCGTCACATCACCATCGATTTCCCTCTGAAGGTCGCAATCGCAATAGCAACAGCGTTAAACGCGTCAAGCTCCAATTCGAGGTGGATCATCGCGCTAACTGTCCTTGTTCCACAGGCCTATGAATTGTCTGTTTTGACTGGCACTCAAGTTCTCCTGCTTGTCGTATCAGAGACAGGTCTAGTGTACACCTTCACTACTCCCAAGCTCCAGCCTCTGGTGACCAAGGCCGAGGGAAAGAATCTTATTCAGGTATGTGTTTGATCGCGTTTCCCCTCTTCGGACTGCGCTGTTGCCCGACAGCTAACCCATCTCCTGCAGGCTTGTTTGAACGCGCCCGAGCCCTCGCAAAATGGGGACGTCGATGACTCGAATCAGGTGGACTCTCCCGAGGAGCCCTCAAACGCACATCTACCACCCCAATCGAGTCGGCCTGGTGTTCCGCAATCGCATATGCCCGGCGGTTATATGCCCAATGTCCCGATGGACCCTCAACAGGCGATGGCTTACCAGAGCTATGTTCAGCAGCGTGGTGCGCAATATGCTATGCCGCCGCAGCAGGGCATGCCCTCTCACGCCTCGCACCAGTAGAAGAACATCCTCCGGTGTTGACGCAATGCTGGCCCTACTTTGTCCGCCTGATACCCAACATATAATGCATTCACGAGGCTCCCATTTTATACGAGCTATTCCCGACACGACAGCAAAGCAGTCATAATACTGAGCATTATGGTCCCGGCGTTGTTTGGACGTTTTGAAGTTTTTTTTTTTGCCCTCTCTTTTACGAGTCTCTCCTCTCGTTGCTCCTTGTTTCTTTTGACGACTAAACTTCATGGCATATACCACGAACAAGTCTTTCACGCTAACGACTTATTCGACATCTGACACAACTAATCACGCCGTTTCTTTTTCCAAAAGTGGCAGATGGAAAAGGCATGGCGGAAACGCCATACATACATATCCGTCATCAAGGTCAAACAAACGTGACCTGGCAACTTGAACCTGCGGAGGTATACACGTCTCTGAGTACTCTCTCCGTTCGCCGATGCCATTGCCCATCAGCAGTGACTTCCAGATCGGAACAGGACTAGCTGTAAGCGTGGTTATAGAAGTTGGATGGATTGGTCAACTGCATCACGATTTGGGAGCCACAAACAAAATGTGACGTTCGACCGGGATAGTTAGACCACTCTGGACAAGAATGAGAAACACTTCCGTGCTAAACACACTTACATTTTCGTGTATGTTTGACCCTCGTGACCGTGTCGGTTTCTTGATATTGTCGATTCGCCTCTTGGTGATGCCTGGTTCTTCTAGACCGTGGTGTCTCTTTTCATTTTAAAGCACATCACAAACAGTGGACCCTTGGTGACTCGAGTCGACGTAGGTCACTACTACCCTAACGCCCCTCTTGCAAGTCGTGAGCGTCGGGGACTCAGCGACACAGCTCTCGTCTGGTATTACTGCACCCTTGATTGACCCGATCGCTGTTCTCCGTCCGCGTGGTATTCCATGTCTCTTCTGAAATCGTCGTGGATTGCTACCAGGACCAATCCAACAAGTATAGGCAATCATAGCAGCCTCGTAATATCCTCGATGACTACGTTGAATAGTGTCCGGCCTTTGTGATTTGATCCAGCCAAAGGTGATGCGGTTAGAGTGTGAGAAGGACGGCAAAAGTCCTAGCCTAAGGTGATATAATGATAGATGCAAGAAATTCGAAATATAGGCAAGAGCAGATCCACATCGAGGTTCAGTCAATCAGTATCGACAGTTGTTGGATTGCAAATACAAAGATAGGAAAAAGGAAAAAGTAATGAAGAAACAAAAAAAAAAAAGCGAAGAGTTGAAGAAGAGGAGAAAAGACGAAAACTCTTCCGCAACGCTGTTCCCGAAACGACGTGGATGACGAAACAAGCCTATTCAAAAACAACCACCGGTGAGGAAAGCAGCCCCAGCTCACTAAACCATCTACAGTATACTGCAACCTCAAAGGAAAAGAGGGCTCGCAATCATGGCTGTGTTCATGCATGTGGACCGAAGAACCCCAGGAAAGGCAATGAGCTAACCACAGGCGGATTACGTGGATTAACGATCTGGCCTTGCTCGAGTCATGGGTATTGTGTGTTGTTATTGGAAAACTGCAAGGGCGACTGCGATGCCCGGTTTCCCCAACAAATCCGGCAGACGCAGAGACGAAAGCATCGCTATACCCGGTTGCAGTATACGAATATTCGGGCGAATCTGGCCAAGAGGGCCTCGGGGGCACGGCAAGCCATGGTTGGTTGGCCGTATCGTGGGATCTTACATTAGGCGAGAAGCCAAAAAGGCCCCCCCTCCCGTCCCCTTTCCTTAAACCCGAAAGCATCATTATGTAAGACAAGACATGAATGGACGGAAAACTAGGCCTGGGATGGGCCGTTAGGGAATTGAGAGCGTTTCTACAAACCCCCCCTCGCATTGACACTAGACTAATGGCTATCTCACCTTTGGCCAGGTGCAGTCTCGACTCATACTGGCCCGTGCTTTATGACTTGCGATAACAACTGGTAGTCTGCGTAATCGCGAGATAAGCGTACTAGGGCTGTGAGCGAGTTAATTATGAGCAAGTTTCCAATACGCTAAGCTTCTTGTAAGTCGAAGAGAACGAGACACCAAAGAAAGAAAGGCGAGAAGTGGGATTCGAGAGTGTTTTTGTATGGTGATGTGAGGGCTCAAGCCAGCAGTCCCCAAGAACCTGTGTCCTAACTGCACCACGTAGACATATTAAAAACAACCGTGTTGCAGACTCATTGTCTGGTCTGCACCATAACGCCTTTCCATGACTCTAAACCTCAAATGGCTTTCCTGGCCCCCTAGCGATGAATCCCAAAATGACCTGCATGCCTCCTTCCTCATCATAAATTTTGAAAGTAGCATATATCGTTCCACGTGAAAAGGTTCTAGTACATGAATCTAGTGCTCTGCGGCGATGGTGTATCGACCCACCAGCATACTGCCGACGAAGACACCACCGAGTACTGAAAGGAAGTAGCCAACGTTCATGGTCATAACTGCCAACATGCTGCGTAAAACGAATCAGTCCACCCGTCCGTTACAAAGGGACAAGTCAAGATATAATCATGAAGAACTTACAGAAGATAGCCAACACCAGCGATAATGGTATCAATGACAGCGCGGATGGGATCGACCGACAGCCTCCAGGGCCTCGCGACCAGGCCCTTCTTGCCGACGACCATGACGTTCTCCTCGACGCCGTTCTCGGTCAGCGTCATGCGCTTGGCGAGGCTGTCGCTCGACACCTGCTCCGCGGCGGGAAGCTTGCCCTGGACGGCGACGAAGCGCCGGTTGAGCTCCCGGTCGAGCCACCGGCTCTCCTGCACCGTCTTGGCCGCCAGCAGGCCCCGCATCACCGCGCCCAGCACGATCAGGAAGATGCACGTCGCCGCGTACGTGCCGACGCCGTTCGGCGTCCACGCCGTCGAGTACAGAGGCGTCGCCATCGTGTTCTGGAACACGGCCATCATCATCATCGACGTGCTGCTGGTCGAGGAGGAGTCCATATCCATGTCCATGGTCATGCTGGTCGCAGCTTCGGTGACGGCGTCTCCGTGGGGTGCCATTATGATTATTTGTTTGGTTGGGGGGGAGAGAGTATAGGTGGTAGAACAGAGTGTAGTCTTCGAGCAGAAATTATAGATGCAAGTATAAGCAGGCGCCGGGCCTGGGGTTCAGGAAAAAAGACAGTTGGTTGGGTGGGGCTGATTATCGTAAGGGAGGGTAGTGGCGGGTGTGGGTTGGCTCTTTTTAGGTATACGTCGAGCTGATAGATCTATGTAGATATGGGGGCGATGAGAGTGTTCTTATTTTCGTCACTATATGAGGTCCGGCCTGATGAACTTTGAATGAAATTTACCATGACCTGGCCCTGAATATCGAGGTGTATTATACCAAGATGCCGAGAGGTTTTGCGATGGTTTGTGAGACACTGCAAACCGTTGGCAAGAAGGCACAACCCTGAAGCATTGGCGAGGTCGTGGGGTGAGCTTGTTCTTCAAACACAGTGGACCTAGACAGGACTCTCGAGGAACACCTTCACAAAGTGGACACCATATGAGCTTAGGGATGCGCATTGACTACAGGACGTCCGACGTGCTTGGAGTCCAATCGGAAGCCAGAGTATACCCTATGGGAAGATATGCGAACGGCAGGATCGTCAAGTTTTGGAGACGGGACAGATGCAAATACTCTGTATTTGCCAGCCAATTTTTCTCTCCCGTGTTTTACGGCTGCCAACGACCATCATGTTTGGGTCTCGTAGGCTACGTACCCGTGGCGCGGCTTGGTCAGCTACTTTCGGCAGCTCCCACTTGTCAATCGCTATTCGAAGACAAAGATCTGATCATCTTTCCTTTTGTGCTCAAATGCCCTCGGACGGTCTCACACACTCCCGGTTTCGTACATGATCGACACGCTAGCACGCTCACCCCTCAGTAAGAGATGGCACTAAGAACACAAGCATTTTGAGTGGAGCATGTAACATTCCTTAGCGGTCTAGAACTCACAACGCCGCCTCCAGTTTGGTGGTGCGCGGGAGCGGGAGAGGCTTTCGTTCCTTCGCTCGCATCGTGGAACCATTGCCTTGGGATTTCCGCTTTCGATGAGCTCATCCGAGGTCGTTTCCTATGCAATTTCAATCAAGCATTATTAATGCCATATACGGGAGCTTCCTTTCAACGTCCAAAACGAGCTCAGATGTTCGTTTTGTCGAAATCACACCGCACCCGTTGCTTGCGTCGATTTGGTTTCCCTCGATTGTTCGGGCTTCTCTTCGTCGACGACGTCCTTGACAGCCGGCTTCAAGCTAACTCACTTTGCAAATCTAATACTTTGAGCTCTCTATTGTGACCTGAGTCCTCCTATATTTCTATAGCAGTCTAGATCTCTTCTGTCCGTTCTCCCAGCCTCTTAAACTTCTGACAGATTGCGTCACAGGACCTCCCTAACGGGCAACGCTAAGTTTTGATGCTCTGTTCGACACAATCATCCGGGATAGCATGAAGCTGGGCTCAAGCCTTGTCCCCGCTGTGATCATGCAAGAGGACTTGGCGAACATATTGGGACTAGAGTTGTTGTGACAAGAAAAACATTTTTGAGGGACCATGTCAACATCCTGATCGCCGTGCCATGATCTACGAACAAAAGTGATTATATTGATACGCGCAGACGTACAGTTAATATTTGTGACCTCTTGGTCTTCCTAACCGAGATCTTCGAACTTGCCGACTTAATTTTTGGTCCTGTAATATTTTAGGTCGAATTTCGACATAACGTATAACGACCATGCTTATGTTTTCTGGTGGATCGCCATATCATACCCACGGAACAACATTTCCTCCCACAAGATCACCGTTTTCTCCCGGAAGATGACTGTCTTCTCACAAAAGCTAACTACACTTCTCCCGGCGGATCGCTGCCATCTCCCAACAGATGATCATCATTCCCTGCAGAGTCTGTGTCCTCGTCCCAAAGGGCGGCATTGGATTCATCTTCAACTTCGCAAATAGCATCAACAGTGTGCCCCAAAGCCACGAACCACGGATCTGTCAGCTCCCGCGGAGTCTCCGTCCGCCCGTCGTGTTGTATTTCGTGAAACCACAATCTCTTATAAGCGATACACACCCGATCAAATTTCCGTACGACCCGCTTGAACGAATCTGTGCGACTATACACATCTAAAAAAGATGCTAGATCTCTCAAAGCTCTGCTCTTGCAAGCTGTTTCTTGTATGAGTGAGCTCCGATACCACTGCTCGACGTGTTCAAAAATCCATCTGGCCCAGTATACATCGGTGATGTTTCTGCTGAGTGGATGGACTTCGCCGCTCCGCATAGCAGCCCAGCTCATCCTCCTTGTCGGAGCGCACGGCCCACAGGGGAACTGAAGCTGTAAGGAAAGAAGATTCTCAATGTCACGGCCATCACTGTGTACGAAACCGAGATTAGCCATTATTATATCCACGCCGCGAAGAATTCCTCCCCAGGTATTCGCCGAATTCGCAACGCAAGCATGTAAATGGGAAAATCTAGATGTCCTTTGTTACTTACATGCTATGTTCGCACATGTACCTTGGGATCGCCCTGCAGTAGGGACAACTGAGATCCAAGCCTTCGCGAAATCTGATTTTAAACCACTCTTTTAAACACCTTAGGTGAAACGTGTGCTGACATGGCAGTTTGGCGAACAGAGAAAAGCTGCGAATCAAGCAGATTGGGCACTCCATACCACTGCCGGAAGACTGTTGTGAACTACCATCTCTAGTTGCCTCTCCATGAGGGCGCATTGTAAAGGATGTCATGAAGGGCAACGGCGGAGTCATGTCGAAGTTTATGGTCGGGAGTTATTGAAAGGCCAAGAGCGGTCAAGACTTCGCAGTGTGACTGCAACACTGACTAATAATAATAAATATGTTGCAGTAAACGGATTTAAGGAGGTGAGCGTAGGCCTGAAAATAGAGTATCGGAGATAGATTGGGTAAGTAACTCAAACCACAGCAAGTTTCTCAGTGGACGGAAAAGAAAAGAAAAGATTCGTTTTTGCGGTGTTTATTTTGGTACCGGCCTGAACAAGTTCAATACATGAGGTCGTTGTATCAAAAGCTCTAGCTGTACTTCTGGCTAGGGGGTATAATGCAATGATGTTAGATCTTTAGCAAAGTGCTTTGAGGTTGCAGCCATTGTACTTATCTGCGTATGTGCAAGATCTTGCTACTTTATCTCATCGGATCTCAGTCCAAGTTGGCATTCACGTGAACTATAGCGTCGCGTTGTTGACTTTACATTTAGCATGACACTCTACGTTCTACGCTGAGGTGGAAGAAATGTCAATGATTTGGAGAATTTTTTTTGTCTGGTACTATGCTGCCGAAACTGTGAGACTGTTGTCTTCCAAAACGTGCTCGACCTATTAACGAAGACGCTTTGTACATGAAACCTTTTGTAAAATACCATTCTAAAGGCGTTGAATCTGGCTTAGTAGTAATTTTCGGTTGCGAACCGTATTAGCTCATCAAGCAACTTCGCCGTTATTATTGAGGCCCCTTGACTGTTGACTGTTTACTCTTGGTATGCATGGCTGAAATAAATTATACAGCTATAGATGTCAACCTCCGACGGATATTTTTCATGACTTTATAGCATATCAAATTCCTTGCAATGCTCAAGTGACATAATAGTCTTTGAGATCTGATCGTGCCTATGATTGCCATCACAATCTCAGTTTCCACGGACCCGCGTAACACACCACTCTACTGGAGTTGACGTATATTGGAGTTCCTCATTATGCTTCCCGATAATTATCACACCGGAATGATGGAATGATTGTTCCATCATTTATTTAGCCAACTGTATTTTGCCTATAGACGCATAGCTGACCAGCAACAAATACAAACAATAAAACGTTTCCGCTCTGTTGTTTCGATTTTTCGCAAACTCGATAGGCAACAACCGTTTCCTATCTTAGGCAAATAAAAAGATTCCACAGAAGTTGACTTCGGCGACCATTGAAGTCACAGCTCACATCATCCAGGCTTCAACAAAATTTTGTCCCTTCCTCAACCCCTTGGCTCGAATTAGAGATGCTGCCATTGTCTACCGACGATCGGTGAGCAACCTCTGAAAACAGGGCGTCACATGCAGGAATTGACTTGTCCTTAGAAAGCACCATGGAGAAATCAGAAGGGGCAGATCCGGCCATGGGAAATTGTGTCGATTGAATAGCGTTGTCGCAGGCATCGAAACCATCGACCTCTCCGATAATCTCCCCACTGAGCTTCGAATGAAAATATGGCGCCAGAGTTGGAGCACCGCATAGTCACGCTGCACTACAGAAACGAATTCCGCTCGACGATTTCTCGGGCCGAGATGCATCATACCTGCTACTCAAAGTCCAAATCAAAGCTCCCCGTCACCCTTCGGGTCAATCGCAAAGTCCGTGAGGAGACGCTCAGGCACTATCATATATGCATCAGACGTTTTGGTTGCCCCTCGAAAGTCTACTTCAGCTCTAAGTTGGACATTCTCCGTATCACCAATATTGAACGATGGCACCTTGCTTTTGAGAGACGTGGCCTTGTCAGAATACGAAGATTGGCATTTCCTGAACAAATGGCTGCCACAAGTGATGGCGTGAGGGAACGGCGCAAGGGACGGGCCGACGATTTTTCGCTTGGCTGAGCTCCCCCGTTTCCTTCCCAGACTGGAGGAGGTGTGGTTGGGCCACAAATATGAGGCTGGAGACCGCATTGGCCGACGAAGTATCATTACAAGTCAGCTTGATCTCCAACTTTCTGAGCTCGTGATCCAAACAACTATGACGCCGACTAACACTGGTGGACGCTTCTTAGACTCTACGTCCCACGAGAGTGAACGAGAATACAGCGTGTAATGGGCCAAGGTCATAATTCCTGGATTGGCACTGACAAGGAGATTCTGATGGCTAATCTCGTAGTTCCCATGACGACTCTGGCCAGAAACGACGCTGCGCCGGAAGACAAAGCAAACAGTTCAAGGCTGGTCCAAATCGCCAAAAACCACAAATCACACACAAGTAGAAGCTCTGAAATGACTCAGTTAACCTATGTATTGTTCAATTTCCTAAATCTGATCGCTCGACCCGGGACTTCTGCAATGGCAACATGACAGCCCATTGCCTATCACGTCCAACCACTCCCAGTAACCCCTTGATTGACCCGACCCTGCACGAATAGGTATGGTTGATTTCAGCAGAAATCATTGTGGAGTTTTTAGCTTATTTGAAGTCTTCCACTGAGACATGAGCCGCATCTTGAATGCTCGCAGGCCATGCACTCGGAAAGCTCCTCGGAGTATCGCACATCTGGTCTTTGACATTGGCAGCAATACCAGACAAACACGAATTGAGGCGGGAATTTATGGTTAGACTGCATCTTTGATGTTGTGTGGTCTTGTGAGAGACCCTGTGCAGATGTCATTTTGGTTCTTTGCAGAAATGGTGTTCGAGGAGTAGCTTGAGTAGACCGTACGATGTGTGTTCGTGTCTGCGTCTCGAAGATTCAGTTCGCGGTGGTGTTCATGTCGGAGTGGAGAGAAAGACAGACGGCATATTCGGCTTTCTTATACTCATCATATGCTTGTTGTTATGTCTCAATCTCTTTGTATTTGACTCGTCTGACGGTCTCACATCCTGTCGACGTCATGTTGTTTTTATAGAACACATGGCTTTCTGGTTATGTGAATAACAAAACTAAGAAATAAGAAGAAGAAGGTAGAAGTAAGTGCAATGTGTACAACAGGATAAGGGGTACAAATGTCAACAGTGAAGACTCCCACGTAGTCATTGTTGTTGCCATTGGCTAATGAATAACGTGCAACATATAACAACTTTCTTTCATTCTTCAAAGTCCTGGAGATCTCAGATAACTAACAAAGCCTTTTGGCCACCCACAATTGCATTTGACCACTGTCAAGTGACAGATTCCAAGTATTCAGGATATCACTACCAGAAGCCCATACCATGCTTGATAGTATCCAAGCCCTGGTTTGTACTTTGTCCATGTCACCCAGATGTAGCCCTTCGTGAATCGAATAACATTAGTACGTTCGGGGAGGCTCATATCAGATGTATCCTGGACAAAGTGTTACCCCCTGTCTGCCGGAGGACCAGCGTCCAAAGAGGTGACAGGTTCTCGTGCTTAGCATCCAGCAGAGCCTTTAGAACAGTTCAGAACACTTACTTCTAACGGAGCGCTGCGCCTGTGATGCATCAAATGTTCTTTATCCCCCTTGTAGCTCGGGAAATGTGGATAAGTACCATACTCTAATAGACAGAGCAGACTTCGTCAGTGATATACCATGGAACCGCTCTTTGCTTGAATGTGTTGCTTCAACAGACTATCACATCTGGTAAGTTGATTGACCAGTAGCCTCGGAATCAGCACATGATGTGACGTTCATGTAACCTTCTACTTTCCCGCAATTCTGCTCGATGAAGCACGTGTCTTCTCCATTCTCTCTTTGTCCTTTTTGGTAGCACTTCGAAAGCCTTAACCTACGTCGAACATCATTGAGCAGCCTCTGAGACGAACAGTGCTTGTCTTGAATATTACGAGCACCACTTCTCAACTCCTTACTCTAGATTCCGATCCTGAGTCCAGCCCTCGACCTTGGTACTCTCTTACGCCAGCGCCCACGGGTTCAGACCGCTGTATGCCAGAACATGAGGACATCGCATGTCAAACCTGTGAGAACAGAGGGACCTTCGTTTACCGAACCCTGTGGGCAGTCTGTCGGGCGGGATGGTCGAACATCTGTAACGTCTCAAGCGCCGGCATGCGCTTTACGCACAATGAGTCGGTCACAGCGGTAGCCCATCCAACGCGGAGGCCGATACGCCAGTTGAGAACGCCCTCTCGGGTGGCGATATTATACCGTTGGGTAACAAGCTGCCTGCGAAGAGGACTGTCCCTTGACTGACTCCCTGCCCTCAGCTCGTTGCCGTCTCAGTGTACTCAGGGAGAAGCACCCTTCACTCGGGGTACCATTGTTTACATTAGAGCGTGGACCTTGTACTCAGCAATGCCGAGATCAAGTATTGCAGTAGAAGAGGCGACGATAAAGTGACGCCCTAGTTATACTGTGTTATGCAGGACACGTTTGCGCAGCGACTGAGTTATGACCCAAGTCATGCGCTCAACAGAAATAGATTTCGAGTCGTTATTAATACGTTTCTAAAGCGAAGTGAACATCTGCCTGAAGAAGTTTTCTAGGGTATCCTTAGTGATACATGACCACCCCCAAACCTCTGAACTCCGTGCTTGTCAGTATACCTTTCAGTCGTCTTCACATAAGCCGGCCCTGGCCCCCTCGTATCTGGACGTCCCTACAATGCTACATCCTGAAAGCTCGCGCCATCACCGGGACTCGGGGCCGGTTTCTCGTCTTCATCTCCTTCGCCGTCATCGCCTCGGTCTGTCTTACTGCTCTCTTTTGGTCTCAAGGCCACCTTCTGGGCATCCTTGTCCTCGAGCCTCATCTTCTGCTCGTCCCCAGCCGCTCTTGCTTTGTCCTCAGCCTTCTCGTCACCATCATCGTCGTCGTCGTCGTCCTCCTCCTCTTCGTCCCCGTCATCGCTGCTCTCCTCGTCCTTCTTCTCGGCAGCGTCCTTGGCCTCGCCATTCTCGGCCGGCGGCTCAGGAGGCAGCGCCTTGTCCTGGTGCGGCTCGGGCTGGGCGGGCCTGTCCAGCTGGCTCTCGGTCTCGGAGGGCCCGGGCCTCAGGGCGTCGAGGTAGAACTTGGTGACGCCGAGGATCCTGCCGTTCTTCTCGCAAGCCTCGACCCACTCGGGCCGGACGACGGGGATGTTCATCTCGACGGCCTTCTCCCAGGCCATGCCCCTGCCCTCGGTGGTGACGAAGTGGGTGGTGTCGATGCGGACGCCGTCGACGATCTTGGCGCCGATGCGGTCGACGGCCCTGGCGAGCCCCTCGCGGACGGCGCCGGGCAAAATGCCGGTGGTGATGGTGACGCCGGACAGGTCGGTCATCTTGTGGGTCTTGACGACGACCTCGTCGGAGCGGAAGGTGCCGGCGCTCGTGCGCAGGATCATGTAGAAGGAGTACTCGGTGTCGACGGCCAAGCCGCTGATCTTGGTGCTGTGCATGTGCAGGGGCCGGGGGATGTTGCCGGCCTTCTGGCCGTTGCGGTAGAGCGACAGCGAGATGAGGTCCGCCGTCGCCAGCTCGATGGGGTCCCACTCCAGCACGACCGAGGTCTGGGTGGCATTGCGGCAGCGCAGGACCGGCGTCGAGGGCTCAGAGGCCCCGAAGGCCTTGTAGATCTGGTCCTGCAGGGAGGAGAAGCGCGACTCGGCCGCCGTCTCGGACTTGGCGTTGCGCGAGACGGTGATGTCGACGATGGAGCCCGAGGCGATGTTGGGCGGGAGGAGGATGGAGGGGAATTCGATCTAGACAGGTGCACCGTCAGCATTTGTCATGGGAGGATATAGCCTTGAGAAACGCGAGTGTCCAGCAGGAAGCGCCCAAGACGTTACTTGCGCGCCCTCCAAAAACTCCTGACGTGTTTGCGACTAGACAATGTGCATGCATGAGAGGCTCATGAGCTTCTAGGATGGGGACCTACTAAACGCTTGTCAGGGGTCAAGAGGACGGTGACGCCGGCGTCGACCTTGCCGACGGTGAGCGAGACCAACATCTTGGGGTTCGAGATGTCAGTTTGAGTTGAGGCGGTTTTCAATTGGGGTTGTTTGGTGACGCTATGCGCAGGTCGACTTGGGAGCTGGGTCTTGGTCTTGATCTTGATTTCTTGTGGTCGTCCCCGTAGTAGTTGTGGCTGCGGCTGCGTGTCTGTGCCTGTGCCTGTGCCTGTGCCTGTGTCTGTGTCTGTATCTGCAAGGATGTTCAGGCTGCAGGTGTCGTAACAGGGGTACTTGCTATAATGCCGATCAATTACTAGAGCTTGGGCTTGTCCTTGGGCTTGGGCTTGGGCGCGGGCTTGGTTCTTGACACCTTGTCCCTGAGCCGCAACTTGGAAGCCAATTAAAATCAACAACAAGAACAGCACTATCATTTTCGCACGTTTGCTGAGGAATGTAGAATCGAGAAGTTGTCGTACGTATAGGTGGCTGATAAGATCATAATGGGTCACGCACACGCAAACATAGACACGCGTTTGTGCCAGGTTTTCGTTGGGTGTTGGACCAAATTACAGTCCATCGCAATAAAGTGGGTATCGGTATCAACCGAGTTGTCAAGTAGAGTATGTAACACGTAGATATACACTTTTGTCTCACATCCCCCGAGCGAGTTGTCATGTGGTACATTACCAGCAACTCGCCAGCTTTCGAGCACTAAATAAACAATATGTGCGCCAGCTCGGCTCAATTCCGCGGCTTTCGCTGACGGTGTTGGAAACTAACATCCTTGCTATGTTGGGTTTCACGTCTTGCTCGCGGTTTCCGGCTATCACTCCCTTCACGAGTCTGATGAGCCTGTCCGACGAGCTCTGCCATGGCTTCCTTGACAATGGCTCTCCCTATTACCAAGATGTCGGGTGAAGTGAGATGACAAAAGTCCTTTGGCTTGGGGCATTGGACCCTGAGGGTTCCGAAAAGGGTCAACGGGTCGTCTGATCGGGGAGTCTGCCCGTACTCAACCAGTCTTCTGCCAAAGCGATCGTACCCCTTCTCCTCGAGGGCAAGCCTGATCCCGCGGCTCAGTCGACGCTGGGCCGTGGTGCAGACAAAGGGGGCGACGTTTCCGTAAGCATTGACGCTCCACCAGAGGGGTCGAGTGCCATCAGACCACTCTATGCAACGCTCCAGAACGGATCCTGCAAAGGGGTGTTCCAGAGTATCAAGCCATTTCATATCTAGTCTCTCAAATAGATGGCGGTTACCGTACTGTGCCTGAATATTGCACAGGTTGGATTTGAGCCGAAAGGCCAAGCGCCTTAGTTGGGCTGGGAAGCCGATGTCATATTTCTTCGCCACGGTTATGACATGGGCACCAGGAACGACGCCGGTTGCTGGGTCAGCAGGCCGAGACAGAGGCCGTCCCATGAACATGGTCTTGCTGTAGTTTTCCACCGAGCCATGATCAGAAACATGTTTGCTTGTGGCAGCTTGCTGCTGTTTGTCTACCGCGTTGGCCGGTTTTGATGTGTTGTTCCTGGAACGGTTCGCGGTCGAGACATTGCGCGCGGGGAGCTGGTCAGCAGATATGCGATTGCGAAGGTGTTGGGTGGGTGTCTGGAGCCGTGGGATCGAGCGGCTCAGCGGCGCCCTCGTCATGACCCTCACGCCGACGCTGGGGCTGACGCTGGTGCTGAGGCTGACAGTATCCTTATCCTTCTCTCGATGAAAGCGCAAGAGCTCATTGCTGCAGGCGTTGGGGTTGGAGGACGGCGAAGCTGCAGGTCTAGCTGAATGACGTTTCGCGACAGACAGACACCCCAGGCTCTAGAATAAAAAGTTGAAAGGAAGCAGGAGGATCTGAAAGCTTCCCTCCCGAGTCGGTCGAGCTACTTGCAGCACCAAGTAGCTTTTGGAAATAGGTACAAAGGTTCGACCAGCTAAGGCTGGCAGCGCTGGGGTCCAAGAAAGTACCCATGTCATCAAGTGACCTGGCCTTGAAATTTCTCCGACCTTCAGCAGGGATCAATCAGTCTTGCACGGCTCCCGTCCAGCGAATCCCAAACCAAAGCAAACCGGACAAAGCCGCTAAGCCTCAGCAGAATGTGACCCCACTCAGCGTTAGGCCTGTATTACTCACACCTTTTGCGGCGAGGGGATTGGGGCAAACCTGCAGGTGCTACCCGCTGGAGCTACCCGCTGGAGCTGGAGCGCACAAAGTAGAGCCGCCTCAGCAAAAGCAGAGCAGAGGCAGAGCAAAAGCAACTCGGCGCCCACTGAGTCGCACCACCCAGGACCACCCCTGGGCCCATTTTTTCGCCCTCCACGTCCCGGAGAAAGCCACTGAACTTTTGCACTATTCAATCTGACCCCGTCCCATTGTCCCTCATAAGCCCCTCCATCGTCACCACACAACCCGGCCCATTCCTGCTTTTTATAATCTTCTGCACAAACAACAACACACCCCCGAACTGAAGCCGCGACCACACACACAGCTCTTCACCACCACAGCTTGGTTACGTAGCAGAAACAAGCCGCCGACATGCCTAAGAACAAGGGAAAGGGAGGAAAGAACCGAGTGAGTCTTTAATTCCTCTCCAAAAAAAACAAAACAAAAAAACAACGTCCTTTCCCCCCCACTTCCTCGTGCTGACCCGCCAAACAGCGTAGGGGTAAGAACGAGAACGACAACGAGAAGCGCGAGCTCGTCTTCAAGGACGAGGGCCAGGAGTATGCCCGTAAGTAAACATGCCACCCTCTGATGAACCGGCCCCGATGCTGACGGCTGCGCCCCCTTGCAGAGGTTGTCAAGATGCTGGGTAACGGCAGGCTCGAGACCCTCTGCTTCGACGGCACCAAGCGACTGGGCCACATCCGCGGCAAGCTCAGGAAGAAGGTCTGGATCAACCAGGGCGACATCATCCTCCTCTCCCTCAGAGACTACCAGGACGAGAAGGGCGACGTCATCATGAAGTACACCGCCGACGAGGCCCGTTCCCTCAAGGCCTACGGAGAGCTGCCCGAGTCCGCCAAGATCAACGAGACCGATACCTACGGCCCCAACGAGGATGGCGAGTGCAACTTCGAGTTCGACGAGGACCGCGACTCGGAAGACGACGACGAGGGCGCTGCCGGCAAGGACATCGAGATCGACGACATCTAAGCCGCCTGCCCGCCCCCCACACACAGCCCGCCTTCGATGCGCAAGACAAGCATGGTCCACCTGGTCGTTTGTCGTCGTCTGCAGCTCGAGACCCTCTCGTCGTAGGCCGCCAAACACGATCGGGGAAAGCTGTCTTCTCTCTCAAACCCATCCTATCCTATACACACGCCTTGTCTGCTCTCCTCGACGAGCTTTGTCATATGCGTTCGATGGTGTTCCGCGACAGTTGGACATGTGGTAGTTGGAGTGAACCATGGTGGGAGAGACGTCATGGGTCTTAAAAACTTTTTGGGGATGTGTTGATTCTCGGAAGTCCTTACTGTTTTCGTTGAGTGTGTTCTTTTTTTCGACGACCCAATATTTATGTAGGGGGAAATGAGGTAATGATCATGGTAATGACCTTCCCGCTTTCCGGTAGACTTGAATACATGCATCTCCTTCTTCCCCGGACCTTTGGCATCACCGTGAATACGTATAAAAAGGATAAAACATGGCATCCTAGGGAAGTCATCAGCCGCCTTCGAAGACGAGAGATCTCAATCACCTCCCCATCGTAAACACACCCGTGATCTGTGCAAACATGAGCGCGATGAAAATACTCGTGATACATGAGCAACATGTGACAAAGCGATCTGACGGGTCCTCTGGCGATCCTGTGCGTGAACTGCGCGGGAGAACTTTGGGCCACCGAGTACGACGGGGAAGTGCTGCATGACATGGTCGTCTTGACCTTGGTCGCAAAAAAAACCTTACATACTGAGGGTGCGATTCTTTTCTACGCAGTGTTTTCCACCGTCGTTCTGGGAGGTTTAGCTGGCTCGAGTCCAACTCCGCCACGCGTGACGCGGGCAGGGACAAGCACAGGATCAGCAGGAAAACAGCGGAGGCTATCTTTTGTGTAATCAGTTTTTATTCTTTTTTATTCCGAGCTGTCTCCCGGCCCATGATGGCCTTAGGGGAAGGGTGGGTGTTTTAACATATGTCTTTACTGCTGCTGCTCATTTCGTCCTCTAGTCGCCAACGAGATCCGGCACCTGATATAGAAGCCCCCCCCCCCTAATCATCATGCTTCTGCTCCTTGACCAATGGTCACCCCCATTCAAAGGATCGCCCCCTCACCATTCTCTTATCCCAAAGGTTTCTCTCTGCTCAGCCTTTGAGTCCTAACTTTTTAAGAAAAAAAGAAGAAGCAAACAAGAACAATCAGCCGGCCCAAAACGCCGGAAAATCCCCCGCATCGGCTCGCGCGAGTGGACGTGGTCTTAACCTGCACATTCTGTCGTGGTAAATAAAATATCCGTAAAGAAGCATATCGATGCGGATTGTTTGAGAAATTACCCACTCCCTGGTATCACCTTCTACTTTTGACCTCGTAGCGTTGGTTCATGTTTGGACCCCGTGGTGGACAACTCCTGGACGGGGAGGACAATCAAGTCAAGCATCTCTTGACCACAATAGGGCTCATTACATAGCTGCGTGATTACCAATCGTCGTCATCAGCTTCGTCGTCTGCCAGAAATGTTAGCACATAGTTCTTCCCCAGGAATGTCACATCCAAACTCACCACTGTCGCCGACTTTCTGCTTCCGCTTCTGGAGCGCTGCAGCCAAAGCATCGGCCATGTTGGGTGCTCCCGAAGGGGCAACACCAGTGGGTGGTAATCCGCTACCAGCAGGCCCGGAATCGCTACCAGGAAGAGCGGCACTCCTGTCTCTGATCTGAGTTCTGTCCACCTTCTTGAGCGCCTTGAGTCCTCCGGCTTTCTGTATGTCTCCAAGCACGGCCGAGCGTCCTGTATCGCCTACGGGCAAGGCGGGCGCTGGTGCTCCTGATGGCGGAGGAGGTGGAGGTGGTGCAGGGGGCATGCCACCAGCACCACCAGGAGGCGGTGGAGGTGGAGGAGGAGGTGGTGGTGCTCCTCCAGATGTTGGCGGTAAGGGAGGCGGAGGTGGCGCACCTGAGCTGGGTGGTGCTGGCGGCGCTGGTACACCTCTCGGAGGGGGTGGAGGGCCCGGAGCAGGCGGTACCGGTCTGGAAGCTGATGGTGGTAGGGGCGGCGCACTCGATGCTGGAGCTTTTGGAGGTAATGAGGGGGGCGCTGGCGTCGCCCTGGGAGGAGGTGGAGGCACCGGTCCTCTGGACGGCGGCGGCGGTGGTCCATTGTTAACACGCTGACCAGAGTAAACAGGAGGCACGCCGAATCTGTGACCAGACCCATCATCTCCGTCCAATGGTGTCTTGGCCGGTCTAGGCGGCGGAGGAGGGCCAGGCGCCGCAGGCACGGGTCTTGCGGGCTCTTGGCGTGCGAACTTTCCAGCATCTGCTATCGGCGGGGGGGCATTAAACCGTGGCCGTTGTGGTTCTTGCGGAGGCGTCGGCTCGCGATGATTTTCTGCCTTCCCTGACCGCCGTGGCGCAGGAGGTGCCGGAGGAGCACCGCGGCGAGACCCAGATGATGACAGTTCAAGGGCGGGTGCTGGTCTGGCACCAGGAGGCGGTGGTGGAGGCGCTCGACCGTGTGCGCCGCTGCCGTTTACAGGAGCGGGCGGAGGTGGAGGTGGTGGAAGTGCCGAAGCCTTGGGTACGGCATCTCCTTGCTCCTTCAAGAAATCCACAATGAACTCCTGGTTGTCCTTGATGAAGTCGTCGGTCAAACCCTGCTCTGTCAAGAAGTTGCCAAAGTTGTCCCGCCAGTCAGGGTCATAAGCTTCCAGCGTGGCGAACTCGGACCGACCAGCAGGAGGTTTGTGTAAGCCATTGAGACCTGCAGAGGGCGATCTTGAATGTGAAGCTGGAGCCGGAGGTGGTGGGGGCAGGGCGTTGCCTCGAGGGGATTCAGGAGGCGTAGGGGCTGAGGAATGCCTATGTCCTCCGAAGAGGCTTCCGAACAAGCCGCCTGACTTGACGGGCTGGCTGTGTCCGCCAAAGGGGGTGTTCTTGGTCGCTTTGCTTGCATTCTTCTCCCTCTCGTCCATCTTCTTCTTGAACTGTTTTGCCTCCTTCTCGTCCACAAAAGAAAGGCCGGCCAAGCATTCCTCGAGTTCGAAGGTGTGAAAGAAGGTGCGGTCCTGGTTGTACTGCCATGTGTCAAAGATCTCCTGATCCCATACCACTCCGCGACTGGCGGGCTGCAAGTTCAGGCGAATTAGTATGATAGCGAGGATGGGATATGTGAAACTGAAACAGAACTGCAAGAGGCGGGGGAGCATGGTGTGTACGACTTACTGATATGTCCACGAGCTTCAACCAGTACGTGTGCCCGACAAGATCGTTGGCGAGCACGATGGCGCCTTGCAGCCCAGTGTAGGTCCATTTTGACTTGTTTGGATATGCGACGTAGAGCCTCGCGACGGCAACAGCATGAATCTTGTTGGTCTGCTTCGGGATGGTGCGCTTGACCGTCTCCTTGTCCTCTTCGTTGAGAATGGACGGCATGGTGGGTGGTTGCGGGTGGTATAATAGAAACGGAGCGAATCGGTTCGGTTCTGTTTGGTCCGGTTCGGTAGGAGGAGGGTCCTCGTTGTGATGTGATGGTGTTCGTAGCGGTGCCTCTCTCTATCTCCAGCTACATACCCAATCCAATGCGCGATAACGTTAAGTGATCATGGATACAGGAGAGTGTGGGCCGAACAATTGCCCCAGAGAATGCCAGAATGATGCTGCCTTGCGGTAATGTCTCGTGTTGCGAATGTACGCGTGGTTGTGGCGGCGCTTACTAGTATTCGTCTGTATGTCTTCCTACCACCGCGATGAGAAAGAGGTCAGGTCCAATGGGCGGAGGCTTGTTGTGCTTCGCTTTACAAGGCAGACAGCTAACATTAGGTACTCTAGGTGGCTTTTGGTCCAACCTGCCAACTTCAAAGAATGACCCCGCGGCTCAGTTTAACAAAGAAAAATAAAGCTGCACGGTACGGTACAGATGCTACTGTCTGCTGTATGAACCAACTATTGCGCTATTCGCTGTTCAGAGCTTCCTTGGACAATCGCAGACACGAAAAGATTGTAGCCGTTTCGACCGTCAACTCAAAGGGCAAAAGACGACATGTTGAACCCTTAAACTTGACCATGATTGGAAATCTGTTCTTCCGTCACTGTGCAGCGTTCCCAGCGGCAAGCGGATCCATTGCATAGCAGCACAGGTAATAGCACCATGCTGCCGTGCTATGTGCAGTGCAGAATGAATAAAGCCGCTGTCAGGGGTCGAGGTCGAAAGCGAGTCAACTCTGACTCAGGCGCCTCTCACCTCTTGCTTTATGCACAGCCAGTCGGTAACTTTTATGTCACGGTAACCTGTTATGTACTGTATGTCATGGTTTGGGCTGCCGTTTTCGGGCGTTGAGACCCACCGTTTTTGACACCCTCTAAAACACACCTGCCCGACAAGTAGTCACACTTCAGGCGGGGCCTATGTGCTTCTCGATGTTCACTGTACGTATATAATCCGTCCAGCATACGCATCACAACAGCGCAGCTCCAAGCATGGTAATGAGAAGCTCTCCTATATCTTACCTCTCAGGAAGGTAGCCTCAGACGACCCTCAGATCAGCGATATATCTTTTGTTCTCTGACTAGCCTAGTGCGAAAACGTGCCACGTGACTGGCCTGTCCCATCCCGCAAGCCCCACCTCCCACACTGTCTTAGTCGACCGTAAATATTCAAGATCCCCCTCCTCCTCCGAAACGTGGGCTTCGACAATACACTCAAGTCCAGATAATGCAGAGGCATCATGCCCTCCAGATCAGATATCACCTACTTCGGTGCGGGCCCAGCCCTGCTACCTACTGATATCCTCGAGGACGCCGCTAAGGCTCTCCTTAACTATCATGATACCGGCCTTGGCATCGCCGAGCACTCTCATCGCTCACAGCTAGCTGCCGATATAATCAATCAGGCTAAAGCTAATCTGGCCTCCTGTCTTGATATTCCAGACGACTATGAGATCCTCTTTATGCAAGGCGGTGGCACAGGACAATTCTCTGCTACAGCGTATAACTTTGTTGGCGCCTGGGTCGCCCGCAAGCAGCAAGAGATCTTAGGGGATATTGGAGGTGATCCCACCGACTCTAAGGTGGTCCAGCAACTTAAGGAGGCCGTAGATAAGGACCTCAAGATCGATTACCTGGTTACCGGCGGCTGGTCACAGAAAGCGTCAGCTGAGGCCGAGCGGCTTTTTGGCCCAGAGCATGTCAATATTGCGGCAGATAGCCGTGAGACGAACGGCGGCAAGTTTGGAACTATTTCGGATGAGAGCACCTGGAAGCTGTCCAAGGATGCTGCCTTCGTGTATTATTGCTCAAATGAGACGGTCGATGGGGTTGAATTTCCTGGGTTTCCCGAGTCTCTTCAGCCGGGGCCTGATGGAAAGGGCCCAATTGTTATCGCCGATATGAGCTCCAATATCCTTACAAGAAAGATTCCAGTGAAGAACTTCTCGGCTATCTTCTTCGGCGCCCAAAAGAACCTCGGGCCGACCGGTATCACCGTTGTGGTTATCAAGAAGAGCTTTTTACCCCCTGTCACTTCTCAACCTTCTGCAAGTCTAATGAGACAACTGGGTCTGCCTATTCCACCTGTCATCTTCCAATACGAGACTGTCGCAAAGAACAACAGTCTCTATAATACATTGAGCATCTTCGAGTAGGTTCTGTTCAATTTTAAAGTTTCTAACCAGGATAATACTAATTATATTACTAGTGTGTACATTATAGGCCAGGTTCTTAGAAAGTTACTACGAACATACCCAGACAAGGTTGAAGGACAGCAAGCTGTATCCGACAAGAAGGCTCAACTTGTTTATGATGCCATTGAGGCCTTCCCCGAGATCTACAAGATCATTCCCAACAAGGCAGTGCGGTCGCGTGTCAATATCTGCTTCAGGGTCACCAAGGGTGACGATATCGATGCCGCAGAGAAAGCCTTTCTCGAGGAGGGTGTCGCCCAAGGACTGACTGGGTTAAAGGGACATCGTTCGCTGGGTGGAATTCGCGCAAGCAACTACAACTCGGTTCCTCTTGAGGGTGCAGAGAAGCTTGCCAAATTTATCCGCGCTTTCGCAACCTCATGAGAGCAGCTTGTCGGTTAGGCTAGTCCAAGATTCTGTTTCAAAGGCAGCGCCTGTCGGCACTGACCTCAGCTATGCTGTAGTAAACACAGAATATGTTCAAGCAGAAAGGAGCTCTGTTACTTCACCTACTTAGCGTAGGCCTTGTCGAGTGCACCGATGTAGAGACTCCCCAAAACATATTGTCGGCCGGGGTGTAGGAGTCGTCGATAAACACTAGCTCGTGATGCTTCCGCATAATACTGGCCAAGATGCGAAACGTTGACGGGCAATGCCGAGCCGTTCGGCTCGGGCCGCGAAGGTCTGAGTCCGCCTCGAGTGTTTCCCGGGGTTGCTGGTACGTGATGGCGGTCTGGAGAGAAAATTCATCTACTGAACAAGCCAGTACTTCATCTTTCATGTATCAGAAGGCCATTCATCTATGACAGATGTTCCAGAAAGAGGCCCTATGACGTCGTCCTATGTCTCCTACCTGGATTATACCTCCCTCTAGGATGTTACTGCAGATGTTTGACCAAAGTGTCCCACTGGATTCCTGGATTGTGTGTCATGCGGTGGTAAACTGTCGATTCGTTGCGTTGAAACGATATCGACGAAAGAATGAGTCTCGTCAGGGGACCAATGTGTGCCCAGGATCGGTACACCGCGTCGAATCTCTTGCCTGGACGGGAGCTCCCTGTTGAGTCCCTCAAAGGCTGCTCAAGTCATTTGAGGTGTCAGAGAGAGACAGTTTCGACTTCCCTGTGCGTTACTCCCTTTAAGACATCATCATGATGCATACGGCCTCTGAGTGTCATTGGTATATGTGTGGAATTTGAGGGTGGTGGTTGGTTCGGTACGTTATTCATGGCCTGCGCGGTTGAGCAGCCTCGTGCCCGCCAAATTAAAACTAAGGCCGAGGTGAACTTTGAGATAAAAATAGTCTACCCAGTCATATAAGATACATACTAGATCAATACATAATATTCTATCATAGCTTATTAGCTATTTTATCAAATTTGGGATCGTTCTTATTTATGAACTCTGAACTATCGTTATCCAAGGTTGGGCCGCCTTGGTGATGTTTAGACAGCAGTATCCGATTTAATTTGGCGGGCACGAGGCAGCTGATACCTGGAGCTTTGGCACGGAGGGACGAAATGGGTCTCAGGACTATGATTGGAGGACGTGGTGGATCACGTCTGGCGGACGGAGGAATCAGAAATTGGCATACTCGACCCCGACACGGGCATTACAGCTTCAGTTCAGCAGGAACATGTTGAATATAAACCGTATTTCATGGCCATGTCCAACACCAAGTCTTGCGGCAGGCTCATGAAACCCTGCATCACAGTCATTTCAACCATGACATGTGTCTAGTGGACTTCGGGTATTATGCTGCATTGTTCGTCTTGGTATTCATCAAGTCATATCTATTCGTAGAATCTCGGCTGTGCTAGATGCTCTTCGCTCGAGTTGTTGTGGTCATACCGCCATGATATCACACCAATCCGTGTCCGCTTCGACCAGACATAAACCAAGTCATCTACTTGTTCAACTCCTTAGCTTTGGCCTGACGCTCCTCCTTAGTGCCCTCCTGCTCAGGCAGCGATTGAGGGATAGCTGGGCCAGGGTGGGCCTGTGAGGCAGCTGCGAATGCCTTTGCTCCTTGCGGCTGGGAAGCCTCCGAGGCATCTTGAGGCTTGGAGTCGGCGTCAATCTTGCCCGTCTATCATCGTTAGCATGAATCCCAAGCAAAACAAGACGGTCCAGTAGCTGTCCTCACCTGAGCAGTGGGGAAGGTGTCTTTGCCAGTCATCTTGCTGATGTGTAATAAGAGGTATTGTTTGAATTTGTGTGGATGGGTTCTCAAAGTGTTTGACAACGTTGAGCGGAAGATGAATGCTGTATGTTTGGGTTGCTTTATAACTTTAGGAGCTGGTGGTCGTTCAAGTTACGCCTGATCATTCTGATGACGTACGTCAACGGCCTCACGCAAAGCTGTGATTGGGCGCTCACTAAGGCGGCGATCTGAGCCGATGATTCGCGGTAAGCGCTCTCCCCAGATTTTATGGTTGCAACAACCCTTCCGAGTTCCAGGCTTCCAGAACCACGCTATCGCGCATCGACGCCCATCTCACGTCAATTCTGCAGCTTTCCAGGCATTCCAGGCAGGCCACCAAAGACTCTTGTTCGGCTGACTCGGTGCACCCGGACCAAGCCGGAAGGTTGACAAAACCTGCCTCACCAAGTTCAAGAATGCACAAGCTATTTGATCCACGTTTGAGCAACCCATCCACGCGTCTTCAGCTACTCGTCGTGGCCAAGACGTGCCCCGCATGTCTACCAACAATGCTCCCCAACCTGTGAAGCTATCGCTGCCCCTTGTATGCCCTTTCCCCCCCAGCGCTGCTCCCCCCCAGATGACTAATACTCAGTAGGAGTATCAGCAACACCTCTTCCAGGAGCTCCGTGGCGAGGATGAACTCGTTGTCCTCGCCAAAGGCCTCGGTCTCATGCGGCTGATCACCAATCTGTTGCACAGTTACGATGCGGCAGGAAACAATTTGATCATCGTCGTCGGCGCTGAGGACCGTGAGAATGCCTGGATCGGAGAAGCTCTCGCCGAGCATGCGGCCATTAGCATGTCTCCTAAAGCCAGAGGTCTTACAGTTGTCAACACTGACTTTACTAGTGTCGCTGCCAGGGAAAGAATGTATGCAAAAGGAGGGATCTACAGCATCACTTCTCGTATTCTAGTCGTTGATCTCTTGACTTCGCTTCTCAATCCGGAAACCATTAGTGGTGTAATACTGTTGCATGCCGAGAAAGTGATAGCAACATCACTCGAAGCTTTTATCCTTCGAATATACAGGCAGAAGAACAAGGCTGGCTTCCTCAAAGCCTTCTCTGACAACCCGGACCCTTTCACGATGGGCTTCAACCCCCTTGCAAACATGATGCGAAATTTATTTCTAAGGAAAGTATCTTTGTGGCCGCGTTTCCATGTTACCATTGCAGGTTCATTAGAAGGCAAGAAGAAAGCAGAGGTCATTGAGTTGGAGGTGCCCATGACGGACGCCATGAAAGATATTCAAACGGCCATCATGGAGTGCGTCGAAGTCAGCATACATGAACTCAAGAAGATTAATTCTGGCCTCGAAATGGAAGACTGGAACCTGGACAGTGCATTGCTTAAAAATTTCGATGTTATGGTACGGCGGCAGCTTGATTCCAACTGGCACAGGGTCAGCTGGAAGACAAAGCAGATCGTTAGCGATCTTACGGTTCTCCGGAGTATGCTTACTTCCGTCCTTGCGTATGATTCTGTGTCATTTCTCCAGCATCTGGACACGATTCATGCTACCCATTCGCCACAACCCGGCTCAACAAGGCAGAGTCAGTCTCCCTGGATGTTCATGGATGCAGCCCACACAATTTTCAGTACTGCAAAGCAGAGAGTTTATTCAAGCAATGCCAAGGCGACAGAGGCGACACCGCTCGACGCCCTGAGACCAGTGCTAGAAGAACAACCCAAGTGGGCAGTTTTGGCCGAGATCCTCCAAGAAATAGATCGAGATCTATACTTCGAGCCAGCGGCCAGGGACGATTCCAATGGCACGATCCTGATTATGTGTTCGGATCCTGCCACGTGCCGCCAGATTCGACTATACCTCGAGTTGATGTATGTTAAGCCGAAAGAAGATGACCCAACGGTCAAGAAGAAGCAGAAGGACGAAGATGCCAAGCCATCCGCAGCATACATGATGAGAAGGAAGCTTCGGGAATATCTGAAGTGGAAAAGAGAGTTTGCACAAATAAGTAGTGCGTTGTTCTCAGAGAACCAGAAGGCAATCCAAAGTGCCGAAGATCCAAGACTTCAAAGTAAGGGACGCGCACCAGCGAATAAGCGAAGACGACAAAGAGGTGGTGGTGCAGCTGGCACAGTGACTGGGCGTGCTGCGAATGGAAGCTTGATACAGTATTTCGAGAAAGACTCCGAGGTAGATGACCTTGTTGCTGGTGTCCAACCAACCGAAGATGAGGCAAATCAGAAAGCCGAAATCATAGCGGACCCTCTGGACGATATGGACGACTACTATGAGCTATACGAAATGCAGGATCTCGTTGTGGTTCATGCATACGAAGGCGACCAAGATGAGCACATCCTCGAAGAAGTCAAACCACGATACATCATTATGTTCGAACCGGATGCTAGCTTCATTCGACGAGTTGAGGTGTATCGTTCGTCACACAGCGACAGGAACGTGCGAGTGTACTTCATGTTTTATGGTGGGTCGGTGGAGGAACAGCGATACCTTGCCTCCGTCCGTCGAGAAAAGGATGCTTTCACCAAGCTCATCAAAGAACGTGCCAGTATGACTATTGTTGATACGACGGAGGCTCACGGTATCGAAGACCCGCAAGAGACTTTCCTCCGGACGGTCAACACTCGAATTGCTGGTGGTGGTCGACTTGCAGCAACGGCACAACCACCACGTGTCGTTGTGGATGTGCGAGAGTTCCGCTCTTCTCTGCCTTCGTTGTTACATGGGCGAAACATGGTCATTGTTCCGTGTATGTTAACGGTTGCCGATTATGTTTTATCGCCGACTATTTGCGTTGAGCGCAAGTCAGTGAGTGACTTGATTAGCTCCTTCAAAGATGGTCGTCTCTATAACCAAGCCGAGACCATGTTCCAACACTACAAGAGTCCCATGCTTCTGATTGAGTTTGATCAGAACAAGTCTTTCACCCTTGAACCGTTCGCGGACTTGTCAGGCAACCTGTCCTCGATCAACCCTGCCAACGTACCTTCGGACCTTCAGTCGAAGCTCGTCCTTCTCACACTTGCATATCCGCGTCTGAGAATTATCTGGAGCAGTAGTCCATATCAAACCGCCGAGATTTTTGAAAACTTGAAGACGCAGGAGGAGGAGCCGGATCCAATTGCAGCAGTCCGTGCTGGACTAGACAAGGAAATGAAGGCCGAGGACCAGACATTCAATCTCGAACCGCAAGAAATGCTGGGAGTCGTACCGGGCGTAACGCCCAAGAATATAAAAAATCTGGTGCTCGAGTGCGAGAATGTTCGCGAGGTTGCGAACATGAGTGTGGACGACCTCGAGCCATTAGTTGGAAAAGAATCTGGGCGGCAAATTGAGAGGTTCTTTGCAAGGAATCTGATCGATATGGACTGATCTGCTGTGCAAAAGCCATGTACACAGACGGAAACAGAGATGGGGTAAAATCCTAAAGCCAGGTCCCGTATATCCGGCATTCCCAAACTAAAAGATTGAATCTCTGAAAGCGTTTTAAACTTTAGATATTACACAAATACAAGAGCAATGTGCGAGTCAGAAATTGCACGACGCTTGGAGACCTGTGACAGAATTAGTAACGAGTGTACTGATTTGTACGCTCAGCAATGGTGTCAATGTATTTCCCGGGTCGGTGTAGACACGGCGTGCTGGAAAAGGGTATACTATGTGGACTTTGAAGCAAATAGTATCCGCCTTCCAGATCCGCAATTTCGGCCATGTGATAGGAGAAGGCAGATGAGTATGTCGTTATTGTGAATGCACCGTCAGCACATTTCACAGTTACCGTATTGTCATTGTCTTGCCACAGATTAACTGCTATAACCATCGTTGATTACTCGCTATTGTCACGGGATGTGGGCATATGGCAAATCAAATCGTGATTTAAATGCAAGTGGTATTGTACTATGAAAATAGGAAATCGCGAATAGCGTCATGCCTAATCGTCGTAACATTCATGAAAAACGGGGGTATCTTGATGAAAACTTCCCGGCTCTCATCCAAACTCTCATGCTCTTGGTATCGAAACGACTCCCCTCCCGCCCCTCTCAACTTCTCTTCCAGTCGACTCTTCTCCGTGGGTATCATTGCTTCATCCACCCCATCTGTCGTTCATGCTTTCCTCAACAAGAGAACATGTTTATTTTCTGGACAGATGGGCCCCTCTAGACGCGACTCGTCGAGTGGTGACCGCGCGTCCTCCCGGCCCCGCGCTTGCGACCGCAGTAGCCGCACGTCAGGAAGGAGATGAGGATGTTGAAGAAGGATGCGATGCCGTGGATGATGGCCGTCAAGATGCTGGCGATGCCGTTGACGATGGCCATCAGGCAGTTGCCGATGGTGCGGAAGAGGTTTTGAATCTGGGGAGGAAAGAACACGTTAGTTATGTGTGTTATGATAAATTTAGTGTGGTAACGTAATTGCAAGGTTCAGGCGGCGCAAGGCCTAAGGGAGCTACATATGCAGGACTTACGCAAGAGACGACGGCACCCATTTTGGACGGTGTGTAGTTTGTTTGGTGGGGATGTGGTTTTGGTTTGGTTTTAGGTTGTGATAGTGTTGTGTATAACACTTGGTAATGGTGTTGGCTTTGTTGGTTGATGATGAGGATAATGAATCAAGTAACGGAAGTTGAGGTATGTCCTGAGGATGTTTGCTTTATATCTATCAAGAATCTAAGGTTCGAGTCAACAAGCAAAGTAGATCATAGCCGCCCCTAGAGTTCCCGTCACAAACCAAGGCACTCATCCCTACCGACAAGGGCAGCTTCACCCGAAAATTAACTTAAGATTGCCGTCGTGCTAGGAGATAGTTTCAGCAAATGGCTGCACACGGAAGGTATGCCATCATCATCATGGGTCAGTCGGGCCACAGAAAACGTCGCTCGACAAGGTAACCTCCACAATTGCCTTGAATCATTTTAAGAGCAATGACATAGGAATTACATTAGGCAAAGTGCTGAATTAGGAAATGACGAGAACTAGGACCCAATCAGGCCTGGGATGTTTGCTATCTACCGCTCATTTCAGACAAGAGCCGGATTCGAGTGAGTCGCGGCACAAAACTCGACTCGTGATGTGGATCTGCAGCGCATAGGAAATTGACGTCACAGTTGGCTTTTGGGGGCCCGCTAACGGGCGTTGACAGGGCACTTACACAGTAGCAGTATTAGCCCAGCCTTAAAAATCACGATCCCGCTACGCAGTTCCGATGCATGGTGACATGGATTTGAGCTCGCCGTGCTGTGCTGCCGTAATGCGCCACTACCTTAATTATCTTGCAACAAAGAGCTTGGGAGGGCTGGCTGGCGCGTGAGACGCAAGAATCATGGGTGACGATCCGGTGCAAAATCTCCGGATGCACTCATCCCACTGCAACCTTTCTAATTTCATTGGTGTTTCACTTGTAGTTGGGGAATGTCGTTGCGTTCATTTGGGTATGCTGACATGAGGCTCTGGCCTTTTAGCGAATTAAGTGAAAAAAAAAAGAAATCCGGATGTCCAGTGAATCTAGACCTGGCGTTATGACGTAAGTGGGGACATGCAAGCAGGAAGAAACAATTTCGTCAAAGTCGCATGCTCAACGTTTGTGAAACTCAGAAGACGCACAGTATCCATGCAAGATACTCAAGATTACGTGGGACTTGATTTGGCGATTCGAAACTCTTGGTTTCATCTCGAAGATTCTGCGACAGGTTCGCAGGCTATGTGCGCATACATACTGCAGAATCTATGTACGTACATACACAGTCAGTCAGGTCGATCAGGGTGGTGGGAATCGTCGAAGTCTTCCACGCAGCGGCAGCTACTCCCAAACGGGAAACCGCCCAGCCACCGAGCCAATCGGGGACTGCAACGCCCGCCTCTATCCTGTTTTTTGCGCTGTTCTGACGTGGCCCGCATCATGGCCAAAAGGATATAAGCACCCCGTCGCATCCCGGTCCTCATGGTGATTCCCTTTCTTCTGTATGCTCGCTGAATGCGACGTTGGCGATCCCATCTTCTTCGGAAGATGGAGCCTCTCCTCACCCGAGACGGTCGTCAGCCTTTCCCTTTCGGGATTGGAGATGCGAAATTCGTTTCCTCTTCACGCAGGTAGGCAGCGTCCCGCTTGGCCGCGGTCAATGGTCTTCGGAGTCGTAGTCCGAGATTTTATCTTGTCGACACTCTCCATCCACCGAGGCTTTTCGGTCGACCATTCTGTCTCGATACCTCACTCGCCCTTCCGTTTCCGACAACTACCGACTTCCACCGCCATGTACTCCTCGGATCGAAATTGTAAGATTGAGGCTTATGCTCGCTTGATTGCGGCGCCAACGACCCCGTCCTCGTTTTCGAGGGCGGAGCCTTCTTTGGATTTCCAAAGATGGTCCCGGCGTTCACCGCTATGGGCTTATGGATCTGGATGAGCTTTTCTCCTTATCTTCCATAGTGGTGTCAGACTTATGGATGAGTTTTTCTCCTGTCTGCGCAAGTCAGCTTTCTGTGCGCGCTAATTAGATCCTGTTCCGATCGCCGGGCATGGGAAAGTGTTTATGCCGTCCTCTCCAGTTGAAGTCACCATGCTCCTGGTTTGTGTATGTGAAATGACCATCCTCCACCCCGCAGGGAGAACAGAAGAATCTCTTTAGCCCCAGTTTCAATTGATACGTTTCTTCGAGTCGATGTCGTCGCCGTCGAATGCTTGGTGTTAGGCGGGAAAGGGCACCCAAAGAAATCGATTTTCGAACCGATATCTTTACTTCAACAGGGACACTTCAGCGTCGAGTCTTCTCGATGTTGTCAGCCACGTCCTGGAAACGTTTTATGTCGACACGCTTGTTCCGCAGCGTGTCTGTGACAGGCCGTCCGCCAATTCGAGCCTCGTGCTCACGGCTTGGAACAATCTCAACCTTTTGGATCAGCCGGTTACTTGGGCTGAATCATCTCATCAATCGACAACGAGGCTTTCTTGAGCACCAGTGCTCAGGAGCAAGCTTCCTGATAACCATCTGGAGTATGCTGCAACTCGACTTTGCAGTGACCTGCCTCCTCGGATACATTGGATATTTGGGGGGCCTGTTCGTTGTTCGGAAGGGATCTGTCAGGATATCTCTGGATCTAAAGTATTTTCAGTGAAAGGTGTATCAGATTGTTAAAACTCAATTAAACTTTTCATGAAAGAAACCAGCCTTCGGGCGCCAGCCACTCCTTTAACACACTCTCGTTCTCTACTCCCGCTACTGCAATTTGAGGGCATGCATGCGTGCTATTATGCATTAAAGTAATAGTACTTAAAAGTGAGCCTTATGAAAATTAAGTGATAGGTACACTAACACCCACTCGTTGCCTTTGTTTAGAAAATCAGATGAGATATCGTAGCCGTACAGCCATTCTACGAGTGTCGCCCAATCAGCTCGGGAGTGGAAAGTATTAATACTTCAAGACTATTATCACATTTGGTACGTTGCACCAAACTATGCCCACCTCAAGGTCAAGATGGCTGAAGCAAGAAGAGAGTTCACGAGCCTTAGGTTATAGGTTAAGCTATCGATATAGTATTCAAGCACTCCAATTGTGGCATAAACCCCATAATATCACAGTGCATGAAACAGTTTCCTCAAGAACTGATTATGATTGGTATCCATCATTCTTCTAACAAAACAGTCTAGGGTTATTATTCGTTAGAGGCCCGCCAGACCGATACAGTTTTGATTATTTCCCCCGTGTACTCATCTACTACCATGAGACAGCTACGAAGCACTGTGCAAGCGCAACCTTAGATAGTGTTGTGAGTAGGAAGTGCTAGAAACGATGCCTGATCATTAGGACCCAACACTGAACATGTGTCGTTCCTGACGAAGTATCTATTACGGCTAATGGCACACTTGGCAATTTTTATGAACGTGTTCTGATTGTCTCCATGACGAGCATTCGAGAAACTAGATTAGCCTGTTGGGGGGTGTTGGGGTGTTGGGGGGAGTGTTCAGCGCGATCTTAAAGGCATCGCGATTGCGGAGAGTCTCACCGCGATCCGGACTGTCGGGATAGGTGATTTTGCTGTAGTGTTGCTGATGAAGGCCGAACTATTTTATGTGACCTATGCTGACCGCCTTTGTCATCACGGCATTTAAAGACTAAATTTGTAGGACTTTTTCGTTAGGGTTTTATGTGTCATAAACAATCTACCCGCCTCTCGTATCTATCACGAGGCATATAATACTTGGTAAAGGTGTTGTAATCAATGGCGAGTTCACCGTATTTGGGATTTCAAAATGTATCATGGAAACTTCAAGAGCCTTTGATATCGTTCATGGAACAATGTCAGCTGAGTTTGCTTGCAAAGGAAAAATGAAACGGTGCAAGGAATATTATGGGTCGCCGGCACGGCCCGTTATATCATCGGAGCGGTACACGGACGAGTCCACGAATCTGCTGCATAATTGTGAGGCGAGAAGATTGCGGGATGATAATTACAGTGAAAGCGTACATTATCAATGGCGTCAAGTTTGTTCATGCGCAAAGGGTTTCGGCGGCGTCCTGCAGTGTTCGTTGTGGATCCGGGATTTGAACATTTCAAAAGCCGTTCGGGTCTGTACGGATTCACGGGCCAGGCGGGTACTCAGGTGCCGCAATGCATGCCCGTGCATTCCGGGATTTGAATAGTGCTTCGAGGCCGTGCCTTATCGCTGACCTAGGAAGAATGCGGGTGTGTCTGATCCAGATCACCTGCATACAGATCCTTAGTTTGGATGAAACCTCACCAGCCAATCCGTCGTGATACACTAGACACCCATCACCAACAACGCTCTCTGTGTGGAGCACCTCAGTTTTGCTGAGCTGTTCCTATGCATGCAAGCATACACCCAGACAAACATCGCAGACGCGCCAATGTAGTACAGCTCGGTCAAACTTCGTTCGAGCTCGGTGTCTTCCCTATCGTACGACGCAAGCCAATACAAGCACAGACACACGAACTGTCTAGAACCTTTGATCAGAGAGGAGGCTCGTATGTTTAAAGCATGACACATCGGGCTTTGATAGATGTATGCTTAGGCTTGGATGAGAGCTACCTCGTAATATATGGGAATTGGGCAATGAATGTGCTTTGCGTGGATATCAAAGCTTTTCTGTGATTATCTATGCATTGCCATTCAAACACCGATACCTATGAGCTGTGTGATCTTGTAAGCCTCATCATATGCGAAGAGAACTCTATAAGTATCTGTCCAGATGCCCATCCTCATCGAAAATTGCACCATCCACTCAAGGACATCAATCACACCATCACAAACAACAAACCACACCTTTTCAACAATCCCAAACCACAATATCCAAAATGCCTATCACCAAGTACAAGGCTGCTGCTGTGAGTCTTTCTATGACTATCAGTCTATGTATCAAGCTTGACTGACAATTTATAGGTTACCTCCGAGCCCTGCTGGTTCGACTTGGAGGGTGGAGTCCGCAAGACGATCGACTTCATCAACCAGGCCGGTAAAGCGGGATGCAAGCTTGTCGCCTTCCCGGAAGTTTGTATGTTCTTCTACCAGTATCTGAGTCGGTTATGTGTTTACTGACATCTGCACTAGGGATTCCTGGTTACCCCTACTGGATGTGGAAGGTCACTTACCTTCAGAGCTTGCCCATGTTGAAGAAGTACCGTGAGAACTCCATCGCCGTTGACTCGGAGGAGATGCGACGCATCCGCCGCGCCGCCCGCGACAACCAGATCTTCGTGTCGCTTGGCTTTTCCGAGATTGACCACGCCACCCTTTACCTGGCGCAGGTGCTGATCTCGCCGACCGGCGATGTCATCAACCACCGTCGCAAGATCAAGCCCACTCACGTTGAGAAGCTGGTCTACGGCGATGGCTCCGGCGACTCATTCATGTCGGTTACCGAGACAGAGATCGGCCGCATTGGCCAGCTCAACTGCTGGGAGAACATGAACCCCTTCCTCAAGGCGCTGAACGTGGCCATGGGCGAACAGGTCCACATTGCCGCCTGGCCTGTTTACCCCGGAAAGGAGAGACAGGTCTCTCCCGATCCTGCTACCAACTACGCCGACCCGGCTTCGGACCTGGTGACCCCCGAGTACGCCATCGAGACCGGTACCTGGACTCTGGCACCATTCCAGAGACTCTCCGTGGAAGGTCTCAAGAAGAACACACCCGAGGGAGTCGAGCCTGAGACTGACCCGTCCGTGTACAACGGCCATGCCCGTATCTTCCGCCCAGACGGCAGCCTGCACACGAAGCCCGAAAAGGACTTTGACGGACTCTTGTTCGTCGACATCGACACCAACGACTCCCACCTCACAAAGGTCCTTGCCGATTTCGGTGGCCACTACATGCGCCCTGACCTCATCCGTCTTCTGGTCGACACCAGACGCAAGGAGCTGGTGACCGAGGCTGATCCCGCCGGCGGTATTGCCACCTACAGCACGCGTACCCGCTTGGGTCTCGATCGCCCCTTGGATGGAGAGCCCAAGTCCAACAAGCTTCCCTATGACAACACGAGCGGAAAGGCAGACGAGAAGACCAAGGGTCTTGCGGGTATCTAATCGCATGGGACTGTATCATAGAAAGTATATCTTTATGTAGTATAAAATTCTCAGCTCTTGACTTGTTATAATCCAAGTCCCATCATTTATCTTGTATATAAGTGAATATGTTTACACATTGATCCATCTACGCGATAGATTTATTCAGCGGCATCGTTCTGCGCGCGTGCTTGTCTTCAGTTAAACGCAGTAATAGCAAAAGTCGTTCGCCCAAGTTCAATTCAATTTACTAGTCATCCTATTCTTGAAAGCGAAGCACGACAGAGAACATACAAAGTCGCATCAAGAGTGGTAAAGGGAAGTTGGAGTATGTGAATCTGGTATCAGAAACTGGTAGCTCAGAGGCCTAGTGTTGATGGTAGCCGATGTATCAAGGATTTCGCCAATCCATAACTCTCAAACAACTGCCTCGACTTCCTCCATCATCCCCTCACGCTTTGCGTCCACGTGGGCCTCCTGCGCATGCTGGCCGGGAACGACTGTTCTGCCCCTCGAACTAAAAACGCCGCCGGTAATCCCACCCTTGTGGAATAGCAGCGGGATATCTTCGAGCTCCAACCCTTTGGTCTCGGGATAAAAGAAGTATACCATTGGAATAAAGGCGGCGTTTAGGACCGCGAAGATAATAAACGTCTTCCATTGGATGTTCTCTGCAACGTTTTTAGCGTGTGATCTTCGGGCATGCAATTCCATACCGTTTTTGGAGTTACCTACGGAAAGCTATCGGGGTGATCTTCACGACAGCAAAGACAGCCATCCAGTTCCAACCTGAAGCGATGGACTGCATTCTAGCCCGGACTCTCGTGGTGTTGATTTCACTCGGGTAGAACCAAGGAACCTGCGAAATGAGAGGTCAGTCATGGACATCGCAAGGATTGGATCCGACTCACAGGTAGCCAACCGATACCGTAGAACAATTGAAACAGAAAGATGAATGCAGTGGCGGCGTATGCAGGGCCCGTAGTACCCAATGATAACAATATCGTTACCATCACGAAACAGAAGCACAGTCCAGCCGAGCAGAACATCAACAGATTGCGCCGCCCATAGCGGTCCATCAGAAACACCGGGATCGCTGAGCCAACTAGAAACGTAATCTGTGCGCACCCGCCAAGAACCAACGACAGTTGTCTGTCTAGCTTCATGCTGTCAGCGAAGATGGTTGGGAGGTAGTAGTTGATCATGTTCGATCCGCTAAACTGTTGGCCGAGTTGTACCGAAATCGTCAACAACATTCGTCGTAGATTTTGTTCCGGACCCCACGAAAGTAACTCCTTGAACTTGAATGGCCCACCCTTGTGCTCTTCTTCTAGACCGGATTGTATATCGAGGAGAGTGCGAGACACTTGCGGATCGTCCTCTGAAACATCTGTAATGGCCGCAATGACGGACCGAGCCTCCTCATGTCTGTCGTGCGCAACAAGCCATCGCGGAGTTTCTGGCAGTCCGACAATCTGCAGGATGAGGCACACTGCGAAGACAGCCTGGAATGCAAGTGGGAAACGCCATTGTAATGAGCTAGTGTATGATGCGGTACCATAGTCGGTCCAGTATGCGATTACCACACCCAGTATGGTGACGGTGCCTTGAAGGGTAAGTAGAGCACCGCGAATCCGTGCCGGGGAGCATTCGCTTTGGTACACGGGTGCGGTTGACGAGTTCATGCCGTTGCCTACTCCAGTCACAATCCGGCCGACGATCAGCTGTGCGATCGAGAACGATGAGCCCAGGATTGCGGAGCCGATGATCATGATGAAACCGCCCAGCATGAGCATTGTACGTCGTCCGAGCCGCTCGCCCACAAAATAGCAGATTATCGAGCCGAGCACGCACCCTATGTCATATAACGCGGTGATGTTGCCCTGCATATCGGCGTCCGGATTACCGAAATCTTGTCCGAAGCGATTGTCGGCACCAATGATACCAGCCATCACACCTAGACATTCTTTTTAGCTCTGCACCTCGGGACCAATATCTCGGTGCCTGGAAATGTTGTTGGGACTTGTATTACCTTGGTCATATCCAAGTAGCAAGAACGCTTGACACGATGCCGCCGTGACAGCGAAGATCAAGGGCCTTCCCTTGAGGTTGTGTTTCCAGAGTGTCATTTTCTTTCTATTCCGTACGCCAGCCAAGTTTGATCATGCCCACAGAGAAATAAATGTAGGCTTCCTAAACGATGTTTTGAGGAGAATTGTCGAGGTTTCCCATTGTGCTCGTATAACCTGAAAGGCCGAGACCCTCGCTACATCCGGCCCCGAATGCTGACTTATGCTCATCTTGAATTGCTCAAGACTTTGGTGGAATTTGGGGATAGTCTGCGCCTATGATGACGATCTTCTGCATCTCTGGTTAAACAGGCTGGGTTCCCCGCGGGGACTGGACCCATCACGGCACTGCCGGGAGTTGGGGGTTTGGGGTTTGGACCGTTTTACTCGACTACATCCCCAAAATGTGGGTTGTTCTCGGTCAAGTGCTGAGCCGAGAGGGGATGCGTAGCCCTCCGTGCCTCTATTATTAAGATCCGGCTAAGAAACAAGGGGGATTTAGACTATATGATTTGGGTGTTCTACAGTCTTGGCTTTCCTTGCCCTTATCTCACTTCAAGAGAAATTCGCCGCACGCCTGAGGTGGTTTGGTAAGCTCTTAAAATATGGAGATCGATACGTGTCGCTTATGTCGGAATCTCCGTACCTTGTTCAGCTATTTATCAACTTGTTGACATGGCTCTATTCCACCTCCGTTCTACAGTGCCCAATGAAATCCCGTATTTCTATTGCAAATGCGTGGTTGTTATCGTCCTTGAATCAGTGCAGCTGAGCACCATATTAGCTCTACTATATCCTCAATATGGAATTTTCTACTCTATCGTCTGACCGCGCTTGAAATTGGCATTTTGCCAAAACCCTTGCCACGAACCGGTACATGTATGTGTGGAAGCTTTCACTGTTTACATACTTGCTACTGTCATATACGTAGGTTCTGAATCATCTTCGTCTTATGATCTGTATGTTAAAAGATCACAATCACATCATAGGTTTTTGAAGTCTACTCTGTATAGTATGGGCTGGAGTGGAGCCAACAAGCTGACAGGTAAGCGTATGATCTTTAACAAAACATTCTTTTGGATGCTCCTTTAGAGTTACACTTGTAAATGCCCGTTTTCACTACTATAATCAAATACTGATGGGAAACATCATAGCGTTTCATAAAATTGACACATCAAGTTGATCTCGTTGTTACTGGTATCTTGGCTCTTTAACTTCAGTCTTGACATGTTGCTAACCTCAAAGAAATAGTATCGCATCTCAAAGCAACTAAGACCTCAGAGTAACGTTAATAACAATATTTTCAGAGCGTCCAGAAGACGGTATTCGTGCTTCAACCTTAAATATCAGCGGCCCGTAAGAAGAACTGTGACGATATATATGATCTTGTGAAGATCGTGTATGACTACCCGAGATTTGATCCGGGATCAGTGGCCTAATGATATGCTCTGCAATGCTGCTAGGGCTCGGATGCCACCTAGAGACTATCTAGCGAAGCAGCCCATAACGCTGCACCGAAGGATAGTCTACGGAGCAATGTTCAAAGGGGTGGCGACACGAAGGACTCCCCACATCGATGGCACGTATGTCAGCCTGAGAGAAAGGCCGATCCAGGTATGCACCTAGAGATTGTTGCTTACCCTCCTGAACAAGATGGCATCTAGACACACGTCCGTCACCGCAACACTCGTCAGTATAACGTATTATGTATGGCTAAAAGATTTCCTGCCATCCAGCCATCATGCAATTACTTATGCCACACCCTACTGATGGCATGGATCAAGCCAACAATGGGAATAGTACACCGCAAATGCAAGTTGTCCACAAACATAACAGGACAACAATTAGCCGGCTCCTCCCACCAAGCGTGATTGTTTAGACTACAATTAACTGTTCCTCGGATATGGAGTTGACACGTAAACCCCATCCGGTTCTCTCCGATACTGAGTGGTATCGACCTCTTCGTATCGCCGCACGATGTGGGAACCTCGATGCGTGCCATTTGCTAGTTTAGGTCGGCAGCACTCATCTACTGCCTGTAGTATAACACGACAATAGCGATCAATGTTGTCTCAAAAGTCATGTAGAAGTACGGAGCACTCGCGCTCAGATGGAATGAGTGACCTTTGATTAGGCTTACTGGACCGGAACCGCATTACCTCGGGATGAAATAACCAAAGTGCCAAGGTCATGGAGGGAAGTAGGTTGTAGAGGGTCTGGATAGATTTCACGGTGTCTGGGATGAACTATTGCACCAACGGTGTTAGAGGAACATTACTTCGTACTCGGTAATCTTCCGTCCTGCCATGCACCCTGGCGTGACGGTATCGCGAGCACTGTATGAGCTGTGCGGTGAAGAAGTGGGTTGGATGTTGTTTTCCCGCCAAATCTTGCCCAGCATATCGGCGCTTTTGGTGACAATGTCCGACCTACATATCTTGTGCAATGCGCGGAGCCTTCCAACAATCAGACGCTGGTGTGCTACAGAAACAGCCGACATGCCAACGACCACGAGTGGCCAAACCATGATGCTGTTCGCTGGCGAGGTCGCCGGCAGCTGATTGAGATGCAGCACGAATTGAACCACGAGATCCTGAACGGATTTGTACTGATACGACAGGTCCGGGTCCAATGTCATCTTAACGTAGACCGCACATGCGACTCGGTAAAGCTCTGAGATCGTGTCCTCGTGTGAGGCTGCGGCTTCAACATTCCTGGACGGAAGCGCCGGCTCGCTAACGAGTTGTGCTTCCAACTCTCGCAGCTCGGAAATTGTGGCTTCATAATATGGCCCATTGGCGGAGCCAAGTGTTTTTGTTAGCATTGCAACTTTGAGTATGCAAGAGAACACTCTGCGACATCGTGGAGCGAGCAGTATGTCCTGCGAATGTTCGGCAGAGAGAAAAGGAGAGATGAAGACTTGTTGGGCGAGATGTAGCGGCAGCTGCTGACCGTGAGAAAACGCTGCCAGAGCAAAAAAGTAACAGAACACCTCAAATAATAATCCCCTCAAAGAGGAATCGGAGGCTGGATGCACAAAGCGTCTGTGACACACCATGGCTGCTGCGTTGAGATGAGGTAGAAGCCTACCAGCCATGGTAAAATTCTGGGACTTTGTGGCACGTCGTCAGCCAAAGACATAAGAGGCGTTTCTGTAACAGTGTCATACCTCATGCACGCAAAGAAGGAGAATGGCTAATAGTGTGTCGTCTCCAGAGCTTGAGATGCATAAATCGTTGACAGCATTTGAATGTGATGTATGTCCGATGTAGTCGGGAGGAGGGACTGGTTCTGATAACAGGTATTCGTGGCTGACTGCAGACCGTACCCCAGCGACAGCTTGACCATAAAAGCCATTCGCTAAGCTATGCAACTCAGAGCTCGCAGGTTCGTATTTGCTCAAGTCGCCAGCAGCTACTGCTAGAATACAGTCAGAGATCAAAGGGCTCCTCATGGCGGCCGGCACGACCAGGTTTAACATTGCAGTTCTGCGGGTATCACCGCCGATTGTAAGCCACGACGGGCTGGCGTGACAGAAATGTGCCATGAGCCTTTCTTTAACAGAAGCCGATGGCGCTGCAAAAACTGTGAAGAGAGACTGCATTTCTTGTGGGATCCTATAGTCCTGGTTATATTTTGTGGTTCGGCGAGCCACCCTGTTCTGGGCAGGGTTTTCTTGTGTCCAGCTGCACTGAAGGTCTCTTTTTTCACAAGCAGTACATCGTGGTTGTTGTTCGTCGCACTTTCGTTTCCGTCGGCGACATTGTTGACAGCTACTTTTCGACCGCCGAACTTGTACAGCGACTGCCTGAGGGTACGTGACTCTCAAAGATCCGCCCGGATCACGTGGCATTTCAGGGATGTGCGAATATGCGTAAATGATACTCGTTCTTTAATTGCAGAGGTTGAGAAAATGTTTGCTTTAGTGTCACGACAGCATACGTAGGCAGTGTTTAATATCCAACACGCTTAGTGCCGCACGGGCCACACAATACCCAAAATGCGTAGTGGCTTATATTATGATTTCTTGTCTTGTGTTACTTCCTAACCTAGTGCTTGAACGACATATAGTCTTAAGGCTCCACATAAGGTGGTCTAGAATCACAGGCGTTTGTAGGCATCCCATGGACGTTTCTATTTCAACCATGTTTAGAAGCCGTTTGAATACTAATCGAAGAGGCGCAACAATCCAAACTGTGTAACACACCTTGATGCTTATTTTGTTTCATAAATGCTTGTGGAGACATTCATTACACTAACCTAGTATCAATGAGTCCGAGAACGGCAATTAAATTTAATAGAGATACGGCATCGTACGTAGAACGTGGAATATGTTTCTTATATGATCGAAATTATCTCATCGTTATCGACGTTGAGATTAAAACTGCGCATATCCAAGCGTGCAATAATTTGTTCGTCAAGGTGGGAGCGTCGTCGAGTAACGGAAACTTCGGCACCATATTCGTCTTCTAATAGCCCTTCGAAATCCTCTTTGAGGTCGTCAACGGAATCCCCGAAGACCCAGCGACGCATGTTACGGTGCTCCTGAAGATAAAACCATAAGTTCTGTCTTGCGTTTGTCGCTGCTTGCAATGCTGACCAGTCCCAGATAAAATTGTCCGCATTGCTTGCCATTTTCAGCAATATTTCCTCTCGAGTTTGTGATTTGTCTGATTGAAGCTCGAGGTGAAGTTCCAAAATCGAGAGTGTCAATACTCGTATGGGGAGAGCCTCTTTGACTGCAAGGCCGAATTTGGAGGCAAGGAATGAACGAAAATTATTGTATTTGACTTGCCAATCTTTATGAAGCGTTGCGCCTGGAAACAGGCCCCTCCAACTGTCACCCACAATCTGGGATGACTGAGCAAGAGTGTTGATGAACAGCTCTGTCATATCCGCCCATATTTTCAGGTTCTTAATCTTCTCGAAACTGTCGGTCTTTGGTTGGCAGACTCTCTCGACCACCGTTTGCTCTGTATGCTGCAATAGTAGAGACCAGAGCAAGCGATTTACGCCGCTTAACGTGCCCAGCTTTTCGCCATTGTACGCATAAGACGGATCCTCAGGATTGTCAAAACTCTCTTCCCTCACGTTTCGGACCAACCTCATGAGCCCTTTGAGGTCCGACTCACTGTTCAGGATCTGAGCGAGTTCATCGCGCATTCTGAGCCATTGTTCAAGCAGTACGCTTTCCTTGCCCAGGGTTCCGCGATCCATGCAGTAACCCGCATCTACGATCCTTCTCAATGAATCAGAGAATGAGGTTGTGAAAGACAATGCAGGTTGTGTTTGCAGTTCAGACCAAATAGCAGAGATGAGTTCCTTGTCCAAAGTCTGTAAAACCTCTTGATCCGTCGAAGAAAACTCATCTATGATCATGGGATCCCAATGGTCGCTTGAAACGCTGCGGATTGTGCAGAGCTCAGCTACACACATCAACGTGTACTCGGTTCGCGAATCGTTTGAGCGGAGGACTGCAAAAGTGTTGATTCCGTAAAGCCAAACCAGATGGTCTTGATTGGTCAAGGCCTTCGCAGGACAAGTCAAATAAATGTTCGGTCTGCTTGTTATTGGCGAAATACTCGTCACCCAATATTTCTTGTCCCCATTCCATTTGAAGTGGGTACTCATGTTGCCTAATATCATGACCTTGACCCTCAACGCGGCGCTGCGGGATTCTATATACGGTTTAACCGTTCTGATATCCTTGAATCTGATAGGATACCCTTTGGTAGGGATAGAAGGCCCCTGGCCGGGTAAGTCTTCGGCCTCCCACCAGTGTAAATCGAAACCGGATCGCTGACCAGACTTGCTCCAGTCAGGCACCCAAGATGGAAGATGAAGATTTGCCTGTTGGCCATTGGCGTAGCTGAAGACATCTCTCCCTGCTCCACATATTTGGATGAGATAGGCTGCAATTCCGATGTATACTTCTTTGACGTTCCGACTATAGTCTGGCATTACGGGTTCTTGGTCCCAGGAATGAATCAAGCCGAGGATGGCGAAAACTTTATCTCGGGGATCCGAGCAACAACAAGTGCTGGTATCAACGAGTAGTGAAAGCAAGTGCTGGTTTGTAAATTTCGCTCGCGTATCCCTATACTGAATCCAACGGGGACCTTCCCTTACCTCGTCTGTATCTTTTAGTCCACTCACGGGCCAAGGAATAGATCGGAATCCACAGTATATCCAGGCAATCTTCGCGAGCACGAGCTCTTGAACCACCCAGAGCCTGCGAAAATATGGACGATTGAAGAATGTTTTCAGAGCGTCTCTTTCCTGGGCACAGGCGTCACATTGGCAGAGCTTGATGTGGTCGGATGAAGTTACGGATGCTGGAGTCCAAGAAAAGATGTGCATCAGGTCTTTGCGGGCCAGCAGGTCGAGTGCTACATCGCCGTCAGTCGACAAGTCTCCCAGATAGACGAGTACTTGGTTGGCACTGGCGTAAATACGCGACATTAATCCCACCTGCATAGAGCGTTCATCATCGTCATCCTGATTGATACATATTGCGTCGAGCCAAACATTTCTGGGCCCGTGGGCTTGTCGTATACTTTGCAAAGCTTTCTCGCAGTTTCTTGTTGCCGGGTATACGTCCCAGTACCTGCCGATAAAAATAGGTCTGCGTTTTATCGAATCGCCAGATTCGTCAGCCCAGGTGTAAGAAAGCGCATCAAAGGCTGGTTCGTCATGGTTCAACCTGGAATCCGTGAAATCCGCATGAATAGGATCTCCCTGACGTGCAGCTGATAGCCGAAGCAAGCGAATTTGGTCGGAGTGCTGAAGCCTCACATATCCCAAGACGGCTTGTCTTCCACATGCAGCCGTGGTGGGTGGCAAGAGTTGTCTGACACCCCCAAGCTGACTCTGAACGGCAGTCTCGGCCAACTCTCCTGAACGCAAATGTTCTGTGCTATTTTCACTGGTGGCGTTTTCCGGCAATGGAGATTGAAGGTACTCAACACAGGCAGGCCATGCGAGCTTCCACGGCAGGTGCTCAGATGTGACGAGTGATTGAGGTTTCTCCACACTCTGCTCCAGTGCCAAATCGTCGATCGAGGCAACCGCGAAGCAGTAGGTGCAGCACGGTAAGCCACCTACAACTTTCACATCGGGTTCCGAACAATAGGTCTCATGCCAGCGCGAGATAGACATGTTCGCTTTCAAACCAGAGGCGGGACTACAATAGGTTCGTACTGTTGACGGAATGTGAAGAACATCAAATGGCTTTTTACTGCACGGGGTATGTTTTGCCCAGGCATGATCAAGTCCAATTGGGAGGCTGTGTGATAACGGCAAATGATATGCAGCTCACTACGAAGCTGCAACACAGCCATGGCTCCTGACTGCTGCATCTACTTGAATCCATCGTGAGAATTTTGAGGAGCGTTTCTGAGTGTTTACTGATCCAGAGATACCCTCGGTGTCGTCTTGTTCAGTAAAGTATATTGCTTGCGCAAGCTTGAGCCACTTGTGACCCATGAGCTTTGATCGAGGTAGGCCAAGCATATCGGGCATTTCCGGCCCGATTTTCGACAGCTCAATTGACTTTTGGCTTCGGGGGAGGTCAGGAGGGTCTCGTCTCTGCCGTAGCGGCATGACGGGTTTTTTGCAGGGGCCAACGGGTTCTGGTTGGGAGGTGGTTCCGCCAAAACTGCGCGAAAGCTGTCTAGAGTGGAATTAAACGTTCTCCCGACTGAGGTTTTTATTTCTATTATATGTTTTAATTCTTTTTCTTCGAATTGTTCACGCCATCAGCAATACCACCGGCACGGAACCTTGAGCCTAAGACGTCCTTCAGGAAGCATTTTTCATCTTCCTTTGTATCATACTGTAGCTTATTTAGCCTTGGCTGGCTTGCCCATCACTCCTAAAGCTCGATTGACTGGTCGTAAAAAGGTCACTCGCACACATCATGCTTCGATCGGTACGAGCTACTGCTGCCGGCCCAGCCAGGAACCTGCTTGGGCCGAGGACAGCTCCGCGATTTGCAGCGGGTTGCACATGCAACACCTCCTCATCTGCATCTGCATCAGCGTCCATTTCCCCATTCCCCAAGGCATCTTTGCCCTCGACATCTCTCCTCCGATCCCAGCGAAACTTCCATGCGACATCGTTAAGAATGGGCAACACCAGGACCGAGAGCGACGCCTTTGGCGAGATCCAGGTGCCCGCTGACAAGTACTGGGGAGCTCAGACCGAGCGATCTCTTGAGAACTTCAAGATCAACCAACCCCAGGACCGCATGCCCCCCCCGATCGTGAAGGCTTTTGGCATTCTCAAGGGTGCTGCTGCTGCTGTCAACGTGAACTATGGCCTTGGTATGAGATGCCCCTCCAACAAACCCCCAGTGCCATTGCTTCACTGTGCTACACAGACAAAGCCTGCCATGACCATGAGCTATACCGTATCTTCGTAGAGCCCTGACTGACAACTTGTATTCAATTTGCAGACAAGAAGGTCTCGGATGCCATCCAACAAGCTGCCAAGGAGGTTGCTGACCTCAAGCTGCTCGACCACTTCCCTCTCGTTGTCTGGCAAACTGGATCTGGTACTCAGTCCAACATGAACGCCAACGAGGTCATTTCGAACCGAGCCATCGAGATTCTAGGCGGTACCATGGGTTCCAAGAAGCCCGTCCACCCCAACGACCACGTCAACCGCTCTGCCTCCTCCAACGACACCTTCCCCACCGTTATGCACATTGCCGCTGTCCTCGAGATTGAGGACCTGCTCCTCCCTGCTATCAAGTCTCTCCGCGCCGCCCTCCAGAAGAAGGTTGACGAGTTCGACGCCAAGAATATTATCAAGATTGGACGAACTCACTTGCAAGATGCTACCCCCTTGACATTGGGCCAGGAGTTTTCCGGTTATGTTGCGCAGCTGGACGCAGGTGTGAAGCGTGTTGAAAGCTCTCTTCCCGACCTCAAGCTGCTTGCACAGGGTGGTACTGCTGTTGGTACTGGTATCAACACTTTCCAAGGGTTTGCTGAGGCTATTGCCGAGAAGGTCAGCGAAATGACCGGCAAGGATTTCAAGACCGCTCCCAACAAGTTCGAAGCTCTTGCTGCCCACGACGCTATCGTCCAGGCTCACGGGTCGCTTAACACCCTGGCTGGCTCTCTCACCAAGATTGCCCAGGACATTCGATACCTTGGCAGCGGTCCTCGCTGCGGTCTCGGTGAGCTGAACCTGCCCGAGAACGAGCCTGGTTCGTCCATTATGCCTGGAAAGGTCAACCCTACCCAGTGTGAGGCTTTGACCATGGTTTGCGCTCAAGTCATGGGTAACCACGTTGCTACCACCATTGGTGGCATGAACGGCCAGTTCGAGCTGAACGTCTACAAGCCTCTTGTTATCCGTAACCTGCTCCACAGTGTTCGCATCCTTGCAGATGGTATGACTTCGTTCGAGAAGAACCTGGTTGTGGGTCTCGCTGCCAACGAGGAGAAGATTGCTAGCATCATGAAAGAGTCGTAAGTATCCCCTTTCACCTGATCGATCTGCTGTCGATATGCTTACAAACTATCACTAGGCTTATGTTGGTCACTTGCCTCAACCCCAAGATCGGTTACGACATGGCTAGCAAGGTTGCCAAGAACGCTCACAAGAAGGGTCTTACCCTGAAGGAGAGCGCTCTCCAGCTTGATGCTCTCAGCGAGGAAGAATTTGACCAGCTTGTCAAGCCTGAGCTTATGATTGGCCCTTCCGCTTACAAGGCATAGGTTGCTCCTATCAGCCATTCAAATGAATTTAATAAAATAGTTTAACATGGGACGCATAGACTTGTGCCACGGTTTAAGACAGTGAGAGGCACGCATTTTGATATCAGTGACAGCCGGACTTGGATTTACAAGCATGTAGACGGGGCAGCTATCAGGAGATGATTCGATTTCTCTTGTCAAAAGAGCGCGACATCGAGATAGTCTCAAGTGTAGATCATTATACCAATACATTGAAAGACAATGTCTTACGCAGCTCTCCAGCCAAAATTAGCAATCTGAGTGCAAGTAACTTAATGCATGCTCGTTGGCATTAGTGTGAGCTTGCTCTTATTGGAAATGACTTCATAACCCAATCGTGAGGGCCGAGTCAGCAGGCCTCGAGAAGGTGTTTGTTTATTTGCAGTCAGCTAGGTTAAGTTATTATCGTACTCATGATATACATAAAAGTCTTGAGATTTCTCGGCAATGGCCGGAAAAATCCGGCTGTCGCACAAAGTTTTGGTGCTGGCGATCCGACCTCGGCAAGAATCCTGGCTAACACGCGCTCGGTATCTCGGCGCCTGTCGTCATAATCCTGACAGCTTCTTTTGAGCACTCTGTTCGCAACTTACCTTATCTTGACATGTTCGCTTACACTACAGGCTGACTGACGAAAGGCGAGATCGCCCCGAGCTCGGATTGCAATTTTAGATGCAATTGATGGTTCAGAGCACAAGTTGGGGAAGCAATTGGTTATTGAGGGTATAAGAATAACTCGATAATAACTCGATTCGATGCTGTCATGGCCCTCTGCCACCAATTAGAAACTAGCTTTTTGCTGAGACTACTTCCGCACAAGCGGCCGGACCCCGCCCTATCAAGATTAGCATGGGGTATCGCAGGACAAAGTAGTTGGGGAATGCTGCTGGTGCTTCCCTAGGCGACGAGGTGATAAATACTTAGACCCAGGTCGCCGCCATGAAGCACATGCTAGCACAAGGTGAAAAGGGCTAGGTACCGTCTATCCAAGCTGATTCTCTGACTGTTCTTGTTCCATCCCTACCTCGTTACCCCACACTTTCACAAGCTCAGGCTATCAGTCGTCTAAGCCGGCTAGAAGGGTGCCAAACCGTAACACCCCTCTGCCCGAAGATTCCCAGAGCGCCGAGCTTATTATCAAATAGGTGCTTCCAAGACAGTTGTTGGGGTTGCTTTGGAGCATAATAGGCCAATTCTACCCCGGCAATAAAGAGCTATCCAGTCAGCCCCAAACTCTTGAATGCCGAAGTTGGAGAAGTAACACTTCCGTCTCATCTTCGTCATCTTCGGGTAGCCAACCGATTCTGATATCTACGGACAAGTCCCCGTGTTTGCAGTTGAGCACCCTCAACTTTCCATAAGAGCTATTACTTGATACTGAATTCTCTCTTTTCTGAACGCGATTATAACCTTTCCTGGCTGAAACATACCATTGATACGCCACTGACCCATCCGACTTACACACACTCACAACATCACATCACGACCATATACCCACTATGTCACAAACAACCGCGATCCTGCAGGGTGTTAACATCCTGGGCACGGTTAGCCAAGAACACAAGAAGATTCTGACACCAGATGCCCTTGCCTTTCTTGCTCTGCTCCACCGCTCATTCAACAACACACGAAAGCAACTATTAGAGCGCCGCAAGATCCGCCAAGCCGAGTTGGACAAGGGCGTTTTGCCAGACTTCCTACCAGAGACCAAGCACATCCGTGAGAATGCCACATGGAAAGGTGCACCGCCGGCTCCAGGTCTTGTTGACCGCAGAGTGGAGATCACCGGCCCGACGGACCGGAAAATGGTCGTCAACGCCTTGAACTCGAACGTATGGACATACATGGCTGACTTTGAAGGTACATTCTTACCCTAGACCTCTCAAACTTCGGGGGTGTCAGCTGTCACTAACGACAGACTTCCAGATTCAAGCGCACCAACGTGGGATAACATGATCAATGGTCAGGTGAACCTGTACGACGCCGTGCGGCGTCAGCTGCAGTTCAAGCAAGGAGAAAAGGAATACAAGATTCGTACCGACCGCGTCTTACCGACGCTTATCGTGCGGCCTCGTGGCTGGCACCTTGAGGAGAAGCATGTGACCGTTGACGGCGAGCCGATTTCTGGCTCGCTCTTCGACTTTGGCCTCTATTTCTTCCACAACGCTCGCGAGAGTGTAAAGCAAGGCTTCGGCCCATATTTCTACCTTCCCAAGATGGAGTCCCATCTCGAAGCCCGCCTGTGGAATGACGCCTTCAATCTCGCTCAGGACTACATTGGCATTAGCCGAGGTACGATCAGAGGCACAGTCTTGATTGAAACAATCCTGGCCGCTTTCGAGATGGACGAGATCATCTACGAGTTGAGGGATCACAGCTCAGGTCTGAACTGTGGCCGCTGGGACTACATCTTCAGTGTTATCAAGAAGTTCCGCCAGAACAGCAACTTCGTGTTACCAGACAGGAGCTCTGTGACTATGACGGTTCCTTTCATGGATGCTTATGTGAGTATATGCTTGGTCAACCTTTCGTACCTTGTGTTAATCACTAACGGTTCCCCAGGTCAAACTCTTGATTCAGACATGTCACAAGCGTGGCGTTCACGCTATGGGTGGTATGGCTGCCCAGATTCCCATCAAGGATGACAAGGAAGCCAATGACAAGGCCATGGATGGCGTGCGTGCTGATAAGCTGCGCGAAGTTCGTGCTGGCCACGACGGGTATGTGACCTGTTTGATATCCACTCCCTCGACGCGTTCCGTGCTCACATGACACTAGCACCTGGGTTGCTCACCCCGCACTGGCCGCCATCGCATCAGAGATCTTCAACAAGCACATGCCGACACCTAACCAGCTCTTCGTGCGCCGCGAGGATGTCAGCATCGGCCAGAACGATCTGCTCAATATGAATGTGCCTGGCAAGGTCACTGAAGAGGGCATTCGCAAGAACCTGAACATCGGCCTCGGATACATGGAGGCTTGGATTCGTGGCGTTGGATGTGTACCCATCAACTACCTCATGTGAGTCTGATTCTTTATCTTTGCATACATTTGCCTCGTAGTGGGGAACTAACGTCATTTTAGGGAGGACGCTGCCACTGCCGAAGTATCTCGTTCACAGCTCTGGCAATGGGTGCGCCATGGTGTCACCACCGCCGAGGGTAAGAAGGTGGACAAGCAGTATGCACTTAAGCTGCTCAAGGAGCAAACCAATGAGTTGGCTTCAAAGGGGCCTAAGGGAAACAAGTTCGGCTTGGCGGCTCAGTACTTCAGTGGACAGGTTACTGGTGAGGATTATGCAGACTTCTTGACAACGCTGTTGTACAATGAGATTACGGCCGTGGGCGTGGCTAGTCCTGCTAGCAAATTGTAGGCTATTACATGGTTCCTATGCAAATTTGATCGGCTCCTAACGTCATGTTGGGAATACATACCAAGATTAATAAAAACATATTAAAAATAAAAATAAACATTTGATAATATAGGGTGAACCCTGATGCTAGTATTATCTGGTAATTCATTCGTCAAGTTTCATGGCCTGTCAATGTCAAGTAATCGTGAAGCATCAAGCACAAAGCGAAACAAAAAGAACGCAGCCATCATGAAGCATACTTAGATCTGGCGTCAAAACATTTATATACGGTCCACCCACACTTACGGTACCCTACTAGCATAAACACTTCGGTACATTACATACTACTAGCTGCCGCTTGGGGAATGGCGGCGTGAGATTCCGGAGTGGCACATTCACAAAACATTTAGGCGTGTCTTACTTTCCACTGGGATCGCGCCGGCTCCTCGGGCTTGGGCAGCTATTACGGGCAATATGGTGTTCTTCAAACAGCATGAACGTGGAGGTCATTTTGTGGCTATGGAGCACCCTGCTGTTCTATTTGAAGACTTACAAGACTTTGTGACTCAGTTTGGCAAAAGGAGTGAAGGGAGTGATTAGATCCTCTATATAGCTACCCCGAGAGCTAGCAGTTTGATTCAGTACTAACACAACAGTTTCGCCCATCGTCGTTTCATTATCATGGCAGTCATGAGAGCACTCCTAGTCATATACGTGGATCACACTAAGTAATAGAGTACGGTACTATGGATATAGTGCGTGATGCACGAAAAGAAATGGTGAAAATTCTGTCTGTCCAACAAAGGAAAGGAAAGAAACGGAAAGTAAATGAACGTAAAGCTCGTTATATGATACTCGTGCAACTTTTATAGGTCTAAGTGGAGCGTTTCAACTACTGTTTCACCAATCAGAAGATATTACCATATAAATATTAACATAAACTTGAGGGACATTTGAATCATATTATATTTCACTATATGGAGCTTTGTACCTTGACAGACAGGCCTTTGTATTCTGTGACGATACTTGCGTATTTGTTTCCATCGCTGTGACCTAACTGTCAATTCCTAGAGATGTCATTATGAGTCGTACAGACTATTATCGTCCTTGGCTGTGTATGCTGTCAATCGCCTCTACCTTGGACGCCTTGGTATAGTCGGAGCGGTAACAATAAGCCCAAGCACAGAAAATTACGAAATAGCCCTAAATGCTAAGTTTCCGGACTGCGGTCAGATCAAAGTAAATATCTCTATAACCTAGCTGTCTATATATATCTAGTAGGCTAATACTATTGTCATTTTGTAGTACCAGGATGCCAGACCGACACTGATGAAATTTGCTGCACTAGTAACGAAGTGATGTTATGCCAATTAGGAATACAACAAAACACATACGACCATAGCTCCTAGAAAACTCGGCATCCCGTCCGCTCTGCCCTAGATAAACTGGGAAGCGCCGGATTAGTACTCAGGTGGGTGACCACTGGGGAATCCCTGGTGTTGTATGTTTTTGTCGTTGTTTTATTTTACATTTCTGTTTCTATCCCCAAGGACTTGCTTATATGTGTCTTGCTACACCAAATCCTATCACATACGACAATACGGAGCGCAGACGGTGCTACGGTAACCGGTACGCTCGCCGCTACACACCGATTTGTCGACCGCAGCCCCGTGAAACAGCGGGTTTTTCGTACCTCTACTCTCCCCAGATGCATGTTCTGCCGCCCGGCTAGGCATGCATATAGTGGTCTGTTTCTTTTCTCCCCCATGGTTTGCTTGTTTCTTTAACCTACAAATCTACATGCTGGTTGCATGCATGAATTTAGCGAAGTGAATCCCTAAATCTGCCTTATGCACCAACACTCATGCAAAGCCAATAGTATGCCTGGCAGCCTTTCGCTTAACACGACAACACGAACGTGTCTTCATAGATAAGGCTACGGCTCTAATCCAGAATAGTCCCGCTTTCTATTTTATAAGGGTTCTACTCCCCCTTCTGCCTTTCATTTATCTACTAGAGAAATTTTTGTATCTTATGGCACAACTGAGGATCCTAATCTTTAACTAGACTTTAAGCGCTATTTAGTTACCGCTATCACCAAATACCACCGATATGAGATTAATCAGATCCACCTTACAGGGCAAGCCTTGCCTGACTTCATTCTCAGAGAGCACTATACCACCATATGCTGTGCTTTCGCACACATGGGAGACCCAGGATCAAGAAGTCACCTTGAAAGACATGTTGGAAAGCAGCGGCAGGACCAAAGCCGGATATCGTAAAGTCGAGTTTTGTGGAGATCAAACGCAGAAAGATAATTTGGAATATTTCTGGGTTGATTCTTGTTGCATCGATAGGTCAAGTAGTGCAGAGCTCTCTAGATCCATCAACTCCATGTTTCGTTGGTATCAGAATGCTCAAAAGTGCTACGTGTACCTCCAAGATGTCTCAACGCTGAAGGGTGATGACCGGGAGTCGTGGGAACCATCATTTCGAAATAGTCGCTGGTTCACGAGGGGCTGGACATTGCAGGAGCTTTTAGCACCAAAAACTGTGGAGTTCTATTCCAAAGAGGGTCAAAAGCTCGGCGACAGAAAGACGTTAGAAGGACCTGTCCACGAGGCGACAGGAATTGCGCGTAAAGCCCTGCAAGGAACCCCTTTAACCCAATTTGATGTCGAGGAACGGTTCTCATGGGTGTACAAACGCCAAACATCCGAGCCAGAAGATAAGGCTTATTCGATGTTGGGGATATTTGATGTTTCACTGCCTTTAGTCTATGGTGAAGGCGAGATACATGCATTACGTCGTTTACGAGAGGCAATCGCACGAGAAAACAGTATTACAGTTAATATTGGGCTCCCTGGTTAGTCGTTTCCCTGGTTTTTCCAAACTTTTTCGATTCACCACTCTCCAAATAAAGTGAACACAGTATAAGACAGAGCCGCTAATCAGAAATCTAGCAGCTGAAAACTATACTCCACAGCGACCATCGACTCGACGTGGACACGAAGGATCTCCAGAGAGAATAAATGGTGTACAAATGTCAATGCCTTTTGATCCTACTGCAGATTGTATGATATTGGTATATTTAGGAGGTCCCGGTGCGCGAGATATGGTACGTCGCATGACAGGTGCTAACCTAAAGATCATGGATGGCAAGCAACAAATAATGCTTCCGAACGGCACTCGATTGATACCAACGCCTAAAATGCGCATTGACGGGTTCGATGAAGAGGGTCTTGACTTCCTCTTTCCTTCAGATAATAAAATTGTTGCTGCCCTTAGAACAGGAAAAGTTTACGAGCAAGAGAAAGCGGGAGAAGCAGTTTCTCGCTCATGTGTGTCCTTCGCCATCCCGGCCGATCCACACGCAGACATTATGATGGAATTACTACTAGGTCGTGAAATGGGCAATAAAATAAAGGAATCATTGTTTTCGTAGCATAGTAATAGGATTTTTTTTTTTTTTTTTGAAAACATGGAAGAAGTTTTGATCAGTTATAAAGAGGAACTTAGGCACTGCACACAGCCGATCGCAATTGAAAGCATTATAGTTTCAGACGTCATCATCCCAAAGTTGAAATCGAGATTCGCACTCCTCCTGCTCTTTTTAAAGAAGAGTTTACCGAGTCAACTCCGACAATCATGATTACCGGCGTGAGAGTTTTCAAACCAACATTAATATTGAATTCCAAATGCGGATCGATACTGGGAAGACATAGCGATATCAAGAAGCAAACCAATGCAGACGACATCTTATTCTTGCTTCATTGATTTTATCAAAACCAAATGCTTCCGACTAGCACTGAGGTTCCTAATGCGACTAAGGAGGTCGTGCTTTACTCCATTAAGCTTGATAGTGGCGAAAGCCGGTGGATTAACGCTGGCTACGACTTGGTTAGTGTTTATTACATTGCTCTTTATTACTTCCTGCGAACAGTCTTATCGCATACTAATCATCGTTCGAGACATAGAACACGGGACAGTTTTCTCACTAAATGAGTAAGTTGGGATGTACGTTCGGCGAACGGGATTATGCGATTGGGCTGAGCACGGTATATTAGTTAGTTCTTAGGTATACCGGAACGCATTCTAGTGAAAGAATCGTAGGATGGAGTCACGTAGCAATAGAATCTTCACTAAGTATTACATGGTATTTATTACTAGGTTCCCTTTCTTTTCATGACTCTTTATAAACCGAACTCGATGCGAGCTATCTGTCAGGATCGGATTGAGTACGAGGCATTCAAAGAGTACTCACAGGGTGCGTGCGATGAGACGTTGTTGAAAAAGAGGTGTGACCAATATTATTTCATACATCACGGCTTGTCTGTCGTAGCTACACCACGCGGGCGCGCTGGTTCTATAACTGTAGGCCATCGGCCTACAGTTAGAAAACCAAGGGATCAGTCTTAGATACACTCAATTATCACCCTCCACTCTGTTCACAACCGGTTCTGACACTATACATGACTCCCTTAGTTTGTCCCGAAACTCTCGTTGTCGTTTTATTCCGGGAATGGTTGTGACTCTTATACCATTCACTCCGTCATGGTGAAAATGCCGATTAGCAGGACTCAGGCTTGCCACGAGATCATCATGTTTTACACCCGTTATTTCAGAGTATAAAGCGCATATGTAAACACTTAGACGGCTTTGTAGAAAAGATCCATCGGGCGAGTCTAGTGTGGCGGTGATTAAGGAGTCGACAAGCATCTCTAGCGGAGGAAACATGGATTTATTACCATAAAGAGAGATATTCCAGAAATCGGCTGAAAAAAGTACGAGTTCAGGCTGCGTTTGCACCTGTTGATCAGGAGGCAAAGGCGGCCAGGGCTCTACTGGATCATCCACCCAATCCGGAGGTAATAAGCGGCGATAGCTAGAAGTAGGCATGTCCGAGAGGAACGATTGCAGATCATTTGGTCGCGGTTTGTATATTGTCCACCCTTTTAGCAGAAGCGCTTCAGTGGCAGTGTCAATCGATGCGACGATGATGTGAAGTCGGAACAAGACAGTATTCATGCCGTAGTGCCCGAGCGCATCCTCGAGCCATACGACGCATGGGATATCGTTACGTTGTAGGACCCGGTATGCTTCGTATCTCTCAGGGTCGCCCATTGTGTATTGAATAAGAATTCCAGTAGAGAATAATGGATGAGTTTTGTTTTGTTTTTTGCTCGAGGGCAACTCTTTTGTTAGTTTGAGGATGTTACAGTAACGAGTTTCAAGGTCGGGCGTTGTTTAGTTCGAATTTTATCCCTAATTACCCCCGTGATCCGCTGCAGTTGCGGGGAAGAGTGGGACGAGATTTTTTTTTAAAGAATTCTTTTAATAATTCTTTTAATAATTTTCTTAATAATGTTTTGTATAAGGTTTTGTATAAATATTTGTATAACTTTTTGTAACGACCTGGCCAAGGTGCCCAGCCTAACGCTCGAGCAGCGTACGAAGTACGCCCATGCGTAGTCAGTGTAAAACCCCCGCTTCGTAACTAGCGATGGAGACATTCCATTCTCCCCTCCTTAAGAATAAGTCTCTGAATATAACCGCTACGCCTAGGAGCTTATAACCAGGTGACTTTATTGTAATTATTACACAAGTGAAAATTCGAGCTTTACAGTGTCTTGTTACTAGTTCAAGCAGTTTTTAGAAACACAAGAGCTTTTTTAGCTGTTTTGCGAGGGAAATCTAATAGGTTACGAGGCGATTAGCTTCCAGCTATACTTGTAAAGCCTTGTTACGGCGCAACCACTTTAGGGGAGCGAGTCCCTAGTAGAGGTCATTGACTAGCAAAATTGTCACTTAACTGGCAAATCTTAGTATTTGCATAGAATTTTAGCCATATCCTTAACAACTTGTAGCGTAATGTGGCGTTAACCACGACATCTTCCCGAGATGTAGTTGTAATACTGTTAATCCCCGCTAAAAGCCTATATTGATTGGCTAACAATTGATTACCTAAGAATTTTGCCAGTCAACTGACAATTTTACTATTCAACGACCTCAACTGGGGACTCGCTCCCCTAAAGTGGTTGCGCCGTAACAAGGCTCCACAAGTATTAGATCTTGTGTAGGCGTCCTAGTAGTAAACCCAGCGTCATCTCGTAACTCTCTCTTCATGATTGCGCAGGGATCATGTAGCAGGCCCACTGCTTGTGCCTGCGCCATACCCCTCACGAGCAATCGTGGGGCAGGTCGAAACGTGAGATCATGAAAACTTTATTAACATCCGTTTTTAATGCTCCCCCTTTGATAAACGGCATTCGCTTATGTCAGTTTCTGGATCTTGATTTACACTTTGATGTCCTCCACTAAGTCTATCATCATGTATTTTATTGTTGGTCATAGCCAATACATACGACCATAGCTCTTGGTAAACTCGGCATCCCGTCCGCTCTGCCCTAGATAAACTGGGAAGCGGTCGTCTAAGCGGTCGTCTAGTTGTTGGATCGGTGACGATTGATGACTTTGCAAATCTCTGGTGGGATGGTTGTGGGATTGGAATGAATGTGAATTGTTAGAATCCAAGGTGGGTAGCGGGGTTTGCAGCGGGAGCTGCCGAAGCTAGCTTTGTTTAGATGTAGACTTGGCCGCTTTCGACGCGGCCACGATCTTTTTGTAGAGAAGCGGGGTTTAGCCAACAGAGAGAACCTCCTCGCATTAGTTAAATCCAGGGAGCTGCATTTGCTATCAGGGCGTCCGTATGATAATGCGAAACTGGTTAATATCGGTTACGATTTGAACCCATTGCATAATAACTATGGATGTTACTTTATAAATAGGTTACTAATAGATCGTTACCTTCTAGACTAGTGTTCCCGGATGGGACCGGCACTAGCCACCATATAGCTGTTGGCAGTGGCCGTGAATCACTGTTGTTTACGATGACACCCAGGATGCTGTATGTCAGATGGTGGATGAGGGATCCCATTCACTAGGGTGTGCGTGAGCCCATTGCTCAACGCCGCGGCATCCTGATAGATGTAGAGGGGTTTCTCTGCTTTAGCCGATGCCACCCAAATAAGCCTGCACCTCATCAAAACTAAGAGGCGGGCAATATAAAACAATACATCATTCAATCGACACCTATATCAGACTAGTTTAAAGTCTAATAGGAGGGCATCATCTTGGTCAACAGGAGTGCTCCGAATCACTGTATACCTAGGTCAGCTGAAACCGCCGCCAATGCCCCACTCGAGAGGAAGTTAAGTCTCCAGGCATCTATGTGATACACCGTTTGTCATTCCATATTAACTTGACAGAGAGGGGTTAACAGAATTTTTCGATATTATTTTGCACCGACGATTTTTAGCGCCAGAATTGCTTCCGACAGACGCGACCAGATATGGCAGACCAGGCAGCTGAGTCCATGATGCAGGAATCATGTCAAATCTGTGAAAAAATCATCAGGGTATTACGCCAGGAAACTGACATCGAGATGATTACGCTTGGAGGCCCAGAGATTCTACAGCCAACTACCAGTTGCGATCGACACCAGCCCTTGATTGCTTCTGCATTAAGCCTCAGTGCCTATGAGCTCTCCAATGTCGCCAGCTTTGTCCAAGTCGTCCAGATTCACCGGAATCCACTCAACATGTCTTCGATAATCGATGGAAGGCCTCCGGCTGAGGCGAGGAATTACCCTCGGTTTGGAATGTATCTTGTGACGAAGCCAGGGAACTCAGGCGAGTTGATCAGTGGTCGAGTTCTTGATCCTCAGTGGATAAACCCAGGTCTTTTAAGTCAATGGAAATCCGACTGCGACAGTCTCCATCAAGGTTTATGCAAGAGTTTTTCGCATGGACCATTCTTATCTATCAGGCCTATCTGGCTCGTGGATGTTGCGCGCCGCTGTCTTGTTGTAGCTCCCGGTGGCTGTTCTTATGTGGCTCTGAGTTATGTGTGGGGTGCCACGCAGTCTCTTGAAACCACCACCGCTAACCTCCGCTCTCTTCAGCAAGTTGGTTCTCTTGTTGTGAAGCACGCAACCACACCAATTGCAAAAACGATAAGGGATGCGCTAGGGGTAGTCGAGTTACTAGGCGAACGGTATCTCTGGGTTGATTCCCTTTGCATTGTTCAGGACGACGAGAAAACAAAACACACGGAAATGACCAAGATGGCAGCAATTTATGCCAATGCGTCTGTTACAATTCTTGCGATTCAAGGAAAGAACGCAGACAGCGGGCTACGAGGCTTTCGAGGTTTTTCTGAACCAAGAAACGTGCCATAAACAGTTCACTGCTTGAGCAAAGGAGTCACATTGATCCAGACGCCAATCAATGGGCCCACACTTGAGTTAAGGAGTAAACAGCCAGTGTGGGAGAATAGGGGCTGGACTTATCAAGAGCAGATGTTCTCTAGGCGGAGGCTCGCGTTCGACTCCGGCTCTATTCGATGGGAGTGCGCGGAGGCTATTTGGCGCGAGCATGTCGAAGCGTCTCCCCAGATTAAAACATATCATAACGACATCGCAAGACTTTAGGTGTTATTTCGGCCAATGATTCCTGACTTGTCAATGCTTCAAACTCTTCTCAGTAACTACAACAACAGAGATCTAACGTACCCAGAAGATGCTCTCAACGCATTCGCGGGCATTTCTTATATATGCAGCCCTGCCTTCGCCGGCGAATTTGTTTCAGGGCTCCCGACGGCAGTTTTTGACATAGCCCTCCTATGGCAACCGCAAAGCGCAAAGTTTCACAGAAGAACAGCCAAAAGCCAGAACATCAATTATTGTCTCCCGAGTTGGAGCTGGGCAGGATGGACTGGGACCGTTCATATGGAATGCGCATCTGCATCTGATTTCTTGAAAAGCACTCCTAACGGAAAAGTCAGTGCACTAGACTGCCACATAAAAAGACACCTAAATTGGAAGTATCATGAAGGTATCGACTCAGTTGGTATGCCGATCCATACAAGCATTCTGGACGACAAAGATGCCTGGCTCAAAGGAGATACATCCAATAACAGCGGCTGGTCTATATACTCCACATCAGAAAACTCGCAATCGCCACTCTGGCCACCTAACCTCAGAACACAATTTTCACACTTCTATACACATACCGCCCACCCAGGTTGTGAGTTCTGGTATCCAATTTCAATAATGGAATCCAACGATGCTACACCTGGGATCGTAGCACCATATCTCTCTACCAGAACTCGGCGGGGTTGTCTTTCTGCTAAGGCAGAAGCCGTGTCATCCACATTAGATCGCCCTGTATTAGTACTAAGGAACCAACGTGGTTCCTACGCAGGCGTATTATTACCAGATAATGCAATTGATGGGCAGAAAGAGGCACTCGAAGCTCCCGCCAACAAAATAGAAGTAGTGGAGATTGCAACAGGGGTTTTTAGGGACGTTCCAAATAGTTGGCCCGGACTTCCTGAGTATAATCATAAAGAGAGACCAAGGGCAGGCGGATGGTACAATTTTTTCTGGGTATTGTGGGTTGGCTGGCATCGCGGCATAGCATATCGCAAGGGTATCGGCAGAGTTTATGAGGCAATATGGAAAGAGGAAAGAGGAGAGATATTTGATTTTATGATCGGTTGATTAATTGGCCAAAAGTAGCTTTAGCCGAAACATAACACTGGAATCGTCTTTTCAAGCAGACTTAGCCAGGGTAATTTTAGAAAATATTATAAACCAGCACCCTTACACGAAAAGACAAACATGTTGCAAGAAGTAGGGAAGACGCCTGAGGCACAAAGGGACCAGTACGGAGACCAGGAGCCCCGCATATGCATCATTACTACAACATGGGTCCTATAAAGTGGTTAATATGCTACTCGAGAAGGGCGCTGGAGCAGATCCTGCTAGCTCAACAGTCCTTTCAACATCTGCGCCTACTACCGTGTTAAGCGAAAGTATTGATACGGGCTCCGGTACAAAAAATCCAGGCAACGATCTACTAAACAATTGGACTCACCCTTGCCCACAAAAGAAATGGCATTTCGAGTTCTTCAGACGATGGTAGCACATCCAGTCTTAATAGCAGATCTTCGTACATCCGGTCCGGAATGCAAGGATCTGTTCAAAGATCACATAACTCGCCCGCGGCCGGATATATTACAAAAGATCAACGAGCGTCAGAGCGAGGCGCTCGACCTCATAGAAGCTATCGCACGCGCCACGGAGCTTGAGATCAGTACTCTGGCAAATATCGCCAAGCCAGCTAAACCTAATATGGGTAGATATTATGCTGTTTTATCACTATCTCTCTTTATACCAGGCCTCTATAAAATCTATGACGCGTCGGGGCACTGAAGCCACGCTCTATCTCGTCGGATGTGAATAGCTTCACTACGTGGCATTGCAATGGCTATTGTTGTTGATGTTGTTGATATTGTTGATTTATGTGGCTATAGGTATTCTTATCTTTTTTATGTTTTAGTTGCTTGGCGGTACTTTGACAGGCTAGTAAATTTATTGCCACCTACTGTACTTTCGTGGCATCCCGTCCGGCCGATAGTTGACCCCTTTATTCGTCATCCCCGGAGGCAAGCGAGAAATCCTCCGAGAACCTGATTGGTTGAATCTGCGGACGTCGTCCGGTACTTCCAAGTGGTTTTTCGATTGGCATTCGTGGCCAATCGCTTACCCCTTACACAATCCCGTAAAACTCGCATCTGCTGAAAACCACCCTGGCACGAAGAGCATATACGGAGCCGTCCTTCGTGTATCGCGCGCCCACCTGGTTTTTTTATTGCGGTGCAGCAAGCAGATATCGTCGAGCTCTTTCACCGCTAAGAATGAATCAATCCTCCATTCGATCTCGCTCGAGAAAATCTTGGAAAGCAGTTAAAAACTCGAAATCGCGTGCCACATTCGCGGCCCTGCCCTTTCTGGGTCTGTAAAGGCCAAGTCCAAGTTAACCATGAAAGTAGCCCGGATACTTCCCTCTGCATCACTCTTGACACAATCTAACTCATCCTTGCTCAGTTGATCCAATATTTGACGAGCTTCGCTTCCCGGCATGTCGGTATAACGCATTGTCATTGCTAGCAAACCTTGTATAATCAATCCAGATACGGGATACAGGCGCCGTAGATCTAGATAGCCATTAATGCATAGCAGGAAGTATGGACGCTACTCTGGGTTTTCCGTATCCCGTAACGTGGCATTAGCGAGATAAAGGAGCCTAGTGTGCTAAAGGATGGAGTAAGTGGATGCTTCCTGACTATTGCGATACTCTAGGACAAGCCATTTAAGTTGGTTAACAGAAGCAGTAAAGGCGTTAAGTGGGAAGCTCTTTAATGCTGTAAATGTCCTCATCCGACTTCGTTGGTTAATAATAATCCTAGTAAATGGCCGGAGGATATCCATAATGGTGGTATACAACCATGTGCTATATTAATTAGACGAGCAATTCGACACTAATAATAATTAATGGATAAGAGCTTTAAAGTAACGATACGGCAACATACTAGAACACCGCTGTATAGTAGGAACACGCCCGACGTTAGAACATAATAGCGGGTAAAGTTTCCACCTAAGCAATGATTTCACGAAAGTTATACTCTACATACTCTTGCCTCAGGCTGTACGGTGTACTGTCGTGGTCTAAATAGTACATCCACTCGGCGCGCTAAATAATCCGCCAGAATTAGTACAAAGCCAGGAATGTATATCCTAAAAGAACTTCTTAAGTTAACTTCGTAGCATGATCGAAATGCTATGCTATTAAGCCTTCCTCCCCGGTAATCGGCAATATAGGGGGCGACAGTAGGCTTAAGGAGCCGGGTTGTCGGTAGAACCGTTATACAAGTCTATCTGTCAGTTACTTGGATGAGTCAAGGCGTACCTAGATTATACGTTCCAATGAAATCCGCCCCATGCTGCATAGCAACTAAGACTACGGTTATCGTTCGACGTTCTATCAAAAGGTTCGCATTTGGCATCGTATTTACCCTAAACAAACGCAACGTACACCTTATCCTCCTTATAGCCTGTGAATATATAAAGACGGAGTGGTCCTTGCCTCGGCCCATAAGGGATAAACTAAGCAAAGCAGCTCCCGCCATATTTAAGTATATGTTATTCTCTCTTTCTAAGTCCTATAAGCGCTCAGCTGATTAGAAAAACTCCTCTGCTAACCAAACCGCGCTTTTATTAAAGGCGCAACACATTTGCTAACTTCCTGGTTAGTCGAACAATTAGTCTTCATCTATCGCTACTTACGCAACTAACATGTAACACGATATAAACAAGGAACCGAGAGCAGAACCTTTCTTTTAGCTAACTAAGTTATCGATGAATAGATTTGGATCGAAGAAACCGAGAAGCGGATAATCTAACGATATGTACAAGGAGATAACTCGCGCGGCGAGGTTGTTCGTAACCTCCACATTAGTCTAGTAACTGCTATCAAGGTTGCGTAAACGCTTGTCGTAATACGCAGATTCGGTTGTCGGTTTGGGAGCTATTTAGAAGTTCTGAGTAGTCGGATCGGATACGGTAGGATCGGAACTACTACTAATTGTATGGTGTGCCGCGAAGCTTAGAACAGATCCGATAAGACTACTACGTGCTAGATCGGAGTCCACGATAGAACTTAAGGCGGGATATGTATTCGGATTTTTCGCCATTAGTTCGGACTCTAAGGGATTCTGTACAGGCGCTATTGGCTGCGATGATGCAAAACTCGGCGACGACCCAGATGCCGTAATAGATGGTGTTCCTGCTGTGTTCGTTTCAATGGTGGATAAGAGGCTAGCAGTATTACTATTGTTCTGTATAGCCGTCAGAAGGTGGGCTGCACGGTCTTCTGGCATGGCTCTAAAAAGCTCGAGCAGTTCTATTAGGGAAGCATCTGCCATTTTGTGGTGCTTTCTATAGACATAACCGGTTGAGCGTGCCTTCTTGCAGTTTGAACAAGTTGGCCGTTCGCTATCACACTACATGGGTTAATACACCAATTAATCGTTAATAACCAAGAATAACAAGGACTCGCCCTAATCTTCCTGAGACGGCAGACATTGCAGGCGACCGAGGTCGAAACACGCTTTCGAACCAGGTTTCTCGTTGGGTGGCAGCTGGGTAAAGGAGAGACTGAGCCTTCAACCGCAGGCGGTGCTGGGAGGATTGGCGGGTATGCTATAGGTTGCATTTGGATTCACGTTGTGTCTTGCTGACTATGGCAGTTGGCAATGTTTGTCGAGCAGCGACTTTGGAAACTGACTGAGAAACCAGGCTGTAGTGGCGCGGATCGGAATCCGGTCAGCAGGCGGCTCCAGAAAATAAGGTGTTTCTTGGGGTTTTCGGAAGTGGTCACTCAGTCCTGATTGGCTGGGTTGTGGTTGCACCTCATGGAGTGTTCTGATTTGTTAGAGGAAATGAGAGAAACGGTGAGGCTCTTCGGACGGGGACGGCCATCAAACGGTGGGGTACCGTGCTCGATCCAATTATGGTGCCTTTTAAAACGCTTTCTAGGCCCACTTGGCTGCGTGGTTCATGGGTTACACGTTTCCGTGTTACAAGCTGCGGGGCAAGTAATCCCTTCTCGCCAGGTAGGTAGGTATGTCCGGGAAGCGCCGGATTAGTACTCAGGTGGGTGACCACTGGGGAATCCCTGGTGTTATATGTTTTGTCTTTTCTTTATTCTGCGCTTCTTTTTCTTTCCCTAAAAGTCTATTTACTTATACCTTGCTATAACGCCTAAGTATCACATACGACCATAGCTCCTAGAAAACTCGGCATCCCGTCCGCTCTGCCCTAGATAAACTGGGAAGCGCTGGATTAGTACTCAAGTCGGTGACGATTAGGGAATCCCCGGTGTTATATGTTTTGTTTTTTGTTCCGACTCACCGTGGATCTGATGCTGTGGAACTAAAGTTAAAAACTTCACGTAAATAGCGGGACCTGCCGGCACTAGGCTATATTTAGGCATCGACCAGCTGGCCGTTTTCCATACGGCCACAATGAATCCGTGAAAGCCAGAATTGGCAATGAGGCCTCGGGGAGATCTATCGTCCTAGTCAAGCTGAAGGAGTTGCGCTTGGACTTACGAAAACTCCATGCTGCCGGATTGTTTTAGATCAAATCAATTGGCGCACTTGCAAGGCGCCAATGACGCTCTTTCACGCCTTCCGTAAGGACAAAACCACCATAGTAATATGCTCTGCATGACATCTCCCAGTCGTATACGTTAGGCTAACACTCATTGATATCTGACAAAACTTCGTATGTTGCATCGAAAGACCATTAGTCTCGCACGTCTTTCACAATTTCAGTCTAGTAGTGCTACTTAAAATGTAGAAATACCACCAAGCCCTTGCTTGTGAAGCTTCCCATTAGTCAAGATTAACAATGTAATGTTTAAGTCGCCTAAAAACGCCTGAAGCGTCAGCCTTGGGGGCTGGAAAGTCAACCTGGCACGCAACCCCGCTCCCATATCCAGTTTATTCCAGACAAGATTTCATGACTTCATTTCAATAATTCCACCTGAATTGCTTCGATACACAATTCGCGAGCCGGACTTGTTCCTACTTGGTGGTATCTCCACCGTATCGGAATTTGGTCACCTCTTGCAGGAGAAAAGCCTAACAATGATAGAAAGATACTGCCGCCAGAACAAACAGACAACAAACATACAAGGAGCGGCCCCAGCCATGTGGCCCTTAACCCTCGTCTCTATCACCAGAATTTAATTAAAAAGCATCAGACTCCAAGTACATTGTACGACTGAGAACCTCTCATCCCCCAGCCCGGAGAAAGGATAATGGCATCATGGCTCTTCCCCATAAAGAAATATCGATCCTTTGCTCTCGATGCCAAGGTATCGATTTTGGAATGGTGCTAGAACTTGAGAGTTCTGTTCTCAAAGACAACTGGAAACATGGCTACTTAGTGGCCAAAATCATTATGGATACTCGAGAATTTCAGCCCGACAACTGCCATCTGTGCTGGTTATTCGATCTTTTGCGAAATACTGCTGCTCGCCCTCTTTGTCAGGAATGGGAACTTCGAGCTTATTCGTCATTTCAGTGGGATGGTTATATTAAGGCTCAGAGACTTCCAGTTGCTATTAAGGCAAAGGACCTTCCACGCCTTGCCCTTGTTCCATCCTCGTCAACACACCTTAATTCGTTGAAATCGCCGGTCAGCCTTCTTTATTGTATTCCCTTGGGGAATATATACGAAAAGGCTTTCTTGCCCAGGTCAATAGACCAAGAAGTCAACTACCAAATTCTCCGGACATGGATTGAAATTTGTAAAAAGAGACATCGTACTTTGTGTACATCTCGGCGGAACGATATACCCAGCCTCAAGGTCATAGATTGCAGCTCCACCCGTTCACAACTCGCTATTGTGCCTGCTCCACCAAACGAAGCTTACCTAGCTCTGAGCTACGTCTGGGGCGAATCTCGAAAGCGAAAGAGAGACGATGGCAGAGGCCGAGTGTCAAAAAGCCCATCCAACCAAAATTATCAGACTGTTGTCAGAGATGCAGAAGTGGTTGTACTGCAATTAGGTTACCGTTATCTCTGGGTTGAGAAGTTCTGCATTGATCAAGAAAATGAAAGTGAGAAAGAGCTTTTCGTTAACAGCATGGACAAAATTTATAGCGGAGCCGAACTTAACATTGTAGCTGCTGCTGGCATCGATGGCAATTTCGGATTGCCTGGCGTCGTATCGAGACAACGCAAGATGCACCCAACTGTTCAGCTGAGGAACGCGCAACTGGTCAGCTGCCTGGAGCATCCACGCAGTTCTATCATGGCCTCTAAGTGGGCCACAAGAGCGTGGACGCACCAAGAGGCTTTGCTTTCGCAAAGGCTTCTGTTTTTCACGGAGTTTGAGACATACTACGAATACCATTCGATGCAATGCCATGAGGGTGTCTCGGCTGACTTGGATTCATTGCATTGTAAACAGGGGAAACTCTACGCGGGCCTGAATCGTGGGTTGTTTCTGGGAAAAGTTTCCAGCTCTTTGTCCAGCTATGGAAGTTCGTTCCAAGGACTGGACAGATATTATGAGCAAGTCTGTCAGTACACGGCAAGAGAAATGTCGTACGAAACGGATCCGCTCCGAGCCTTCACCGGTATAATGAAACGCTTTCGGCAGGATAGAATTCCCATTCTTCAACTTTGGGGAATTCCGTTCCTTCCTTCGGAGGGCGAATTGGACGATATTGATAAATTATTCGTAGCTGGCCTGATTTGGCAACATCGCTCCAACTTCAGGTCTGAGCCAGAAGGGCCGAAACGTCGCGGTCAGTTCCCATCGTGGGCGTGGTGCGGTTGGAACGGCCAAGTCACCTTCTTGGTGCGCTCTATGCCGTTTTACAAGGGGCTGACCAACCGCATCCTGGATCTGCGGCTAGACGACCGTGGAAAGGGAGACATATGCTTGAACACCCTCTTAGTCAAAGACTGTTCAATAGCTCCCAAAGTCTTAGTTTGCAGGGTTTTGGTGCTTCAACCCCACAGCTTCCTGCTGCGGTTCAATCGTGATACAACGACCAACTGCAGACTGTGCAGTACCCTCCATCCTCCCAACGGCACGACAGAACCAATTCGCCTCATCTATGCACCCATCAAGAAGGGCGGCAAACCTCGATCACAGGTCAAACGATTTCCTGGTGCCAAAGCGCAGTTGCATCTATGCAAAGGGCCGAAGGTTTTAACTCGCTTACCCGAGTTTCTGGAGTCAAATCGTATAAAGGTAATACTGCTGGCGACGTCCAACGCATGTGGGGGGAGAAAGCTACCTGTTGCATTCTTCCTCCTCATCGAACCAAAAGGGGCAGTATTTGAGCGCCTCGGATTACTTGGCTTCCAAGAAAGTTGGGAGACGATACGCAGTGATTACCAACTTCTCGGCGAACAAATCCGTCTTCACTGATTACCACCATTTCGTCACAATAAACTTTCCCTTGAATAGCTCCCAGTGTCAAACAGTGTCATGATCAGAGTTACGGGAACGATCGGAGGACGATGGGCAAATATATTTGAAGTTGTCTATCATGGACAACCTGTCCACTGTCCGGACCAGGCATCATGCCTAGTAAGCCTCCCCCTTAGCATGATGTGATTCCTCCAATAATCGGCTCGTTCACTTTATATGGCCTTTTGACTATGAAAGTCATGACATGGAACAAGCAACTGGTCGGGAGCTACATGACTTCTCTGCGGAGGAGCTCCGCAAGCGATAATGAGTCAGGTCGTGGCGTTATAAGGGCGGCAAAATGAGCCAGAGGTTTCGTGCCACTAGCAGCGTAGAGGAACCAATTGACACTCGAACCTAGCATTCGATAGACTGACCATTGTTCAATGGTAAAATCTCACACTCTCGCGATGGATCGAATTTCGTTATCTGCAGTAGAGCCTCTAATTGAAGATCACAATTATGCTTATCATTATTCGAGACCATACTTGCTCTCATCAGAAGTGTTAGCTTAGAGTCTTATTGTCATTGTTGAGTTGGTACTTGTCAAAACCATTGAATGGGTCTTGTTCTCAAATTTATCGTATTTTGACCTTTCTTCTATTGCCAAAGTCCTAGGCAAGGGCAGGTCTAATCTTGTTATCCGAAGCTGGGCGTGTTATTGAGGAGGTATTTTCATGCATCACTCGGAACTGTTAGACATTGTGCGGAGTTGATTCGGCATTTCGTATCCACCGCTCTTCATCGACACGCTGGCCCTGCAGCTCGCAACTTCAGTAGGTAGTGTCTATTTCACGAGTATACATATAGTGCATAAAATACAAAGGAATGGTTAGCAATGATGGAATACAACTCGGACGGAGAAGGAAGGAAGGAATATACACCAATATGATTGAAGTCGAAAGTGTCTTCTTCGAATCTTGCTGATCTCGAGTCGGTCTGGATTCTGCCAATCCTCATGTGGGACGGGCACTAACCTGCAACATTCACCAACCTTGACTGACTGACTGCGTATCGCAAATTAGTGCTCAGCTGTCTGGCAAATATCTAGAGCTTCCAGCTCAACTGGATCAAACCTGGAGCTTACAATGACTAATTTCCTTGCATATAAATTAGTACTTCAGTAGTACGAAAATTCTAGAGTTCGTAATAACGGGTGCGATCTATTCTTCGAAACCTGCCAAGTCGGTTCCGCTCAAGGTCATTGTGTTACAGGAATCCAGCATAGTCCAGCTGTGCGCCAAAATTGAGATCTATAAAGCTCCCTTACTATTAGGGTGCCACGTCCATTATTATTTATAATCGTCGTCCAGAACTGCCCTTTCGACTCTTTTCCCTATCCCAATACTCCACAAGTCAATCTTTCTATACCAAATCTCGGCAAGGTATAAGCTCGTACCTAGCAGTAGAGGATAGCTAAGTAACAGACCTCGTTCTATCCCGAACACGTCGAACAACTTTAGCAAAATCCAGAACCCGAGGCTATATAATACAGGCCCGTAGATCAAATAAAAGGAGAAGCTGACTTTTCCCAGATATTACGGGACTCGCCTCTCCAACAAGGCGCGCAAACGATCGCTGCGCAAGATACAAAGCAGGAGTATTATAGCGCCCAAGGACTGCCAAAAGCGCCAGCGCTCCGGCTCGGTATATACGGAGGGTAACAACCACGCCAGCGTCTTAAAACCTAGCGTATAACTACCGTGGTTGTCATGATACGACATAAAGTACAAAGCCACGACGACTAAAAAGCGATATAAAAACCGACCCCGGCGGAGCGACCAGAACCTCCTACTACCGAAGCTCGAGGTTGGGAATATAGGCCGGCCGAACAAACGTACTATATAAACCTCGGAAAGCAGCATGCAACCTATTACAATTCATATCCTGGATAATAGGTGTGACATATATGATATAATGCCTAGCTATAATATATAAAAACTTCTGTTCTCTAAATAACTTAAAGGAATCAAGTTATCTTTACCATATCATATATTACCATACGTTACATACCATATAATAGAGCTGACGCCTAGACGATTATACTTAACATCCTATTAAACTCCAACACAACTAATAAAATCGAAAACCTCCCACCTCCTTATACGCATATAATACAAAACTATAAATAAGCCGGCCGACAAGCGCCACCCTATCCTAACAGCCGCCGTACCGAGCAAAAATAGATATAAAATTATAAAACCGCGAAATTCTATCGGGATTATATAAGCGTAAGGATTTATACGCGGATATTAAAGGTCGAAGGTAAAAAAATTGGCCTAATTTGCGTATATACTAATAAAATTGGCAATAGTATATATTATATTAAAATAGATATATAAGTGCTCTTCTTATATATTACCGAGCCTGGTCCAGATCTCGTTACCTTTTACTATTGTTGGTTAGCGAAGGCTAACTCATGCATGTACAAGTTAGGGAAACGGGAAAGGTGCTCGATATAGTTCTGTATTTTAATTAAGTATGTTCTTCATTAGGATTCCCAATAGTAGTAGTGGCCGGCTATGGTGTTTTATAAGTAATAGTAGCCTTGTTGACCACTGCCTAAAGGTTACAACCTTTAGGCTGTAGTCTGCAACAAAGTCTTAGCTCCTTTGTGTTCAATCTTTAGGCTATAGCCTTGGCCCTATATGTTACTAATGTTTGTGCCATAGTCTTAGCTCCCTTTGTGACAATCTTTGTGCTGTAGGCTAGTAACAACTATACCGTTAAAACCGTATAAAGTGCCGTTTAAGGTGATAAAGCCGTTATTATATAAAAAACCCTTCGAGCTTATAAAACCGCTAGGCCTAGCCGGCAAATAGGCGCTAATGGTAGAGTTCTTAAAAAAGCGGGCAAGGCTATACGGGCCTATCGTATCATTTATATAAACCGAGTCTAGGCCTTAATATACGGCCTTCTCGGATTTAAAGGCCCCTACTTAAGCTAATACGGCGACTAAAGATATATTAATAGTTACGGGTATATAAAACCGGAATGCCCGGCGTAGGACGGTTAACGCGAGAGATTTATAAGCCGCCTCTAATTAGCGTTAGTATATATTTCGGATAATATAACGATAGAGGACGTAGCCCGATATAGCAAAAAATATGGCGATTATAGGACGTCCGCTATATAGGAGCCGTACGATAAGGAGCTAATAATAGTACTTATCGTAGGCCTCCGGAGACTACGGTAAACAGGCGCCGTATAGGAGGTAGATAAGCGGCGTTTATAGCCAGAGATAGTGGTAATTAAAGACGATAAAACATGCGATACCGCAAAGGCCGTCTAGGCACTTCACTTTATCTAGGATTAGTCCGCTAGGTCGCTATTATAGCGTTTTATAGTTTTAGATCTCGCTAAGGTACCCATTATAATACGTTATAATAGGCAAAACCTGGCCGCCGTCGTAACGCGACGTACTAGGTAAAAACTGCTTAAATGCGCTCATATCAGTTCCTAACTCCTAAAGGTCATAATAGCTTCCATTAAACAGGATACGTGAAGGCACAGATTGTGTTCCGAGAGCGTGACAATATCTAATAGAACATATTTGCATAAGTGGCGCGTCGCGCTGGACGCCGAAGGAGCACTATATTATGTACCTGTTGGAATATACTATTCGCGGTCTCGTACGACGGTTGACTACGTAGTATAGGTAGTCACCGGCGTGCTGGCAGTAAGCCACCACAGCCACGACGTGGCTGTCGGCAGCCAGCAGCCGTGCGGGTGAACCCCAAACCCCTATCTATAGACCACGTACGAGGGGAAGAATCCCTTCTTCTCCTTCGTACGATAGCGCTGAATAGATCTATTTGTCGCCCAAACTGTACGGAAAGAAATGAATGGAGAAGCCATTCCACACTGATCAGTGTTCACTTGGCTGTGAACGCAGATTGGCAAGAATGAAGAGACGGCGTTATCTGAGTACGTACGGTAGTACGTAGCGAAACGTCGTGCTTAATCCTACTCCCGACTTCTTCGTGCTGAAGGTGTTAATGTCTGCAAGATGTCCTCTCCCTTCCGCACGAATAACGAACAAGTAGAAGACGTGTAGAGATTCTTCCTAGTGCGAAGGTGTTAATGTCTGCAAGAAGTCCTCTCCCTTCCGCACGAACAAAGAGCTACACGTGCGTGCCATTACGCATCGACAATAGGTTCATTATCTCCCGCAGAACGCGTAGCTACCGGTGCGCGCGATACGGGCGATAACCTCGGACTACGACAAGAGTAGAAGACGTATACAGATTCTTCTTCGTACGGAGGTGCTTATGTCTGCAAGATGTCCTCTCCCGTCCGCACGAACAAAGAGTTATGCATGCGTGCCATTACTCACGACAACTCTGGTACCGTACCACGACAACAAAATATCCTCTCGCACGAGGAGATGGCGGAGGGGAGCGATATCTCCGTCCACGCTTGGCGAACCGGCACAACATTCGAATTCTGGGATCGTACGGTCGATATCGAACAACCCCTCGACCGAGTACATATGAATACGTATGTCGGTCAGCTCGTTACCGAATATCAGGGCATCTCAACGCTCCGATCACTCGTACGAGCATACCAGGAAGACTTCGAGGGATGGACTACGTACCAGTTCGAGTATACATCACGACCATTCAAACGTGCGATGCTTAAGACACTCGAACGAAAAGGGTATCACTTCCCGAGCGGTCTCACCCAAAACGAAAAGCTCGTCTACCCATTAGACAACAAGGAGGCTGTCAGAACACCTTAACCATCACCCCGTACGAGTACTACAACTCTCGGTCCCTGTGCGAGTACTATAACTCCCGGTCCCCGTACGAATGCCGCAACTCCGGCACCGACTCGTACACCATTACCCGGCTAGGAAGATAGACAAGAGGACGGCCCAGAGGATAGATAAGGACAGCCCGGAGGACAGATAAGAGGACGACCCTACGGGAAACACACTACCGAAGGAATTATTGTCAGTTGTTTACGAACGTACGAACCGCGAAAGAAAAGATAGCTAGTGTTGGAATATACTATTCGCGGTCTCGTACGACGGTTGACTACGTAGTATAGGTAGTCACCGGCGTGCTGGCAGTAAGCCACCACAGCCACGACGTGGCTGTCGGCAGCCAGCAGCCGTGCGGGTGAACCCCAAACCCCTATCTATAGACCACGTACGAGGGGAAGAATCCCTTCTTCTCCTTCGTACGATAGCGCTGAATAGATCTATTTGTCGCCCAAACTGTACGGAAAGAAATGAATGGAGAAGCCATTCCACAGTACCGATCTTTTGGATAGGGACCGTTTTAGGGGCGCACTTAACTTGGGACGGAAAGCAACAAACTAAAATTAAAATTAAATAACTTATAAGGCTAGTAAAATCCTCGCGATTATATTAAACACGTCAAAAAATCTCGTATCCGCCGCAATCAAAGCGCAAATCGTCGTATAATCCAAAACTATAAATAAAATCACAACGTTTCGATATATAATCGGGAATCAAAGGGATCCTTAACTGGCAGGCAGTAAGCGACAAAAAATGCGTTATAGGCGCTAACTATAACGAAACACCACGAAATTCCGGGCCTTTAACTTACCTGCGCTTAGCACTTATATGTATCCGCCGCGGTAAAAGTTATAATTATTGTTTTTATATGTAATATCTCTAGCTATATTTGGTTAGTAACACGCTATATCGTTCGAGATGTACATTACTACTAACTCGTATCGTTTATTCACTCCGTTGACATGAAACACCTTATAACGGGTATATAGTACGGTCCGTCGTAATATATCCTTGTGTGGAATGGCTTCTCCATTTATTTCTTTCCGTATAGTTTGGGCGACAAATAGATCTATTTAGCGCTATCGTACGAAAGGAAGAAGGGATTCTTCCCATCGTACGCGATTTATAGATAGGGGTTTGGCCTATACGGTTGTAAGTTGCCGACAGCCACGGTGTGGCTGTAGTGGCTTGCCGTCAGTACGCCGGTAACTAGCTAGACTATATGGTCGTGCGAGACCGCGGATAACCATATTCCAACACCTTGCATATTTTGAAGCGTCGGCACTTCCATCGCAACAATATAGCAAATAGCGCATCTATAATCTAGACACCTTCCATCCTTCTAAGCCAATTTTGATATAATACGGAACAAAGCACGTATAAAATTCCATAATATGTCCTCTACAAGCGCGATATTGCTCTGAAGTCTGCCGGCCTCCGACTACTAGTACGCTAGAGCAACGAACTTGGACTGGGGGATTTGAAGTCAAACTTCTTATTCACCAAATGCGACGGCTTGCTAGATCAAGTTCGGCATTTAAGAAACCGATATATTACGATGCGCATCCGTATATGCTCTCGGCTATGGATCGTCTGGAACGGAAGGCGGGATTCACTGTAGCCGTGGTAGACAGGCTACACGTTACGGTGCCACGAGCTCTGAATAAAGTGGCCGCCCTTCGCCAGGTGTATACGTCCTGGGAACGCTGCATTAGTACTCAAGTCGGCGACGATTGGGGAATCCCCGGTGTCGTATGTCATTGCTGTAGCCCTTTTGTCTTTCATCCTCTCAAACCAGTGAGTTAGGATTGAATTGCAAAACTTTGACGTGAGTAATAGGAACCGCCGGAGCTAGCTCGTTTAGACATGAGCTTCTTAACCGCTTCCGAATCCGGCCGCATTCTTTTGCATACAGGAGGCAGAGAAGCTGAGAATAGGCCAACGAAGAGACCGCACGCAATAACCAAAGCAACGGAGCTGCATCTGCCAAGAGGCGCAGCACAGTGGTGGGAGACCAATATGCTTTCTGGTACATGGTGACTTTGGCTTGCCATCGGACTTAAACTTTTCCAAGATCTGTTAGCTTGTAATGACGAGCAGGCCATTATATTGATCTATCTTTAACATTTGACTTCTTCTGGTTCTTGTTCTCTTTCTCTTTTTTTTTAATTAAAAAAGAAAAAGGAACAAAAAAGAGAAAATGGTTTACTTGGTTTCTTCCAGCAAGTTACCAAACCAGCTTCCCTTTATTGCTTTCAGCTTCTCAGGACTTCCTTGCTCCACTAATTTGCCTTCACTTAATACCACAACTCTATCACAAAGATTCATTACCGTTTCCAAGCGATGCGAGATGACCAGTATAGTATAGTTGCCAAAATTCGTCCTGACGATGTCCTGCATGGCAGCATCGGTGTCTAGATCGACCTTGGAGTTAGGCTCGTCCATGATTAATATGCCGCCAGACACGTTCTCGGACCTGGCTCTGACCTTTTTGCGCAGGACAGCGCGGGCGAAACTAAAGAGCTGCTGATGGCCGTGGCTCAGTGTTTCGGGGGAGAACTCCGCATTGATCCCGTCCTTGAGCAATTTGGAGAGATTTACTTGTTCAAGCACCTCAGTGCACTCCTCTTCCGTTGCCTCGTTGAATAAGTCGACGTTTTCTCTGATTGTGTGTCCCGCCGGCAAGAAACTAGGGTCTTGGGGGATCGTAATCAGACGTTGTCGTAATAGATCTCGGTTCACTCGGTTGATGGATATGTTATCAATTTGAATCGAGTTGTTTGTGTTAGTGGTCGGATCAAGCAGTCTGAGTAATATCAGGAGAAACGATGATTTACCGCTAAGATGGGGTTAGTGAGATCAGACTAAACAAGAGGATGTTCCGGGGTATTCTTGAACTAACCTGCCCGTTCGTCCACAGATCGCTACATGTTCTCCAGGTTTGATATAGAGGGAGATGCTTTGTAGGGCAAGCTGGCTTTTAGTATCACTACTACTGTCGGATATAGCTGGAGTAGTCGGTGATCTGTTATCAGAGTCAGTATAACCTTTTTGCTCGCTTGATATTTTAATTTCGAACCACTTACTTGTATGCAGCGGAGATATTTTCGATACGAATCTCACCACGAGCTGGCCAGTCCTTGCCCGGCATTAGATCTGTATGAACATTCGATTCCGATGGATTATTTTGGCTAAACGTCACTAGACGATTCACAGCGCCTAGCGAGATCTCCAGTTCCGTGTAGTCTTGCATCATAGTCGCAATCATCGAACTCAAGTTAAGTAGAGTAATGAAACTGACAGCGGTGAAGCCAGTGTTGGTCCGTAGTTGTGTGGCAAGAACGGTAAGAACTGTCGCCAAAACAGCAATAATAATGTTGAGCATAGTAGTCAAGAAGTTCTGAGACATGGAGAGAAGATACGCCGGCCGCTGTGACTCGTTGAGAAGGTCATTGTTCTTTTCCACGGATCTGTCTACCCAACGAAGTGACCGGATCGTGGTAATGCCTTGGGCAGTCTCGAGAAACTGGTTGCTAAAATGATCATTAGTACTTCAAACCCCTTTTGACAATATAGACTTTGCGCTTACTATAAAGGAGATTTAGCCTCCAGGTCTAGCAGACGAAGCTGACGGGACGTTCGCAGGTATCCAAGTTGCAGAGCCCAAAGCGCGCCGAACAAAAAGGGGTAGGAAATGGCCAGATACGGGGACGGTATAGCCACAACCGCCAGGTTTCCGATCAAGGTCATCATTAGCACCAGAAAGTTGATCATACTAAGTGGCAAATCCATATCGATCAAAGACATATCCTGCGAGAACAGGTTCGTAATTGTGCCTGTCTCTGTGTGGGTAAAGAGGTCGAGTGGAGCCGACATGACCGTGTTCACTGCGCTGGCGTGAAAACGTTTACCTATACGCGGAACAGCAACCAGCAAGAGCACAGCACCAGCACACCCAGTGGCAACCAGCTCAAACGCACTGATACCACCGTAGAGGCCCGAGTAGATCGACCGCGGAAGTGAATACGTATCTGCCGACCAGAAATTCAACCACACAGTCGAGAAATTAGTAGCAAATCCAGCTAGTGCGGCGACTGCTAACAAAAGACCGAACATGGAGCGACCGGCATTTCGTATGTAATGGCCGTAGACTCTCGTATCTCCCATTTGCCTACTGGAGTCAAAAGGATCGTTTGGCCGTGCTACTAAGACGCTTGGTGTTTTATTCTGGTCAGCAGCAGGTTCGTCAGAAGACTCGGGATCCTCATGGCTAGCAGTGGTATGCCAGGTCCGTTGTTCAAGGTCGAGCGTCTCGGGTGGGCCTTGCTTCGCAATACCTCCCGTCCCATCCAAGATGACAACATGGTCGGCTTCCGGTAGGTAACGAATAGCGTGCGTGCAAAATACAGCCGTAGCGTTGCTCCGACGAATAAAACCATTACGGCCCATGACTCGTTCGAACACTTGATTTTCGGTCTTTGAGTCCAAGCCACTCAAAACGTCATCAAAGATAAAAGCATCAGCACCCGAGTAAAGGGCCCTAGCCAGTGAAACTCGCTGCCTCTGACCCCCGCTGATGGATGTGCCGTTGTTGCCCACCTTTGTATCCGAGCCCTGCGCCAGGGATGAGATATCAGCATTAAGCATGGTTGCGTGAAGTACCGCATTGTACTTGTCCGCGTCGAAGTTTGAAAAGCCGATGATATTCTCGCGGATCGTTCCGTTCCACAGAAAGGGTGTTGATGCACAATAACCAACGGGGATGTCGATAAGGGCAGACTCAACACTTCCGCTGCTAAAAGGGACTTCACTGAGCATGGCACTGCAAAGAGTAGATTTACCTGAAGCGACTGGGCCCGCAATGATGGTCAGACTACTCGTGCTGATAGACAAAGAGATGTTTTTCAGGACCGGCTCTTTATCCCATCCAAAGGTACCGTTTCGGACTGTGAAGATGGATTCAGAAAAGCGCTTGGAAGGCTTGAATTCCGGTAACGAGATCGAGCCAGGGGTCTCTTCTGCCTCGGTGGTGGTAGCGGTAGCTGTAGGTGTCGCACATGGTGAATGTGGTATAGACCTCTCGGAGCTGTTGTTCAAGAAAGCTTGGATGCGTCGCAAACTCACCATTCCCGTAACAACGTCGGGGAGACTTTGAATAAGGGTGTCCAAGGGACTCGCAAGCAGTATGATATATGAAAGCGCACCAAACAATTCCGTGGTGTCGAGGTCACTGTTCGTAAAGGCGAATGTTATCGGGGCAGCCACCGCCAAAGGCGTCTGGGCTATGATAAACGTGAGGAGTTGAAAGACGCGAAATCTGTTTCCGGCGTGAACCTCATCGGATCGAGAGTTATGCAAAAGGTTTCCGACGTGCTCGGCCACCCCAAGCATTTTGAACCCTCTCATGCTTGATAGAATATTGGAAGTTTTCCCAACCCTTGACTGAACCTTGCTCATCCATTGATCTTGGCGCTTACCCAGCAACACGAGGACCAAGGCTAAGGGAAAGAGGCAAACCAATACGACCACGAGGGGTGCTACGAATGCAGCCCCAATACTTCTGTACAGGAGCCAACAACCAATGGCGACCTCGGCTGTGTTCCCCCACAGTTCATGGATTTGCCGGAGTCCACCCTGCACATTGGCCACATCGGTACTCATGAGTGTCAAGGACGCCGCTTCGGCGTTGGTAGAAGGTCCCATCTCGGTTACCTTTGAATATAGAATGGCGCAAAGGCCGGCGCGAGTCATCGACAACAAGCGGGTCACGAAGTAGGATCTGTAAGCAAAAGCTGCAGCCAAGCTGCCGTAGACCAGCGCCGTGGCTCCAATAAGGCCGTAGCCCGGGTTGGGAGTTTTCGCAGCATCTTCGTCAGAGAGGTAGCGTAGAAGAGATTGCATTAGGAAGGACTGTGCATAGCGCAGTCCAACCTTGGCAGCGCGTGGTATTATGGGAAGTAAGAACTCTGTCGGAAAAGCCTTGAAGAGGGACAGCAAGAGTGCATTGCCTTTCAACCCCCCCGTGCGAGAGCTGATGGCTCTCTGTAGCCTTTGCGACGCTCTCTCGGCAGACACGTCGTCGATGAGCGGATACAGATCGGCCAGAGCGAGGATCTTGTGGAAGCCAGTCCACAAGAGGCGCCTCAGCCAGTAATAGGACGCCAGGTTGAAGATGTTGCTCATCGCCTCGGGCCCGAGGAGAGTTTGGGTATGCTGATCGATCCATCGCGACTTGCTCAGTAGTTCCAGGACGAAGATGACTACTTTCACGGCCAGCGAAGCAGTAAAGATAGGCGTCAGCAGCGGGTATGCTTTGGTGTTCCATAGCGTCCTTGTCTGCGCAGCATCGAAGAGGAGGGTCAAAAGCAGGTACCCGCTCAAGAGGGCGGAGGAACGAGCAGATCGTGCATGGTCAAGAAATGATATGACCAGCATGAAGGCACCGGCGGCAAAGGCCAGGAGCGAGCCGGCGATTGTCCATGTTCGAACAGGGCTCTGAGCTGAGCGGGTAGATGCTACTATAAGAGCAAGTTGGAGGGCGACAAAGATAGCTATCACCGTCTGCCGCGAGAAGAGTCGTTAGTTTCTGCTGTTGCTCCGTTTCAGAGTGTTCCGCCTCCTTGAAACATGCCGTCATTCATTCCTGGAGGGAAAGTTGGTACTAACAGCTTTGGTGATTTGAAAGGAAACCCCGGAGACAATGCGTGGTTTTTTCAAGACGTTGAGGAGCCGGAGTGATGCGACCAAGATGAAGATGGCCGAAGGCAGGCTCCAGATTATCGTCCTCTCAAAGAACTGGGTGAAGTCAAAATCTGACCGACATCCCTGCACCACTGGCCCGAACTCCTGGTCGTTCAAGCAGCTTAAGTTAGCGGACATAATTATAGATAAGATAAGGGAGGGAGGAAGCCGAAATGTGGAGAGAAACTGCAAGTGGGCAACAGCGCGCTGCCCTGACGAGATAAATAAGTCTAGGTGCAGCAGCCAGGGACTTTCGCTTCGCCGTTCGTTTCGACACAGCCTTCCCTTGCCTTCCTTATCTGTCGCTTTTGGCTGCGGGAAGACCAAACATCTTTCTTGCAGGGGTCGATGCATCCATCGTAGCGACCCTTGGCTCCCTCTGTGGCCATGATAGGCACCCGCATTTCTATGATTGCAGGCGGGTGGGGGGGCAGGGGGAGCCTGACATGTAGGGCCAGCCCGCCAAGAGGGAGCCTAACATGTAGGGCCCGCCTGCCAAGTACTTACGTGGTCACCCCCCTGGGGCCCCAAGTGTAATCTGACTACGAGGAGCCAACCCGATCTCGTCCACCGCACCGAGCCGGGGAGAGCAAATCAAGGCACACATGCCCAGCCACAACCGCAGAATGGGGGCGCGGTGTGGCTGGTCTTTGTCATCTACACCTACGTTTCCTTTCTGCGAGGACGCTGTATCGTGGACGGACAGCATGTAATCTGGTAGGAATTGTTGTTGTTGTTGTTGTTGCTGTTGTGCCAAAACCTCACAGATAAATTGTGGGAACTCTCTTTTCTTGGCTTTTATTTTCAATACTCTCCGCAAGTGGAAGGAGCCGCTCTTGAAGCGTCCACACTACTTTTGGGGGGGATCACGCAACGTCGACCGCAGCAGACTGTGGCTGTTGCTGGACATTGCGCGGCTAAAATGGGCAACAAGCAGTGTGATGTATCTGTCCCAAGAAATCGGTGCAAGATCTGGTCCAAGTTTCATAGACAGCCATACGGCGGGAAGAACCGCACGGGTCTGCACTGCCTTGCCACCACAGCCTCTTCAATATCAACAGTGAACATCGTTTCGGTTTTGAATAACATCTGCCTGTCTATCCCTGCATTTGTATGACGTTGACTGGATAATGATGTATCTCTGCTGGTTCGACCATGTGGCTGCATGCTACAGTTGAGCGAAGCAAAGTAATTAACCCAGCTGGGGCAGCCAACACGTGTCACCATGCGCGATCATCTCCTTTGCATCTATCCCTGGTTTGCGCTGTAGTTGATTAGGGCTCTGACGTGTCTTAAAGAAGAGCAACTGGCTTTGGATTTTGTCCATGAGAGCTTGCTTCTGAAATACCGGTAGCCCCCCCGACAAAAGTACTTGCCGAATCACGTACCCTGTACGATCTAACTCTGTGTTACTGCTTTCACCACCCTAGCATAGTTTCTAAGGGGATGCTTTAGCTTGTGGACTCCTCGCTGGGGTGTCGCCCACGTCAAGCCTTCCGAGCAGCTGTGATTCGAACCCCCTGCAGATTTATAACTTGTTACTTTCCGAGTCTATATTCCAGATATCATAGACTTCTAGGTAGGGTTTCATAAAGGTAATTGGGATGTTTCTCAAAACAGCGATACGCTATATATACTTCGTTAGTATCCTATCCGGGTGATCTTGGTATACCAGGGACCTTTGAACTGGCGAGCAACTCAACAACTATTAGTGACAATGCCGCGTTACTATTTCCGCCTCATCGTAAATTCATTCAAACCTATTCATTTATCGAATTTAAATGAAGCCTATGGCTACTGTCATCAAAATTTTCCATCAAGTAACCTCATCTTGGAAAAGAAAAGGAATTCTTTGAACTATTTTTGAGTCAATTATCACAAAGCTATTTGGATTTATATATCACAAACTAAACAGCCTCAACAGCCAGAAAGAGCTTGTAATCAAAAGGAAGCTAATGGTTTACAAAGTACGTAAAGGGGGAATTGGTGAGTATCTTCTCATGACAGCAGTGCTGTGTAGTAGTTGAGCAGAGACCCTTCCAACAAAATGAAGCTTCGATTTTGCCTCGAAATACCCCCGAGTAGTGACGCCATTGCACATGACAAGTACACCACGCCATCCTGGTCAATAAAGAGACCCGGTTTGGCAGGGCTATGGATAACCGTTCAAGCCAATGTTTCGTCACATAGTAAAGTCAGGGGTCACGGACAGTGATAGCCACAGCAGCTGCTGATAAGGTGATTCGTTTGTTGATCGGCGCATAAAGTATCGTAATACCCAAACTAACCAAAACTGACGGCGACATGAAGTATCTAACGGTACCGCTTGTCATCATGACCATCATTTCCATTTGGTCCATCCCGACTTTGTTAACATAGCCTTGAATCCCAGCTTCTTACCCCGTTCTGTGTCAGTATACCCAGATGTATGAGCGATAAGTACGAAGCAGCTCCTAACGCCAATGCGGGACCTTCCAATGAAGCATCATTGTATTCTCAAAGTCCATTCACTATTGGTATACGCCGCTATGAAGAGCGGATCGAAAAGTTCATGCAAGACGTGCATGTTTACACTAAAGATGACTTACTCATCAAAAAGGCCGTCAGCACTCATCAAGGGTCACTTGAATGTATGAGCAGATAAACAGTCACGCTGACATACCGGAGGACCAGATGATGAAAGCCTCCTCGAATTGATGGGACGGTGAAGCGGGATGAGAAGATTAGGCACAAAGGCAGTTTGTTCTCAGTCTGCGTTACACCAGTTCACTCATCTCAATCCTGTCTTGGCTCAAGTTGCTCAAGATGTGGTTTGCAACGAGACCGCGTTGCACCATCCGATCCCGCGAAAGTGTTGCCTCTGCAAGTCGATAGTTTGGTAAAAGGGGGGTTTGAAGTCGTTTTGTTTCAAACAGTAAACGGGCAGGCTTTGACGTATGGTGGCGTCATCTAGCATAGTTCCAGATGCAGATGTCACAGGAAGTGCCAGGGTGCTGGTATTGACGAAATGAACCCTACTAGTCGACGTTCGAAGAAGTTGCTGTCCCTCGACACTAAAGAACATTCGGCCCGTTATGTATGTTAATATATGTTTATCCATAAATCAAACAGGCTAGGCTGTAACCCACCTTGAGGTAGTGTTCCTTGCAGGGGCAGCTAGGAAGTGCTGCACGATGCCTCAGTCGGTCACCAAGTCGTCCGTGGTGTCATTTGGCCAGACCGTGATAGAAGCTATCGCGGACGAGAGCTTTACCGGCACTAGTTCTACAGACATAGCTAAGGGGATTTGGTTGAACTCGTGTATGTAAAGCATCACCCAGCATGGAATACCAATGTCTGATTTTGCAAGTATGTTTTGTTCTGTGCTGCGAAAGCTGAGTCGTTGGATATCCGTAAAGAAACTGAGCTTTTAGCCTGCATACTCGACCTGTCCAATAATATTCACATGCATCTCGTCTTTGGCATTGCCTAGCTTCCACTCATACCATACAGCAAAAGCCCATAAAAGAGATGGCACGAATTTTTGCTCCAGAAGTCAAGCAACAATTCCATTCAGTATTGTTAGGAGGTGAACTCATGAAAAACGGCGATGACCGACTTTGGCCGACATCAACCAAAGTGGTCAATACTTACGGTCCCGCAGAATGTACATGTGTTTGTGCTTTCGAGGTGAGAGACCAGAGATCAAGTAAAAGCATCAGTTTTGGTTACGGCGTTGGAGCCGCGATATGGGTTGTGGATACTAACAATTCAAACCAACTAACTCCTATTGGAGCTGTCGGAGAGTTATATGTCGAGGGCCCTATCGTGGGCGAAGGCTACTTAAACGATAAGAAGAAAACCGCTGCAACATTTATCGAAAATCCATCATGGCTTATACAAGGTGGTGCTGGATATCAAGGTCGTCAGGGCCGTTTATATAAAACGGGCGACTTGGTGCGATATCATGAGGACGGAAGTCTAACTTACGTCGCAAGAAAAGATACACAAGTAAAGATTCGAGGCCAACGCGTGGAACTTGGAGAGGTCGAGAGCCATGCACAGGCCTGCATACCGGACGCTAAACAAGTGGTAGCTGAAGTTATCGTACCCGATGGTGACAATGCTGAACCGATATTGGTTGCGTTTGTCGTAAGCAACAATAACAGAAGCGAACCGAAAGCTTCCAAGCACCCAACCGATATTGGCAATATCAAAATTTCTATACCATCGGCGACCATAGAAGAAGCCTTGACAAAGCGATTACCATCGTATATGGTGCCCACGCTCTTGATTTCTATTGATGATATCCCACTCAATAGCTCAGGCAAAACAGACAGGAAGAAACTACGGGAAATTGGTGCAGGTTTTAAAACACAACAACTCGTCGAGATAGGAGGCAGTTCGACTGAAAAGCGATCTCCTTCAACAAATAAAGAGCGCATATTACAGCAGATCTGGGCACAACTCTTCAACCTAGACCCGATGCTCATCTATGCCAATGATCATTTCTTTCGTCTCGGTGGGAATTCCATCACGGCAATGAAGCTCGTGGTTATGGCTCGCAATGAGGGCTTCAATATTGCTGTCCCTAGTATTTTTCGCAACCCTAGGTTATCCTCTCTTGCAAGCCAAATGACCACGGCACAAAGCGGATTGGCCAACGGCGCCGTCAATGGGGACATATCCCCCTTTTCCATCCTCGCGCAACAATATGAGCTCGGAGAATTACGCGAGGAGGCAGGGGCTGCTTGTGAAGTTGATCCAGTGAATATCATGGACGCCTATCCGTGCACGCCTCTACAAGAGGGTCTTCTTGCAATGACATCGCTATCACCCAACGCCTATATTCGACGCAATATCCAAGAGCTGGCTATTGGTGTCGACCTAAGCCGCTTTCGTGACGCATGGACCGAAGCTGTTCGACGACTGGCGATTCTACGTACCCGTATTATCCAGCATAGCCAATATGGTTTGCTTCAAGTTGTTGTAAACGAGAATATTACATGGACAAACGCGTGTGACCTTCAGGAGTACTTAGAAGAGGATTCTAAGACAACAATCTCCTTAGGGCAACGACTAGCTCGTTATGCATTAGTATCTGATTCTACATCGAGTCGAACATGGTTTGTGTGGACGATACACCATACGATATACGATGGCCACTTCCTGGGAAATTTGAACACCCTTATTACGCATCTCTATCAGTCATTTTCTACTGATGCCCAGCCAAGCTTATTAGACTTCAAGTTATTTGTCAAGTACATGGCCACAATTGACTCCAATGAGACCATGGCTTATTGGCGGGATGCCTTAGCTGGGTATGAGGCAGAGCCATTCCCCCCCGCTCCGCCAAAAATGTCACAAGCGAACGACATGGAAACAAAGTACGATATTCTAGAATATAGATGCACTCTGGACAGAATCATCGGCCGTGAGGTTACATTGACGAGTTACATACGTGCAGCCTGGGCACTTACTGTCGCTGCCGCCAGCGGGACGGACGACGTCGTCTTTGGTGCCGTAATTTCCGGTCGGCATGCAGATATTGTTGGCGTTGATTCCATCGCAGGCCCAACAATTGCGAGCGTACCTGTCAGGATCAAGGTAGCCCCTACGCAAAGAGTGGAAGAATTTTTACAAACGGTCCAGCAGCAGTCTACAGATATGATTGCCTATGAACAAGCAGGTCTCCAATATATTCAAAAGGCCAGCCCAGATGCGTGGCGAGCTTGCCACTTCCAGACCCTCCTTCTTACTCAGCCTCCGGATAATCCTGCAACGACAGACGAAGACGGGATAGGTACATGGGAAACCGGCAATGGAAATGATAGCCATAACTTCACAAGCTATACACTGACCTTGAACGGTTTCCAGGACACGGATGGAGGGGTAGCGATGATGGCGAGTTTCAACACACAGTATTTGAGCGGACACTTGATGGGGTTTCTCCTTGAACGGTTTGCAGCATGCCTTCGTCAGCTCATTGGGGCTGACGTGTCGCATAAGTTGAGCGAAATCGACGCTCTGTCCGCATCTGATTATGACCAGATCTGGTCCTGGAATGCAAACGTTCCAGACCCTGTTGACAGAACGGTGCACTCATTCATCGAGCAACAGGTTGCAGATCGACCAAATGCAGTAGCTGTTCATGCATGGGACGGGGATTTCACCTATAGAGAGCTGGATTCGTTTGCCAACAGCTTGGCGACACGGTTGATATCACTCGGGGTGAGTACCGACACTATCGTCCCGCTTTGCTTTGAGAAGTCACGATGGACAGCTGTATCGGTACTAGCAGTGCTGAAGGCTGGCGGTGCTTTCACACTATTAGACCCATCGCAACCGTTGAGCCGTCTGCGCGGTAGCTTTAGCCCGGCTGCCTTTACTCTTAAGTTGCGTAAGATGCGACTTGCGAACAGGGCTCCTACTGACACCTGTCTGGGAAAGCAGGACAATATTCCTGGCACCCTTTTGGACAATCCACTTGGCAACGTGGCGACCCAAGCCTCCGGAACCACCCACAACGAGATAAGTCCGATCATCTCGGAAGGTTTTCCCCAACTGCACCGGTCGGATCTTGCCAATAGACACAAACTGGAAGACTTCTTATAAAATACATCTTATAAATACAGGGCGGGGTTTCCAGATACCGCTAAGGTTAACACAAAAAAACGTAGCACTTTATATAAACGGCTTTATAACCGAATCAGAGCTCGAAAGGACGTCCTTTTTGCCTAGTTCGATCTATCTGCCAAATGGTACTATCGGTTTAGTCCATATAGAGTCTAGCAGATCGCCAGCGAGGTAGTTTATTACCACGTCGATACCTATATTTTTAATTATTTTTTTGACGGAAAGAACAAAACTAGTATTACGTTTGTGGAATATATGGTCTTTTGGAATACCAGATATCTCCTGCAGCAAATTGCTTTTGGCCTCGATTCCAGCGGTGACGAAAATTTCGGCGCCGACGTGTTGCGCAAATTGAATGGCCATTTGGCCCGTGGTATCGGCCTAGTATGAATGAGGATATGTTCGTATGTATCCAAGCGGCTGATATCAATTAGTGACTGGTATGCCGTACATGCGGTCCGAGCCGCAATTGATCCAAATTCTCCTTACTAGTCTGGTTGCGAAAAGTCACTGGGTCCAGCCTGATAGGAAATGTGCAATACTAGTTGTTATTGGGAATGAAGACCTGGTGGACCAATTTCGAGCAGCCGTGTAGTAGGGAGCTTGTAGAGGTAGAGGTCCATGTAGTCTACCGGGTATAGTCCTTTGCCGCCGCTAGACGGATCCTTGGATAATAGCTTTTATATTGTACTGGTTGTCAAATTATTAATGTCAGGTTTCCAGCTTAATGAGTATTAACTGAGATCAGATTGCCCGTTCCCTGGCTCGCTTTAGAAGTAAAGATTGCTGCTTGCAAGCCCTTCATAACTATTGCTGGATATTGACTTGCTTCTTTAACAGATTTGTTTTGCGATCTTGTCCAGCGGAACCCGTTTTAATAAAGCCTCTGTAATTGCAGCTAGACTTCCTGACTGTGCTGTGCGCTGAAGTTATTGTTTAATCAGACGCTGTCGATATGGATGGGCGCTATTGCTGGCACGGTTTTGCCAAGCCCTGCGCCTAGAGCCACCACTGGTAGCTGGAGGATTCCATCGAGGGTGGTAGGATGAATGAAGTGTTTTGTTGCATGCTTTAGACTTCTTCTTAATTTCCAAATGCCCAATCGGACGGATGCACAAGCCTCGGAGCCTGCTATATTGTACTTGATATCATTAAAAACTGTTCGAAGCTCGCAAGCTTAGAAATGATCCCTGTTTCCAGCATCAAGATGACCTCGATAACACTTGCCATGCCGTTTGTAGCCTTTAGATGGCCAATGTTGGATTCCAAAGACTATATGTAGAGGGGATCAGCCATGATTTAATGTTTCCCAAATATTGATGTTAGCGCTGCTGTTTCTACTAACCGTTCCCACCCCCAAATAAAACACCCCCCCAAATGAAACGCTAATTGCGACGCAACCAACATCAACGCAACCATCGCGATCAATTATTTCACACCTAAAATAGTAGTTAACTAACTAATACAAATGCTATTCTAATATATTTCGTATCCGTCTACGTGTCTTTAGTACTATTTCGAAAAAAGAATCAATTAGAACCTGATCTTCAGTAGGTATTTGACGTAGCCTCTTATTCAACTTGTCTTGAGCCGTTCTTATATTTGCAACGTTAACAAAGACCTTATTTAGATCCTTTTCGACGGTCTGACGCTTGTCAGGCCTTTTGCTTTGTAGTTCAGCACCCATTCTGAAGTTATCGCGACGCATAGTTGCTAATTCAACAGTCAAGAGGTCGATAGTTTTGGCGGCCTTTATAAGCACAGAATAGATATCGCGTAGCATATCTAGGTGCTTCCGTTTTAGATTTCTCGTTTGGTCCCTTAATTACTTCGATTTTTGAGGTATACCAGGGCCAATTTCCATAGTTTCAAGAACCTTAAGGGGGATTTGACGAGTTGGTGTAGACGGCGAAGGGAACAATTCAGTGTTGGTTAACACTACACTACTATCCATCGGCCAAATGCCGGATTTTGCCCAGCCGGATTAAATGATCTCCTCCGTAAAGGCTACCTCTACTACCTTTTAATAAGATTCAAGCATTCTTTGCTTCTAAATTGGCCCAGTTACCTTCATCCCTTAATACTTCTTCAAAAAGGAATAAAAGTACCACTTCAGCGACAAGAAACAGGTCACATCGAGTGGTTAAAGTGCCTTACTTGTGTATAACGGTAGGTATACCAACGCTATCCGCATTCTATAAGCTAACAACATGAATCTTGGTGTGACGTGGGTATTGTGACCATCCAAAACGAGGAGCCTCCACGGTTTGGGACGCCTAGCCGTCCTTTTGGGCTGTGTTTCTTTTGCAAAAATATCACACAGCCAGCTAACGGCCACCTCGTTGTTGGACCAGCCTTTAGGGCTTGAGGTAACTCGTTCTCTTGAAGATCGTGGGCAAACCACTGAGCTTGAACCTCACTGCCCTTGAAGATGAAGGCCATCGTACCGTGACTACCTAACGCGCTGATGTAGTGTAGAATGGTGACCCAACCGGTTTGCGAAGACTTTTGTACACGCGCGCGACGTGCTGCTGAAGTTCTAATTACAGTCTCATCGCGAGATTCACCTTCTTAGACTCCGGTTTCATCTATATTATACATATCTTTAGGCTGAACGTTGTAGCCAGTTCTAACGCGCGTCAGGTAGTGATAAAACTGTTCAACTGGCTTCTTATTTACACCTTGAACGCGCTTAGCATCCACGACTCGGCCGATTTTGGTTTGTAGGTTTGGGTGACGGCTGATGAACCTATCTACCCAATTCTTGCCCAATGGGTGTTGGCGATCGTTACGATCGAGACTAAAGCTACCTCCTGAGCGAAATCACGCACCAACGCCTTCGTTGGTACCCTTCTACACAGTTCCTTATATAAGATCCAAGCCTTAACTTCGTCTTCTTGTAGTTTACTAAGCCTCTGATCGATTTCGTGGGATTTGGCGTGTAGTTGACTACCGTTGACGCGTCGGGAGAGGGTCGCCTTCGAGATACCAAAACACTCCGCGGTTTTGGTTATTGTAGCACCTTTTTGAACAAAACTAATTGCTTCAAGCATATCGCGTTCATTTACTTTAGGCATTCTGAAGAAATTGGACTATTTGGATAAAGGTTGTTGTTGCAATTACAAGAATCGTAAATAGGGGGCAATTGAAGTTCTCTAGATTCCCTTGTTTCATTTGGGGGGGTGTTTCATTTGGGGGTGGGGACGGTTAGCTCTTCCTTAGTTTTAGGCGCATACGCTTCGATATATCTAGTTAGAGCTGGATCTAGGCCACTATTTGTATATGTGGAACGAATAAGATATTGTTGAGTACCGAAATTGGCTTTCGTGATGCCGCTAACGCCTTTGTTATAATCGTTGGATCTAGTCGCTTCGATTACGGCTTTGATCGGATTACCATCGGTACGTGTTCGAGATAAGGGTTTTAATACCAATACGGCAAATCTCTCACTACGAAAATACCCGTTTATTTTATGGTCGAAGCTGTAGTACCTAGCGTTTGGAGAGAAGAAGTTTACGTGTACTAGTGGTGATAGGGATTTTGGTGTAATAAGCAGGTTAACCCCTCTAACGATACCCATGTCCGATTTATCCGACGTGATGTTCCGGTAGGCAAGATACAGGACGTTAAGACTGGCTAAATAGGCCGTGTCCAAGTGCATACTCGGTTTTTGGGAGTTATAGAACTAGCTTATTTTATTGGCGAGCTTTGATAGTGCCATTCTTGTCGCTGTATGCTTAATTAGGTAATTAGGATTTCTGACGCGTATAAGCCGGTAATTATCGGATGATATGATTGGAAAGACATACGTGTTCGATCTAGTACACATTTTAATCGGGATACCTGCATTCTTGAGCGCATGGTTCGTCGTTTTTAGTAATTTTCAAGGTTGGGGATCTACGGCCGCAGTCGCTGCGGGCTGCATTGAGAAAAACAGTGCGTTAAAAGTGGCAATGTTATTTTCGATGAATATACCATTATTGATAGGCAAGCTTTCGAGGCGATTCGTATTAAGATGGTAAAACGCATCCGGATTGAATTTTGTTTTGGAAATAGGTGAGGTGGCGCATTTTCCAGAGCCAATCGTGTCCTAGAATGCATCCGGTAACCTGGCCTTTTTAGGAAATTGCGAGGAGAAGCCGATAATAGCGATTAAGTATGCAGTTATTATATAGATTTTCCGGTGCTAACGCTCGGCCAAATTGCGAATTCCGTTTTAGATGGTTTCGTGTTACTGCCCGTTGCGGTTATAACGAACAATATTAGGTCGAAATCTTTGCAGAAATCTTAACGGAGGGAAACAGGATTATATTTTCTGAGACCGTACCCTCCGGTGGGAGTCTTTCCGAAACTGATGTAGTCGTCGACATCTTTATCGGTATGTCTCAAATGTAGCGAATACCGCATTAGCGCTTACGCCCTTGACATGCCGAAGCCTCATTGTTCAGACCAAACGGGCAACAGCACACGAGTAGATGAAGTAAGATGGCTTTATTGGCGATTTGTCGACGTTGAGTAAGGAGTACGCCTGGTACTATGCTACGGTTATGGCAGTTGGCGCGTGTGTGATATGATATCACACGGATGTCGATGTGGATAAGTGATTTGCCCCAAGTATTCCAGACAGGCAGAGATTTATATGCCGGCAGTAATATCAAACATATTTTAATGCTTTGCGGGTTATAAGCCACCAAGTGAGCAAGGAGATTTTGACAGAGATTATGGACGCAACAGTATCCGTTGTTACAGTTCACATCCTGGATGATAGGTGTGACATGTATGATGTAATGCCTAGCTATGGTATATAAGAACTTCTGTTCTCTAGATAACTTAAAGGAATCAAGTCATCTTTACCATATCATATATTGCCATACGTTGCATACCATATGATAGAGCTGACGCCCAGACGATCATACTTAACATCCCATTGAACTCCAACACTTTCGGTGTAAAAAAGGCACTCTGCGGGGCTGACGCCTAAGAATCAACACTACTGAATTGGCTACCGTGACAGCTGAAAGCAAGTGTGGGCGTTTGTCTACTTAGCAGAGCCAGGTTCGCAGCTGGCAATAAAGACGGTGTGCCATTTGCAGGGAAGAAATCAGCCAACGCCGGTCCTCCCACTCCCCCTCTTTGGGATAGTAGAACTGGTATTCGATAAGTGATCAATGTCTTCGATTATACAGATACGTTTATATCCAACGCCATCAGCGCTTCTTCATCCGCTATACCCCCGGACACCTACTTTGGATGCCAAAAATGGCTTTTAGCTATCCTGCTAAACTATTTCTGTAATTATGCATCATGGATCATTTGTTGTTAGTGCGAGACGGCCACTTGCTCGAACTTGATTGGCAGGAAGCGGTGCTCAGCTAGGTTTAGCGAGCGTATTAAGAACTGTCACATAACGCTCAAACGCCCGTATCCTCCCCTGAATTGCGCGGCGTTATAGACGGAAAGCTACCCCACCATCTAGCGTGGTGAGAGAGCTACACGTTACCGTGTCACAGGCTATCGAGAAAGCGGTCCCCCTTCGCCAGGTAGACATGTCCTGGAAGCGCCGGATTAGTACTCAGGTGGGTGACCACTGGGGAATCCCTGGTGTTGTATGTTTTATTTTTCCTATGTTTTACAATGTTTTTTCTGTTCTCAAGAATCTGTCTATCTATACCTCGGTACAAGGAAACACCATCACATACGACCATAGCTCCTAGAAAACTCGGCATCCCGTCCGCTCTGCCCTAGATAAACTGGGAAGCGCTGGATTAGTACTCAGGTGGGTGACCACTGGGGAATCCCCGGTGTTGTATGTTTTTGCAAATTTTAGTTTTGTTTCTAGTGGAGTTGATCCACTAATACAAGCGGCTGTATGGTGTATTTAGAGACTGTTTGGCGCCCAGCTTGGCCGTTGCGCTCACTCTGAAGTTGGATGGGGTATTTTAGCCAGTCCTGAATCCAGTTTGTACTTTCTTGATTACCAGTCATGGGCTTGTCCACACGCACACAGAATGGAAAACCTTGTTGTAAGGACTTTTGTACCTCTTTTTTCGCTGCCCTCGCCACTCTGTAGATCCCGATTTGCGGCCCTGGCCACAGCCAGTCTTTTCTTCTTCGCCCTAAACTGTCTCTTCCATGCCCTTATTTCCATCGTTATATTTCTAACCATTTTCTTTACTTTTCATTGTTTCGCTTAGAAAGAATGAATTCGCCTGGGACATTAAACTCAATGCATTCACGACCCTGATATTCAAGATGGAACACGGTTTGTTATGAAGTCCCCACTTATCCTCAGGAGTGCTGCCCAGATCTGGTCAGCTGTTGTATTTTATATTGGGGTGGAGGCCCTCGCCTTGCATGATTTCATGGACATAACAGGTACTAACGGCCATAAAACTTTTGACCATTAAGCGCAGAGCAACTGGCCCGTTCCTAACTACTAGTACAAATATGTCGTCCCTAGTATCTAAACACTTCGGACCGAAACCGATATGCTCTGAGTCGGTATAGACAAGATTTTCGGTGGTTATTGCGTGATTGAAACCTATTTCCGTAGTGGTAGATTTATCCTCGCATTTTTCAGGGACCCACAGGTAAAACAGCATTCGTGGGAAGGCATAGAAAATCTGCTATGCTTCTTTTATAGGATGTTCTAACGGACTAATCCGCCTAGAAGATGAATGACCAAAATTCAAAACAGCAGATTGCCGTAATGATGTGGTGGTTGGCTGGTTGGCTGGTTGGCGTGCTTATATAGTGGCCGTAATTGAAATGTGTTGATGGTTTGTAGATCGTCATATCTACCAATGCGTTATATCTATCTTGCCAGCGAAAATTCCACACACATCCAACTCGCTTTCATCTACAGACCGAGTATATCTCGGCTTGATCCTTCTCGTTGCGTTAAAAATATCCCCATATAGGTAGAAAAAACGATGAATTGGTTCCGGGGTCAAAAACTGCCACTTAGGTATCCAGCTTGGGTAACCACCGCTCTCACGCCTTTCTGCAAACTCAGCCTAAGATAAGGCGTGTAGGTCGCCGCACACCTGAATAATATAGTTCGCCAAACTTTTGCAAAAAAGAAAATTTCAACTGGCAAAGAGTAGTCAGGGATCAGAGGTTGCGAAACTTCCAGCTCCAACAAACCCAGTAAAGAGTGAAGAATATCGTGTGCATTAAATACTTACCCATTTAGGAGATCATAAAGGGTCTCCTGTAAATTCCTGGATTGGACTTTGTTTTACCCATTTGAAGGCCACTTCTAACCTCAAAAGATTTGCTTGCCTTATAAGGTAAGGCAAGACTGAACACTTCCAATGACTCGTTGTTACAACAGGTTTGGAGATATTCTATCGGCATTGATAAATGGCCGCACTAGAAAAGTACGCAGGAAGGCAAGGCGGCTTCTTGGACAACCCATCCATGCTCGAACTACCCCCGAGATGTGAGCAGCCACAATGCAAGAAAGTTCTTGGAGAATTTTGCGAATTTACTTGTTGTCGAAATTCGATTACAATCAAATGCTTCTTCATAGTCAGGATCGTATCCTGGCTGTCGGCTGGTCTACTGAATATATTGCGCGAAGTCAAAAGCGGACTCTGGATTCTCGTCTTCGCGACCAAGCCATATGACCGTCTGCTGGGACTTTTCGTACATGTCGCTCATGATTCGGACTTGGCTGGACCGTATTAATTCATGCAGTTTGCCACTCGAACTGTTCACATTCTAATGGGGCCGAAGGACTGACTGGTTCGACTGTTTTGGCACCCTGCCGTGATACAATTCAATGCATATTTGACCGATATGCGTTATGTAGAATCTTTGATTTTGAACCAATATATAATTTACGTATAAATCTATTGAAATAATTGGAAACCTCGTCTCACTCGTGGAATCTGGTCAAACCTTTGTTTAGGGAACAAAGTGACGATTCACAATGTCTGCCTGCGCAATCTGTACCTTACTTGTTCTAATGCCAGCAGAAATACGGTTTCGTTCCGCGACTCACAGCCTCGGATCCTCTCCTGGAGTCTTTGGATGATCAAACAGTGGCAATGACCTGTCTGTAGGGTATTGTTGTGCCTAGAGTCTCCTTCTTTAACGGCAGCAATGATTCATTCTGCCTAGGAACGAAGAGCTCACTGAATGGTTCAGTACGAATGTCGATGATAACTGACCAGCCCTCGACACCGACTTGATTTTCGTCCAAAGCTAGGAATTGCGGCTCGAGATCCATGTCTGTGGTCGGGGGGACTTACCATTGGCAGTATCAAGGAGTTTTCCCGGATACATGACTTTTCCCTCCCACCCCGTCCAACTCCAAGTCGGAAACTGCGGTCGACGTCTTGGGCTGACGTCTCTCGAGTGCATCCAACCCAATGCGAACGTATGACTGCTCAGTGGAATGCCATGCACGAAACCTTTGGGGAACAGCTGCCTACCCAGAGCCGAAATCACACCCCGGAAAGCGTTGAGTGAGTCGCTTTCATTGGTCATGCGGTGACTTGTGTAGCTACTTAGCTGCTTATTGAACAAGGACATTTGCTCTTCGAGATCTGCGTTCTCAATCGGTTGTTTAGCCTTCGTCGTTCCTAAGTAAAAATAGGTTGATTCACTCTAAAGAGCATTGAAAGTTAGACTTGCAGGATGAGGTGAATAGATTTTGTGAACTGTAGATTGGATTGGATGCTGCAAGAAGGGTTCGCGCGGAAGCGTAGTGATGTCCATTCCTTCGTCCACGTCGCCGACGGAACAGTTGAAGACCACTACACTCTGCGTAAAGATGAGTCTTCGTCTCGACAGCAAGTCTTCTTGCAACGTCGAAGAGCGACTCGAATATGTTGCCGTTTGCATCTCTAGAGTGAGGTGCTGTGGACTAGTAAATACAATGCAACCGTTTATGTTCTCTTTCAACTGAGCTAAACGTGCGGTGGAAATGCCCGGTAGACCAGCATCTACATACTTGCCCGTCAATGCGATAATTGTGACAGTTACGCAGCTGTAAATGGACGACATCATATCTAGTTGCTTGGTCTTCTCTTTCATTTGCGCTGGGGTAGGATTTGGTGATTGATTAATACATAAAGCATCAACCTGAGAGAAGAATTTAGTAGGGTCAAAAATAATGTAAGACTATGCATACCCATAGATCAAAACCTTAGCTGGCATACATAATAATACTCAATCATGTGTCGAACTTGTTTCAAGCCACGAAAAAAGAGACAGCAAATCACACACTAGTAGTTCACATATGGGCAATCACAGATTGCTAATAGATAATATTGCAAGACAAGTGCTTCACCCCAGCAAGGCCAAACGCAAGGCAGTCATCTATAGCACCGTATGTATGAAGCGCCACCTGACACGTTTTAAGGAGGTGTTGCACAGTCTATATCAACAGAGAAACCCCATCCAATCGCCGAAAAAGAGCCCCAGGCTCCAAGGTATATTTCTTTTGACAACTACTACATAGATAGGCGATTGGACTCACGCAGGCCCGACTACTTCACCCAGATATCATAAAGCTCTTGTGGTTCTTCCGGGGCTATCGTGACAGTTTGGCCGCTGCCATGCCCTGAACACTCCTTTCTATGTTCTACCCCATGATCTATTAAGAGCATTGCTAGTTTTCGTAGTCGACGATCATACATCGTTGTTCCTAAATAATAACGCAGAGCGCTCTCAATCGTCACATCAATGTGAATCTAGTCAAAATTCTTCATTCATCCTTCAACCACTACCGCTCTAAAGTCCCCATCCCCTTAGTATTATAGTGAATGAAACGATGCGGACAACCTAGCCCTGAGAAAGCTGAAACGGATATTAATAAGAAGCAACCAACCTCACGAGGCTTTCTTTGATTCTTCCGAGAATGTGTTGCACGGTAGTTACGCAAAAGAAAGTTCATGTGCGGACATTTGAATGGTCGATGGTCTACGGCCAAAGACTTATATTTATTTATCAATAATCTGCGAGTTTATCATCTGCTCATTTGTGCACGAAACATGAGCCAACTGGTCATATTTTCTCATAGCAGTGGCCAAACTGCCACAACCACTGTAGCTGATGCATGCGTCATATATATATATTATTCCTTTCTAGTTAGATCCGAAATATCGTTCATCGACAGCTTAAATGACCATCCACATGATACCCGAATTACTTGTATTACTTACCCGGCCCTATACCAGGCATTTCCCATCATTAGCGTCCTCACACAACAGACTCTCGCCTTCATATTGCTGCGCAGGTGGTGGGTACAGACCAAGAACGTATCACCAGGCTGCTGTAATCAAGCATTTCAACACAACATTCAGATTCGATATAACCTGCGTTGACTGCCTCACAGATGGAGAGCAGCTGAGCAAAGACGAACATATGTGACTCAAGAGCTCTTCAATAGCCCTTATATGGATGGATCTCGGACCATCTTCATTTGAACCCGGTTCTAACCTCAATTCATCTGAAACGTCCTTTGTCGACTAAAGCTCTACAAAGCATGAATATCGGGAAGATTATCTTCGTGTATGATTTTTTCTTCGTCTTTTTCTTTGCACAAATTCAGAAAAGGCAAAGCGTTTAGTACACAATCTTAACGCCATTGTACCTAATGTAAGTTTGGCAACGTACAATTGCAAGCCATCCACCGAAATGGCGCAATGGAATTGATTTTCAGTCCGGGATCGCTGGCACAGATATATTCAAGAAACTCATTGCGTCTGTTTGGTTTTGAGCCGTGGAAGTGGTTCAGTTCCGCGCACTGGACACACGAAAGGTTTGCTGGTACAAACCGCCCTACAATGGGGTGAGACTTAAGCAGCTATGTGACGAACGTGGCCTATGCCCGCTTCTTCGGGTACAAAAGATCTGTGTAATAGATCCCATATCCTCTCACCAAGTCCGGGTTTGACAAACACATCGTTGAAGCTCAGGTACAGGCTACCAGCTGCCTGCTGGGCTTTCGCTTGACGACCAGGTCACCGACCGCGAGTGATATCAAGCCGACAAAACCAAAGACCGGCGGAAACTCTGCTGGCGCTACAGAGGCAAGAATGAATGAAATCTGACAAATGATCATGAGGCCGAGAGGTGGTCTTCGGAGCCGCGTGAAGCCTCGCAAGCATCCTAGAAAGCTCAAACGGCCTATCTCGCCAATAGTGACTTGGAGAGTGAAGCATGTAGGATATGACCCGGATTTCGGGACTATTGGGAATTCGTAGAAGGAATGCGAAAGGTCACGTTTGTTATTGAATAGGACTACGTCTTCGATTCGACTTGGAACGTTCTACGCAAGTGCGATGGCCGACCTGGTTGAGCCGACTTTGCAAGAGGCCAAAGCTCTAGCAGCAAGCTTTGGCATATTGTTCAGACTCTTCATCAAGTATAAAAAGCCAGAAACCATGGTTGAAACCATGATACGAATGGCACATTTTGAAAACGACGCAGCACGAAGTGTACGTACGGGTGCAGTACAGAGATTTACTTAGTAAAAGTGATTATTGCCTCATCGACTTCATCGGCGGCAATTAATGTTTTCATGTCGTTGTCCATTTATGTAGGCTGAGCTTGTAGATCAATGCCGGGGCGATGCCTTGAGTTGCAACGTGTAGCTAGATGATTGTAGCTCCGCAAACACATCTAAGATCAATCTCCTGATCACTACCTATGCCGACTCTCAAGTGATCTTTCATGGCTTCTATAGTGGAAGTATACTCTTGTGCTCATATCTATGTAAGAGTTGAAATCCGAACTCCAAATTTTCATTGAGTTACCGTAGTTTGGAACGTTGATCATTCCGATTCACATAGGCACTACTGAGCGGGAAAAGGTAAAAGACAAAAGTCGCCAATTTACCAGTTGTACATCACTAATCGAGCACGCCAATTGTCGTGTTTGAAGAAGCTCTATGCACAGACCTGTAATGACACGATTATGATTGTGGTATATGAGGATGCTATCAGATCCATTTCAGTCCAAACTTGGTTGCATACTCATGGTATACTGGGTACACGGTTGGCTTAGAAATAATAGTTGGCGATTTGTCGTTAATAGGGGCCGTGCTCATCAGTATAAAACCAGGCATGCTAAACACAATTGTTTGCCTATATTGCTTACTTGGCAATCGTAGAGAAACAAGCCTAAAAAGTGTATTTCCATTATCGGTGAGCAGTAGTGTATGACCGAGCGAGAGTGAACGGCTTCATGATGCTCAAATCATCTTTAGGCCACCTTCAATGCAATTAAAACAAACAAGGGGCAACCACTCGTTCGATATGCGTCTTCCGTCGTCGGGTGGGGCATCTGCAGCGTGAACACATGAGAGGAAGCATGTGGCAGTGGCAGTGCTTCTGCCCAGCCAAAGCGGAGTTGCATAATTATCAACACGAACATGCCAGAATGACGTTAACACTGCATTGTTATCTACATCATCCCGCTGCGTCACCCCAGTCCTTCTCCCTTAAGCACATATGACTTGAATAAAAAATTCCAATTATACCTGCTGTGTACTCGCTTTGGCCATCTTTCTACAAGGGTCCAAATGATCACACGCCTCGGTGCAGTCCTCGAGGTTGAGCCTTCTACCTAACCGCCAGCCTACCGGGATATACGCTGTTGGGCTTGCGCGTCCCCATATGCAGGTAACCGGTGACCGGGGGACTTCCAAGAAGGGACACGTCCGCACAGCCTTTTGTATTCCCCGATGCTGTCTTGGAAGGGATTACTGCGTCCTTCAGGATCTGTAGACAGACAAGATAGGAGCCATTGCGAGACAAGAGCCCCGTTCTTCTTGGGCCGAGCTATCTTTGGCCAAGGGATAGAAGTGCAACGCCAAGAAGCGCACAGCAGGTGACTTGGGGTGGCTGCTGAGAGGGCAAAGCGAAGCGCTGGGATGATGCTGGGGGGCGACAAAAGAAAATACGGATCGCTCGAGCCTAATTTGACGACAATGGGAACACCCCGACAGTTGTGTGGTCGGACAAGACTGCCTTCCGCTTGAACCATTCAGGAATTTCTCCGTTATAGCTGTGTGACCATTGATTAGTGTCTTCAACATATCCGACGGTTTTCCTATCCACGGGTCAAGGTGTCCGGATGTTGCCGCTACAACACGATAATTGCAAGTTTGGGTTGTGGTATCATCGCATGGGACAGTCGTGAAAAAGAAAACTCCCATGGGCAGTGTTTTTGGAAGATTATATCAGACACTGGTACTATACCCAGTTGTTGCTCAGCTCGAGGATGAGGTATTGCATGGAAGAGAATGCAGCTACTCAATAGTCTGGTACACTATTGGAAGGATTGGGCAGCACACTGCATACCACGAATTAGATTGTCAACCAATGCAGTTAAATGACCACATATTACCGTGCAGCTGAGTATCAATGATAATCATGTGCAGCTGGTGCCGACGCCTACTCATTAAGAAGGGCCCATGAAACATTTCAGTACTACCGAAACCATCGGCCTGCTCTTAACTTTGGTCACCAGGGTCTGGGGTGCAGTAATGTATAAACCTTGCAAGCAGGTTGCTGAATATAATCGGACAATAAGATTGACAAACCCAACCTCACGTCATCTATCCGCCCCCCTCCCATTCTCCCAGGTGGAAAGGTGGCTTGCTCAGCGACTGAGTAATACACCACAAATTTGATGATCATGCGTTGACCGACTGCATTAAACAGTAACAGTATACGGAATAATTGAAACAACTGGATACATCGTGATGTTTGAGAGTATTACACATTACATTCCCTATTGACTGTTGGTTTATAATCGTGTCTGACGTCGTTCCGCAGGTTCTATTATTCCTGACAACGCCTGCGGGATGCTACTCTGATGCAGTTGAGAGCACTACTGACATTCCGCGCGTTACCGGTACGCACATCTTGACAAATAGATTCTGATCGATACCTGTAACGGATTGGGCAAGGAATAATCTAACAGAAACGGATCTCAACTTGTACGACCTGTTTGTGCCACCTATAGCAATACTGGTGCAAGGAATGCAAAGATGATCTCTAAAGGCCCAAGAAATATCCTCCAAGTATCAGTGTACTGTATGAGGAAACAAAGTGAAAGCTCATTAAGAACACTTAGCTTCTACCTACAACAAGAACCCGCTGAATGGTTGAGCAGCCCTCAACAGTAGTGTCGCACGTCTTTGTTCGTCTGCTTCCAGAAAACCCATGCATTCTGCTACTTGGCCTGCGCCGAACAAGACATCAAGCCATTGAGTAACTAGGTTGTGTAAGCTTTGTCTTGTGACTTGGTTGCTTTTTGTTAAAATCGTCCGAGATGTGATGATGCTAGTTGGAAATCGTCTTGGAGCGTACGATTACGGCTATGGTTGACTACCTGGCGGCTCATCGAACGATCAGCAAAAAGCAGTTCCAAGGGCGACAGATCCCATGCGAGGTATGTAAGTAAGACTTGCTTCTTCTTGCAGCGCAGCCTGAAGCCGTCCAGTCATAGGCTGATGATACCATGTCCCAAGCTATCGGTGTTCAGCCTCAGCATGTGGCGTCATGGAGCTTGTGGATATCTGGTACGATTTGGATGTTACCTGGAGTAAGCACAAAAGAGCGCGGAGAAAGACAGCGGCGGCATGGCCTGAATGACCCAATAGAGGAGCAGAGCCAGCCCAAGTTCTTAGGGCCGGCCTCCACCGCTACGATGTCCGCTTCAGAGAGCCCGTCGAGACCCGGTGGGCACTCTTTACCACGAGGACCGCCGCGTCGCCACTGATCTAGATCTCTCAAGCGTCTCTCTTCCCCAGGAGACCCCGGGCTAATGGACCTTTGCGCTATCCGTATGGGCTGGAAATGTGACATGCAGGTAGCATACATGCACGCAGTATCATACAGTAGCGCAGTGCGCTTACCCAGTAAGCACGAAACCGTCGTAGCGGGTAGCGTGGCATCTACCCCCATCCATATGGTATGGAAGTATTTGGGCGATCTCGAGGCTTGCAGACAGCACGAGTTTCGTCGGGGGAGATCGTTCTAACTAGCTAAAAAGAAGGATCTTGGGTCACCACACAGAGGCCGCAGTAGCGGCCGTGGTGTGACACAGAGGAATCAGAGCGTTATGTATCATGTATGAGCAAACGATGGAAACGCACTTAGCGGGTGGACAGAGACAGACTTATCCAGCTAAACGAGTAATAATGGCCTGATCTGAACACAGTCTGCATACTACTATTGCTAGAGCGCTCCGCGTGCGTGTCTAAGGGAAGGAGCTTGTGTGCCAACGTCTCGCGATGAAAAAAGCTACGGAGGTTAATCAACATCGAGTATGGTGTGCGAAGCTTCTACATAGTAGTAGGCGGACAGTCTCCTAATTCCGGACAATCATTGATGGATTAGCTAGTTCCCCAGGGCCGCCCAAGAGACAGTGGGCTTCCCTCGGTGCCCCTAACTTTGGACGGGTAGTGCTTTTATGGGCCAGAAGGTGGATGTGTCCAAAATAGTACGAATTGGCGACAACTGTTGCTGCATCATCAATACAACATCAGACGAAGTGCCCCTGAGGGATACATGAACTATCTGCGCGCCTTCAGTGAACGATCCATCACTGAAACCGCTATCGTCATGATTCGGAGGGGTTTAGAAACAGCTAGACGGAGCACGTCAGGACGCTTCTTTGGGCACAATTGGCTTCAAAATAGAGTTTGACAGAGCCATGTACAGAGACCCTGTTAAGATTAGGTTCACGCCAGTCTAAAATCGGCCGGTCAACAGAGGAGGTGGTTGTACCAACTATTGGGGTACAAACACCTTGAGGCTCTTCCGAAATCGCGCACGAGGCATATGTACAGTAACACCGAAGATGTGATTACGAAAACGCATCATGGAATGCAAATGCTGAAGATCATAACGTAGGAAAGCAGGAGCTGACAGAATGGTTGGTTAAAACATTTCAATAAAGTAATTCGTCATTGACTCTATCGCTGTACTCGCAGAAATTTAAGGCCAAAAGAACGGCTCGAGGGAAATTCACACGTAACCATTGATTGGGTATCTATAGCTACCAGAACGTCAAAAATAAACCCAAACCAAAAAATAAGAACCGGTATCTGCCTCCCTGAATCCTCGCTCGTTTTCAAATGCACATTTTTAACATCACTCTTTCAAATCGTACAATTCTCCATCTTCCCCCACGCTTTCCTGCCATTTTTTATGGCTGTTCGTTGTAATTCGTGTCCTCTAAATGCATCGGGTGTTGAGACAAGTCCAATGTTGGCGCAGTATCCACGACTTTGCATTTATGGAGGTCATCGAACATGCCAGCTCGTCGAAGAAGGCGGGCAGTGCGTCCACAAGAGTATTCTTATGGACACTGAGTCAGCGCTGCAAAGGCCGTGTTATCCTCGCCTCGTGGCGGTCGTTTCTGTAAAACATTGCTTGTCCTCGCCCTTGACGTGAAAGTATAATGATCTGGAATCCAGAAACCCTGTAATCCATATTGTCCAACAAGAGTACACCAGAACAAAAAGAACCCCCCAAACCCCCCCAAGTTGACTAGGAAACTTTGCTGAGATAACGTAGAAACGGTATATAAAATCTCCCTTCAAAAAACGCCAAGACAGATACCAGAGAATGCGACGGCCGTTATTTTAGGTATCCTTGTAATCCCAAACCATTTCAATTCCGTAACCTGATACTCCGGGGCTGTTGTCATAACTATCGGCGCATTCGCCTGCTGCTAACCTGAACCGTGTTTCATTGTGTACTGGATAGTAATATCGAAGGAAAGTTTATCGTAGTGATTAAAATCTTAGATGCGGTGTGGCTCGCGCCCTCGAAGCTGTAAGTCGTCTGCGATGTATTCGTCTGTAATCATTCTTGGAAACCATGCGATAACTCGGCTCAAGATTCCTCCTTAATGCCGCTGTTGGATGAGCTGTCGGCGTCTGCCTTGCCGTCATCCTGAGGAGACGAGTTGTCGTCGGTCGGTGAGGTCTTCCCATTCCCACAGCCTTTCACAAGACGATGCCGCTGCTAGATGTAAGCGAAAGGTTTCGGAGAAATCAGGTGCATGGCTTACCTTGAGAGCGTCCTTTCGAGAGAAGCTCTTATCGCAAAAGGTACAAGGAAATGGCTTCACCGCAAGATGTATCCGCTTGTGGCGCTTTAAGTCGTGGTTACGGTTGAAACACTGGGTGCAGACATCGCACTTGAACGGGCGATCTTGTTGCGGCTGAGTTTGACCATGTGAGTACATGTGATGTCCCCCCATATGTGCAGGATATCCGTGTGACATTGGGTTCATTCCGCCAACAAGAGTCATTTGTCCGCCTGGGTTCGTCATGTTCGACAGCACTGCCCCGCCCATGGCTGGTGGTAGTTGGTAGCCGTATGGCCGGTTGCCATAATGCGGCGCCTGCATTGGCGAGGGTTGACCGCTCATGGAGGGGATACCCCTGGAAAGTGGTCCAGTGGTACTGGGTGACTGGTGAGTAGGTGAAGGCAAGGTACTCGTAGAGAAAGCAGGGAATGACGACTGCTGGGGCGTGGAGGCAGGAGGCGCATAGTATCCGGGTGTAGGGGGAGCTCGGTTGTAACTGTCAGAAGGTGCCGCAGCAGACGGTGTAGGTGGTTGAGAGGCGGTAGCTTGGGAGTTCAGAATTGGATTCTGCAAAGATGGTGGCTGGTGCGAACTGTGCGAAAGCATCGAGTGATGGCTGCCTCCTGCTCCATGGTTGGAGAGCGGGAATGGCGGAGATATAGAGTCGTAAGGAGGAGCGGCTAAGCCTTCTCCTGTCGCAGTCGAGTATGAAGGCCTGCTATTGTAAGCAGCGCCTGATGGTGAGTGCAACGACCGAGAGTAATTCGGTTGCATCAGCCCAGTTTGTCCATGGTTCATGGATCCGTAGGTATATGATGAAGTGCCACCTGGAAGAGGCCAACTGCCATGAGGGTTGTAAGGCGCGACACCTGCTTGGGAACTTTGGGAGCTGCCACTGTTGACGCTAGAAGACAGAGGGCTCAGACCGTCGGCTCCAGTGACCCCTGAAGGCTGGTTAGATTTTGATTTATCATGAATGAGGAGAAATGCAGTCCATCAAAACGTGCGCAAGTTGCCCTTGCGGGAACCGGGGAGAACGGGATCATACTTGGTACTTGACTATCCACCAGGTTCGGAGGAGGAAGTTGGAAATGGGGAAGACCACCAGCTGCTGGTCTGCGTGACGCGAAACTTGCTTCCATGGTTGTATTTGTTACCCTCGGCATGCACGGCCTGAGGTAAAATGTGAATGGTTTGTTGGTATTTTGACTCGAGATGTGCCAGCTAAATAGGCAAGGACGAAGTAACCAAGGATTCAACAACGATAATAGTCCAGGCAAGGGATTACTTCAGTCAAATAACCAGATCAAATAAATGACGAGTATCTGGTCTTGCTGAAACGCGCCTCTTCCTCTCAGCAGTTGTGTTTCCGAATAGGAGGCCAATGGTCTAGAAGATATTCTTTGAGAAGCCCTCGTTATCAAAACCGAATAAAGGTGTTGTAGATGGTAGTTGGGTTGTCCGAATACTGTATGGGCTACGGTTCGGGTAGGCCGTTGCAGCAATGAATGTTGCCAATGGCTTTCTGGAAAGCCGGGAACCGTACTTACAAAGAGTCGTGAGATCCAGGAACCGTGTTGGATAAAGGTTATCCTGCAGTGGGTTCAAGAGTCTTGAAGGTAGTAGTTGGATGTTAGTGGAGACGTCGATCCCAAGAATGGCGCCGGGAGGCGCCTGTCGAGAATATATGGGTGGGAGGCTCTATTGGGTTAACTGTGCTCCCGGCTCTCTTTGCATAGGCTGTCTTTGCTTTTCGGCTGGGCTTGTGCAATACTGGGATGACCTAGTCTTGCTTTTCGGACGGGATCTCTAACCTTGGGATGAGCTGGGGCAGGCTAGTTTAGATCGTCCCTAAAGGTAGTCCCTAGTCTAGCTTGAGTGGGCTGGGAAAAGCGCTTGATGGCTGCCGGAATGGCGTTCGAGACTTGACTTTTTGGGGGAGAGCAGATAGATGGCCACCGGCCAGGTATTGAGTACCGAGAAAACTCTATTCCGCCCGTGATTTCCCTGGACCCCCTATCAGCCTGGTGAAAAGTCGTCTCTACGAGGTCAGTCCTGTTTCAGGTCATTTCCTAGGCCCCCAAGAGTTTCAGACGAAGAGAAACAGGTCGAGGTCTTCAGATGTTGGGACGTGGTGGGTGATTATTAGAATGACTGATCAAAGCAGGCTAGATAAGTGGCAGTATGCACGTGCTGGGGCGACAGGCGCATAGGTTTATTTTGCAGGCTTCCAGACTTTCGGTCTTGGTTCCCACGTAGCTGAGTGCTGAGGTTGCCTCAAGGTTGAAAGACAGGCAAGAAAGTGTGAAAGGTTAGGCCATCACAGAAGGACGCAGACGTAGGTGCGAGTGTAAAACAGTGAGTGAGGCAGGTGAATGTGACAACTGTTCCCAATGTGGTCAGGGTACTCAAAGTATCTGCTGCTGCTCTAAGGCAGGACTATCAAATGAAGAATGGGGGAGTGTCAGAGGGAATCCGAGCATGTAAGAAAAAGGCTAGCATAGCACCCTGGCTCTTGGCGACCCTCCATCTCCCCATGCACCCAAGATTCCGGGATAGCTTTAATGATCAAACTTGTTGCACCCATCGCTCTATTGGCACGCTGACTAGATCCAAGTGCAAGGGTGTCAAGAAATGCCACTTCTCTTCCGTAGCGACTCCTGGTCGGGGACCTTGACAAGTTTTTCAATAATCATGGCCGCTCCTGCGTCTACGCAGGCGAGCCTCATAATGTTGTATGGTTCGGCTATGGAAAAGGGTCACTTTCCTAATCCTGTCAGCGCTTTCCAAAACGATCCTGGCTGCAAACAAGTACAACGGAGCCGCTGTGACTGCTGAAAGGTCTTGCCGAAATGCGCATTTCTCATGTACTCAAGCTATTCAGGGCCTCTAGGGCCTACAGGGATGTGTTCAGCCCCTGGTCCAGTGAAGAAGGACAAAGGATTGCTCGGGGCGACCCATGAAATAAACTACGCAGCCTTCCATGAAGGAACAACATGTGGCAATCAATGGTTCAGCTCAATTGAATGGTCAATGGTCAACATACACCTTCGTACTGGCGTCAGAAGATTGTTCGTACCAAAGCGCATAACGCAAATATTGCGGATACGACTGTGCAAAATACCTGCGTATTCAACTCCGGTAACCTGTCACGTCGGGCTCGCGACTGGCGAGGTTTATTGTCTTGGCAAACACGATCAGAGATGGAGTATTCGATGTAGACTAGTGCCAACCTCTCTCAGCTCAGAAATTTCAGCTCGTTTAGAAAGGCGCTTGGTGCTCAATGCTACGGATCCATATGGTACCCTGGGAAAACTGAACATGGCACGGAATTGAGTCCGTATTCCGGTATGAGATCATCTGAGCGGATGCAGATTGCAGACTAATCATGCTAGAGCCCTGATGTTGAACATTAGCCGACTATGGTCGTAACGACACATATCGCAATTCTTGGTCTCAGTCCACCTCGCAGACCATGAGGGAACACTGGTAGTGAGCTTCTTGTTGTTCTTATTGTTCGTCTTCTTCCGATTCGAGATGAAAACAGGGTGTAAGATTGTTTACACATGGTCACTCAGCCGCAGCCTGGAATGGTCAAGGGATCTGTGTCTTATGACGGATACCTGGTAAACACTATGACAGAGTCAAAGAAGAAGATTGAGCAATTGTTCTGGCGATGCTACCGGAACTCGTCATCTTGTTCGCTTTAGTCGAGGTCTGGCCCTCGCATCACATACCCCATTGCTTAGTAGGGTACATATCCCGGCACTAATTCGTAACTTAGGAGCATTTATTTGGTTGCTGATAATTGGGCCCTCTTTTCACTTTCAGCAGGGCACTAGCGATGCTGTGGTGCTTGTAGTGCTGCATTTCACCTCCCCATGGCATGGGCGTGTGCGTGCTGTGGGATTCAAGAGACGGGTGCTTCCAGGAGGCTGCATCTGACATGGGTGGCCTACCCTTGTCTTGTCATCCCCCCAACGAAACTCATTCAATGCTGACATGCAGATGGCTCTTTAGCACTTGTGACAATTGCTGTATTCCTACTCTACTGTAGACCAAAGCCATTTGATCTATGTATGTCTGTATGCATGTGTGTATGTGCGCGAAGAGAGTGGACGGCAGGCAGAAAATGGTCCACTCGGTACGAACCGAAAAGTCTGTCAAGATAGTACAATCTCAATTAGATCATTCAGGCTTAGTGGTCTTGTCGCACAGCTGAATCTAGCCCACGGGCAACCACGGCGCTATAACTATTCACTGACACTAGCGACCTGTCAAATACAGTCCCCAGTGTTCTTCTCAGCAGACGCCATCGGCTAGAACTACACAGTTCACATTCAGTTCTTACGAACTAAAATAAAATAAACAGAATGTCCATGCTTTAGACAGCTCCGCCCCTTTTGAGGCATTTTGGGATGACAATCAGACATTTCCGATAAGAAGCAACTATCATCTCAGTAATTTTGCTTTTCTGTTGAGACAGGCCTCATACGTGTGCACAACATAATGAATGGATGAATGAAATGCAAATGAGATGAATGAGATGAATGGGTTTTGGAGAATGGGGGGAGTTGGAGTTCTGCCGTACTAAGCAGAAAATAGAGATAAGTTACATAGGCACCTTTTTGCTGCGGAGCTTGTCTCGCAATGGGAATTTTAGACGAGAGGTGATGCTGGCCGTTCTCGTCTATTGCAGGTTCGATGCATGTTTTTTCGAACGCGAACCATGGAACCCATAAAATATGGCAAATTACAGATTCTAAAACGATAGGCAAGGTAGGTGGTTTTGCAAGTTGTAATGACCGCGTTAGGTAACAAGGAAACGCAAGCAGATTTACTGCCCGAGCGTTCAATAAATACCAACTGAACTTGCATCTACGTGCACGGGCTTGATACAGTGCTGGTCTCGTTGCATCTGGCCATTTTTGGCAACTGATGGGGGGAAGCCCATCAATAATATCCGACTTACATTGATTATGTCCATTTTTAGAATCAATATGAGTAGGTGTATGCCGCTGGTTTTGATACGGGCATCAATAATGTGTGATTCATCCCGCCTTTGCATCGACTGGTAACTGGCCGCATATGCCTGTGTAACTTGACAGCTCCGACTTACCAAGCTTATTAAGAGCTGATATAGGTTGGTTTGTGTGCTAAGTACTGTACACAATGACTGCATCTCTCGCAGGGATATCTAAAGTTGGATCGAGCAGTATTGGTGTGCCACGACCAAGAGCTGCAAAAGGTGTTGGAGCTATTCGATGCTTCATCTTTCGGCCACGAAGCCTTCAAATCAGAGCTTCATGTCGTCCGTTGATAACCTTTGCCCTCCTGGATAGTTACAAGCTTGGACATTTTCGGCTCCGAGGGAATGGCAACGTACCAGGTTTATTAGGTCTCTTCGGCTTCATGACCGCAATGGGCAAAATCGCTTTTTGTAGTCAGCTGTCCTCATTCGCAGGCTGCCAAGTTGCTAAGGGGAGCAGTCTAGAACGCATCCACTTCACGATCCTACGATCCCAGCGGCACGAACCCTCAAAGATCCATTATCTGCATGGCGCAAAGAAGGTTAAATAGCCACAATGCACATCGTCTAACGACGTGTGGCCGCCAAAGTAACGGTAGGGGTTTTCGTGAGATCTTGACACATACAGCATCCTCATTTGTACTTGTCCACCATGCATTTGTCTCAATCGCAAGACTATAAGAGTGCAGCTAGGGCTAGTAGTGCGCCAGCAGGATTTGGAAACTTGTTCACACCACAAGCATGTAACCCAGGACCACCAGCCGCTGTATCCGATGCGAACCACTGCCAATCATATGTTGCTGATGAGCAACATTGTTTAAGCACACCTAAGTACGATCTTTCTCGCTCTGACTACGGATCCATATCTGTCAAGACCTGAGCAGAACCTAGCGACCATGCAATGCAAATTCCGCAACCCCCCTTCACGAGATGCACAACAAAATCAAGTATTCGGGCTTCGGGCGATGGCGGATTCAATGCTTGGAGTAAACCCGCGCGTTACGGGCAATTTATACGGGGATTTGCAGGCTCACTTCGCACAGTGCCCCATGCTGTTCGATAGAATGAAACATTTGAAATGATTTATTGGCATTGACTTTTGAGTGTGCAGAT